ATATAATACTAGACATCTATCTATATTCTGGGTGTCGTACATATTCCTTATATATATAAGTGGAATTCTTATAAAAGTATTCTTCTAGATCATCGTCTTTTTTTTTAATCGCTATAATAAGATACTAGTCTAGATTCTTAGATTGAATCTTTATATTAAGATTAACCTTAAGCTTATTAGCTTCTTTATTATCTTAATAGTTCTAAAAACTTTCTTAAGATATTTCAGGAATTTTATACTTTGTATTAATATATCCCTTAGTAGATATTAGTAGTATTTCTGAAATGGTTTTAATCTCTAAACAACAAATTAGGATTCTTGTAGGCCTTACTTTCTTAGAATTATAGATCTGTATTCTACTAGGCTATATATTTATAGTCTTAAAACTCCTTCTGTTCTAAAAAGATTCTTCTATACTCTATATATTCTTATAAACATTTTTATTTTAAAAAAATGATCCTATATTTAATATTTTATATACCTGTCTTTAGATATTATATCCTAGATCTGTTTTAGTTTTGTAATCTATTTTTTGAATAATATACTATATCTATCCTTAACTCTCTACTATATTCCAATTGATTTCTAGATAATCGATCTGATATTTGTCTATAATCAATATGTTATTATATATTATCTCTTCAGAGTTTAAATTTATCTATCTTATCAAAAGATCTTCTACAGCTTACTATTTAGAATAATCTATTATAGGTTCTTAGGTTGCATATAGTTCTTTATATATCGTTTATATATATTAATATTTTTTAGATTATTTCTTTTATTTGTATTCCTATAATTAGTATTTAAGTTTTCTATATACAAAGTAAAGATTCTTCTTACAATATTTTTCCTACTCTTTTTAAATAATATTTAATTCTATTAGTTTTAATCTATATAGATTATTATCCTATTATAAATAGTATTATTATTATGATCCTTAGTAATATTTAAAGTTAGGAGTTTATTCTTTTCCTCGCTTTTATTATTTAATATTATATTATTTATATTGTTATTTATATAATCAATTGTTAATTTTAACTACAACAATAATAATTTTGTTAAGGATATTAGATTTATCGATTTTAATTAGTTTGTTTTTAATAGCTAGCTTAAATCTACTAATAAAAGGTAGAATGTAAATCCTATCTAACTAATCTAGATATAAAATAATTTGTTAAAATTCAGATGTATATACAGATACTAATCCAATCTATTTAATATATTACAGCTTTCATTTAGCTGTTTAGATTATATTAATGTCTTCAAAAGTTTGTTTAAGATACTAACAAAAGTTTTTATAGTTTGTAAAGATACTAATAATAGTCTCTAATTATTTACTTAATAGTTTTCCGTAGTAGTTTCGAATATATAGTTCGAACTAATTCTATACTTATTTATATAAGTAGATTAACATAAAAATCATTTTACTAACGTTATCAAACAACTTAGTTCGATTTATATTAATATATATATCTATTTGGATAAAGAATTTCCGAAGCTTAGATTAGTTTCCTTCGAAATACTTAGTCTTAAGCAACTATAGCCTTTAGACTGTACTAGCTAATACAATAGCAGAAATCTAAGCTTTAGTTTGTTCCAAGAAATCGTTGATACCAACAAACTAGATTTTAATCTTAGATTCTAATTCGTTAAATTTATTAATTAGATACTCAAAGTATTTTTCCAAGGTAGTAATCTTCCATATTTAATCACTAATCTTATTGTCTCTCTTATTATCAAAGTCAGGATTAGTCGCCTTAGCGACTAGTTTTTTTTCAGTGCTAACTTAAGATATATTAATAATAGACTTAATAGTAAGATTCGAGACGGTCTTTAATATATTACGTATATGCTAGCTGGTCGTTGTTAGGTTAGATAGAATCAAATATATTATCCGTCGTAACCCTATAGACTATCAAATCTTAACGATCTATCTCTTAACTATACTATTACTTCGTAGACCTTACTGCAAACTAAGTATCTTAAGAGTATCGAAGAACGATACTAGATAGGACGCTAAATAGATCTATACCAGAGTATTAGTCGATTCGTAGTAGTTGTCAGATTATAACTAAACTAAAGAGTCTCTATGTTCCAAAGGTATGCATAAGTAACAATATAGGATTGAAGATGAAGAACTAGATACATAAATGAGTGTCCTTATATATCCAAGTTCTCCCTATCCCAGAATATGCTATAATAAGCATATCCTAGAATACGCACAACATATCTTATCCTAGAATACGTTTGGTCACATACGTCGTGATTAGTGATGGCAGAGGCCGTAGTAGGTTTGTTAGAGTGATCGGAGTGAGCGAGGCCTAACCAAGTGTCCTTTGGACAGGGCTGTTTCTTCGCTCGACTGCGTTCAATACTCCTCAGGGGATATTCAGTTCTCTGGTGCCGATGGTCATCACGTGACCTCCGTGTGCCGGCAGGTCGGTTGGTTCTGGTTGCTTGTTCATTGGTTTGGCCCCCGCACTTTGATTGGTGCCTGTCATGTCCGTAACAATAGACTTCTAAAAGACGTTTTAGAATCTAACAATAGGATTAAGATTTAAAGAGTTAAAATTCTACGGAATTATATCAAAGTAATAAACTCAACGGAGGCTATAATATAGAAAAAAGTAATACACGAGCAGATGGTTAACTTATAGTAAGCTAAGATCTACGAATTTGTTAATAAAGTTGAAATTAAAGTATACATTTTGTTTAATAAATAGATTTATACAATTAAAACAAACTTTAAAGACTATATTATACAATTCAAAGTCTATTAGATAATTTGCAGCAACTAATAACAACTGAGGATTAATTTTGACTTTGCCTATTCTTTAGTAGCAAGATTGAAGTTAATATATATTTTCCTATATATAGTGGTCATACAGAAACTAATCGTTGATTAAATCGACTATACTATTATCTATCTTAATACAATAATCGACGGTCGTTCTATATTTATATAGCAATCGACTAAATTTAAGTAATTAAATGAAATTAATAAGGGGCTAGTTTATTAGTTACTACAAGCGCTTTATAGACTACGTCAAATATTATATTTGTGATATAATATAATTATTATTGCTTTTAAAGCTCTAGGATTCGAATAACTTCTAAATGAACTCTGTATTCTTTTCTATTGCGAATGTAGAATCTGATTACTACTATACGTCGACAATACTTTGATTACTACGTAGAATCTAGTTTAGATCTAATAGTTTAAGGATTTGATCTTATTCGTTTATAAAGATATAAGTATCTTAGTCTACTTTCTAAGAAGTATATTTACTTGTAATAAGAAAGACTTCTTCTTATATCAAAAATCCTATATAGAAAAAACTTTCCAAACTCTAAAAGCTAAAATCTTATCTATATTTATTCTAATAAAAATAATATATAAGCCTTCCTTTTAAATATATATAAAGAAAGATATAAATATATATTTAGATCTTTTTAATAATATACTAATTGTTAATATATCGTCTACAAAGGTTTATTTAGAAGATGTAAATAAGATATTCTAAATATATAATTAAAGTCGATTAGATATTGTTCTAGCGATCAATTAACTATAAAGAAGAACGATAGCTCTACATAAAGAAGATATTAATATAGTAAAGTATTTATATTACTTTATAGTAGGAACTATTCAAAATAGTATCTAATTAAGCAAAGACCTTAGAAAAGGGTTTATTATATACATTAATGCATCGTATACTGACTATAAAGATGGAAAATCAACCAAAGCGTATGTTATTATGTACGCAGATTCTCTAATATTATAGAAGTCAAGCAAGCAGTCGATTATCTGCCCCTCTTCTACCAGTACAGAATTTGTCGTATTCAACGCTATAGTGCAAAAAGTAATATAGATTTAGAAGTTATTATAGCAAATAAACCTTTCAGTAGAACTTCTTATGATTGTATATACTAACAACGATAATACATATGGAATTCTTATAAAGAATGCCTACATACGGTCTACTAAGTAAATCGATTTATGCTACAGCTTCGTTAGAGATACAGTAAGAAGAGGTATCATAAGCTTCAATATCATAGAAAGTAGCCAAAATCTTGCGGATGCATTAACTAAACCGCTTGGTTAGCTCCAATTTAGCATTCTCACTAATCAGCTGGTCGGCAAATAAGGGTAGTTGGGAACACTATGCACTAATAGAGTTCTAGAACCCAGGAGGAAGGGGGGGAATGAGCCTCAGAGACCTAGGGGATGGGTGAATTCACCAAAATTTTATAATGGGAATGAACTACTAAATGCTAAAAACACCAAAAATGGGGTATTTGAGAATCAGAGGTTGATTTGGGGATGCTTTTTGGGGGTGCTTTTTGGGTTGCGTCTCAGGGGGTGTGTTGTGAGGGATGTTTGCCACAACCTCTGATTGTAGATAAGATCCTACTTCCATAGTCCTTCTCTCCTCTCCTCTTTCTCTCTCCCCAGAGATCAATAAATCGGTTCTTTCGATCCCTTTGCTCTCTCAACACAAACATCGCGCATGGGAAAGACCAAATAAAGGGTTCACATACTAGGTAATCTAAGACAAGTTACATATCCTTGAGCGTAGAAAGTGGCATTCATGCAAGTATTCTGCAAACAGAGAATCAATTCCCAATGTAACCAATAGGCCACATCATAGATAATGCAATCCTTCAGTAAAAAAGGAGGAAGGAGTACGGGGTAAGGAGCCACGCTCGTGCAAGTACAGAGGCCTGTGATTGGCGCGGGACAGTGGGCGGCACCGACCCTATGGGGACGGCGGATCGCCCCCACGGACCACCAGCGCGGAGCACATGGGAGCGGAAACAACGATGACTGGCTGAACAAGACGAACTCATCGCTGCAATTGAACCCAATTGCGCTTAAAGTTGAGGGCGAACAACACTTCTAAGTACTCAGTACTAGGTACTAGTGACCCCTCATGCACCGTTGGAACTGCCTGCAGATCAGGTCAAGGGTACCTTCCCCCAGTCCGCTTATCCAGTCCATGTGGTGCACTGATAGGACGAGGACGTTGCCTTCTCCTGAGCCTTCGTGGGCACATGGTGCCCTTTATCAGTATTGGACCTCGCTCCTTCTCCTTGCTTTTTGCATCTTGCACTCTTTACTCATGGATTGGATGCACGTTTATATTGTCGGCGCTGCCGTGCTGGTCTTTGCCCTCGTCGGCTTGGTGCTGTTGATCAGTTCGCAGCATGTCAAAATCGCTAATACTCGCGTGGGGCCATATCTCAAGTTCATTTGGGCGAATTTTATAAAGCCCCATGACAAGCAGGCTGGGGGCCAGCAGGATGCGCTGGAGAGTTTCTACAAGACGCAGGTGCGATAGTGAACACAGATGAATATGGAAGCAGGGCTGACTGAGATAGGCTGCGGTCTACGATGCTACCCGTCGCCGCCTCCTATGTGGCCGGGAGGACATGCTTGGGCTGGTGGGTGCGCAATTGAAGCACAAGGTGGAGAACAAGCAGGTCAAGGCGGGCAAGGCTGTTTGGGTGGATGTGAGTCAATCTGGCGTTGCGGTGATCGATTGGATACTAACAATGTTCAGGTCGGTGGTGGTACGGGGTATGTTTCTTACCAGCCTTGGTTTCAATTGACGCCCGACTGACACGATCAAGATATAACATCGAAGCAATGGCCGCGTTCCTCCCCGTGGACAAGTTCTTCAAGCATGTGTACTTGGTTGATCTCTCGCCCTCTCTTTGCGAAGTCGCCCGCAACCGCTTTGAGCGTCTGGGATGGAAGAATGTCACTGTTCTCTGCCAGGATGCACGCTCCTTCACTCTTCCTGAGAACATGGATCCTCGGTCTACAAGTCTGGTCAATGATGGTGTGGACCTGGTCACCATGAGTTACAGCTTATCTATGATCCCAGGTAAGTAGGGCTTGTTTGATAGACATTCCGACGCTAATTATCTCAGACTACTACAGTGTGGTGGATTCTCTGACCTCCCGCCTGAAGTCGACTGGACTTCTGGGCGTATGTGATTTCTATGGTGAGTCTGGAATCCCTCTAGATATCTTCGGATGCTGATTCAAGTCCAGTCCAAAGTATCGTTGACGTTTCATGCCGCAACTACACCGGCGGTGCCTTCAACCGACATGTCAACTGGCTGGGACGCATGTTCTGGAGAGCCTGGTTTGACTTTGATCGGGTAAGCCTAGAGGCAGCTCGTCGCGACTACCTGGAGTACAAGTTCGGCACTGTCATTTCTGCCAGCGAACGCAATTATCTTCTGGGTGGCATTCCCTACTACATTTTTGTAGGATGTCCGAAAGAAGTCGGCTCTACGCCCTCAAGCCAATCCATCGAGAAGTTGGATGCGTCCTTCACCGAGTCTCCATACCTCTTGCCTGCCAACCACAAGCAAGAGATGGATAACGCTGTTGTGAAGAGCTCGCAAGAGATCAGATCAAAGGCCTACGAATCTGCTGTCGTCAACTTGAGTGCCAATCTTCCTCTCCCCTCTTCATTCTACCAGAACCACCACTACCGCATTCACTACAATGACATGCTCCCCAAGCACACCCAGTTCCAGAACGAATACATTTACGCCTTCACATGGGAAGACCCCAGGGTTGACCACCAGCTGTTGAACATCGGGAAAGACGATGTGATTCTGGCCATCACCAGTGCTGGCGACAACATCCTCGACTACCTGCAGAAGAACCCCCGTCGTGTCCACGCTGTGGATCTCAACCCAAACCAGAACCATCTCCTTGAACTCAAGGTCGCTTGTTACTCTGCTCTCGGTCACCGGGACATGTGGAAGATCTTCGGCGATGGAAAACACGCCCAGTTCCGTGAGCTTCTCATCTCCAAGCTTAGCCCTCACTTGTCAAGCCAGGCTTTCCAATACTGGCTCGAGCATACTCAAACCTTCACTTCATCATCTGGCCATGGACTCTATGAAACCGGTGGCTCTCGTCATGCAATTCGTATGGTTCGCTGGCTTTTCAATATCTTCGGATTACAAGGTGAAGTCCGCAAGATGTGTGAAGCACAGAGTCTAGCCGAGCAGCGTGAAATCTGGCCTCGCATCCGCCGTGTCCTCTTAAGTCGGCCTCTGAACTGGGCTATCGTGAGTACGGAATGGTTCGCCTGGAAAGCAGCTGGTGTACCACGCAACCAGCGCAATATGATCGTCGATGACTTCTTCCGTCGCAATGGACTCACAGAGGGAATGAAGGCAGGTAAAGATGTCAGTGGTCAATCGATTTGGGAATACGTCGTCAATACCCTCGACCCTGTCATCAACGATACCCTAATCAGCAACGATAACTACTTCTACTACCTCTGTGTCCAAGGCAAATTCTCCAGAAGGTATGTACACTTTACAATGTCAACATCTGATACTAATCAAATCAGATGCCACCCATCATACCTCTCACCACAAGCCCACGTCAAACTCTCAACCCCAGGTGCATTTGACGGTCTCCGCATCCACACCGACGAAATCAACGAAGTCATCAACCGCATCACCCCAGGCACCCTCACCATCGCAGTCGTAAGTCCAACTCCAGCCCAAATACCCAAAACACCAAGCTAACAACAAAGGTCATGGACTCAATGGACTGGTTCGATCCAACAGGCGACTCAGCACCCGCCCAAGCCCGAACCTTCAATCACGCCCTCAAAAAGGGGGGGCGCATCCTCCTCCGCTCTGCCAGCATAGACCCCTGGTACATCAAGCACTTTGAAGAAAATGGTTTCTCGGCTACTCGGGTGGGTGCTAGATTCCCTGGTACCTGTATTGACCGGTGAGTTTACCAATAGCACTTGTTCGCATGACCTGAACTAATGTACCCAGTGTCAATATGTATGCATCCACTTGGATCTGCACGAAAACAAAAGACCTCTTGAATGTCAAGGATCGGAAGATGTCGACTCTTGCTCTGCCTGATAGTGCTATCCCCACTGCTAGACGGTCGGGTAGTGTTGAGGATTTGCAGATTTGAGGCTTTTGTTTTTATAGAGTGCTTGATGATACCTATGATTTTGGAGTTGGGGTTTGGTTGGGCCTGTCTTGGAGGCTATAGCAAATGAGATATTTGTATGGTCGTTAGGTCCTAATAACAGCCATTTTTACTTATATACTTAGGTCTATTCGTGGTTGTAGCTGTACATAGTCATCCCAAGTAAAGTTATTCCTGAAGTCCAATACTAAGAATGGAAGGATTCAAGCTTAAGCTCTGTGATACTCTGCAGTAAATATTTACTTGCTTCCAGGGCTGTCTGCATTCTCCTTCTAAAGTTGAGGTATTAGAGATCTCCACTACGAAGTTTTGAAGATCACACTCATCAAGACCTGTGGCCAAAGTCTTAAATAACAACAGCACACTCATCCCCATTCAACATCCAACACATCTACCCTGATAAAGCCCTCTTCCTCTACTTGTACAGTGCTCAAACATTCTCAACATAATATATTGCAAGTCATCGACTTCAGATCTAATCATATTTCACAGTGGAAAGACTGGGCGCAGGACCCTCTAAGTGATTAAAAAAAAATTCGGGGAGGAAAAGTTTCATAAATGGTCGAGCCCAACACCATCATCTCAAGCCAAGCCAGCCAAAGCCAACCAGACCACTATGACCGGCCGTACCGTGTTTTTCCGAACGAGAACGGTACATAGCGGTACTTGATCATGTGCTGGATTTGTCGTCGCACTGTGTCCAATTAGTTTCATATCCTGATATAGTATGGTATAGTCGAATGTACTCACTCGTCAACACAAACAGGATAATCCAGTACACGACCAGAACAGGCCAGAAAACGGGAATATCAAACATAGGCAGCCAGGCGCAGAGGAAGCCGATGGCAATGGCGCGGGTGGCAGAGTGCCAGAATTTGAATTCTGGGAGACGCCGGATGAAGGGTCTGAATTCTTCGTCTTTCTTGGTTGGCAGGCTGGGGGAGCCTGCATCTCCATCTTCAAGGCCTTCGTCCTGTGTGAGGGAGGGGTCGAATTTGGGTGTTAGGAAGGCGAGGAAGAGGTTCAGTAGGTAGATTCCGAGGGTGTAGGCCACTGGGAGGGAATTAGTTTTTTACGTTTCTTGTGCTGTGCGGCTTTTGCGCTTTTCGCATTGGCTTCTTGTGTTGGCTTACCGATGTACCAGCCCTGTGCGAAGATGATGCGCAGGAAGAATAGGAATAAGAGGGCGCCGGATCCTACCCATCTGTAGGTTGTGTATGGGGTTGAGGCATCGAGGTAGGCTTGGTATTGCTGCAATGGGTCTTGTTAGCGAGGTGTTCGCGGTTGATTGCTGCGATGGTGTTCCTGGGTCTGGGGTGTGGGCAATGCGCCATGCGCAATGGGGTTGCCTGCAGTACTCACCCGAGTGATCTTGGAGGTGTGGACAGACACGGCCGTGAAAGGCGACTGTTCGGGCTCGGGGACATCCATGGCGAAGAAAGGAAAGATGAAGGGCTGAAGAAGAGAAGGGCGACTAAGATCAGCTGAAACCAGACAACATTCCAGACAGGCACTTCAGGAGCGAAAAGTGTCCACTGGGACAGCAGCCAATGACATTCGACGTGATGTCCCAGCCACCCCTGGGCAATGTCACGTGTACCTGTGGCGGTGCAGCTGACACACTGACATCACACTAGTCCGGATATGGCTGGTCTGTATATCACGTGCTCTCCGTCGGGACCTCGGGACGGTTAACTTCGGCGGTTACGCGGGGAAACGGAGTATCAATTGGGATGAAATACCTCCCTTTCTGAACCATCCCATTCCCAATTCATATTCCCAATTCCTAATTCAACACCGAATACAAATACAATTGCCTACAATGTTCGCCCGCCAATGCACCCGTCTGGTCAAATCTCAGACATCCATCCCTTTGACATCATACCTCACCCGAGTCCGGGGTTACTCCTCAGCCAGCTATGAGCACATCCTAACCTCAACCCCCAAGCCAGGCGTGGGCCTAAGTACGCCAACAGCTGAAATCTCTCCATGTGAAAACCAACTAATATATAATGCCAGTCACCCTCAACCGCCCCAAAGCCCTGAACGCCCTGTGCACCCCCCTCATGACCGAGCTCAACTCAGCCCTAAGCAGCTACGACAACGACGCCTCTATCGGCGCAATCATCATAACAGGGTCCGAAAAGGCCTTTGCAGCAGGCGCAGATATCAAAGAAATGGCCCCCCTCACCTTCTCATCTGCCTACACCTCGAACTTCATAGCACCCTGGTCCCACCTCACTACCATCCGGAAGCCTGTCATCGCTGCGGTCTCGGGCTATGCACTAGGTGGAGGCTGTGAATTGGCTCTCATGTGCGATATCCTGTATTGTAATGAGAAGGCTGTGTTCGGACAGCCGGAGATCAAGTTGGGGACTATTCCTGGTGCGGGTGGGTCGCAGCGGTTGACGAGGGCTGTGGGCAAGAGTAAGGCTATGGAGTTGATTCTGACGGGCAAGAATTTTAGTGGGAAGGAGGCGAAGGAGTGGGGTGTTGCGGCGGAGGTTGTGGAGGGAGGATTGGAGGAGTTGCTTGCTAAGGCGATGGAGACGGCTGAGACTATTGCTGGTTATAGTCGGGTTGCGGTTGTGGCTGGGAAGGAGGTTGTTGGGAAGAGTCAGGAGTTGTCGTTGAGGGAGGGGGTGGAGTTTGAGAGGAGGGTGTTTCACTCGCTGTTTGGCAGTCGGGATCAGAAGATTGGTGAGTTAACCTTGTTTCCGGGTTTGGTGATGGTTGGCTAATGTTGATAGGTATGACTGCTTTTGCGGAGAAGAAGAAGCCGGAGTGGTCTCATGAGTAGGGGATGGCCCTTTTCGTCTGTCAAGTGTTCATGGTTGAGGGGCTATATGTAGATTCATTATTTACACATATGAATCTCACCACTCGTCTTCCTCCTGTTTGATCTGGTCGACATCCATCTCATCACCAGGATGAGCATTGCCGGTAGGTGTACCGCATTTGTATTGCTCCAAGCCACGATTGATACCAACAATACCCCACGCGAAGACCGCGACTTCGCGAATAGTATCCATAAGACGAGAGGACTGTGGCCCAGTCTCTCCTGGACCACCTTGTGCCTGAGAAGCTTTGCCAGATCCATATACAGAATCCGACGCCCCAGAGCTGGATTCCATGCCCTCACGACAAAGAGTAGTTTTCACTTCTGGAGCGCGACTAGCCGAACCAGACGCCATACTATCCCGACATAGGGTCCGATGTTCCGGCTGAGCCACAGGAACCGGTGCCTGGGCAATATTTGACGGTCCACCGTATGAGTAGACTGGTGATGGAGCCCAGGGCGCCGCAAAGATACCACTGCTCTGAGCCAGAGGAGTGACAGAAGTAGCAGTGGGGATTGGAGCGCGGGCGCGACGCAGAATAACAACCAGACCGTCGGAGGTACATGAGACAACAGCTTCCAGCTCGATTGAGCCCTCGGTATGTGCGTTTTGCAAGGGGTTGCGGAACCAGAAGCGCAGGTATGCGATTGAGTCGTTTGCCTTGGCGCCTTCTAGACAGCGGATGGCGTCGCTGAGACACTCTTCTTGTATACAGTAGTAGAAGCTTTGGGAGATCAGTGTGCTTGGGTGCATGCCTAGGATCTCGGAGACGCCGTTCGTGGCATACATGACTGTTGCAGTGCGGGTGAACCGGTTGACGAATAAGGCTGCGCGAGGCTCGTGGATTGGCTCGACTAGACGCTGGGAGAATTTATTCGATATCCAGGTCAACATGTGGTAGCGGGGGTCATGTGGAGATGAGGTGAATAGCTGGCGGACAATGGGTGCATCGACAGCACGTTCTACGTGGCCATGAGTTAGCGAAACAGTCCATAGTTCAAATATACGATACTTAACTATATCTGGCAAACGAGGGTCACTTACTTTGACTACCCTTTCCCCCGCCGTACACGGTAGTACTCGCGATCAAGACATCGTACACGACCGTGAAGACACACTCACAACCAACCCAGGAGCCATTCTTATGGCGAATCGAACAATAATTCAACACAGCCGCTTTATCCAAGCGCACACCGCGACCATGAATTGACCGCGCAAAAGGCAGTTCCTGGGGGTGGAAATAGTCCCAACATGACCGATCCAGCACCTCTATAGGTTTGTAGCCCAAGACCACCGATATACTATCTGAAGCATAGCGGATTGCAGCATCGCGTGTCAGATCTGGTTCCAGGTTAGTACTGCCATTCTCGCCAGAACAGGGAAGTGACAGGCTAAGGCTCGATCGAGGGATCGGGGGGCCGCGATCGGTGCGATCGCACCAGTCAGAAAGACTCACCATGAATAGTGATGAATGTGGTGTCCATTGCACTGCAGAAGAGTGGGACCCTGAGGAAACTCACAGTGAAGCATTGGGTGGAGAAGTAAAAAAGAAGAAAGTGGGAGGTGACAGCGGGAGCCCACCCAGGTCAGGGCTGTCACACTAAATAGGGTTAGAAGAATTACAAGATTATTTTAAACTATAGAAAATATATACAATATGTACACTTAAATGTATGTACTAAGGCATCACACATAGACACGTCAGATCTAGGGCTTCTCGTGTGTTTCACGATAGTTATCAAGGACTTGACCCTCGATGGTCTCATCGAACACGTCAACTTCCGTCGAGGCGAACTTGCGAGCGCTGACACCGCGCTCAAAGAGCAGATCCAATTCTGCAAAAGTCCGCCCAGCCGGTTCTGGGACCCGGAAATAGGTGTAGATAATGCACAAGAAACAGATCCCACCCCAAAAGAACCCGGCATAGTTGCCCCAGTCCCAGGCACTCGGGTTCAGCATGTAAGGGGTGAGCACGCCACAGACAATGGCAACAATGTTGTACAGATTTCGGCCGAGAACGACCGTTTTGATTTGGAGACGCCGGGTGGAAAGCTCAGCCACCAGGGAGTAGCACACGGTGCCGACGGTGAGCTGGTAAAACAGGGCCCAGATCAGCATCATGGATCCGGTCGCAAGGGAGGCCTGGTCCTTGTGTTCCGAAGGCACCAGGCCCAGGAAGCCCATGATCAGCAACATGGTGCACAGTCCGCACAGACCGTACAAGCAGAGTGTCCGCCGACCGATTCCTAAAGTCATCAGGAACCAGGCGCCGAATACTCCCACCATGTTGATGCCATACTGGCCCATGGCGAATGCGTAGGAATTGCTGGAACTCAATCCAGCCTGTTCCAGGAAATAGGTCGAGTAGTTCGAGAAGGAGTTGCCGCTCAGATTTTGAATCGCCCACACCATACACACAATCTCGGTGCGACGCAGATCAGTGCCCCGGAAACAATCCAGGTAACTAGCTCCGTTGGTGATCTTCGCCTCCAGCGCGGTGGTATGCACCATCATCGCGACCGTCTCGTCCGCGTCGAATTCCTCGTGCTGTTCCTTGGTGGTCAGTCGCACCAGGGCCCGCTTCGCATCTTCCGTCCGGCCTCTGCGGACCAGCCACCAGGGCGATTCGGGTGCCAGCCAGATTCCAATGAAGAGTGGCAATGGCCACATCCATTGCAGCCCGTAGGGAATCCGATATGCCCACTCGTCATTTCGATTCAACATTCCCTTGATGACACCAATGCCAATCAACTGGCCCAGTCCCCAACAGAAATTGACATATGTTGTCAGATATCCACGCAGTGCCACGGGACACACTTCCGATGCATAGGTGATGGTCAGGGTCTGGAAGACTCCCCAGGGGATACCGCACAGGATCTCCGCCGCCAAGAGGGACTGCACGTTCTGAGCCGTGAAGAAGATCGACGTCCACGCACTGACGAGAATGAGACAGGCCATGATCGTATACCGATAACCGAATCGCTCCGAGGCCCAGCCGTTGATGAAGAGACCGATGATTTCACCGCAGTAGGCGCCGTTGCTAAGACCTGCTTGCCACTGCACGGTGTTAGGAATTATTCCACTCTCCCTCCATTACTGGAGAAGTACTGGTTCTTGCACTTACCGCCGCAGATACCTGATACGACCCATCGGCCACCATCTGGCCATATTTCCGGTTGAATTGGGGAAAGGCATAGAAGTTGTTCACCAAACTGATGTCGTACCCCTCCATGGCGATACAGGTGGAAATGAGCACACTCCACATCACTGCCTTGGGATACAATCGAATGCCCTGCAACAAAGTCATGGAGCGTTCCTTCTCCGTTGCCGCCTTTGCATTTTCAATGACTTTTGTCGTGGAGTCCGGGGTTCGTGCGGCTTCCTGGTCCACCGGCGAGATGGTATCTGGCGCCTTGTCGGCCATTGTGAGGGGAAAGAAGGGACGAACGAGACTCGAGATCACAATATGTCACTGAGATCACAGTAGTGTTCGGTAGGTTCGGGTAGTCAGGGGAGGAAAAAAAAGATCAAAGTACCCACAGTGCCAACATCGCACGCGAGCACCCACGGGCGTTCAAAACTTGCAGGATTTAGAAAGTCCTCAATCCTCGGAAGTCCACAGAGGGTCAAAGAGTCCTGAGGGGAATAATTGAGGGGAATTGCAGAGTCGCCAGGGCCTCCAGTAAAATTTCGCGGGATGAGAAGCTTGGCAAGGCCGGATAGGGCAACTGATGGGTCTTTCCTGTGCTGCTGTTTGCTCTCGGCCTTTTTTCCCTTCTTTTTCTTATTTGGGCCTCATTTAGTTGGCTTTTCAGCCTTTACACTAACCTCTAAAGGTTTTTTCTGTTCAGATGTCGCTGATCGCTGCTGTTTTGGTATACCCCACATGGCCATGGCCACCCCTTACTGATGAATCTATACGAGTTTGCGGAGTATACTCCGTCCTATGTAGTACTCATTAATTGCCTGGGACCTATTTGGTTGGCAAGGGTTCAAGACTCAATCCAAACAATTCAGTTCAATTAAGTCAATCAAGTCAATCAAGTCAATCAAGTCAATCAAGTCAATCAAGTCAATCAAGTCAATCAAGTCAATCAAGTCAATCAAGGGTATCTACAGACGAGCCGACGGCGCAGACACATTCGCCTCAGTGGCGGACTGAATCCGGGCACCGAGATCCGGATTCACGCGACGGAACATATCATACGTAGCCCTGCGAACACGCTCCTCCGCGCCACAAAGATGGCCAGAGATATTAGTGACAAAATTCTCCTGTGGACCAGGCGTCCGACCAAGGACCTGCCACAGGTCATTGGCCTGGACGTAATCCTCAGAGGTGACAGGGTATTGCTCGGCGAGGACGGCACCGGTCCACTTCTCGTGTTCCTGGCTAGCCGGGACGGGCTGGTAGGCCAGCGGGCGGAAGGTGGATGGGTAATTGGGGTTGGCGCCGTAGTTGCCGTTGACGGTCATGGGGCCATCGCGGTGGGTGGGGTTGAAGGCTTGGAGGGGGCAGTTGACGGGGATTTGGTCGTAGTTGCTGCCTAGGCGATGGCGCTGGGTGTCTGGGTAGGAGAAGAGGCGGCTTTGGAGGACGGGGTCGGCGGAGGGTTCAACGCCGGGGACCATGTGGGAGGGGGAGAAGGCTGCTTGTTCGATTTCGGCGAAGTAGTTCTGCGGGTTTTGGTTGAGGGTGAATCGGCCGAAGCGGCGGAGGGGGACCTCCTTTTGGGGCCAGACTTTGGTCAGGTCGAAGACGTTCCAGCGGAATTTCTCGGCTTGCTCGGGGCTGAGGGTTTGCACGTAGCAGGTCCAGGAGGGGTTCTCGCCGCGTTGGATGGCGTTGAAGAGATCCTGGGTGTGCCAGTCTGGGTTCTCGGCGGATAGCTTGGTGGCTTCGTCGTTGTTGAGAGTCTTGTTGCCCTGGTCGGTTTTGCAGTGGATTTGAACATAGTTGAAGGTGCCGTCTGGCTTGATCCACTTGTAAGTGTGGCCGGAGTAGCCGTTCATGTGACGGTACGAGTAGGGGGTACCACGATCACTGAACAGGTGCATCAGCTGGTGGACAGCTTCGTGGTGGGTGGACAGATAATCCCAGAACATGGTTGCATCCTTCAAGTTGGTCTGTGGGTTGCGCTTCTGGGTGTGGATGAAGATGGGGAACTTGGCAGGGTCGCGCAAGAAGAAAATGGGGGTATTGTTGAACACCCAATCCCAGTTACCCTCCTCGGTGTAGAACTTCATGGCAAATCCACGGGGGTCCCGCGCACTATCGGGGGATCCCTTTTCACCTCCAACGGTCGAAAATCGAGTGAGCATCTTGGTCTTCTTGCCGACTCCCTTGAGCATGTCGATGGTGGTCTATGATTGTCAGTATTGCAATGTCTCTATATGTGGAGAGTTGCGTACAATATCGCTAATATCATCGGTGACCTCGAATTCACCATAGGCGCCAGCGCCTTTGGCATGGACCACACGCTCTGGGATGCGCTCGCGATCGAAGTGTGCCAGCAGGTCGATCAGATGGAAGTCCTGCAGCAGCAAAGGTCCATTGGGACCTATGCGCTGAGCAGCCTGGGGATCCATGACCTAAGTGTATGTCAGACGCTGTTGAAACTTTGCAAGAGGCAGTCGATCGTACTGGGCAGCCATTGGATGCTGTGTAGACCGGGGTCTCATTGTAACGGTAGGTTTCTAGAGAGCATTAGCTGATGTTTCAATCCGAGGACATATACTCACTCGGCTCGTTGCCCATGCTGAAATGGAGATCGTATTGTCAAGTGGAAACTTCACAATATCAAAGAAGCCAAAATTGGGAAAGATGAAGATAAAAAGAATAACAGATCCACCATATGCAATTATTTTCGACTCATTGGCTCGTTGAATATCCACTGTCGGGGTTATTAGCAGATCCCGGTGAAACGCCTCTGCATTAGTCCTTGTCGGAAGGTGATCAGGATCAGGATCAAACCCGGTATCTTGATCTCGGGATTTGTCAGTTCAAAAGAGATCCAAAGTGTTTCGATTGTGTGAGGTGTCCATTCTGAAATGTATTGATAAGTCTAGAAAGCATAGTAAACAAATAATATAAGGTCAATCCCTCAGTTGTTGGCAGTAGAGCAAACCCCGAAAGTTGCCATGGGATGCGCAACGTAAAAACCCTCTGTTTGGGTGAATTGGTGCAGACCAAGTGAAAATCAACAAATGCTCGCTCACGTATCGTATCGTGTATAGTGCAGGGCCAAAATCAAAAATCCGAAAAATCATGAAATATAAATGGGTATAGTTAGCGTGGCCTGGGGCCAAGGGGACAACTCGATCAAGCGAGTGCCTAGGTACATCCGGGGTTATAGGAGAGGGACATGGTTCAGCGGATGGCAGTAGGTGTGAATGTAGGAGCCGCAGTGGTGAGCACTATGCCGGTGGGGTCATTGCAGCCAAAAAACCACCCTGGGCTGTGACAAGTGCTACTTTTAGTCTGAGTAGCCCAAGTTCGTGTCGCGCTGGATATAGGTGCGGCTGTCGTAGTTGGGTCATTGCAGAAGAACCACCCTGGATGGTGGCAAGCGCTACTTGTAGTCACAGTAAGCCACGTTCTCGTCACGCTGGATACAGGTGCAGCTGTTGTGGTCGTAGGGTCATTACAGCCGAACCAGCCTGGACTGTGACAAGTGGTACTTGCAGTCTGGGTGACCCAAGTTCTCGTCGCGCTGGGTGTAGGTGCGGCTGTCGTGGTCGTGGGGTCATTGCAGCCAAACCAGCCGGGGGTCTTGCAGGTCGTGGTAGTAGCTGTGGTGGTTGGAGCGGTCGTAGTCGTGGCAGTAGCACTCTTATCCAAGCAACCCCACCACCCAGGTGTCTTACAGGTGGATGTCCTCGTATGAGACGTCGTGGTAGTTGTCGAAGTGGTGGTTGTGATCTCAGATCCATTGCTTTTGAAGAATTTCCACAACTCACAATCATAACACTCCTCCTCTGCAACGCATGTTGGAACAGTATCGTATTTCATGATCACGTCGGAAATCACGTTCTCGATTTTGTGAGTCCCGAGGCCGACACGCCAGCCCTTGTCCCCAACTGTGTCATAGGCGCACACCTGGCCGGTGTGACATGCTGACTCCATTGCGTAGCCGCCCCACGTACAAATTGAGTTGATTCCATTACAGGTTCCCATGTAAATCGGATCGGCCGTGTGTCCGAAATGGTAGGCTCCAGTGAATTGTCGCCTCTGTGGGAGTCGTGCATCATAGCCTGGCGGGCTTGGAATACCCAGTCGACCTGCAGGAAGGGCCTCCGGTACAGCCTCGAAAGTCACCACGGGTAACCCAAATGTCAACCCAACCAAGCTGGTCATGGCACCACCCAACGAGTGGCCTGTCATCCAAACATTTGCGTCCGGGTAGATCTCGGTGACGTTGGAATAAAGATCCAGAGCCTGCTTGTAATAATGATTTTCATCATTCATAGATTCGACGATGCAAGTCAGATTTGCAGTATATGTCTTGGTCTGGCAGTCGCATGACTGCCTCCATAAATATGAGCCTCCTTGGCCACAGCAACAGCTGAAGAACAGGTTATCGTTAACTTTGTCGTTGGTGGTCGTGCCGGCGCCGTCGAACAAAGCGGGCGATGTCCCCTTCAAGGAAATAACAACGGTGCTGTTGCTCTTATCGGAGTAAATATGTCCTCTGAGTCCGTCTTTCTGCCATCCAAAGCTGCCTGAGTAGTTGAACTGGCCATGAATGGTATGCCACTCGCCGGTCCCAGGCTCTTGGATGTAGTCATTCGCTGTCATTTGAGCAAATGATAGGACTGTCTGTTTGTCTGTAATGTTCGGTCCTGATACAGTGTCCATGACCCATTCGGGTGGAGATAGCTCAGCCGCATGGCCTGAAGACCGAGCTGCTGCTAAGTGCCCCTCGACCACGGGGAGTCGTCGATCCGCTAATCTTTGTATGGTCAAAGGACTGGATGTCGCACGGAGAGATGACTCTGATGCGAGATATTCTGTTTCGTCGCCATCCTCGGTCACCGTTCGAAGGCGGGTCTCCGGTGTGATGTCGAGCCTTGCATGCAACTCGGTCTCGTCGTGTGTGACTCGGTGAAAGATGTGACGTAAGGACTGATGATCAGAGGTTAGTCAGTTGATATATCAGGCACTCGAGTGTTGGTCATCTTACAAACTCATGGGCCTCCGTAGGCTCCCCGTCCCAGGGTACTTGTGGCGGGAGTATTGGATATTGTTGGTAATCGGAGGCCGAGACAACGCCTAATAGAAGAGTCGATAATAACAGGCTGGCACTGAGCCCATAGTGTAAACGTTTGCGGGACATGGTGTGGACAGTCAAGTAACAAGGAGAGGAACAGGAACACCGCCTATCGAGAAACGTTATCAAGTGACGCAGTGCGGAGAGGGATCTGCACGTGATTCACGGATCTTCGGATCTTGGGTATTCTACTTACTGTTTACTCTTTCCTCTGTACTCTGTACTCTGTACTTAGTATGGAGGACATTGCTACTTACTCGAATTCCTGAATCCTCAGTTATTCGTGATCATCTGTCTAGTTCATCGTCTGAAGTCTGAAACGACCAGGCTGCGGAGCTCGGGCTGTGATCGACATAAGCCTATCAGCTGCATCGGGAAGCGGAGACACTTTAGTGCCTGATACCCCATCTCGCCCCTGGGAAATGTCTGGTCTGGAAAATGGCTCTCGGCCATCTTCACATCCTAAACAGTCATTCTCCAGAATGGAAAGCTCAGATGTGAAAACAGGCTCAACTCCTGTGTCCGACAAAGAGGGGCAGATAGGGCCTGACGTGTTCGAAAGACGCGGTTCCGCAGACTCGAGTACCGCTGGCGATGGACAAACAGATGAAGGCTTTGTTTTGTCACGCAGCGTACAGGATCCATCAGAAGAGCTGCCGATTGAACTTATCAGCCTGGCGGATCGGTGAGTGCTACCCCAAAGGGCTTGGTTCCTTATCTAACGGTCTTTAGATTTGTGAATTCTTTGAGTGCCAAAGTACACAACTCGCCCCCAACGATCGAGAAAATCTCCGAGCTTTTCCAGGTCTTCTACAGCCGCGCCGAATCCCACATAGCCACCCACATATCCGCTCTCATAACTCGGATCAACCGTGACCTATCGCCGCAGGTCCCCGCAACCCCTCCACGTGGAAGTGCGTTGTCCAAGTTGACGAGCAAGCGCTCTCAGGATGATGTGCGGCCAGCGGCGTCTGGTCGTCAAATGCTGACCGCGTCAGAGGTTGCTGAAAAGCGCAAGGCTCGCAAGGCCCTTGAAAACAAGCGAAGTGCATTAGAAGAGGCCGCAGAGCGCAGGGTTTGCGAGTTGGTCTACGACAAGATTTGGAGGCACAAAAGTACATTGGACGATGTGCGGGATGAAAAGCTGCGCTCGAAAACCGCTGCATTGCTGTTGGTGGGTATAAATCTCAAAGACCTTGGCATTGATATAGATCTTGAATCTATCGATGAGCAGAAACAGGATGAGGCAAATGAGTTCCTTGCCCAGGCACGAGAATTCCTCGCAAAGATGGATGATTACAAGTATCCCCTTGGAAAGCTTCAGCAGCTAGCAGCAGCCCACAAGGCCATTGTCGACGCCCTCACTAAAATCCTGCCATCTTCCTCCTCGGCCGACGAAATCCTCCCGACCTTGATCTATTCACTTGTGACCTGTCCTCCGGAAGGAATCAATATCGTCAGCAATTTGCTCTTCATCCAACGGTTCAGGTCTTCAAGCAGAATCGACGGTGAAACGGCTTACTGTTTGACCAATCTTGAAGCTGCGATCAGCTTCTTGGAAAACGTCGATCTATCTACGTTACGCGCCGATGAGCTACAAGATGGCCCGCTGAAAACCCCCGAAGCAACTACGCCATCTGCAGAGCATGTCGATCCTTTCCGGCCGTCCAAGGACACTACCACCTCATCAGTCTCAGCCATTTCTGCATCACCGGAATTGGCCAAACCAGAAACCAAGGAGCCTGCCTCTACATTACCCAGACCTCATCTCGCCACAACACCACAGCAACGACGTCTGAGCAACCTTTTCCAGCCCCCTGCCAAAGTCCTCGGTGCCGCAAACGATGCCGTCCGCACCACCGCAGATCAAGGCCTCAAAAACATCGGTGCCACCCTAGACAGCAGCTTCAACTTCCTCTTCGGCCGTTTAAAAGAAATGCAAACCAACCAACCCAACACAGAGGGAACAGGACCATTACTCCCAAAGACACTAGCCGAAGCCCGACGGCTAGTCACTCTCCCACCAGCCTCCTCCACCAACCAAAACCTAACCCAAGGAGAATTGGCAGCCATCAACTCCGTCTCCGTGGACGAAAGCACACCACCCCGCAGCAGCTCCAGACTCGCAGAACCATCCAGCGGAGGTCCTACTCCCCGCGACCGTAGCGTCGACAGCGCCCGGACCCAAGGGAGCAGCAAGAAGTCCATAACCACATCCTTGCGCGAAGAATTCACATCCAACTCCGCAATCAGTCCAACCCCGCTAGAATCAATGCGGAATTTCGGAAACACGCTTAACCCCCTCAATCACATTCCGGGCATGATGAAAAACTTCGGCCGCAATGCGCCTGAGACTCCTGTCCGCTCTGTCTCACCATCTGGTCTTGATCGATTCAAGCCATCGCCTGCATCGGTGGAGAATGGCAGTGGAACAGCTAGTCCGCTCCCTGCTGTGAAGGTTGATCCGCCTATTCAGCGTTTCCTGGAGACTCAGGATGCGCGCGATCTTCGTATTGGAGATGTGGCTGTTCTGCTGGAAGATTATAAGAGGTTGGCTGCGGCACTGCACAAAGCTACTGAATCAAGGTAGATTTCGGTTTGGGCGTTCTGCTTGCACTATTGGCGTTTTAGATTTCTTACACTGCATGTTTTGGCGAGCAATGGCTCGGTAGCCCTGGAGCATTGTTTGTTATCTATTTGTTGTCTATACCATACATTTCTAGCAATACATTATCACTCATGAAAGGATATCTCAAGGCAGTAAAAAAAGAGATAAAGTAAATCAGAACTCCAGCAATCCGATCAGACATAAAGGGGTATTTGGCAATGATCAACTCGCGGTTGGAAATAGGCTCGGTAACAATTCAAACCAGGACTCATCAATAGTAAGATATCAAGGGTATCGTCCACGAAGGACTTCAGCACCACCACTCCGCATATCCGTCAATTTATTCGTCAACTCGAGATTCTGAGATTCAACCTCGTCATGTCGACGCTTGACTTCGCCCTCGAACACAGCAGCAGTGTGACGGCGAGCATGTCTCAGGTTCCTCATTTCTGACAAGAGATGGGTAAATCGGTCAATGATCTGATCTCCACAGTCTTCCCACTCATGCAAACTCATTTGAGACAGATAGTTTTGGCGCTCTTCACCAGCTAACGTCAATAGATTAGACACGGCATTCTTGGGCTCATTGGTATCTGGAATGAAGGCTGGTTTGGGTGGCAATGAAGGTGATTTGACAGGAGGGGGCGTGGGTGCCTTTTCAAATGGCTCGGCTTGCAATTCTGAGAATGACTTTTGATAGAGGACTTCGGGCGGGTAGTCTGCTTCTAGTGGGCGCTTTTTGTTGTGGATGATTGTGTTGCGACGACTTCGGGTTGAGGGCTGCGCACTGTGCGCTTCGTGTTCAGGCATTTCGTGTATTTCGTATGGTTCATGTGGCTCGTGTGCCTGATGAGAATCGTTTAGATCGTGCGCAAAAAAGGGATCGTGGATGGTGTCGTCGACATCCAGGTCGGTTAGACTGGTCATGTCAAAGGCATTTGTTGACCGACTGACTTCTCGTCTATCATTTGCGCGAATGGTGGGTTCCATCCCATCATCGCTCCCGCCGTCACTGTCAATATGTTCCGGGAAATAGGACATACTGGGTGACTGGGTGGGTTCAGGCGCAGGTTGGGGATGGCGTGTAGGTGATTTTTCAAGCTTCTTATCAAGTTGCTCAAGAAGTGAAGGTTTGGGGGGACTGAAGCGCGTCCTGTGTGTTGATGATGTGTTTTGGGGAAGCACGACCTTCCTTGGGCCCGTTGGAAGCATTTGACCCAATTTCCGTGGCTTGGGCTTGGCCTGGGGCTCGGCTGGGGGCTCTGGGTCAGAGTTTATCATGATGGGCTGAGGAGATGAGGTTCGCTTTCTGGTTGAAGACCAGAACTTCTCTAGGCGCTTGCTCAGTGGCTCCTCACTCATACGTGGCTTGTGTGACCAGCCGGCTGGTTCATTTGGCTTTTCGTCGTCTCCGCCATCTCCGCCCAGAGAGGAGGTGAGTTGACTCCCAAAATCCTCGAGTTCATCCGAGTCAAATGCTGTCTTGTTCATGGCTTGATTACCCAAGGGTTCATACCATTGGGATCCATAAGTTTGCCGTGCAGGCCGCGGTTGATGCATGGGCTGTGTATCGGCATTTGCATACGGCGCATTTGTGTTCGATGCTGCCTGAGGTTTGTTTTCTTCAGCCCCGTAGACACTTGTCCCTGCCACGGTGGAATCGTCTATTTCCTCCACATCCGTGTCAAAAGCACCCCGGTCCCACTGCCCCTGCGGAGGTTGCTGTGGGTGTAAAGGCTGTGCGGACAAGCTACGGGGATGGTGGGGAACCCGAGGTACTGAGAACCCTGATGGTGCCCCTCTGCCATCGGTAGCTCCAGCCCCTGGGCCGACCAGTTGTGTTGGGGGCACTTCGACTCTGGCCATTTCCGCACGCTGCTGGCGTGACTGGGCGGGCTTGTCGGCACCACGAGGCTGCCCGCCTTCTTTGGAATGGATATAGTCCCCCACGCCCATTTTTGCTGCTGAATTTGGACTTTCGCGGGGACTTAGAGGATACGTGCCTCGGATGGTGGAGTTCAGTGACCGCCACGCGCGATAACACGCGTGGTCACGTGTGAATGCCAAGCTTTCGACTACTACTACTTAAGTATGTACTTAAGTACTTAAGTTTCGGTCGAAATGGAAAAAGTCAATTAAATGAAGGATACTCAAGTAGTTGACTCAAACAATGGGTTCAGGAGATATCTACTGCACTATTAGCCCTGGGGGGGGGGAAACAAAAAATTGGGATGGATGTTGTTGGAAGGTTGCGGCGTCAAATATATATATAAGTACTTAAGTAACTGTATTTAACAAGATCCTTGAAGCCCCCCTGGCGTCATGGAGATTTCTAGATGCGGTACAGCTAAGTAGAGTAAGTAAGGACATATGCATGGACATGCTTTTTTGTGGGAAACATCTACTTCGCAAATTCGATCCCTTGATCCAGGATGAGATTACACAAATATATGAGTCTCCCAGCTCTAAACTTGGAGGGTAACATTCATGGGGTTGAGCGTTGGAAGCCTCGTAAATATACCGGAGTATAAGCGGATATTCCCAAGTTCCTGCTCAAGTCAGAGATTGTGATACAAAATGGAACTCCATTTCGTTTTGTAACGTTTCAGGGTTGAGTGAAGTAAATGCAGGGTGTAGATTGATATTCATCCAAGATGTGGACTTGAGCTTTGATTTTGGGGGTATAATGATTGTTGTACATAAAGTGATTACAGGCCCACGAGTTGAAAAGAGGGTATAACATCGCCAATCTAGGTGAAGTCCTTTATGTGAAAGCTTTCCAAATTCCGCGCAAGATTCTTCCCACGTTGTTGGGCCTTCTCAAAGAACTCGGCTGACTTTTTGACTTCAAGCGATTTCTTATCGGTGGCAAGTCTGAGTTCACGTCTGGCTTCCAAAGAGCCTGGGGCTTCGTCAAGGTGCATGGCATCGTGATCATAATCTTCGTCAAACTCGACCGGCAATGCTATTGAGGAGATCAACAGATCGCCAATCCACAGCGAGACCATTCCTCTCAGTTCAAGCAATTCAGCCGAGTCAGAGTATGGAGGAGATCCCAGGAGTTGGTCTAGGCGCACAGCGATCTGCTGTGCTTGCCCCAGCTCCCGAGCCCTGATTGCGCTGATGGCATTTTTGCCTCGTTGTTGTCGATGCTGTCCGATATCCGAGCCTGACTCATCGTCGGAAAATTCATCATCATCTTCTTCAAGACGAGTAGCAACATCCTCTCTAGCTGAGTTGCTTTCTTCCTGGGCCACATACACCCACAATCCAAACATGGCAGGGTAAAAATGCAAAGAAGATACAGATTGCGGCGAAGTCTTTGTGTACGGATGGTTGAGAATGAGTCGTTCATAGTATTCCTTGGCTTGTGCAAAACCTGCCGGAGTGAAACTGGAAAAGGTGCTACTAGCTGCATTAGGAGCTTTGCTACCGGCGAGGCTGGCTGAAGTTGTTCGTTGACCTCGTCGTAGCAGAATTTCAGCCCCAATGCCCCATCTTGTTTCATTACGGACGTCCATTGGAGAGCCCCGGTAGGTTTCGCGCAGGATCAAGCCCCAGGCTCGTCCTGCTCGAACGTAGTCGCCTTGAAGCATGCATCGATGCAATATCGCGGTCACTACACCCAGATGTTGAAACCGGATATTGGTTTGCTCTGCTGTTTGAGGAGGGTAGATTGGAGGTGACAGATCCGCCAAGGCTTCCAGATGGTGTGAAGCGGTCTGCCTCTTTGCCTCGTCGTCCCGAGGTGGTCCATGTGGGAACCTGCCTTGAGGCAGTTCCTGATGTAAAGAAAAGCCGGCCACTCGGTATTGATGGGATTCATTTGGTGTCAGTACCAAGGATGGGCCCTCGGATTCTATTCTCGATGCGACATCAGTCGTTTCGTCATCCAGCTCCGCATTCTTGCGTTTGCGATCATATTGAGATATACGAGAGCCTGATGGCTGAGCCCAAGAGGGCAATGGTAGAGTAAAGACCGAGGCTGAAGGCGTAGTCGCCATTGGAAGAAAGGAAGAATCTCAAATTTGCGGCTGTGGAAGATGGCGGAAGAAGTGATGCCTCAGGCGAAGATCACTTATCTTCCTATCAGGTAGACACATCAAGAGCCATATCACATCTTCTTTTCTCTTTCATCTCTCTTCCCCTTTTTTCTTTTCTCATCCCTTACTTCGCTGCTTCTCACACTCGCTGTTCATCTTGCTTTCTGTGAGTGCGGGACACCTCAGATTTCCGAGATTCTCAACCCTCTCGGCGGTTATACCAGGAGTGGGCTGTGTCTGGACCCCGACAGCTCGAGACCTCTGAGATTCTTGGCTGCCATTGCTTGCATGAGAGGAGTTGCTCAAAGCGTTTCATCTTGCGGAAAGCCCACCCCAACCTCCTTGAAATTCTCCTTTGTTTCAACGGCCCATTACGGACTCTAGAACCATCCCCGAATACCGCAACTGCCGCGATCTTGCCGAATCCAACCGGAGCCAAACCATCGGAATCATCTGGGACTCATTGATCTCTGATTTCGACCACTTCACACTCAGATTCAGACGGTCGCCGCTGCCAACCATATGGTCGGTCCTATGGCAGTGAACGCCCTTTGACCTCCCGCATCGATTACAATTGCCACAATTATTATGGGACAGTCCTCTTCGACGCAACGTGACCTACCCGATACCGGATACCCGACACATCATACACCCATCGAACGTGGCTCGCAACCGAGGTATGAAGACATGAATCACAGACAGACAGCTGAAGACAATGGAGACGGTGGCCCTCCAACGGGGGAAATGAGCGCACACGATTACGACCAGGGGATACTGCCAGATCAGCCCAACGAGCGATCAGACTCATGGCGGCAATATATGCGATCTGCCCGACCTATGCGGAGCATTGATGAGGACGGCCTCGAGTATGAAGTGCCCCCTCGCGAAGTGCGCAATGCAGCCTTCGCTCGGATGACAGCGCGGCGACAATCCACAATGTCGAGACTTGGCTCCAGGCTACTCCCCAATTCGGTCATCCGTGGCCTTCTCAACAGCCAAGAAGAGACCCCCGCCGAAGGCCATGCACATCGACATGGACTCATCAATAGACCCGTCCCAAGGACCGAGGCCCCCCACACTACCGGTCGATTTAGCCCATTTGGGTCTAGAGGTATCACCAGACGCCGATCTACACAATCATCATACTTCCCACCACGCGGAGAGATTGCTGGAATTCCAGATGGGCAGACAAATGCGCCATACCGGGATCCTGCAGATCAGGTACCAGAGCCGACTCGAGCTACCTGGCGCCGCAGCGTTCGACTTAATCGTATGCGTCATTCGATCTCATCACCCATTTCGCACATTTTTGGGCAACCGCACTCAGGATTGCCATCACAGGAAAGCGCGCCAACCTTCGACCCCTCCTTTGACGACAGAGAAATGGACACCCGACTGGACTACATCGAGCCGCCCCACGAACTTGACTCGGTAGAACCGGCGATTCAGCCTGAGGATTCCCTGGCCAGTCTAGGTGCTGGCCCCCCTAATCCTAATCTGATGCGTCGTCTTCCCGGTCTCATCAGAGCAAGGTCATCCAGAGTTTTGCGACGAGAGGAGCAGACACCCCTTTCCCGGGTTCTTCAACTTGCCGCAGCTGCAATCGCTGCTCAACTATCTGGCACTCCCGGCCCCGCGCTGCCCAACATCCAGGCACTAGGTAACGATGGAATCGACGGCTCCTTGGAGAATTTCATACAGAGCCTGCAGCATGCGACTTCCGGCCAGGCTCAACCCACAGCATCTGGAGAGGGATCAAGCAATGTCTCAAATGAGGCACCTGCGCAGCCGGTCAATTTCTTGCGCGTGTTCCGATTCGCCAATTCCGAAACGCCTGCAGGTCCGGACATCCCAGGGCAGAACACATCTGGAGCAAATGACGGTGGCGCCACCAATGATAACATGGACGTTGATGAGCCGGGAGAAGGTGAGGGACGAACCGTCACACTGGTGGTGGTTGGTGTTCGATCGGTTCCTTCTGCAAATGGAGGGATTGGTGAACAGCCTGCAGGACCTGCGCCTGGCCTAGATGCCTTGCTTGGCCTTCCCTTCTTGCCGCCCAGCGTCATCCCCCGGCCTCCAGGAGCTCCTGTCGACCCGGCTTCTGCAGGTGATGGGCAATCCAGATTGCAGAGACCTCGCCAATTTTACGAGAATGGACCCGGTGCTCCCACTGCTCCCCCGATGTTCGCGCGCCCCCCACCTCCCACGGCCGCTAGACGAATGTCTGAGCCCCATCCTCCCCTATTTGAAAGCCCCCCGGGACCCCACCCACCACCGTCGACCCCAGCGGAACACGCAGTGTCTACTGGGTCTTCCGGCACCTCCACTCCAAGCCTTAGACCATCTTCTGCTTCCGCAGTGCCTTCGGAGCTTCCCGGCCATCTTCACGGCCAACCCATGCAGCCGACGGTGGAAGCCACGCGAGAGCCTCCTGCATTCAATCCCGCCCACCAGCGACGCCGAAGCGATTCAGAATTCGCTCGCCATCGGGCCCTGGGCTCTGGCTCCGTTCGACGCAATGGCATGGTTGAACCGGACCAACCTCCACCCACTGGGGGCCGTAGTTGGCTGATCTATGTCGTTGGGACTAACCTCTCCGCTAACCACCCTGCTTTGACAACCCCATCTCTTTTCACAGATGTAAGCATCCCAGCCCTACTTTTTGAAAAGCTTTCGCTAACCATATCCAGAACCCGACATATGAGGACATGATTCTCCTGTCATCACTCTTAGGCCCAGCCAAACCTCCCGTTGCCTCTCAGACTGATATCAATTCCGCAGGCGGTCTGTTCCATCTGGTAGAATACGGCGGTTCCTTAGTTGCCGAAGCCCTGGAAGGCCTCAGGTCTCTTCAATTGCAAGACGGCGAGCGCTGTCTAATCTGCCTCAGTGACTACGAGGTGGCCGAAGAGGTGAGGGAGCTTAACAAGTGCAAGCATGTATTCCACAAGGAGTGCATTGATCAGGTATGTCACCCTGTCCCCCATCTCCTTGACCCTTGCTCACCACCAGTAGTGGCTCACCACCGGACGAAACTCGTGCCCTCTGTGCCGAGGACAAGGTGTCCACGAGAACGCGCCTGACTCTGCTTCAGGTCCCACTGCCCCCGATTCAGCTCCTACGGCGGTCTGAACCAGTCCGCATTGCCCACCTTCCGTTCTACTCACGGTCGAATCCATTTCATATTTTAGCATCAAGCGTTTGCTTCGAGCCAGTCACGATTTTGTCTTTGATTCATTTTGTCTTTGGATATCCCCTTTGCATATTATTTTTGCGCATCACCTTATGGGTGCTTTATGTTTGATTCATTGGAACGTCTCTGGGTTTTGTATCCAATGCAGTGTGAATACGTTTAAATTTGGGTAAGAGCCAGCTTGTGTACTCGGTACTGTATAGTTAGTAGAAGAAGAGTATGTCCGACAGCGCGGCCCCGCGGCTGAGTCAGCGGCGGGGGACGCGCAAAAATTCTGGAAACCGCATAGTGTCGAACATCCAGTCGCAATTGACTTTGTGCAATCTCTCTTTGACTTGACCAGGCATATCAGACTTCCTCCCCGCAAAAACCAACACTACAACCCCCTGCACATACGCCATTCCACCATGACCCCAATCCGCATCACAGTCCTCATCTCCGGCAACGGCTCGAACCTACAAGCAGTAATCGATAAAATAGCCAGCGGCCACCTCAATGCCACTATCGTCCGCGTCATCTCCAACCGCAAAACCGCATTCGGTCTGGAGCGCGCAACCAAAGCCAACATCCCTACTCAATACCACAATCTCGTCAAGTACAAGAAGCAACACCCCGCAACAACAGAGGGCATTCAAGCCGCGCGCGAAGAATACGATGCCGAGCTGGCACGACTGATCCTGGCCGATGCGCCGGAATTGGTCGTTTGTCTGGGCTTTATGCATATTCTCTCCCCGCAGTTCTTGGAGCCCCTTGAGGCGGCGAAGACTAGGATTATCAATTTGCACCCTGCGCTTCCGGGGGCTTTTAATGGTGTTGTAAGTGATTTTGATTGAAGTCGGAGATTGAAGATGGTGTTGACTTTTTTTTTTTAGAATGCGATTGATCGCGCCCATGCTGCGTGGTTGGAGGGCCAGATTGATAAGACTGGTGTTATGATGCACGATGTCATTTCTGAGGTGGATATGGGGAAACCTATTCTGGTTAGGGAGATTCCTTTTGAGAAGGGTCGGGATGAGGATCTGGAGGCTTTCGAGACTCGTGTTCATGAGACGGAGTGGGGGGTTGTTATTGAGGGTGTGGATCTGGTGTTGAAGGAATTGGAAGCTCAGAAGTGAGCCCCTGTGACGCTGTGGGTTCCGGGCGAAGGGAACTCGCGATCTGCGTTGCGTTCGACAGTTCGAACAGTTCGACCAAGCTCTGGATATGCATTTTCATTCCGTGATGAGTTATGACTATAAATATACATGTATGATGAAAGAACGAGTCTTGATTTGTATCAGATCTGGGAGTGAAGGACCCAAAGGAATGCCAGAGCACAGACCTAAGATCAGACGGAAAGGTATAAAATGATGCCTACGAGTACTCGCACTCGTCCAGATGGGGACAAAGAGAGATTGCCTCTCCGTTTTCACATGCCAGACGTAGATCTCGGCCAATTTTGCTGGAGCACGAGTACGAATACGGAGTCTCCTTTGTCTCCTGAACTTGAGAAGGACTTTAGGGCTAACGATGGAGTACTCCGTACGGCATACCAAGCAATGTGATATCGGTCCATTCTCGGAGATGTACTCTCGGAGATGTACTCCGAGAAGACTCCTTTCAGTGAGACACTGCAAGGGAGAAAACCTGGCCAATTTCAAAATGACCAGTACAGTACGAGAAAGTGGGCGCTACGGAGTACAGTACTGCAACGCTGAACCGTTTGGCGTATGGCACCAACATGACAGATCAAACCCAATTCCCAAAGGTCCCTCTCCGGACACCAGTGGGCTATATGCCGGTGAACTAAGTGGACTAGGTGGGCTAGGTGGGCTAGCGTTGGCCCCCGACTGCACCGGCGTCAACTCAATTAAATGGACTTCCGTCACCTGGGGCCGAGATGGTGACTCCTTTAGGTAAAGACTGGGATCTGCTGTCTAAATATGATTGATCTATAGGTCGATCATTCCTTGTTTGTGCTTTGAGTTCTCCAGTCGGGCTAATAAGTTCCGACTGCCGCTCTCTTCCTGTACTCCGTCCAGGTGTCCACTAATGTTGTTTGCTCCAGGGATATGGGATTCCAGTCTCACCTGGTCTGACCAATAGTAGACTTGTCAGAGATATTCTGGAGCGTCACGACGATCTCATTTTCTGGAAGTCTATATCATTGGGGAGGTACAAGCCCCAGCAGGGCTGAGATCAAAGAATCTCGTTGGATACTTCCGTTTCATGTCCGCACACCTTGGGACTAATGCTTGTTCGAGTGCGGAGTCCAGAGTCCAGGCTAACTAGTGAGTGTGCTCGTCAGCAAATCGTACTCAAGTATTGCCCTGATCTCTCCTGTACGAGTACTCGTACGAGTACTCGCCCTGGAAGCCCTGGAAGTGTTCTCATAAAAAGTACCGAATCAGGCTAAGTAGCGTACCTAGTATGTGCCGGTGGGGACATTAGCTTCTGCCACTGAATCTCTGTGATACGGGGATATTTCCTTTACCAGTTTAACCTACCTGTAGTCTCCGTCATGGCGATATGGACTACGGATACTCGTATATACCTCGTTCAAAGGACTATTACTGGTACGGAAGACTCGGACTAGGAGTAGTCCGTATGGGAAATTAGAAGCATTCCCAGGAGCCTCACCAATATCCCCAGCAGGGCCCACAGTATGTCACTGGTTAGCGTCTATGGAGTACCTCGTCATCGTTGGTCCGGTCATAGAATGGAGAAGTACCATGCACGGCCCAGACATTATTTTTTTTTCTAGATGCAAGCGCCTTCAAAACCTTGGAAACCTTGTCCACTATTACTCCGTACGAGTACTTCATGCTCCGTGCATTGTCGATGTCGCCCCTCGGCCCCATTGTCTACCCCTATTCCCACAGAGTCAGGAGTATTGACATGTGCTCTGACATGGCGGAGATTCCCACTAAATTGAGAATGTTCAGCCGACACATTTGAACCAAGGCTTCGCTGTGTGCTAGTGTCTTTTCGATCTACCAGGCCCACCCGTCATTGTCAAACCGTCGATCAGGCACGTTACCAGCTGAACGGATCCTCGAACGTGGGAGGCCATAGCCCTCGTATATGCTGCTAAAACTAGTAAACATCCGGCCTCATAGGCATAGGATTCCCCTATGACGGTCTGTATGTAACTACTCGTAATGTCCTTGTAGAACTCAAAAATCACAGGTCATGAATCATTAGCAGACTATCGATTATCCCCTCGAATAAGAGTCGAAGAAGAGGTTCCTCTAAGCTCCACCGATCTCCACCAAACGTTTTCGGCATTTTTCTTAAGTTCTTGTGTCTGCTCAGGTTTCAGATTTGCCGAGTATTTCAGATTTCCGGGTGATTAATCATTGATGACCGAGATTGCCGATCCTTAACTGACACTCCAGCTGATTTGGGATTTGGCCTCCACTGTGAAATGGACACAATAGCCAACCAAGTTTCAGTAAAATTGAAATATAAAATTAAATATTCCAGAATTTACTCGTACGATCAGACTCGTACTCGTACCCCGGTATCCGTTGATTGATAAAAGGCAAATTAGGGGCAAATTCATAGTACTCCGTAAAATAGAACAGACTATATAATTTACACTATGCTGTTAAGTAGAGTACTGGAGCACCGGGCAACTAACTGTAATTAACTACGACTGATTAAAACCCGGAGAGCCCGTGAATTGATAGACGCTATGATCACCCTGCATCGACCCGGCCAAGCCCTAACCGGAATTGTTTTTGGGGATCGCCGTTTGGGCCCCCTTTTTTTCGATATTCCGGATTGATTGACTGCATTATTGAATTATTGCTCTGATTATCAGAGACGCCGAGACCCGAGGTTCATCCGCGAAGATCAGCTTAAAATAAATGTGTTCCTGACTTCAGGATCTTCAGTAGTTACGCAGTAGTACTCCGTACAAAGGACGTGAATAGGAGTACTCGTAGGGAGTAGTGTCAAGTAATTAAAGGAAATAATATTAAATAGAATCTGAGTACTCCATACTCCATACTCCATACTCCATACTCGCCCTGATCTAATGTAAAGATAAATAATAGATCTGTAAATACAATACGGTAACTCCATAATCTCCGCACGTGAGATCCAACGGAACTTCACTTCTTTCTTCTACTCAACTATGACTCTACATTAATTTTCCAGGGGCGACATGGCGAATTCACAGTCGTCCCAGGCCCTGGCTGGCTTTCTGGACTCAATGCATGATGCATCTGCATACTCCCTGCTGGGCCCTTCGGAGTACCCCGAAAGCGTGGCATTCTGGCACGACCCCTCCGCCCCGACAATGAGAGTAGCCCCCTCATATCAGGCGGTGCCCCTGTCCGACCAAAAGAAACACAAGCGCACCCGCAGCGGCTGCTTCACCTGCCGTTCCCGCCGAATCAAATGCGACGAGAATCGCCCCGTCTGTGAACGCTGTAGGAAGGGCAGTCGGGATTGTGTTTATCCCTCGCCCTCGCCCTCTGCATCGTCCAAGGCGGGCGGGCGACATGGCAAATCCCGCGCCAACCGTCCTCCATCTCAGGGGAGTGATTCCTCCGGAAAGGTGGAGGTCGAAGCGGTTAGCCCTTTGGAACCCATCCTCGATGAGGAGGAACCCGATGCCACATCGGATTCGCGACCGTCGCCAATTATCCCGGATACACGACCGAGTCTTAGTAAAAGTGGGAGCACACAGTCGATTTGGAAATCTTCGAGGCAGTCAGATACGGCCTTTGTGAAAGATCAGAGCAGCTCGCCGTCAACCGAGTCGTCCCGGTTGGAGTCCATGAGTGTGCGCTCGGGCAGCATCGGACATTCCACGGCAGAGCTGATCAACAATGCGCGTCTGTCGGACGATGTGCGCTTTTATCTATCCTTCCACCAAGATTTTATGACCACCCCCCACTTCTTCCTTAGACAGAGCTGTTTCCATTTCATTCACCACAGCTTGATCGAGCTTGCCTTACAGTATGACCCTCTCCTCTACGCTCTGGTGGGCTTCTCGGCCTACCACCATAGCCTGCACACCGAGGGAAAGCTCTCTACATTCCTGAAATACTACAACAAAGCATTGATGCTTCTACGGAAATCGCTAGGCTCGGGGGAACTGCACACAGAGGCTACTCTTTGTACTGTCCTTGTATTAACCACAACAGAGGTATGTCTCCCTGTGGACCTGCAATGACATCTTGCTGACTTGCTTAGGAATACATTGGCGACTGGATGAACTTGATCGACCACCATCGAGCGGCCCATGCGCTGATGCGAGAACTGCTCACACCGGAATCATCCAACCTGAACGAATTACACACCAACATCTTCCTCTGGTACGCGCGATTCGATGTCGTCGTGGGGATCCTAGCCGGCACCGAAACGGTCCTCAGCCGAGATTGGTACTTAGCCAAGGAGCAGCACGATGCAGAACAGGCCGCCCTCTACCCCGACGACCCATCCAAACAATTAGAGCTAGTTGGATCCATCAATCGTCGATTTGGTTTGGATATGGCGTCCCTTTATGCGAAATTGTCTCGAGGTATGGTCTCGATGGAGCAATTTGCCATCCAAAACGAACAGCTCGGTCAATGGCTCGAGCAAGCGAAAATCATCTTGAGGGGCTTCGACGATTATGAATACAAGGTGCAGGAATTCCCACACAAACAACCATTGACCGAAGACGATATCACGGATCCATATCTGCCCGGTGGCTTACATCGAGGGGCTCTCTGGGATTTCAACTACGCCTGGATTGACATCCTCTCCACAGAGACCATGTATAAATTCCAAACCATGCAGGTCCTCCAGCAACCTCTGCTCCAAGATTTGCAAGATTTGGCACAGGAACAGTGCCGGTTGATCGAGACGATGAGTCGGTGGCCCTATAAAGAAAACGGGTATTGCATCATGTTCAAAAATAGCATCGGGATGGCGAGCATGTTCCTTCCCAAAGATCACAAACACCAGATGTGGTCACGGCGAAAAATGGTCTTGATGGAGCAGAACGGGTCAGTCTGGAGCCGAGATCGAAAATCGAACATCAACACTAACATGCTCATAGATACATTATCCCCCCTTCGTTCCGCATGGCCCTCGCAGCTATCTGGCATCAGCCCGATGTCAATTACTGGTGGCTTCCCAATGATGAAGGATACACCAAGATTGTCCGCGAAATTCGTGAATTAACAGCCGAGCGCTCTGCCCAGCCCCGAGACGAGCTGCGCGAAAACGTCCGCGATATGAAAACGCTCTTTGGACGACTAAATGTCAATGATTTGGAAGATGGAAGCAGTCCAACCAGCACAAACAGTGGTCATCATTGAGCGATTCTACCCCCTACCCCGGCCCCAGGTCTCCAGCCTTCACAATACCAGCGATCCGACTGGGCTTCAACCTATCCATCTGACCCGGCATATCTATTCCCTCCCATTATCCTCTTCTCCCGAACACAAAGATGTTTCTCGGTCATGACTTGATGTACATTTATTATACCCAACTTTCCATAAGATCATTGACTGATATTTTGCACTTTGCACTGAGCTCCGTTCGAATATTGTGTCATCGTCTGTCGGTGATGTTTTTTCCCATGCACCAAAGGTCCTGTCGACTCTACATCCAATCGGACCATCAGCCCGGTAGGTTTGGCGATATCTAACAAAACCACCAAGCCAAAATCTACAGACAAATCGAAGATAATCGCCCAAAATATAAACAAGCTGCCCATCACATCGTGACCTCAGCCCGAACTCCAGCCTTCCACGGAACATCCTCAGCCCTAACAACAGTCTCCAAACCCCCCGCCAACTCCCCAGATCCCTCATCCTCCCCCCAAGGCAACTCATCAACATCAACATCCCACCCCAACAAGCACCGTAACACAACCCCCGCACCAGCCTTACTCATCACAACATTCATATCCCTACACCGTTCATCACAAACACACTCCACACACCCCTGCGGCGAAAGACAGGCACACCCCTCAATCCGCGACACTGCACGCCTCAAAAGCAACCCAATAAACTCAAACGCCTTACTAGCAATCCCAGACCCGCACGATCCCCCCTTTGCATCGTAAAAAACCAGCCGCGCAGGCCGTTGCCGAGAAGGTGGTTTCAGCTTATCTTCGAATTCGCTGGGAATATTGCCTCGTGGACGGGCGAGTTCCTTTTTGGCGATTTTGCATTCTGTTTTTACGTCGCCTGGCGATGAGACCACAAATGAAGGTAGGAGGGATAGCACTGCGTGTTCGGCTGCGTGGATTGCTGCTGCGATATTGAGTCTGTGGGATTGGAGGATGTCGATTGCGCGGGTGGGAACGTCAAGCCACATTCCACGTGTGAGGCGGTCGATGGGCGGATTGTCAACTGCAACTGCGTCTAGGACGCGGCCTCTCTTGTCTATTTTGAAGAACCCGTAGACGACGGAGTGGATTTGGATGGTGCCGAAGAATGCGTGGGTTGGGCTTTCTGGGATGCTGCGCTTGCTTTCGGTTTCCAGTGGGTCGATGTCTGTGTAGTCGCGTTGGGTGGTGCTCCAGTCTACGTGGACGCGGAGGACGCGGGCAAAGAACTTTTCTGTGTTGAGTTCTTTGACCAGGTAGGTTGTTCCTTGGTGTAGGAAGATGCCTCCTTCGTAGATTGTGAAGAAGGCACGGGAGGCTTCGACTTCTTCCAGGACTATGTTGCGGTTGTTGGTTGTGTCTATTACGGCGAAGTGTTGCTCTTCTGTATCGCGGATTGAGACGCAGCGGGAGGGTTGGGGTCGGAAGCGGGGGTGGCAGTGGTAGAAGCCCAGGGGGTCTTTGGTTAGACGGGTGGGAGCTAGGGCGAGAATTTGATGGCTGAAATAGATGCTGTCTTCTTCTGGGCGGATGGGCATTTCAAATGCGGCGCATTGGACATGGCCTTCCAGGATGAGTTCGTTGGTCAAATCGATCTGGAGTTCGCAATTTGGTCGTGTGAAGATCTCCTCTGGGTTTTGCATGTAGTGTTGGTCTGTTGGGAATTTATCCCCGATCAACACGGACAGTGAATCCTTGTTGCGTCGTCCAGCACGACCACTCTGTTGACGTAGATTGGATATCGAGTATGGGAACCCCATTGTCACGACTGCATCCAGGGAGCCAATGTCCACGCCTAGTTCCAAAGCGCTGGTTGCAACTATGCCCATGAGTTTTCCCTCGAACATCTCTTTTTCGATCTGACGTCGGTCTTGAGGACTGTATCCGCCTCGGTAGCCCATTACCATCTTCCCGACCTCGCTGCGCCCCAGTCTGTCGAATTCATTTCTCACAGCCTGGAGGAGTACCTCGCATAGCTGCCTGATCCGGCAGAAGGCAATAACCCTCACGCCTCGAAGTATCAATTGGCTGAACAGCCGGGCCGTCTCAGCAACGGTATCAGTGCGTCCAGACGTAGGATCCTTAGGATCTTTGAAAGGAGGGTTCCAACAAACGAACTCCTTCCGACCAGAAGGAGACCCATCAAAATCAATAAGCTTCACATCTTCTATCCCAAAGACCGATTTCATATGATCCTCGGGATTTGCAACAGTAGCAGAGCAAGAAATGAATTTGACATGTCGATTACCCACCGCGGCACATATTCTGCGCAGCCGTCGCATGATCAAAGCGACATGGGAACCAAAGAGGCCATTGTAGACGTGCAACTCGTCGACAACGACAAATTTCAAGTTTTTCAAAAAGGTTCGCCAGGAGCCTTCCTGTGGTAGAATCGTTATGTGCAACATGTCCGGGTTGGTGAAGATAATGCGTGCTTCGTCGCGGATCAGGTTCCGACTGCTCATTGGTGTATCCCCGTCAAAGGTTTCAACCATTGTATGCTGCAGCCCTTCCATATACTGCAGAAGCTCCATCATGCTGCGGCGTTGATCTTGGGCGAGAGCTTTTGTGGGGAAGATATACATTCCCCTGCTCTCTGGGTCTTTTTCCAGCTCGTGAAGCATGGGGATTTGATAGATTAATGATTTTCCCGAGCTTGTCGAGGTTGAAACAATCACATTGTGACCATCATACAAGTGATTGATTGCCTCTGCTTGATGAGCATAGAGCTGGGTGATACCTTTGGTGTTATACAAGGCATTGACTAGGTCCTGTGACAACTGGAACGTCAGATCACCAAAAGCAGGAGACTGAGCTTCGAAGACTCGATGACCTTCAGGCACAATTTGAGCATGGTACCACTCCATCTCCCGGATCTCTGCCAAAATCTCATCAATGGGTTTTCGCTCTTTGGGAATCGTTGCCGGCGCCTTCGCTGCCAAGGGTGTGCTTTCTCCACTATGAGGAGGAGTGGGAATGAAAGCATCTTTCGCTTGCTCAAGACACTCCACCGGATCAGTCTGGGTATCTTCGCATTGTACCAGGAACGCGTTCATAGCGTCCGAGAATTTCGAATTCCGCTTCTCGATCAATCCCAGCATCTGCTTTTGACTGTAGACGGGCATTTTCAGATCTTCATCTTTCATCCGACGCACGGGCTTGGTAGGCTGTCCTGTTTTCGGGTGCAGCACTTCCCGCTTGAGATCGCCGTCTACAAATTCAAATAACAGCACATACTTCGTATCACCTAGAATGTCATTTCCAAGTTCGGCTGCTTCGGTGTCTTCATAGGCCGGGCTTTGTGTCGGCCTCCCGTACTGGGTCATTTCCTGATCGCCCATGGTCATGACTTCCAGTTTGGCTTCGTCCACATACTCGAATCGGACGGCCCCTGGGACCAAAACTTTCACCCGTGCGACATCTTCAATGGTTAGTTCTCGGCCCTGGCCTAATTGGGCTTGGACTGCCTTTTTGATGTTGTCGAATGTGGTGGCAAAGTGTTTGCGCGTGCAGCAGAATGTATAAATGAGGTTCAAGGCTCGGTGTGTCTGAGCAAGGCGCTTCAAAGCGTCTGGCACTGGTGCGGACGGGGTCCGCTTTGGTGCTTTTGGTGCAGTTTTCTTCCCTTTCGCCTTTCCTTTCCCTTTGCTTTGTTCGAGGGGTTCGTTTGGCTGGGATTTGAGATCGGAAATAGGTGAGGCACGGTCTAAGGATGACGCGTTGGGTGGAGGTTTTGGTGTGTCGGATGGGCCATTGCTTGAGTCATCACTTCGTTTCCGTTTTAGCGATACGGCTGGATTCAAGATCGAGGATGAATCTGCCATCTCCAAGCTCCATTGTTGTGTTGGTTTGAGCATGCGAAGGTGACGTCGAAATCTGGTTGAAGACGCGCGATCACGTGTGCCAATATTACCTAAACGGGTAGTCTCGGCGACGGCGTATAGTGGCCATTAGTGCAAGAACTGATTTGGTGCCTGAAGATGCCTGTGAGTGCCTGATTTAAGAGCTGTCTTACCGCAGCCATCGTAATCGAAACAAAGTTGGTATCTAAGCCCTGGCAGGAATCTGAAAGCTATAAGTCATTCTGTGAAGACATCTATCAATCAATCAATAGTTGGTCTGGTTAAGATAATAACAGATGTTTGGAGAGGGGCTTGGAAAGAGGTTTAGAAAGAAGGTTAGAAAGAAGTCTCCAGAGATGAGACATGAGAAAGCTTCATTATCAGATGCAGATTCAATCTGAACTTTGGAAATGGTGTCTGCTGTCTATAATCAGGCATCTTCAGGCACCTTCCAATACTGGTAGCAGTTGCTTTCCAAGGATCTATATACTTTCCTTTCCTACACTCGACTTCATCTCAACACCCATCCTCCCACTAACCAGCCATGTCTATGATAGGCTGGTTTCCTCTTAGCAGATTAGGCCCGGGCACAGAGGCCACATTTCAAACGCCGACTTCCAGCGTTTGGAAAATCCTTGAGAAACTGTCCCAACACAACAGACAGCGGGGGGAGTTTGATCCACAGGATCCTGAAGATTGCCCATCGGCCGACGAGGCAACATTCTACGTCCAGCAATCCCAGCGCAATGGCCCAGTGGCGTACATGCGAGTGTACACGCAGGTGCCAGTTCCAATGACCGAATTCGAACCCCCTGAAGTTCGACGTCGCCAAGCAACTTGCTGCTCACACAACGAAGTGGCAGCCCTCAATTATTTCCACGAAGAAGGTACCACTATGACACCTTCCCTGCTGACGGATTCGCTCCCCCTGGAGGCCGCGCAGCATCTGCGCGAATTGGGGGTAGGTCATGTCATGGCGGGTCTTGGAGCGACCTCTGTACAGCGAGGCCCATTCCGAGTTCCAGTCAAAGGGAATGCTCTCGGCACTCTTGTTCAGGTGGTACAGGCCCTTGGCATCAAGGGGGAAGTTTTCAAGACGACGATGGCGTCGTGCCAGGTGGCTACTTAACCAACATGGTGTTTCAGCGTGTACCTGGGGTCAAACTCGCAGGGGACCAATCGAGTTCATTTAAGGCCGTTGCGTTCATTGTTCAGCGCCTCTTATTGTTGTTCTCACGTTCGTTTTTGCTTTGTGACCTGGGCAGTCACCTACACTCGATTGCCCGTTGCTTTCACACTCGCTTACTTGTTGCTTTCACACTCGTTTTGGTTGCTGTTCCTCTCAGCCATGTCTCGAGTTCCCCCTGCACACGTTCTTTCGCCGGTTCGAGCGTGCTCCGGGAGATCCAGGCACCCCGGGCGCAGAAGGACCAGCAGGGATCCCAGGTCGTAACGGAACAGATGGAGTCAACGCCGTCGCCGGAACACCTGTGTGGAAAACAGAGGAAATCGGGTACATCGCTCCCGACCAAGCAGCCACGTCGCACGTACGCAATGTACGCGGCTCGACGTATTACCTGAATGTCTACGTTTCCCTCAACCAAATACGGAGCCAGATTCCTTTGAAGACGGAAGCAGTTGTGAGAGTAAACATTCAGGCGTGTCTGCGAGACACGGCGTTGGAATGGTATACGTCCGAACTGACCGATGCCGAACGAGACAAGATTCGCGAGGAATTCGTCAAAAGTTACCCTCCACTGGAGAGACTGAACTGGATGCCGTTCGAGCCCTTGGCCGGTCATCTCATCTGGGATTCAGCCGCCGAGAAACTGTATGTCCCTTCGAGGCTTCAACTTTTACACAGAGCGTCTTGCTAACTATCTCAATAGGCAGTTCATCGACTTCAGAATGGCGATGGAAGCGGGCTGGCCGAAGCGTACTCCCCTGCCTCCCCACAAAAAGAAAGACCGAATAGACTCAGACGGGGTACCTATGTCTGATATCTGGCAGTTATCGGGTCTTGCCATTCCTCCCGATAACCTAAAGCATCTAGGCGAACTCTCAGCGTGGCAACTGTGATTTCAAATTGGCTAGGCTATTTGGGTTCGAAACAAGGAGCATTGGCTTCAGTAACGAATTGAGGGCGACTCGTTGAGAAGTTTGTGATCCTTATTATCATGTCCGGAACATCGAGATCATCTGCTTTGATCATTGCTCTTGACAGTCCAAGAGAGCTGGGTCTATCTACAGAGCAAGCGAACGGTTACCCGACTCGAAAATGCCAACCACCAATGCCCCGAGGTTATTTGTAAGTCAGCTCAATCTGGCACCCGCAACCTCTTCATGGAGCTCTATTCTGATTTCATACCCCAGAGACAATTATGCTCTCTTCCTCCGTTGGAGATGAACTATCTGTTCAAACACCCGCATTGAAACGAGATAGCGATACGGATGACGACGCGCATCGCATCCTAGCTATACTTGGCACGACCGACACAGAAGATCAAGCTAGCCCAAACGAAGGGTAGTCTGCGGACTATTCCCTGTGAAAGAAGGGGTGCGTCACTTTTTCCCCTGGACGTGGCCGCGTTCAGATGGGAATGGCACACCTACTTGATCTGATCCCGAGTCAAATGGAACGACGATAAACCTTCCTTGCATCCCTGGAGACTTCAAGGCTCGATCGGGTCAAGAATGGAAGACCCTATTTTTGCGGCTCGCCGAACTGGAACGGAATGTGAGCGAGCTTATGAGAGACCCTCGTGTTTCTGTCAGTGAACAAGCCATTGGCAATTCAGTATCATCTCCCCGAGGTGATATTGATAGTCGCTCAAATGAAGTTTCCGGTGAGACGCCGGTTGGCGATGACGGACAGACACAGGGCGACTAATTCATGGCACAAGCGAAATCGTGGTCGGTGCGGCATATGCCAACAGCGGGGCCATAGCACCCAGGGCCACTGGCGTCATGCCAGTGGCGTCGTTAAGAATGGGGGTGCCCCAAACATCAACATCTCGGTAAGAAGCCCTTCTTTGACAAAATTCAACCCAGAAGACTCATAGTGACTGATATAAACAGGGGTCGGTGTCCGGTGGAGTCACCGTGGTGGGGGCACTGGTGACCAATCGCCTGGGGTAGTGGCCGAGCTCGGGGCCAGGGTCAGGGTCAGGGCCGGGGTTGGGGCCAGAATCGGGACTGGGGGGCCGTTGGGGGTGCTGGTCGGGGAGTAGGAGGGCGTGGGGCCCTGTTGTCGGCATTGGCCCAACATGAGGAGGTCATCGCTTGCCTGCGCGATGAGAACGCGGTGCTGTCACGGCTGCGACTCCCAGAAGAGAATGGCCACAGCATGAGTGGACACTGGCTTGCGGCCCTGAGGACAACACATTTGGATTGAGCGTTCGAGCTCTGACAAACCAGTTGAAGGCCTTATGGCTGGATTTACAAGAGCTGTATCTGAATGACGCAAGAATTGTCTTTTGTACTGCATCAACTGCTGGTCGGAAAGTACTTCGTGGCTTCCAGCCTGTTTACCTCATCATCAAGAAGCCTCGCAGTTAGTAGACCGAGTCGCTGCCCATTTGACCGCTGATAAACTTCCAACCAAGGGAATATACCGCCTGGGAACAGAGTCTTTAGACACATTTGGCATGGAAATGCCATCGGCTTTCCGCTACTGTGAGGACGAAGAGGACCAAACCGATGATCAAACCGGCCTTCCCCAAACGTCCAGATTGGAGAAAGACCTTCGAGAACGTGGCATTCTAAGCGATGCTCTTCGAAGATTGGTCGTTGCCTCGGTGGAGGAAATGGTGGTTCCGAACCGAGCGTTGGCCCTCACGGAGCGCATTCTCGCGGCACTGCGGTCCCTGTTGTCTGAAGACATGACTTCCCGCACTTCAAGCAAGATAAATGATTGTCTTTGGAAGTTTGTCACCTGTCAAGAATTGCTACGAAGACACTCAAGTTTATCTGCACAGTCAACGGCCGTCATATCAACTTCGAGGTCATGCTACGAGCATCGCCAAAACTGGACACGTCTCAGTCTTCAATATCGCGGTAAGAAGCCCCTTGACAAATCCAACCTAGAAGACTCATGGGGACTCATGCGAATAGGGGAGATTGAATTCATTACCCGTCAAGCCCGAGGCCAACCATCTCAGATGGGATCCTGCCTTTGAACGTATATCTCCCAAGATTTCAATGTTGACAGAGCTTCTGGCTAACATTCAATAGACGGCTCATCAATTTCATAATGGCGATGGAAGCGGGCTGGCCGAATCCCAGTACCTAGTGACTTGCTCAAGTGGCTTTCAATGAACCTTGGAAAAGAAGCACCGCATAGACCCAGACCGGGCATGGGATGGGCACATGGAAATCCAACTGTGCTTGGCATACATGGGTAAGTGAGCCTTCCAGAAAGAAAAGTAAAAGTTCTCTTTAGATATACTAATATATGCTGCAGCCATGGTTTACTGGACTAGGAAGAAAGCTGGTCTTTCAGACTTATCGGTATGGGGGACATGACCGTCCTCCTCACCAGCCCCTGGAGAGAGACTTGGTGATACCCGAGCAAGAGCTGAGAAGTTTTGCCGAGGATATCCGGAGTGAGCAGGGTCTCCTATAAGTCGTCTCGACTCTGATATGTTCGTTGGCCACCAAGCGGCACACATCATGGAAGACGATGTTATACTCACGAAGGACGTGTTGATTCAAAAGATTTCTGTGGAGGTGCGTGGCTGCCCGAGACTCAAGCCAGGGTCTCATATAACATTCGGGCTGGATTCCTGATGTCTTACGTGTTTAATGACTATTCCATTCGTAACGTTACTTGACTACCGTGGGCCTCCGTATCTGGAAATTTTGAGGTCTTGCCATTCGCCCCGATGACTATGAGAACCGAAATGATCTTACAGCGTGGCAACTATGATTTTAATGACTGGGATATTAGGTCCTACAATGAGGATTGATCTCAGTGGCTGGCTCAGAATCCATTTTCCAGTCCATTTTCTAGTCTTTTTTCTAGTCTTTTTTCATAATCTTGATTTCATTAGGCTTATTGCTTGGGCCTTGTCGGCACGAACACCCATGTTTTGAACCTGTCACCCGTTTAGCGGGCTCTGCAATAGATTGTAGACTTGGCGAGTAGTAGCTGAAGAGCAGTTCTTCCCTCGCCTTACCGTGGAACAACCGCCGACGGGCTTGAACTAGGGTATCATGGACAGCGGCGTGCTGCTAGTGAATTGTCAGTGAATGGTGCTTGGCCAAATTAGCAATGTAAATCAACGTACGAGTAGTCAACAAGAACATTAAAAACGCAGTTGACAGCCTGACTTGTCTGACTCGCTGTTTCCATCGTGAACGAAGATGCATTATCACCCAGTGAACGCTGATCAAGATACCTCTCTTGATCGGCGAACATTGTAGAGACCAGCAACCGGCAACGAAGTCTTGGCTAGCAAAAAAAAAAAAAAAAAAAAAACATGCGGGTTGTGGATTGAGTAGCCCGCATCGACTCTAGGAATTGGCAAGTATCTCAGAAATCGGCCAATGCGTTTCCTGGTTCGAATCTCCGACTCCTCAGCTTGCAATGGGTTGCCATTCGGGTCGAAGTGTCGGACCCATCCAATCTCCAATTCACCCAACTCCCACCGAGCACCTGGTTCACGATACCACTGTCCAAGGCACTTCTGTTCTTGTCGTGGATGTCTCTGAAGTAACCGAATCGAAGACTCAGGCCTTAAGACCCATACAATCCGCTCATAACGTGACCCACATTCTGCTTGAATCGACCTTGTACTCCATCCTTGTTGCAAATAACCAGTTGTCCGTTGGTGGGATGGTCCGAACCAAAGGTTTCGGCCGGTCGTAAGGTGATAGTGTTATGCATCCGCATTTAGTCTCTCATAGCAACCATCAAAGCCCTCTCTGTATCCTGGAGTTGGCGTGGGGAGTTGCAGTTGTTCTTTCGGTTGTCATTGATCGACTGTCTTATAGGAACTGCTTGTGTAGTGCCCTAAGCATACTGTTGTAACTCCGCGTTATCATCTTGCTCGCGGGCGGTTGTGCTGGTGGAGCTGGTGGAGCTGATCGAGTTGATCAGTCCAGATATTCCGGATATTCTAGAAAGTCTGGAAGATCGAGATTTTGCAGATACTCCATAAATTCAAGACATCCTCTGACATCTTCATATATGCGACGCACTCTCTGGGGAGGCAAAGGATTGGCTCTCTCTGAGATAAGCGAGAGGTACTCTCAAACTATAGGTGAGATCTCAATAGAGATTCGGTCCAGTTGCGAAATAGCCATTGGGTGTAATCCGAATCCAACGGATTTGGCTTGGAACGGTTGGTCCCATTAACAAAATTCAAAGCTAGTATGTCAAAGAAAGATGGGAGACATGGTTTGGGTGAGAGGGGGTGATGAAAAGGTTTACTTCCGATGGGGGATAGGAGTGGTTTTTATAGTTCTATTGCGAGGTACTGCAGAGCTATTCCCTCTTGATTGGACTCCAACAATATGAATTCGTGAGTAGAGCTCTTTGGCCTTTGACTAGATTTATCTATTCTCAGGCCTGACTATAACTTTGAAAGTGAATATAGATACAACGTGAATGATAAATGAATAGGAAATGAAAGCGAGATGAAGACTGGCTAATCATTCAACAGGAAGGTACCACCCTCATCGTAGTTGACTTTTCCTCTTCTTTCAAATCTTTCTCTTTCCCCAATCACTTCCCCACTCTCACAGCACCAAGAGCATCCAACAGGGATAAAGCCACATCGGCTGCTGGGTGTATAGTTTCTGCTCCGGCAGATCGTCCAGGCTTTTAGTGTGGTTGTCACCGGCACCTCCATCGAGGGAGAGGACCTGCGAAGCATGGATGCTGTTTCTGGTGAAACGGGGTGCTTGGAACCCGTCGACCCTAACAAACAGTTCGCAGAAGAACTTTGTGATAACGAGGAGCTGCCTGGTGGCGCACTCTTGGTACACGAGATGGGTCTAGGCAAGACGTGCCAAGTGTAAGTTTCACCCGGTATGAATATCTCATGAAGTATCAACAGATTCGCTGACCCATATAAAGCATCACATTCTTGAGCATTCTTGTCGCTGCAGGATCATCCGCAGACCCACTGGTCTTTGACCAGTGCCCGGCACCTTAAGGGTGTCGCGGACTCACCAAAGTCCAAGGGCCACATTTTTTTTTTTTTTTTTGAAAAAAATCAACCACTGCAAAATGTCTCAACCAATGCCTTGTGTCTCTCTGGGGGCGGGGGCAGCAACACCCAAAAGGGCCAAGGAAACTGCCGGGACCAACGCCCACTTCAACACTGAAACTTGCGGTGACTGTCAGTATTGATCGCCAGTCGCCTAAAGTTGTTTTCCGGAAATGGGAACTCGAACCGGCAAGCACCACGCAGACAAGAGGACTTTCCGGATCTGCATATGTTTCTGTGGATATCACTTTATTTCTCCACGGTCCCAAGAAAGTATACAAGCCAGGCTGTCAATTCGCCCTGGTTGAGCTATTATTTGGGATGGGTCTGTCGACATTCAAGGATGATTTTACACCTACGGGTACTGTGGCAGCCTATCCACGAATAGCAACAACCAATCCATCTGACTTCAGAGTGAAGCCCACAGCCGTAAGTGAACCTTCTGAAACTGAAGAGTCTCCAAGTGAGAACTGACAATGCTGGTCCTAGCCCAACAGAAGCAGGGCAAAGGATTGAAGAGTATGCCAGGAGACCACCATGCCTGAAACGTTCTGCTCAGTTTCCCCGTCTGGACTCAGCTTTAAAAGCGGAAGTCGACGAGTTTCTGGGGGGATTGATCTATTTCCAACAATATCTTGAGCATATCGGACACGAAGAACCAACCGGTGAAGAACGTGTTAATATGTTGCTTCCAATGGGAGCTTTCATGCACGTATGGATTAACCATCGTGAACTTTCGACCGCTCTTGAATCTGCAGATGAGAGTCAAGAATCTGACTCTATCCATATGAGGCTTCGGAGCTCGGCCACAAGCACCGGGGGCTCTACACAAAATAGAGAAACATCTGTCGATACAGCTACGTCGGGAGCTGGTAATAGCCCGGCAGTGACCGACGTAAGTGTCGCTGGGGACAGCGCTTTCCCCCCTCCACGAAGCCTCAATATTAAAAGATGATTGAGATTCAGCGTCTTTTTTCGTCCTGAAGAGCTTTCAGCAGATCAAAAGTCTCTTCTTCAAAAAGGAAGTTTTGGTGGTCCAATTAAGCTCTATAAACTCATTATGTAGAATGGGAATATGGTCTTTGATATGGTCAGAGAAGAGGATATCTTTCACCGTAATGAAAAGGTCTTCTTGGATTATCGTTGTCCTATCAGCAAAGTATCAATGACCGCACATGCCGCCTTCTTCTATATTGGAGATAAGCATCCAGTTCATTTTGACCACTCTCACTTTCAGCGTAACATCTGGTAGCATGTCCATGATTTGTCCCTGGACCCAGTCGTTATGAGGCGTTCCACTCACAAGTCCCTTCTACTTCGACAGCTACAAGAAATGTGAGCCAGGGTGTTTGGGACTTCTTCATTGCCTGTTCTTCCAGGACCCTCGGGAGCGGACGGTATACCGGGACGAAATGTCATTCTGTGGACGGCATCAATGCGGTTCCTGGCACGTCAACCTGGAAGACCGATGAGATCGACGACACCGACGCCACCGAATATTTCACACTAGATCCAGCGTTTGTTGCGGAATGACCTACAACACAAGGCAGCTCAGAAACTGGGAGCTAGTGAAGCAAGTGGAGTCCTATCGTCCTCTATTCCGACCGGACTTTGAGCTCGCTTTAAAGACTGCGCTGGCCAATGAGGGATTGTTTGACAAAATCATGCCAATGAAGGTCAACACCGCACTGCTGGCTCACTGAACAGCTGGGAGAACACGTGAAAGCCTACAGGCGGAAATAAAGCGCACGCAACGAATCAATGGGAGGCCAGAAAGCAAGAAGGGAGAGAGCTATTTACAGGGTTGGGGCGGACCACACACAACACCTCAGGCTCAGTAATATGAAACTAAGAGTTAAGAGTGACCGTGCCTTTACCAAAAGTTGTTCATTCCGAGTGTTTTTCACCAGAAGGTCCGTCAATCACGGTGATCCGAAACTATTGATCGCAAGCAAATGTGGTTGCTAGGCTAGTGTTATACGCTAGTATCGCGATATCAACAAATGCGAAATATTATTGCCTACTCGCATACTCCGTATTGACATCAGCATCAGCATCTCACGTCGTGGCGCAGTGCTGTAGCGCTAAACGGATTATGGTGCTGCGTTTCAGCTAAGCGCCCGATCGCTGCAGCTGAAAAGCAGTGCCCACTTTTCTACAGGATAGGACGTGTGTTGCTCCAATTGGACAGTTTAGACAGAATCCCAGTCTTTTGATGGAAAAGCAAATTCTCATAGAAATCCTGAGAGGTGCGCCCCCAAATTCTTCCTTCGCTGAGCGTGTCTTGAGGACTGACAAACCTATACTGAATTACGAAATGCCTGCCTTCCGTGAACGTTTGAAGGAACGTTGCCGTCAAATAACTGGACGCAAGAAAGACAGCGATGAATGCAAAGAGCCACGTTCAGAACACACGTCGGGCCAGGGACAACCCAAAATGTTGGCCTCCCCTGAGCGCTCTCAGCCAACCCCAGCGCAAGACATTCCGACCGAACCTCATCTGACCGGTGTGAATACCATCACCGAAAATGGCGATGAGGAGCAGCCGGTTACTATTCACAACAAGATTTGGCACAAAGCATACGAGAACCTGAAGCAAGATCAAAAAAGCTCGAAGTACATCCACCAGTACGAGAAATTGTTGTCCACGATTTTCCTCGAGCAGGCTGCTGGCCAATCTTCTACTGTGGAGGAGAATCAAGACAAGTCGAATATCTCAGTAGTGTCTTCCGATGAGACAAAACTGAGAATGATCATTGAAAGGGGGTTAGAAAAGGTGAAAACCAGTCAACGCATTATCGAGGGGTCTGTCAAGGTCCAAAATGCCATAGCACCCACCCATACGAGCGATTCTTGATATCCCTTTGAGAAACATTCCTCAGACTGCTTTACCGTGGGCGATCGCTACCTCCAGTCTTGAAATATTGATGAAACCAGCAAAAACAATGACAGCCCTATACAATGGAATTGCCTATGTCAATGAGAGAATTCTTTGGTATTCCAACATGACGGACAGACTTCTTTCCCCGAGGAATAGCAACACGCCATTGGAGCAAGTTCGAGAGTTCCTGGACTCGAATATGCTCGATCTCTACCAATCGCTCTTGTTCTACCAGATTAAAAGTGTCTGCTTCTATTATCGAAATCAGCTTTGGGCAGTCTTACGTTCGATGGCGGATCTAGATGACTGGAATGGAGAGCTGTCGGCAGTCACAGAGTCGGAAGTGAAGCTTCACCGTGACCTCAATCTATACAAGTTGGAGCAGATGAACAATGACTTCGAAAACCTCTCAAATGAGTTCAGACAGTTCTCGATGGCGCAGATTGAGCGGGGGAATCTAAGAGAAGACAAGCAGTGTATGAAAGATCTTTTCAAAATCGATCCTCGAGCCGAAATTCGCGAAATTCAGAAGGCAAAGGGAGAACCCATCAGGGAGATATATGACTGGATTTTGAAGACCGAGAAATTCGAACGCTTTATGAACTGGGAAAATCCCGAGTCCCCAAGTCTTCTAAAAATCAATGGACAAGCAGGAACCGGCAAGACAATGATGTCGGTTGGCCTTATCCAAGAGCTTCTTGGTGATATTTCAGACGTCGATCGCCCAGAAATCATTTACTTCTTCATTCAAGATATCGGAGAGGAGTTCAACAACAGTGCATCGATCTTGAGAAGCCTCATGTGGCTCCTCCTTGCTCAAAACCCGGCCCTGATCTCGCATCTGCGGCCTCACTATGATCAGACAGGCCCTGCACTTTTCCAGAACTCCCAGTGTTTCGCTGATATATTGCCTATATTTCGGACTATGCTACAAGATACCGATCTAGGTCGGGTTCTTGTTATTTTTGACGCTTTGGACGAGTGTAAAGGCCCCGCCAACGAATTTGGGGGTCTTGGTAGAGATATCTTTGACCTTCTGAATGAGCTGCTCCAACATGATGAGATCTCATCAAAGATCAAAGTACTGATAACCACCCGACCGCTACTTGAGATCGATACTATGGTGAGAAGGCTCAGCCCACATTCCAATGTTACGATACAACTGGACGACCATTCACTTTCTGGGCCCATCAACATCTTCATCGAATATCAGAGACGCTCTCTCGAAGCTCAAGCAGGAAAACAGATCAATGTCGACAACGCGATACAACAGCTAAAGGAAAACGCCGGTAGAACCTTCATTTGGGTCTATTTGGTATGCGATCAGCTTCTTCAGTTGGATTCCGGTCAATGGAAACAGACTCTGGAGAATGCCCCTCCGAAGCTTGAGAGTCTGTATCAATTCCTGTTAGATAGGCTAAGCGCTCCAGCACAAAGTCGATGGTTCGGTTATTGCAAGAAGGTGCTACTTATTGTAATGCTGGCCTATCGACCCTTGACGTTGAAGGAAATGGAGGCTTTCATTGATCCACCAAGCGACATCAGCTTGGCAAAGATTGTTCAGGACTGCAGATCTTTCCTGGTAGTCCATCAAGATACAGTTTTTCCAATCCACAAATCCGCGATTGACTATATCCGGAAGAATCGTGAAGTTCTGAGTCACAGTTCCTTTGACGAACTACATCATGAAATCCTCCAACGAGCTTTAGCCCTGATGACGGGCAGCCTCAGGAGAAACATGTACGACCTTGCTTGTCACGGTGTGTCCATTGAAGAGGCACAAGCTCCGGGATTGAGTTCTTTGCATTCCATCGGATATTTCTGCCAGCATTGGATTGATCATTTGAAAGAAAGTCGCTTGAAAGACCCTGTTTTGCAAGATTCCGATATTTTGAACCTCGACAAATTCTTTCACGTGCACTTTTTGCATTGGTTAGAGGCCTTGAGCTTGTTGCATGTTTTACCTGTTGCAATGGATACAGTCAATGATTTGCTGTCCCTACTTCCGGTATGCTTGTCCTTTTCAAAAATGCCTATGGGTCTTCGGGACATGAACTAAAACTTTAATTGAAACTATTAGCAGGATTCAGACGGAGATTTATCTCAGTTCCTCATCGACGCGAAGAGATTTCTCGCAAGATTCTCACCGATCATAGCTGAAGCACCGCTTCAAACCTATGTATCTACCCTGGTATTTGCTCCCGAGGAGAGTAAAGTTAGAGAAAACTTCCACAACGACAAGCCCCATTGGGTATCAAGAGTAAGGCCATCTGATTCAAGATGGAGCACATTAATACGATCTATCCAACCACAGGGGTGGACCGGCTATTATTCTGTGGCAGTCTCTCCAAAGGGTGATATTATGGTGGCAGCATCGGGAGAATCAGTCGACGTATTCAACATGGCAACAGGAACGCTAGTGCGGCGCCTCAAAACAGATTCCAGTCCATCCATCTCCTTCTCGCCGTGTGAAGAGCTACTTTCTATATACTCAGCAAAGGATAGAATGGTGAATATTTGGGACACATCAAGATGGAAACATGTCAAAGCATTGGTCAACCCTGACAAGGAAACATTAGACTGTGCATTCTCCCCGCTTGGTGGTGCAATTGCCACAGCATCGTCAAAAAAAATTACCCTGTGGGAACTTGCCACTGGGAATGTTGTTTGGTCAAGACCCCATCGTTCCGAATTTGGTGTGTTTGTCTCTTTCTCCCCTGAAGGCCATGTTGTTTCCGACTTTCAGCATGAGGCCCGTCTCTATCATCGAGACTCAGGGCATCCTGTCAGCACCGTCTTTAGGATGAGATCAGTCGAGGACTCATCCGACAGTGTTAGGACTGTGAGTTACTCTAAGAATGGCTCATGGGTTGCTTTGCGTTCTAGGAACGAAGTCAGAGTTTTGAATTTGTCTTCCGGAGATGATGAGCTGTCTGAGTCAGGAGATTTTAGATGTGTGGCCTTCTCCCCGGATAGTCGGCTCCTAGCTATAGGCGGACTTCGAGACCCAATAAGGATATGGGATACCAAGACATGGAACTTATTGCAGACTCTGGAAGCTACCGACTTTATGATCGACCTAGTGTTTCCTGCAAACAATCAGGTCCTGGTATCTGCATCATTGTCTGGTAACGTCAGTATATGGGATGTTGCCTCGGTCAATCTACGCGACGGTCAAGAGGGAGATCCACGGATCATTCCAACTGAAGTCCTTCTCGTTCAATACTCTCCAACTGGGAAGTGCGTGGCTTCAGCTCATGATAATAACAAACTCGCCGCTTGGGATCCTGACACTGGCAAAGTGGCACACACACGCGAACTTGGAGTCTTAGCTAAGAATTTGCTATTTTCCCCTGATGGTGAGCACCTATTGGCATACCTTGAGCACAAATTTCGAAAACCGTTAGTACTGAACGCGAAAACTGGAGAAATTGAACAAGAGATTCTTTTGGATATGCCTCTGTCTGCGTTAAAACCATGTTTTCTGGACACCCCAGGGGGAATATGGCTGGAAATGCATCAATCGGGTCACAGATGACTTCTCAGTGTCAATACCCGTTCAACCCCAAGGTTTGTTGCCGTCAAATCCCAAAGGTATCATTGATTTGGATTGGTCCGATGGCTGGATAAAGACAGCGGGTCACTCAGAAAGGCTCATATGGGTACCTCCTGAAATTCGGCCGCTCCATCATCTTGCACGCAGTGTTCATGGTCAGAAAGTTGCACTGGGTGGTCAATTTGGTCGAGTTTCTTTCCTCGAGTTTCAACTCGAACCTTGAGTTGTTAAGCCCCAATAACTTCACTGAGCCTTGGAGTTCTAGAAAACGCTCAATACATTCGTATTCAAGCTCTGAAATCTCTCATGCCCTTATTCTAAAGTTTCACTAAAAGATATATCTTGTACCAATTCCCAAAAAAGGCGCATTAGAAGGAACTTAGGGTTCATAGTTTTATTTGATTTCCTAGGTGTTGTGCCTAAGAACTACTTAAGTATGCCCTCCAAGGTTGACAGTGCATACCTCGATATATGCAAACACATAAAGCTCTCTGTAGTCACTTGGAAAAAAGCTAGATGAATTTGGAAACTATGAAAGGCTCTGCTCAGTTACGATCTCAAGGTTCCAAGGTTAACAAGTTCGAACTTCAATAAATTCAACATAAATTCAACATACTCATAATAACCTTGGAACAAAACACCCTCCAACAAGTCTCCCAGTCTCAAACAAAAGAAATCCAATCAAACACTCCGCTTCTCCTTCCCACACTTAGCCAAACACTCCTCAACTTTAATAACCACATCCCCAGGAATAGCATCCCGCACTTTCTCAATATCCTCCCCAGCAACACTCTTTCCAAAAGTACCAGCAATAACATCATCACTGAACGCAAAAGTCTGAACAGCCACCAATCCAATCCCAAAGTCTTCAGCCGTGAGGGCCGCCGTGAAATTAGCCGGCTCACAGTCCGGGTTGACTTGGGTGTGGAACGAGCCAGCTGGGAAAACTGTCATCATACCGGGACCCAACTCTGCATGGATAACTCTCTGTTTGCCCTCGCTATCCAGGACGCCGACTTCCGGCACCATTTGGCTAATTACGCGCCCGGAGTTAACGACGAAGAGCTCGCTGGCGCGGGGGTGGAGGTGGAGGTAGGATATGCTGCATGCTGGGGTGGGTTAGTATAAATAGTTTAGTCATGAGATGTGTTGATTACTTACCTGGCAATTGGCTCACGCTGAATGAGGTTCCAGTGCCAACTAGGGCTGGGAAGTTCTTGCGGTTTGCGAAAGGGGATTCACTTTTGGTGAAGTCGAAGATGAAGTCTTCATCCCTTGGCAAGAGTTTGTAACGATCAACCGCACTACACAGTGATATCAGCTAGGTCCCTTTTCTGGCTCGGTTCTCTTGTGGTACTTACGTGTCGGCAAGTTGGAGTTGAGCTGTCAGGCTGAGCTCGGGGGTTGCACGTCTCATCGCTTGGGGTGCTGCATTTACAGAATGGGCACAAGCAAGGATGGCAGCCAGACCGGAGGTGAGGGTGGTAGTGAGCATTATGATGGTTATATCAGGAGGAAATTGTGTTATGAAAAGAGGATCGACTTGTTGGATTGATACGAGATGGATGATGAGTAGACAAAGTGCAGAGACACAGGCTCCTTATATACTCGAGGGTGTCGCATATTCGAAGATCTTGAAGTAAAAGACTGAAAGATTCCAAATACTCTTCAGCTAGACTGCGCTCCTGCGCCTCAATCCTCGGCAGGTACAGTCTGGTGCCCGAAGATCCAAACTCAGCCATAATACGCAGTAGTAGAATGTAGATACGGGATATCCACTGCGCGTATAGCATGTAATACCCGCGGAAAGCAGAATATTGATGGAAGTAATCTTATGCCAAGAGAATTGGCGGCAAAGATCAGCGTAAGAGGGCGCGGGTGCGTATTCGGCCTTGGCGGGCGTATTCACGCTCAGCCTCAATTTCAAAGATTTGTCACCTTGGGCACCCCTTCAAAGGATCAAACCGTTTACACTCTGGAATGCATCAGATTCAGGTCCTGATGGACTCTCTGTTGGCTTCCCCGGTTCATGACTTTTTGTGACACAGTGAGATGGATTGCTAATCTCAAACGGCAGATGTGATTCGACTCTAAGGGAAAACGCTTTTTATCATGACACGTATGTATAGGCTCCAATGAGTATATCCGCTTTGCAAACACCAAACACCAAACAGAACAAAACAGAAAAGATGCACACATTTTATAATCCTGGAATCAATTCCATCATTGCTCGAAACCAGCCAGGAAGGACACCACAGCAGAAGCAAAGGCCTTGCGGTCGCACTGGTCCTCCTTCAAATCATCGCCAACCTGCTCCAAGAACAAAGCCAACTTGGACTCCTTCCAGCCCATCACAGGCGCAGCCTCCAGACACATCTTGGTCAACCCGAAGGCATCCATCTCATAGTGGCCCTGCACAGTGAGGACACGACCAGGGTGGTACAGTCCCTGGATGGGACAGATCTGGGTACTTCCAATATTAATCCAAGGGGCAGGCAGCGAGACAGGAGGCGACTCGGTAACAGTAACAGGAGTCCCCTTCTCAACAGCCATAACGCGATCCCCATGGAACATCTGAATGCGCAACTTGCCATCTGGCAAGTGACCCAAGGCAGCAGGGAAAGCATCCAAGAAGCCCTTATTTAATTGAACATTATGAATTCCGACCTCGCGACCAAGTGGGCACTTCTCAACCCAGACGTCGCGCTCAGCATCCTCCTTGTTGCGCACAATCGCGTGCGAAATCAACTGGTGTCCGAAACAGGTGCCCAGGATTCTCACTTGCGGGTATTGACTGTACACAGTGCGCACAAAGGCCTTCAACTCCTGCATCCAGGGTGATCGGTCCATTTCGTATACGCCTGGCGAACCACCGGTGATCAGGACTGCGTCCACGGGGTAGGCCACAGGGATGGTGGAGTCGGCATGGCCGCGCAACTTATACAGGTCTGGGTAGTGGCCGCCGCGGATATCGTAGGGGGTGATTTTCACGTCGAGCTGCTCTTTCTCTGAGAAAAGGGTTTCGTTCAGACGTGCTGCGGTTTCGCGGAGCACGGCGCGGAAGTGGGCGCTGCATAGTCCTCGGGCTTCATACAGTTGACGGGCTGGAATGTCGACGTCCAGGACGGCAATGTGGATGTGGTGCACCATTTTTAAGAAATTATTATTATGTTATGGGTGAAGAAAAGAACAGAAAGAAGTGAGAGGGAACAGCTAAATAATGTGAAAAATTTCCTCCTCCAGGGCTACTCCCATCCCTCCAGGACAGATTCCGTAAATTTTTTTATGTAAGACGGAGCTCTGGGGGAATTAATAAGAAATATACTACTCGTAGTTGTGATTGTCTCAAGGATGATCTTGTTTTTTTAGCTTATTTGATTTTTTACTCCAATTGACTCCAACCTGCGGAGCCCGTTAGGTAAATGCAACGAAGAACATTCGTTGAGCTTATATTTCCTGCTCCACACGGACAGACGCACACCGAAGGCTCTTTAGATCCTTTGCCCGGAGAGCTCAATATTGCACGATAATAAACCGGAAGGTTGACTCGGGCTTTGGCTTGCCGGTGATGCCGAAACAGCAGAAATGAAGCAGTTAGGGCTTTCGGGATTTTCCCAGACCTGCAGAACCCTAGAAGAACTGACAAACTATTTCCCCCAGCCAAGAAAAGGAGTAACTACAAAAAAAAGCAACTAAAGAGCACTAACGAGTCAAAATGCAAAGCCAATCTCGTAAAAAGTGGAGTCAAATTGGTTAATGTAAACCTCTTCTTCTTTCATCTTACTGCAGCGTACGAGTAAATTTCATACTCTTGACACATACAATGGCATTCATACTTCGTATTAGGTGAAAATAACTGCCTTCCCCTCCTTCAGGAGCACTTCGTACACAGACCCCCGGAAGACAATTTCTGCCTCAAGGTCCGCAGAAGCCTCCACTTCCAGATCCTCCGCCCATTTCAACCGAACGCAACCACCAGAAGTGGCAAAAGTCCCCTCCGCCTGCGACAAAAGGTCCACCCGAGGCGCGATCCGAAGCCGTTGACCTTGGGGCCTGACGCCATAAATTCCAACAATCTCGTTGATTGGCCCTGCACTCCACCCATGACAATCGCTCCGGGGATGATGTTCAAATTCCGCCCATGTGGTCAAGTTGTCTGCCAGCATCCTTCGCCAGGGATCCAATAATCGTGAGAAATATTCATCGTAAAGTCCCACCTTCTCCACCGCCCGGAAAACGTAGAATTGTAATGCGCTGGAGCACTGTGACGCACCATCCATTCGTCTAATGACTTCCCGTGCCTGTGTGTCTTGTGTCGTCTCGGACAGAACGGCAAATACCTGACTGTGCTGACTATACTCGTTTGAGGATGGGCCGTCCTGGTAGAGTCCCTCGGCATGCGAGTAGCAGTGCCTGTTAACGGCATCTCGGAGCCCCTGCGCCCGGCTCCGGTATTCTGCCGCGGTGTCTGGCCGTGCTGCGAACTCGCACAATTCTGCCGCTTGCATTAATGCAATAATATACAGTAGACTGTTGATGGTTGCTGCACCCGTGTGGTATGCTGGTGGCATACAGGATTGGAAGATCTTTCCCGGCACTGTCCATTCAGGCACCCAGTCGATGAATGGCCAGGTATCGTCATCGAATTGACCAACGAGCCCGAGGGGATTGACGCGTTCGTCGAAATGGTGCAGGATTCCATCTATTGTGCTCAGATATCGACGGACGAGCTTGCTGTCGCTGAAATATTGCATGTGGTCCCATACCATTGCTACGAAGGAGAGGGAAAATTGCGGGATTTGCTTGCTGCGGAACCCGGAGGGGAATTGGGCTTTGATGAGACCGTCTGGACATCGACTGGCGTGGAACTCTTCCATTGTCTTGCGTGCAAGACGGTCGTCCATGGAAATTTGGTAGGTGAATAGCATTTGCAGCCGGGAATCGGAGGCGAACTGGTTCTGTTCGTAGAATGGACAGTCTTCGTATGTTTCATGTCGACAGTTCTGTAAGGTGCGTAGACTGATATCCCAGATCTGGTTAAGTTCAGGCCCGGCTTGGATTTGAGTCGTGATCTCGAGTGGGTAGGATGTTTCTCGGTATGTGAATGCTTTGAGTGTCAGGGGGTTGGAGGTCTGAATATGTAACTGGATATATCGGAATGCGCGGAACCAGAATGGTTCAAACGTTTGATCGCCTCCTTCAGTCACTGTGTATACGTCTTTCACGCCATAAAGCCGACCGCTGCTGTCTGATCGGAGAGATTTGGTGCGCGCCATGGGGAATGGGGCCGTCTCGACACCGAGGTCTTTCTCGTAGCACTCGGCATAGAGGAGTGTGATGATTGACCCTGATCCACCTTCGCATTGAAGATTCACAAATGCCGTTGTCAATGATTGGCATTCGATGTCCACGGTGACACTTTCTCCGGCAGGAATGTTCACGGGGGTACCCTCTCTGATAAAGTCGGTCCATTGATTGTGAGCGATCGGCCCGTCGCATTTCACAATTCCATCAAATAATCCCTCAACCTCGGGGAGCATGGGGATAGATCGCGGGGTCAATTTCCATGGACTCTGCATTGGCAGCATCTTCACTGGACGGAATGCTGAGACAGCATTCTGCCAGCTGGAGTCATCGAAGGCTGGCAATGTCCACCCTGAAAGGGTTGTATCTTCCGATACCCGTTCATTGTTGGACATGAATGGGGGTCCAAGGATATAGTTCCACTCAGAGTGGGGTATAATTTGCCGACTGCTCTCCTGTAGACACTTCCACGAAGAGTCTGTAGAAAGCGAAAAGCCCTGAAGGAGTCAGTTTGTTGCGACCCATAAATGCTGCACCACGTCCCGACCACATACCTCGATCTCGCCATGCACAAGGAACCCCGGAAGCTCAGTGCTGATGATAGACGACGAACCAGCATGAACACACGAGTATCTCAACACTCGTGCGCTAATGGTGTTTTCGCCTTCGACCAGGAAAGGCAAAATATCCACAGTCTCATAATGCCAACGCTCAGGATAGCTCTTACAAGGACCAAAGCTCACGCGGTGGCCATTGACGAAGAGGCGGTAGCGACTATCGGCTGAGATGTTGATTTGGAAATCATCAAGTCCGTGGGGCTTGGTCCAGACGAAACTCTTGCGGAAAAGAAAGTACCGACCTGGTTGACTTTCATCTTCGTGATGTGTTGGCAACCATATCCAGGGCGCTGATTTGGTCCATTCAGGTGAAGTCATTCTGTCAATCTATTGGTTTTAGTTTAGATCTCACGGAGTTTGTGGCTCATGTAGCTCATATAGCGGGCGTGAAGGCACTCGGATATCCCGGACGGGAGTCTTTACCCCGACTTTACCCCGACCACCGATCCCCACGGGACACGACGACTATGCGCCACTTCAAGGTGTGAGGTGAGAATTTAAGAATAATTCTAGATCTAGAGCATCATTCACGTTGTGAGTCAGGACGAGTTCTATATACAGATCAGGCCAGTCTATCTAACACTATGTACAAACGTCTACACTTCTCACTCCAACCGCCTCCCACCAACATCAATATCAACCTTGTAGTATCTAAACTTGCGACTCGGCACCTTCTTTTCAAACAAGACATCCAACTCCTCAAAAGTACGTCCCTTCGTCTCGGGCATACAAAAGAAGCAATAAATCGAACAAAGCCCCGCAAGCCCAGAGAACAAGAACCCAATCTTGCCACGCCAGTTCCCCTGATCTTCATTCATCGCATAAGGGATGACAACAGCAAAAATAACCGACCACACAAAACAAGTAACAGTCGACAACGCAATCGTGAGTCCACGAAGCTTCGCCGATGAAACTTCCGCTAGTAGCACATAGCAGAATGGACCGAGACTGAGGTCGTACACAAAAGTACAGACCAGCATTAATCCACATTGCGCCCATGTGGTGGAAGTTTGTCGTGGGGCTAGATCCACAGCCCCGATTATGAATTGCACGATGGCGAGAGTCGTGCATCCAAATAGGTACATTGTTCGTCGACCGACGTATGATAGAAGGAACCAGGATATGCATGTGCCCAGGAGACCGAGGGCTGTTAGACCGATGTTCATAGAAAATGCATCAGATGCGTCTAGACCAGCTAGTTCCATGAAGTGCACGGCATAGGTGAGGAAAAATACATTCCCCGCAAATGCTTGCATGTCATATGCCATAACGCAGACCATTAAGCGACGGAAGTTCGTTCCACGGAAACAGTCCAGATAGGTCGGTTTTTCGCCTTGATAGCTTTCTTCCAAGCGCAGTGTCTGTTTGATGTGTGCCAGTTTTAGCGAAACGTCTACTGCAGGAGTCGCAAGACGACGCAGTGACACGGCTGCTTCTTCATGGCGACCCTTACGGCATAACCAGTAAGGTGGATCCGGGCAGAAGACAACCAGTACTAACATGATACAAGGCAAAGCCCATTGAGTTGCAATGGGAATCTTATATGACCATTGATTATCCATAGTCTCGGTACCTTTGAGAATGCCCGAAGCGATGAGAGAACCAATCGAAAACGCAAGATTTGTCATAGTGGCTGCGAACCCACGCAGTACTAACGGCGTGACTTCGCCGACGTATGCCGACGCGCAAATCGGGTAAAAGGCAATAATGCAGCCATTCACAAGTTCGCCGACGAACAGCTGCACCGGCGTATGGCTGAAGAATTGGATGAAAATGAACGCAATGGACAAGACGCAGCAGCCGGCTGTCATTCGCCGGGGCCCTAGTCGCTCGTAAATCATGCCTGAGCAAAGTGCGCCTACAATTGCGCCGAGTAGATTGGCATACCCGAATGCCGAGAGCCACTGTGCGGCAATGATATATTTGCCATCGCGGTAATACCCGAATGTTTCCTTGAAGACGGGGAGACCAACAAGACTGCGGACGATGCCCCCATCAATGCCTTTTAGGATAGTTGCCTGTAATAATTAGTAGGAATTCAATGCTTGGGACTTTTCTTGACTGACGATGTTCATGAACAATCCCCAGCCAATGGCGGGGTAATGCAGACGCATAGCATCCCACCAGCCGAGGGCATGTTCGTACTTTGTGAACTGAAACGATAGCTCAGCCTCTTCCGAAGCCTCAGCAGGAATGGCCTGAACCACCGTCGCTCGCTTCTGAGACCCCATTCCTTCCTTCAAATTGGACACGCTCTGTTGAAGGAAAAGTCGGCGTTATATCTAAATGCCAAGGCTTGGCGTGCGGTTACGGCGGAGGATGCCGTGTGGAGCTGTCAAGAGGACCTTGTTGGCCCTAATTAGTTTACTCCAATAGGCTTGGTTTTAAAACTGAGTGGATTGTCATTGGATGAGCCCATATTCGCATGAACTTGCATCGGCTAAAAAATTCATTTCAACTTCGCTCAATCTTCTGATTGAAGTGCCCGTTTATGCTTGGCAAATTGTCTCGCGGGTACTTTCGCCTCATATAGTTCGTCAATGTCCTCTGTCGATAATCCAGTCGTGTCAGGGACAATTGACCAAGTGCCCCAGATTAATAATACCGAGGCACCGGCAAACACTAAGCCTGTCCGCGCGCCCAAGTTGCCCGAGTCGACATTGTACATGTATGGTACAACAAAGGTGATCAACCAGGTCGTGAATGTTTGAGCCATCATGCCGAGCGACATAGACTTTGCGCGCAGTCGGTAGCTGGAGATCTCGGCTGCAATTGACCAGCCGGGTGCCTGCATCAAACTCGCCTGCAACGAAATGAGAACATTCCTGGAAATCGTTAGCGTCTTGCTTCAAGCTTCAAGCTTCATCAGAAGAAGGGTTTATCTCACATCAGAATGGCAATGCCCCACTTTGGGCCTGCCCCATGTGCATAGTATAAAGCTCCCACGATCAAATTGAAGGTGAAGTTGACCACGCATCCCCAGAAGAGGGTATTCCTTCTCCGCACATTCTTGAGAACAAATCCACTGGCAACGATGAGCACTATGGCAAGTCCAAACCCTCCAATCGAAATGTCAAATACATGGACACTGGGCAAGCCCACGGAAATAAGGAAGTAAATCGACTGTGAAAGGAAAGGTGCACCACCCAGATTGACAAGACCGAAGAGAAACATCATTGTCACCGTTCTCTTGAGATTGATTCCCTGAAAGCATTCGATGTATTTGGCCTGTTCGGCCTCGCGCTGTGAGTTTTCCTCTTCAATCGTCTTCAACAGATGGCTATACCGCTCTTGGCGATCAGCTTCGTCTCGGTAGAGCCAGTTGAACAATTTCTTAGCACGCTCCTGCTTTTTGTTCAAGATACAGTAGACTGGAGATCTGAAAATCCTATTAGCAGTGAACAAAATCTCACGCAAGATACGTACTCAGGTGCTATCGCGTACGCAATAGTGACAAGACCTCCAACAGCCCACTGGATAGCAAAGACCGTCCGGAACGCCTTTTCCGCCATATCAGGGACGAAAATCCGAATCACACCCATAGCAACAGCCTGCATGATCAGAATAAACACGACCATTGCCTGCTGCACAGCTGGAACCAGACTGGGAGGTACGATCTCAGAGGCATAGGTCATGCCGGATGCCATGGCCATACCGATCCCCAGCCCCCCAACAATCTTGCCTCCAAGTAATGCGCCCCGCGTTTCGGCGGTATACTGAACGGAAGCGCCAGCTATGGCGATCAATCCTGCAATGATCCCTGTCCATTTTCGTCCGATGCGATCCGCTAAGACACCTGTCCCCGCCGCCGAAAGGGCTTGCGCAAGTGCCGACATCGATGTCCAAAGTGCGGTCCATGAGGATGGTAGATATAGACCGGAGGCATTTGTATCGCCAAAGTACAGCATGAAGGCTGGCATGGCCATTGAAGCACTGTTGATTATCGTATCGCACCCGAACATGGCACCCGAGGAGAAGGAGAGACTACCTGCCAGCGAAGTTAGTTACGAGCCGTGATTTGTGACAGGTAGTTCGTACATATCAGAAGGGATCTCCAGTGTGTTTTAACTGTATCTATCAAACCCAACTTCTGGTCTGATTCAAGAAAACGTGGTTGCTCTCCCCACTCGATGTGAGATGATGACGACTTGAGATCGGCCATGATGTGTGTATTGGTCTTATGTGAGCTAGCGACTTTCACATTTCCATGGATGGAGGAGCATCTTAAATGCACGAGATATCTGCCGGCAGGTGGAATCTGGGGAAAGTCCGGGGTGTGCGACAGCTTACCCCACAAATGTGCAGGCTGGGAAGTCGGATATTCCGAAGACGAGTATTGCTCTTTTTTGAGGATGCCGCCCAATCAAAAGGGGTTCCTTTTCGATCAAAATTGCCCGTGCAGTCTTAAGGCTTTGCTACCCGGACTTGTAGTAGATTGGTAGATAGTAGAATGACCGGATATCCCGGACGTAAACATCTGGCCGCCTTCGCGGTGGAAAGACATCCAATCAAAATATGTCCTTACTATCTGGGCTTGCTGGACTTCGGTCTCTCGGGGTATTGTATTCAGTGTTGAGCTGCTGGATTTAATAGTTTCTCAACTCGGGTCAGAGGAACTCTTTGTCAGCCCTATCTTATAGCAAGGCATTTTGGCACCTGCTGGTTGTCAGTCCCCGTATGGCTTCTGAAACTACTCTGCCATGTCAAACACTAGCTCCAGATTGGAATTTCATGTATTGAAAATGCCGAGTCTGAAAAATACAAGGGGAAAAGGAGTAAGGAATGAAGGAAGGAAGAAAAAGCAGGTGTGCTGGAATCACCCTCGTCAATGGAGCCGGCATAAGTACTTTGACCAGATCCCGGTCCATGTGTTTTCTAACTCCTCGCTGGAGGAATGAAAAGTCTTGGCTAATTTTATTCCGTTAGGAGTATTGATTCAAGTGCCATCATCGAAAGCCTTTTGATCACAGTTGATATCGCCACTTACAGGGTCTGTCTATGCCAATGGTGCTGTTGAAGTTAAAATCCACAGCTCATTTTGAGCATACACGAATGTGCCAAGGCAGAACCATGACCTTCACATGAGACGGCGATCTTCGTCAGTATTGGAGGCATGGGCAAGAAGGCATTTACTTGGCTTAACATCACAGCGGGGATGCCGATCGTGAGGAGCTTCCTCTTTCTTACATAAATGGCCTGCCGAGGCTTTGCCAATGATCTCCATTTTGGAGGAGGATTTTAAGCGTCGAGTTTGAGATTTGAAAGACAATTCATAGAATATTGGAGTTAACACACTAAGGGCGAATATAGCGCACGGTCTGGGGCTGGTTTGAGCTGTCAAAGAACACTATCGCATCACCAGAAACAAACGCAAATAATCTTCGGTAATCTGGAGGAATGTAAACATTTCGTTGTCCTCCTACCATTATCCAATCTTCGGAAACAAAAATTGCTTGTGAATCGTCAGTAGTCAGTGGAAGGGACCCGCGATTTGTCGTAAGACCTGCGCCGGAAAAGAAAAAATGATCTATATGACATGGAGTATGGATATCATGCTGCAGTGTGCCGGATTTCACATCTAACAGTTTTATCGAGGAGGATTCTTGACAAGCTATGAGTTCTGCATTTGGCGAAAATACCAATGGTCCGCCTGGTAAGCTGGGGGAATCGTGATACCACAATCTCTTCCCTGTTGCTGTGTCCCAGAGGCAAAGACCGTCACCCGAAGATATTGAGGCCAGGCGCTTACCATCTGGAGAGAAAGCTAAAGCAATGATCTGATCGTAAACGATGACGCGTCTGAGCTTGCGGTGGCTGCAGCGGAACTCGATCTTTGGAATTGCGATATTCTTTCTGAGATCCCACATATAAATAATAGTATGGGAAGCACATGCAAAGGCTATGAGATTATTATCAGATGAGAACACGATTGGTGAAGCTTTGTGATGGCTACTCCCGGTATCTTGCTCGCGGAAGACAATGTCATGCTGTTTTTTCCCAGTGGTTGTATCCCAGATTGTTACCACTTCTGGCCATGTCGCAGTGGCCAAGAGTTTCCCGTTTGGTGAAAATTGCAGCGCAGAGTTCCACTCAAGCTCTTCTGTTCTCATTTTGAGGACATGTCTTCGTGCGCCGGTTGTTGTGTCCCAAAGGTAGGTTTTCCCGTCCGCTTGGGTGGAAGCTAATAGCTTACCCCCGGGTGATAAAGCTATGCCAGAGTTGTTGGAGCGGTCTTCCTGGTCCTTCATAGCCCGGCATCTTTGTGCTTCTGTGTCCCAAAAGAAAATTTCACCGTGGTCAGACGTTACTGCTAAGCCATTGACATCGACTGAAGTGGCTCTGCCTCTGGGGTATGAATTTTGATTCTGTGACTTGCGGGATTCTTCAAAAGTTCTGACATCCCAAAGAACGATTGACCCAAACTCACATCCGGAGGCCAAAATATTTCCACTAGGTGAGAATGTGATACTTGAAGCAAGACCTTCGGGAATCTGGAGACATTGTAATATCTTCCAAGTAGCAACTTGAAAGATCTCAATGTCCGGGACACTTGCAACAGCAATCAACTTGCTGTCGGGTGAGAATGCAAAGCGCAGACAATCGTTATTAGAATAAGGAAGCCGCGATCTCCAAAATCTTGTTTCTCCAGTTTTAATATTCAAGAGAGCGCAGTTATCTGGAGCATGGTGACATTCAAAGGCAACTAGATTGCCATCGGGTGAAACTTGAACTGCTTTTCGTTTGTCACGAAGAAGCCCGGGGCATTCGAAAGACCGTCTGATTGTGCCTGTCATCATATCTCGGATTTCGATTCTCGTGGGCTTCGCGCAGAAGTCTATGATGGTGCAATCAATGGATAGCTTTCTCCCGATAGGCAAGTGCTCAAAGTCTGAATATCTCAGCGTATGCAGCTTCATACCCGTATCAACGTCCCATATGTAAATCACAGGAAGATAAGAAGCCACAAGATTGCCATTGGACAGGAACGCCACTTCGAGAACTTTCCCAGGCTCCCCCCGAAAGGGTAACCGGCTTGACGTCGTCAGATCCCAGAGTGAGATGATACCAACTCCATCCACAATGGCAACAAGGCAGCCATCAGGTGAGAATACCACTGAAACGATAGCTTCCGCATTTGCATCTAATTTTTTCGCCTGTGTGAATGTTGTTGCTTCCCAAACATAGACGAAGCCTGTGGAAAATGCGGCGGCAAACAAGCGACCATCTTGCGAAAATACCACGTCTTTGGCTGGACCTTCGCAATCGAATCGTTGGATATGCTGTGCCCATACCTCAGAAAGACCAGGGTTGGGCAATGTCCATCCCTGAATTTCATGATGATAACGTTGACGTGTAATACACGATGTGGGACTGAACAGTATTGCCGAGGAATACAATTGCAAGGGCGCATCCTCGATGGTTGATATATGACTCCGAAGAAACCGTTTCGCATCCATGAGTACAAGATGCAAAGGAGTTGGTGTATCTTTGTGAGGCTTTGGAGGCTTTGCAGGCTTTTCAGTCATCTTCAACTTGTCCATTAGCTTTCTGGTGAGCCGATTCTGAGAAGACCGAGGTGTAGTATTAGTATTCGGGATCTGCGATAAATTAACATCACCTTCGTATTTGCGAATAAGAACCTTGGAATGACTTACCGATACCATTTCTGCCAAGATATCCATCATCAGAGCACCCTCAGATAAGCGAGCTATCAAAGCCAAAGCTTCCAGCCAGTAGATAAATCTATATTGGAAAAATTCCAATATATCCCCATCTTCCGTGGGGTCGATGGCGCTTCGCCGTAAGTGATGTATCCAATAACAACTCGCATATTGAACAGCAATGGGAATATTCTTTCTCATGTCCGACTTGGAAATGTGATCTCGTGGATTGATTGCAGGCTGTGAGGACATACACATGTTGCGACGTAAGTGGTCTTTCATAAGTTGAACACAGCATCTGAAGAGGCGACCGTGTTCCTCTTTGGTGTCAACTAAAAAGTCTGACTGAAGACATCTGGTAGAGTCTAGAAGAAAATCACGAAATGATGGATGCACGAGCCTAATCGGGCCGTTATGTTTTGTGACATCTATGACCGATTCCTGGCAGCTTAGGACTGTGAGAACTTGGCCCTCTGGTTCTCCAAGTAGCATCGCCAAATCGGGAGCCGTCATTACATCGAACAGTATGACAACGGATCCAATAACTCGATGAAACAAGCCCAGCGCGGCCACTCTGTCGTCAGAGTCTATAATTGTCGCGAACGAGCTTTCCAGAACCGTAGTGTAAAGTCGATCGAGTCCGATTTCCGCCTTAACAGAATTGTTGCCAGCGGCCAGCAGGTCAGATAGCTTGTAATGAGCGGTAACCCCCCCAGCACAGACATATTTGCACACCAAGGCAGCATAAATGAAGAGCCCGTGAGACTTCTCAACTAAGTGTTTGATGGCCTCATCGGAGCATTTCAAGTCAGCACGATTCAGCTCAACGGCGGCGTCGGTGAGCCTAGTTTTGTAAAACGTAGTCAAGTCTTCATCCACAATCCATCGCTCGATATTGTGGAGAGCAAATCCTTGGAATTCTTTGTTCAGGATGCGCTGGAACCCCAGTTTGATTGCTCCATCTGGTCTGCTGGTGACGAAAGCTCGAACTTCAACACCCTTGATCGTTGTGATATCTTTGAGACATTGAACCAAGGCCGAAAATGCCGTCTCGCCATACAATGCGCCATCATCACATTCGTCTAAGGCGTCAATGACCAAAAGAAGTGGGCTTGGAAATGATCTGTTTCTCATATGCGAGAGTGGCTCTATAACAAGCTTTTTCCACTGGTCGTATAGCATTAAGGTTCGAATCCGAGGATTGACCGCTGCAGCATCGTTGATGCATTTTTTCAGCTCTGGGGAGAACTCTCTCAGTTGAGCTGCAATGGTAGCCGGGAAGCTGCGGGCTGAGGAACGCCCCCCTCCACCTCTTGAGAAGAAAAAGCTCGCGCCCAGATGGTGGTGTTCATATTGTTCACGAGCAACCGTCAGAGCTATGGTAGACTTTCCGGTGCCAGCCATACCCTCGAGCCAAAATACACGGCGTCTTTCATCGCCGTTGGCCCATGACCTGATTTGCGCTAGGAGAGCTTTTCGGGTGCCAGGGAGGCAATCAGGTGCAAATTCTCTTGCGGAATTGAATGCTGCTTGGGGGAGATCGTCGAATATGTCATTTTTGGGGTTCTGTGGGCCAGATATCTTCGCTGGTAGAATTAGCCAATGTCGATGGAGATAGCTAAGATTGCAGCAACGCAGCTACTCCCCCGTAGCGACGCCGTCAACTCACAGTGCAGGTGCAAATCTCCCTTAACAATGCCTTGAAAAGACTGACTGCCGTTGGTCACTTCCGTGTTTCCAAAAGTTTGGTTCACGTTTGAGCCCAGTGAAGACTCCATGATCCAGTATGAGCCAACTCAACCAGAAAGCGAGAAGCCGAAACACTGGAACAAATAGTCACGGGTCCCTCTGACAAGACTTTGAATGGGAAATCTGGGGGTTTGGAGCGATGCAGCCCCTATGCCAAAGCTGGAGAAATGTTAATGTGTCTGACAATACTGTATGAGGGGGTGATGCGGCGTGGGCGCGTAAGGATCGGAGCAATGATCAGCCAGGCTGACCGCGCCCCATCCAGTGGGGTCTTGTAATGCATGGTATACGTATGATTGATGATTCTGGTATTCCACCTCTAGTGGGGGATAATCATAGGAAGTGCGATGAGAATCAAGAGAAATCGCGTGTGAAAGGTCCCATGCTTGTGACATTTTGCACAGTTTGAGTAATCTCTCATTCAAATTGCCCGGGGCCCTGGGCCCTGCCTAGGTGTAATTCCAGAAGTGGTTTACTAGTTACTTACACAGCCCACTATGAAGTGACTAGACAAACAGCGAGGCACCTTGAAATGTTTCATCTCAGATGCCCAAGATGCCCACATGCAAGTGCCCAGGTGAGGCTGAAAATTACTCCCCCTCATTTTCAATCCTCTTTTTTTCTCCTTTTGAATAAATTGACAATCAAAAGTTCCTGGGGCCATCAACTTTGCCCAGTATTTCCTGAATCCTCACCGGCACAAAATGGACCCATTAAGCACGACAGCCAGTGTTATAGCCATCTTGACTCTTGCAGCAAAAAGCTGTAAAGCAACATACAGCCTCATCGACGAGTTAGTCGGCATACCACAAGTCATGTCTCACACAAAAGGGCTTCTATCAATGACCCAAAAAACCTTCGATTCGCTACAACTGAATCTGGAACGGAATTCTGATGCACCTGAGGCCGCCCGTCCCCTTGAATCTTTCCTGCGCCAAATCCCGCTCAAGGAAGCACTGCAGTCGGCTCAAGAACTCAGTCAAGAGTTTTCTCTCATTCTTCAAAAGTGCACTAGGCATTCAACTGGCGGAAAATTCAGCACACGCGATAGAGTGACGGTCAGCATGCAGGAATCGAAGATCCAAAGATACAACAAGCAGTTGAGTCAATATCAACAAATCATAAATGTGGTACTGGACTCGATTATTCTGTATGTCATATTCATATTCCAAAAAACCTGATCGAACCCCGACTAACCGAGATTAGACACATAGCCAAACATACATCGCGCAATGTCGAGGAGCTCGGAGATCGTTTCATGACCCAGGAACAGACTCTGTCAAAGCTCTCCGAGCAACTGCGCAACACAGAGACCTCTATACAAGCAAGTTTGAAAATAGCCCTGCCTATGGCAGAAGCATCTAAAGCGCCTGAGGAGGCTATGGAAATCCAGCGGACGATCAAATTACGGGAGCTCTGTGAAGGGACTCTCGCCGGAACCAAAGAAAGTCGAACTGGGCAAAGGTTTGATCAGGCAACCACAGAGGATGGGTCTGTTGCATTTCAGGGTATATCAGGAGCCGCACAACCTGGGGTAGAGCAATCCTTTGGTAAATTGCTCACTCAGAAGAATAGCAAGGCAGCCCAGGGTCAAGTAACCAGCGAGGACTTTGGCAAATTATTTGGCTAGTAGCCATGCTGTACATATTGACTGACTTGAGGGCTACACAATTTTGGCGGATGCCGTTTGAGCAGGGGTTATATAAGGGTTCACAGATCACGAGACTCGTCCCTCGGATGACGCTTGGGGCGCGCCTTCAGGTCCAAAGGGAGTTTTAGTCATCTTTAAGATACTTTCATTTATTTCATATGCATCTAGTCCACTGAGCCATCCGTAGGAATTCACTGAAAGTAACACACTCTGGTATTCGAGGTTGACTCTTGGACTTCCTAATGAGGAAGGTGGATATTAGCCGATGTCACATGACAAGAGCCTCGCCCGCCAGCCAATCAAATCTCACTCTACCCCAGAGTCCATCCATGGACAGACTTGACACTTATCCCTTCCAAGTTTCTTCTTATTACTTCTTGGCCATCAATTGAAATCTGTCTATCTTGTTTTCTGTTTATCTATAGCGCAACATAGCCCCAACATCTCAACCCGCACATCTCAGTACTCAACTCAGGCATCCACTCTTCCTTCCACTGTCCCAACCAAATCATCACCATACTCGAATCCACACCCCCAATAGCATTGAGTGTCCGAGAATCCTCTCTCGCACCACTAGTAAGAATACGAGGCTGCACCTGTCCTTCCCCTCGCAGCAGAAGAGCAAAAAAGTCCAAAAGCTGCGCCGCCGGTAAATCAGATAGATCGGTCCCAGAAGATCCAGATCCAGATCCAGATCCAAACGCTCGCTCTTTCACACTTTTAATCCAATCGTCCAGTGACACGATATCCGCCTTACATGCTCCAGCCACCAAGGGAGAAATCGCCTTCCAGTCAACCGTATTAGGATTGACGATGTGATATACCGTCAGAGCTGGGTATTCGCGTGATTTCCGAGTATCGACTATCTCGGTAATGATTCTGGCAGCGGTATCCTGGTGCATAATTAGTTTTATTTTCGTGTTACTCTGATGCCCACTCACAATCGGTAGCCAATCCACTTGCATTGATCCCAGGCAATCTGGTACCTTTCCCATGGTCAGGGATGACTTAATCAGAGATGGGAACCAGTCTCTTGTATTCCACATGCCAGCAGAGAAATTGGATGGACCGCCCAACTGTCCAACGCGATGGATGGCAATTCTGCTTCCGCTTTGTTTACTGGAGAGCTCGCAAAGATGTTCGGCAATGTACTTGGATTCCGCATACCCTTGTGGAAGAACACAGGAGATATCCTGGGGTTTTTCAATGACGGAGTCGGACACGCTTCCTGCAACTGTTGAAATGGAGGATATAAAGTGGAACTCGGGGTTGCGGGCTGAAGACTCCACGAAGTTAAGGAGCCTTCGAACTCCTGTTAGATGCGGCTCGAAACTTGCGAGATTTTGGTTAAAGTTCACTGGCCAGGCGTTGTGGATGATGATTGAAACATTTCTTTGTAATGCGGTATATTTCTCTTGCCCGAGTCCGAGGTGGAGTTCGTGGAGCTGACATTGATGGAATTCCACGCGTGAACTTTCTGTCAGCCAGAAGCTGGATAGTTTCTTTCGTCGGAATGTCTGGAGTTGTCGTTCTGCGGCATCGGATGAGCGGTTGAGACAGATTACTCGGGTAATTGTGAGATCCTGGAGTAATTGGTTCAACAGGAAGCTTCCTAGTTCGCCAGTCGACCCAGTCAAGATGACTTGGATACCTCCGCCGGCGAGATGTTGTGCTTGATCCCAGGCGAATTTCATCATTGTATCGCTTCTTGATAAAACGTGTTCCTCGTTGACTTTCGAGGTGTCACCATTCACTTGATGGTGGAACGAAATCGCGATCCGGCGTAATGTCTCTAGTTCATAAAATAGAGCACTCGTCCAGCGTTTAGGATGCAGCAGTGATTCCATTCCATCGGTTGTGTCTTGTAGCACTTGTGCCAATCGGACCAGCTGAAGAGAATCCATTCCCAGGGCAACGATCCCGTCGTCGAGATTGAGGTTCTCCAAAGAGATAATGTGTGAAACGACATTCTGAATCCATATCTCTATTTCCTCCAGACTATATCCCTGGAGCTCGGGCATTTGAGCCTTAGCCTGCGCGCTGGCAGGCTGAGGGACATACAAGTCATCAATGACAGATTCATATGCCTTCACAATTTCTCGACGGCGCAAGGTACCTTTGGGCGATAGTGCAAATGGCTTATCCTCAGATGCAAACGCGACATGACTATAGAATAGTTTCCCATGTCCAGGTAAACTAACATTAGCTTTGTCTATGATCAGCCGCAGATTCTGATGCAACCATTCCGAGCTCCAGTCTTCAGGAAGACTGTCCCATTGAGGTTGGATGAGTAGCGATGCCTGGAACCTGTTCTGTCCGAGGATAGCTGCGTGTTTAACCAGCGGGTGTGATTCAATCACTTTCTCTGCATCAGTGGGATTGAACTTCTCCCCATTGCTGAGGACAATTATATCGTCCCCGCGACCTTGATACTGCCACAATCCAGGCTTGGAAGTATGCTCGCGAAATAAGTCACCTGTCCGATGCTCAGTCAAGTGAGGATCTGTATGGAAAATGCCCTTCCAGCGACGCGATTCCCCTCGGGGGAGTACTAGTTCGCACAACCCATCGCCCACGTCGTCCATGTGTGTGCCGAAATTGGGATTCCACTCGAGATAGTTCCAATCTGCGGGGTCTTCGCATCGCAGATTCGCTGTGTATGCACTTTCAGTACTCCCGTATAGGGGCTGCAATGGAATCAGGCCTGAAATGATGTCTCCGGCAGCTTGTGAAAGCGGAGCACCTCCGAAATTAATGGCGGATAGTTTCGATAATGCATCTCGGCCTTTTTTGGAGGCAGAGAGCTCTTCCAACACGAAAGGCGAAACTAAACCCCATCTCGGCGGGACATCCAAAGACATGATGCTTGAGAAGAGGTCTGCAGTCAAGGGCCGGTCCGGTGCCAGCAAGAATGAAGTGCGATAGAAAATAGACTCGGAGATGCATACCAGACCTATGAAGTGAAACAAGGGTCCACTCATGATCCTCAATTGGTCCTTCAAGTGAACAAACAGCTGGGTGGACTGGCGACCTTCAGGCACCGGCAGTGTTTGCATGTAGAACAACGTTGCAAGATATCCATATGTAAGGCGAACCGGCTTAGGAAGCCCGGTTGTGCCTGAACTATGAATCATTACCGCCGTTCGATCTTCCAGGGCAGCATAGCTCTCGTTGTGAATATATGGCTTTACTGTGTCGGATGCGAAGATGTCCCAGATAGGACCCATGTGCCATCTCTCTGTCTCGGGGCAGGATTCAACTAGTTCGCTGACTAGTGTACGCAGAGTTGGCCTCTCAGAGCCATCGACGAGTACTGGACAACTCGTGCTGCGTAATAAATGCTGGTTGGCTACTAAGGAGTTTCGTGTGGATAGTAGCAAGGCCTAGTTCCCTCCATTAGGCTTTTAAGCTTTCAGGCTGGGGATGAATACTCACCGAGTGACCGGTCTTCATACATGCCAGGATGAATGCTGCATAGCGCAAATCATTAGTGCCGATGTAGGCTAGCACCTGCGGCTCTCCTGCAGGGAGCTTGCTTTCGATCCACCAGGACAAGCGGTCAACGGCCTCGCTCATCTGTTTGACGGTAATGTGGTGCCATCCTTGATCTGAGTCCTGGGATACTGGATGCACACAATACACTCGCTCGGGGGTTTCCTGTGCTTGCTCATCTAGTAGCTGGGTGAGGACCGGGCCGGAGACCTCTGTCGATCCCATGTCTAGTTCAGTTCGGAGGATGGCTTGGTTTAAGACGTACTCAAGTAGTGAACGGACCAAATATCATGAAAGATGAAATGAAGGACAGTGTAGACCTTGGGGACCACAATGGTTTAAATACCTATCGCTTTCACTTCCACGTTGTTCATCACATAATGCCAAGAGAGGTGATTCTGCATATGTGATGCTCCATCAGGGAATGCCGATCTGAAATTGATACATGATCACATAGATATACAGCTCCGTAGATGTAAGTAATTCCAAATTCCTTAGTTGGGCTCTCTCTGCATGTTCGATCCCCGAATAGAGTCGAGAGGATCCAAAATACTCGACCAGCCTAGCTGGACTCTCTTGCCTGCATTGCCACATTCTTCTGCGAGAGGCGTGCTGAGAAGAAAAAGCAAACAAGAAAAAGAAACCAGCAAAGCCAATCAGAGTAGGAAACTGATTCAGCTGCAGATGGAGAGCTGAGATACTTGACTCGTGAGTTATACCTTTTAGCCGATAGCTGTACGGAGTAGCCAGCCTCATTAATCACCTCTCATCAAGAAACAGAATATACCAAGTACTATGACTCTATAGTTATAACTTCACTATAACTATGAAAACAATATAATATCCATACCCTAAACCCGCTAACTCCGCGTCTAACCACAAAAAGAAAAGCCAAGAAAGTCGTGTTATGTTTCTAAAGTTCAGCCTTGTCCAGCCTTATCCTAAGTCTACGCTGAAACATGGCCTCAAAGACCATGACCAAAGAAGGCCTCCGGCGAAGACTCCACGGATCAACCCAACCCAAGCGCACCACCCACCACTACCACCGCTACCACCGCTTCGCCCAGAAACACACATGGACAATCCCACTAGCACTAATAATTGCCATTCTCGCCCTCTACGCCCAAAATCCCACAGAAACCAACATCCTCCACCCCTTCCTCTTCCTCTCCTACCAGCAAAATGACGGAAAATACGGAAAAGGCCTCTGGGACCTCGCCTTCGTCTCCTTCTACGTGATCGTGCTGACATTCACCCGCGAATTCGTCATGCAAGAACTTCTCCGCCCCCTCGCCGCGCGCATCAAGTCGCGCGCCAAACAAGCCCGCTTCATGGAACAGGCTTACACGGCTATTTACTTTGCCATCCTCGGTCCGGTGGGATTGTATGTGATGCGGCAGACGCCGGTGTGGTATTTCGATACGAGGGCCATGTATGAGGGATTCCCGCATCTGGCGCATGGGGCTGCATTCAAGGCATATTACCTGTTTGAGGCGGCGTATTGGGCGCAGCAGGCTTTGGTGATGGTTTTGGGGATGGAGAAGCCAAGGAAGGATTTTAGAGAATTGGTTATGCATCATGTTGTTACTTTGGTGCTTATTGCGCTGAGTTATCGGTTTCATTTTGCGTATATGGGGATTGCGATTTATATCACGCATGATATTAGTGATTTCTTTTTGGCGGTTGGTGTTTACCCTACTTAAGTACTGGTGATGTTTTGCTAATGTGGACAGCTCTCGAAATCACTGCATTATTATGCGCCGGATGTGATGATCCCTTTTTATGCGGCTTCGGTTGTCTCTTGGGTTTATCTGAGGCATGTACTCAATCTGCGTGTGTTGTACTCCATTCTCACGGAGTTTCATACTGTGGGCCCTTATGAACTCAACTGGGAAACACAGCAGTATAAATGCTGGATCTCCAAGGTCATTACCTTCTCACTCTTGGCTTCTCTGCAGGCCTTGAATTTGTTCTGGCTGTACTATTTGCTGCGCAGTGCGGTCAAGTTCTTGATCACCGGCGAAAAGAAGGATGATCGGTCGGAAGATGAATCGGAAGTCGAGTTGGAACAATCCCATCTCAAAGCCAATGGTCTCAATGGCCATGCGAATGGTAATGGGGTGCTGAATGGTAAGAGCCCTCGGGCCTCGGTTAAGATGAATGGCTCGCGCTAGTCGGGGCATTGCGTTTATGACTTCAGGAACTGCTGGCCAGGTGTCTACCCTGGTCTAACGCTTGATGATTTGAGATTGGGGCTCATATGTGTGAGTATATCAGCCTCATGGTGCTGGGAACTGCCCAGCTGTGATGTGACTGGCTGTCCCGATTGACGTCTATATGTATCATATCATAGAGATCGATAGAGATCGAACATATTAATAGTAATGAGGTCCAAGCGACCGGTGTACATTTCACTGCAATCCCGGCGCAGATTTCATTCGTAAAGATCATATGTGCATCCAGGTAGGGTCAATACCTATTGCGGTCGTATATCATGTAAGAGAAGCACACATCCAAACTCCAATCTATGTACGAGGTAACCCGACCAATCACATTGGATCAGGAGAACCGCAGTCCCTGGCTAGGATCCCATGTGGTTTGCTGAGGTCGATGGTTCGGAGCCGGGGCGGGTGCAGGGGCTGGTGCGGCGGGCGTGGCACCGGGAGGAATGCCCGCAGAGCCGAACCGGATGCCCATCTCGGGACTCCACATTCCAGGCATTCCGCCCGGCATGGCGGCGTTAGAGACCGGCGGCGGAGCGACGGGGGCACGTACGGGCTGTGGTGCCGTCAATGGGGGCGCGGTTTCAACAGGTCGGGCCACAGGGGGGAGTGGCTGTGCGGGTGGCTGTGAGGGAGCAGACGAGTAGGGAGAGGGAGAGTGATGTTGGCGTGCTGGTTGTTGGGGCTGTTGGCGAAGATGCGGTTGGGTGATATGGAGTGAGGCCATGGCCGCGGTGTTGGAGATGTCTCTGGAGAAACGTTAGAACCTAAAGAGTGTGCTGGTTCGTTTGGGTACATACGTTTCCAGCTGGCTGGCCTCCATCCGACGCTGGTGAACAAATGCCTTGGAGTCGTCACGGAAGCGACCGACGATCTTCGCGAGATCATTGTAAAACTTCCGTCCAACGTCGATATTCGAGATAATCTCCTTGTACTTCAAATACCCGTTTTCGAGATCCTGGAGAGCGGTCTCGCGTTCCTTCGTGGACGCATCACCCTTGTGTGCCCCAGTAAAGGCGCGGTTTGCTTCTCGCACTTGAGCTGAGAGATTGTCCTGGTCTCTCCGTTCTTGGGCCAGCATCTCACGGTCAGTATCATACAAGTGGAGCTCCTCTTCGAAGAGATCCTCGAATTGACTCGCTTGGATAGGCTGCATGGGGAACTCTCGTTCCAATCGAGCAGTTTCTCTCAGCAGCGCAGGGTCTGTAGACAGGTCAGTATTCGAGAATAACCAGAAGAGCAATCGGACTTACGGATATCATCACCACGGGCCTTTTCCTTCAATGTCTGAATACGCCGGCGTCGGCGATTCTCCATCCGAGTGACCTCGCTCAGACAGCCACGCAGTCGATTTGACTCGCGCTCAACCTCGACTGGAATGGCAGCCCGACGGCTACTGGGCACGTAAGATTCCAAGTCTCGGTTGGTGCCAGTAAGGACGAGGAAAACCGATCGTGAGTCCCGCAGCTTGCGCTGCACGAGGTCATCACTGCTCTGAGCAGAGGTGAAATACCCACTGATCTCATTCTGAGTTCTGTAGATTTTAGGAGCGGCGGATTCCGAGGTCTGGCGGCTCCAGCGATCAGTGCCGTATTTGTTGCGAGCGGCGATGTCCTCGGCCTTTTCAGCCGCGAGGAGCTCTACACCCTCGTTGTAGACCGCCATGTCATTGTTTTTGACTTTGTCGGTGTCTTCAATAGCCCGGTGCAAGCGGTTGAGTCCATCCTGCTGTCGCATCTCTTCGGCATGTGAGACAAGAGTTGGCGGGAGCCCCAGCGGCTTCTCAAGTGCTTGGAGTGATCCTGGCAGGTTAAGGGATGAAAGCAAGCTGTATGGAAGTGTTAGCAACAATTCGCTCCAATGTGATTCCAAACACATACTCTCGTAGTTTGTCGGTCGTGGATTCCAATTCTCCAATAAGCGTCTCGTTGACCAACCGGTCGCGACGATCGGTATAAATGCTCGCAGCAATGTGAACAGCGTACGGAACCAACTTTGAAAAGAGCGGCTGGCCCAATGGACCATTAACCCCGAGCATCGACACAGCATCAGTGACCTGTGAAGGCGCTTTCGCAAGCACCATGCTTGCACGTTCGATCGTCTTGAGCTCGGACTTGGGCGGCACCGGGCTGAGATAGATGACATCGTTGTCCTTTTCGGCGCGCTTCAGATCCTCTGCGACACGGCTCTTCAGGCCGTTCAAATCTCCAAGCACGGTGCGATTGATCCATCGCTGCTCCTTCAAGCCCTCGTTGACGCAAATTAGACTATCGCGCAGTCGCGCAACCTCCTCTCCGTACTTCCGCTTCTCCAAACAATCAAGCGACTGTCGGAACTGAGCCGCGGCTGCGAAGTGGTGGTGCTTTGCAGTCATATGGTGGATCCACTCCGTGCTAATCGCATTCGACTTAACAGCCAAGTCCCCTGCATCCCCATAGAAGTCAGAGACCTTGGCTGCCAGCTTTGCAATGGACACATCTTTCAATCCGTCTTTGACAGCCTTCTGCCAGAAGCACTCCTGGCCTTGTCCAAGCAGCAGCAGTTCCAGGCTCTGCAGAGTCATTTCGTCCATGTCCTCCGGGGGCGAAGCGCGCAGGTCCGGAATGATATCAGTTCGAAGGTGATTCAGTACTCCAGCAGCCGAGCAGAGGTAGTTGCACGCCTGTTTGAGTCCATCGGCGGTCGTCCGGTTGGCCGCATACGCGAGTTGGGAGTATAAAGCGGCGAGGTTGAAGATCACATTGGCTAGTTCAAACCGGAGGTTGTTTTGCGATACTAAAGACAGTTGCCATTCATGTTAGCGTCGGTGTCGTGGGGAATTCGGGGAGATTCAAGCAACCACAGCCTGCTCCGAGAACGACTTACTCGGTCGCGAAGCGTTGAATCCAAACGCAGGATACCATGAAAAGTCCACACCAACCTAGATATACTTCATCAGCCGCGATCACTGGAGGGGGTCAAGCTGGGAGGCGTACATCAATCGGGAACTTCCCACCTAGCCACTTCAACTGAGCCGCATAGGTAACCAAGCGCGTGACCCCGCTGAAATGCGGTTCTTGGACGTTGACAGCCTCGGATCGTAGACGATCAATGATCATCAGATCCTCCGCGAACATATCCGGGCGCTGGTCATATTTGGAAGAGATGTACTGCGTGATGGCATCGGACAGCGAAACTGTGTGAGAGCGCCGAAAGGGGAGCTGGAGGATATTACTGTCGATCAGTTAGTATAGAGGTCCAGGACTAGCATAGATCCCATCTGAAGAGTACTCACGACGCCATTGTCGCTTGAGGCGGGGTTTGCGGAAGACACTCGTTTTGTTTTGACGAAGTTCCCCCACGGACATGACGTCTGGGGAGCCTAAGGCAGCAACATCTACTTGAGCCTACATGAAGTATAGAGTATATAGAGTGCAGAGTACAACATCCATTCTGATATTTGCTGAGCTTCAAGCTCACACATGTATGTACATGGATAAGAAATTTGAACATGAACGACATAAATGAGACAAGATGTTTAACAGGCTCGCGGTGTTAATTGGGCAGCTCATCAATGCGCATCTTAATATATTCAAAGATGCTGAGCAGGATCATATTGTTGACACCGGTGCGGATGAGGATGATAGACAAGCCCTTGTACATGCTGGATTTGGCGACAGCTTGTGAAGCCTGGCCGATTTCGCTGGACTTGCCAAGCAGCACGCTCTGTGCCCGAGTCTTGCGGGTGTCGAGGGGATAGGTCTGCGGCTAGGGTCAGTCATCCATCTCGAAGCAACGAGGGCGGTATCACTTACGCAGAACCAAGGGACAGTGCTGCAGATGGCACCGGCAATCATAGGAGCCCCAAAGGGATTCTTGTCTTGGCCTAACTCTTTCGCGGCCACTTGCTTGGCAGTTTCGTACACGCTGAAATAAACACCAGTTCCCAGGGTATCACGCATTGCATGTAGGCGGAAACCAGTGTACAGTCCCCGAATCCCGTGGCGCTTGACGATCTGGTTGATCGCCTCAATGGTGCCTAAACGGGGTTTGCGGCGGAGGGAATGGTCCCGTGCAGCATCTGGGGCAGCCATTGCGCGATTGGATACCAAGACGGAGGTCTGAACAACGTTCTTCGCTAATTCGAAGGGGCCTGTTTCGATGTTAACACTGTCAGATGGTTGTAACATCTGGAGTTAACCTACAAGCAAGAGGCGAGGAGACTAAGCCAGCGATCATGCCTGCAGCAGTGAAAGTCATCACTCCAGACAGGGTGGGCATGCTTCCAGCCCGTTGATAATCGGCAAGGGGGTTGAACCCAGTAGCACGCTCAACATTTTCTGAGATGACTTCTTTGAAAGCATTGTATGTGGTAAAGTTGACGACCCGGACTGCCGTGACACTTGCCAGAGGCGGGAGAGCGCCTAAGTGGTTTATCAGTTCATTGACTGCAAAAAACTGATTTCAGAGAGATCAACTTACCAGCTACGTAGCCGCGGGGCCCTTCAGTGCGCCAGAGGTAGCGGATACATTGCCAAACATTCTTGAAGTTGTGTCTGGTATGAATTAGCGCAGTTCTCCTGTTGGGGCCAAGGGGATGCTCACGTCTGCATCCGAGTTTTGACATTCTCCAAAGGAGTCTATGGGTGCAGAACACAGATCATCAGTATATCCGACCCAGACAACCCCACAAGAGGTAGAGGTAGAGGTTTCTTCGGCCTGGAGCACTCACCACCGAGAGTGTCGCGCAGACGGTCGACGTCGCGGAAGCCACCTGTGTTTTGTACTTCTTGAGGAGTCGATTGCGGGTGGACTCATCCATATTCCAAGCGCGGTCTGGCATACTAGTGGATCTTGTTGAGGTCGAGGAGAAGGGCGCATGTTCAGGATGTTTATCAATAGTCATGCCGGAGCGTCCTCCATTTGCGATGGAAACGCTATCGCTGGCTCTTGGATTCCTCCCAGATTAACTCTGGATGGATAGTGTATACTGGTAGGCTGGGGAAGCCGATGGAACGCAAAGCGATCTCTCAGAACCCGAGTAGATCGTTCGGCGTCCCACAATTGTCCATCAAACGGGTCCGACCAACCCAGTTCTCTGTTCGGCCTGTGGTAGATAGCCCCGGAAGACACCTGCGGTATGGAGGATCGCAAGGAGCTCCGTATTGGCGTTGGTGAAATCGGGTCGATCCTAGTGGCCGAAGCAGGTGAGCCCCGGGTAGTGGATTGACCCCGCGTTTCCGAGCGGAATCCTGTATTGGGGGGAATTGAGCAATTCGAGGGGTTCAAGCGATGGGGATCCAATGTCCTCTATTGCCCGCGGTCGGATGTTCCTTCTCTCTGTCCCAAGCCTGTCTTCCACAGCAATGGGTCGCCAGTAGCAAAAGCAATGGAGCTGTAGCACCTGTTAGTACTGTATCTTCCAAGGTTCTCAAGTTGGCCTGATTCGTCACATTGGGAAACGAATACTTGCCATCAAGGCCTCCAGGGCCTAGCAGTCAGAGAGTAGAACTTACGGACAGTGTCTGTACAAGTGAAGTGAAGAAGTGAAGTAGCAAAATGGCATGTGGACCGAGCTTCAGCTTAATGCGGTTAGAGTGGAATGGGTGACGTCGTGAACTTTTTTATTTTCTTTTTTATGTTGCTACTTACTGCTATATAGTATTATATAGTGCTATATAGTGCTATATCTATAGATATTCAAGTAAATACTTGAATAGAAAAACAAAAACAGTCTGTAGGTAGATGATTAAGTGAGGCTGCATATATCGAGATTGTGGTACTGAAGTATATAATGATCCAGCCCGTGTCCATACTAGTATCGCTAACTTTTCATGTCGAAGAAACCCCCAAAGCAACCTTAGAAATAGGCGGAAACACTGAGCACACCAATCAGTAGTTAAGTACTTAAATATTCCTATCCAAATTCCGCAAGCACTAACTTCAGAATGAATTAAGTGCGCAATAAGAGGCAAGACTCCGGGTAACCGACGGGAGCCAATAAAAAGACCAATGAAATCATATTGACCTGCAAAACCAAAATTCCAGGCTTCAGATCAGCGGAGTCCTCGCGCGGTATCCGTGAACCCCAATGAGAGTCCATTTCCACTGCTTCCGCTGCAGCTAGGCTAGTTGTGTCTTGGATCGACAGGCTGTGACGGTCAATGCGGTTACGTGCAGCTGCCGTCCCCTTCACTCGTACATCCTGGACATCCTGGAATGGGAAGACACCGAGAAGACTGTTCAAACGGAAAATATTCATCAAAGAGATACTGGGCCTGGAGCTTGGTCTGGAAAGGATCTGCGGAGGTCGGCACATACACATAGCTAGTACCGAGTACTCTGTATGCATAGGCTAAACACCTCTCTGATCACAGGCTCCGGATACACAAAATCATATCCGAAGGTTGGAACAAGAGCAAAGAGCATATACTTGCAAAGTTCACCTATGAAGAATATGAAGTAGGTATAAAGAGGATGAAGAGGCTCTTTGCCGGGGATCCTCGGGACCTCGGTCTCTCCCCGCAATTTCACACTCCCCACATGCGCTTAATATTTAACCTTCACTTCCCATATTTCTAACATCTTCACCTCATTCTCTACCTACACATACACACACACAATCACCATGGGCAAGAAACAAGCAAGTCCCGCCTACGTCCTTGGCGTAGGCATGACCAAGTTCATCAAGCCACGCGGCAAAGTCGACTACCACGAGCTGGGCTATGAAGCTGGTATCAAAGCCATGCTCGATGCCAAGGTCAACTACGACGACGTCGATCAGGGCGTGGCATGCTACGTTTATGGAGATAGCACCTGCGGCCAGCGTGTCTTCTACCAATTCGGCCAAACCAGTATCCCTATCTACAATGTCAACAACAACTGCTCAACCGGGTCGACGGGCCTCGCCATGGCCCGCACAATGGTCTCGCACGGTGCCGCAGACTGTGTGCTGGTCGTGGGATTCGAGAAGATGAATCCCGGTAGCTTGCAGTCGATGTACAATGACCGTGAGAACCCGACTGGATTGTTCGGTATGATGATGGCCGAAACTCGCGGTGTGACAAATGCCCCTGGCGCGGCGCAAATGTTTGGAAATGCGGGTGTGGAATACAAGGAGAAGTGAGCACCCCCTCTCTCAAACAGTTGACTGGGAATGATCGTGTCGCATATCTCATATCCCAGAGCTCTGATCTCAGCTAACCGCAACTCAGGTACGGAGCTAAGAATGAAGACTTTGCGGAAATCGCACGCGTCAACCACGAACACTCCAAGCGCAATCCCTACTCGCAATTCCAGACTGAATACACACACGAGCAGATCATGAAGGCACCCATGATCCATGAACCCCTCACCAAGCTGCAATGTTGCCCGACCTCAGACGGCGGTGCTGCGGCCGTCATTGTGTCACAGGAGTTCTTGGATGCACGTCCCCACTTGAAGGAACAGGCCATTCTCATCGCGGGTCAGACTCTTGCCACCGATACAGACAGTGTGTACAGCCAGAGTTCGATCGATCTCATGGGCTTCGGTATGTCGCGCCAGGCATGTCGATCTGCTGTTGCCGAGGCCGGCGTGAACGTCAAGGATATCAAGGTCTGCGAGCTGCACGACTGCTTCTCGGCCAATGAGATGATTACCATTGATGCATTGGAGCTGAGCGAGCCGGGTAAGGCTCATGAGATGGTCCGTCGTGGGGATATCACCTACGGTGGTAAGATGGTCATCAACCCATCTGGTGGACTGATTTCCAAGGGTCATCCCCTTGGTGCGACGGGTATTGCACAGTGTGCTGAGTTGGTGTGGCACTTGCGTGGCTGGGCTAACAACCGTTTGATCGATGGTACCTCTGCGGCATTGCAGCACAACCTTGGCCTTGGTGGTGCTGTTGTTGTCAGTGTCTACAAGCGTGCTGACGGTAAGGTTGCTGCTGCTGTGCCTTCTGATGTCGTTGGCAAGATTAATGGTCTTGGATACAACCCTGCTGTGGAAGCCAAGGGCTTCACAGCCGAGCAAGCCAAGTCTGTTGTCAGCAAGAAGCACAGTGTTGCATACGCACTCTCCGATACCCAGGAGCGTGTCCTCGCCAGATTCTAGAGCAACATAACCCGCTCCGTAGATTGTACATAACCCAATAATATGATATCCATTCTATGTATCTTTTTGTTTTTTCTATACCAATCTATATACCCAATATTAAATAATGATTATATGCAAACCCAAATCATGGATGCGTCTTCTCCCAATCCTCCGGCAACTTATAATACTTTGGCACCGCATACTGTCCCTGACAATTCCCCGGTTTCCTGCAAGTCAACGAGCACCGCCCATACAACCGACAATAACAGTCTTGAGCAGTGGGACAAGAATCCCGATTCAGCTCCTCAAGATTAACACCATCCTCCCCAAGCCTCGCAAACAAAATATGCCACAGATACGAAACAATCCTCCCAGCAACACGATCATCCCCAGGCGCAGCCCTCGATCCACTCTGCGGATTCCTCGCTACTCCATCATCACTCCCATCCAACAACCATTGCCTTAACGCAATATACTCTTCCCGCGAATGCTGCCACACCCGCTCCTGCGCAACGACAAATTGCGCACAGCACTGCGCCCGCACAGCATCATTCCTCGCCAGCTGCACCACATCCTCATCCTCCGCGCCAAACAAATGACGCAATGCAGCAGGGAGGGCGCGATCAGACGCAGCACGCGCACTCCACGGCGAAACAGCAGACGAAAGCCTCATCTCCAGACTTCCCTGCGCAGGAACAGAAGCCGGACACGTCCCGGCACTCCAATCACAACGGAGATTGTGATATCCAGCTGGCTGCAGGGCGCGTTTGACATCTAGTGCGCGTAACAGCCTGGCATTATCATAGTCTGGGCTATCATTGTGCCAGGCGAAGCGGGTGCCGTGGACGAAGACCGCACCCGCAGAGGGAATGTCAGCATAGTTGTCGATGAGGAAGGTCAGGTAGGCCATTGCTTCATGGCCTCTGTTTGCGGGGACTTGCAGGACCTTGGAGGATTTGTCTGCTGGGGCGTCCACATGGTAAATGCATAGATGGTAGTGGGCTGCTAGTGGGTCGAGCCAGGTTGCGTCTCCGTCTGCGGCGACATGGGAGACTACCAGGGCTGGTTTGGTTGAGCCTGCTAGGCCTGGACAGATGCCGCGGGCTTCAGGGATGATGGAGGATGATGTCTTGTAGCGGATGCGGGCCCAGGAGAAGGATTTGGTGGTGGACTGGGGTCTGTTTAAAAATATGATGATGCATAGGATGATGAGGAAGCTGATTACTTGGATCAGTGATCTTTGGACTTTTCGGGGCATTTTGTATTAATTGCCCCCCTCACTTCGTCTGATGAGAGACGTTCGTTTCGGACCTTTCGGAGACACGCGGCATTTGTTGCCTGAGGTGTCCCCCCTGATGATCTTTTTTTTTTGTCGATCCGTTGAAGATTCTGTTTTAGATGGAGTAAAGTATGGATTACGGAGTACTACGGAGTATATTTCCCTGGCCTTTCTTTCTTCGTCACTGGCCAGGGGTGGGCTAACTTTGAATACAGAGTCATATAGTTCCAAAGAACAGTAGACGGGGACCCCATCAAAGGACACAGTTTCATTCATTCAATTTCTTAAAGGATCTCGAACCATGTATTAAACACAGTTCTCTTTGACACATCTATCATGGACTTTAGCAGAGGCTATAAAGTCTCTGCGCAGTCCGAGACCAGGTTTCAGCGGCTTGAGCAAACATCTCTACATCATGAATGAACTACCGTTACAGCGAGAATGGTACCTCCTGCAGGATTTCGAGCTCGATACATCCGCCGCATTCTTCAAAATGGAGCTTGAACGAGCTCAACGACCCAAGGATGTCTTCATTGATGACATCAGACGAGCGGTGGAAGCGGAGTTCGTGGTCCGTAGACTAGCTTGTAGGCGATGCACTCCTGTCTGCAGACCTGTCACTAACAACCTGGGCAGCCTGGTTAGAGAGAAGAATTGTCGAAAATCATGGACATGATGTCGAGTATATTGCCGGGGGAAGCCCCAAACCAATGCTGGCCTTTTACGAAGCACGACTCCGATATATGGAGGCCACGGTTCGGTATCTGTATTTGCGGGTCGCAGCAAAACACACCGAGGCTGACAAGCAAGAGCAAGAGGTCAGGAGGCTGTCGAAAGAGCTGGACAAGCACAAGAAATACCCGAAATACGCTCGTAGTCTACCACATTGACCGGATGCGGTGTTCTCTGAATGCCAGGGACATGCCCAAGTGAAGCTCAGTTAACACTTAAGTATGTGCCATGTTAGTTTCAGGATTAGTTGAAATGGATAAATTGTGCACAATCGTTCAGTTGACAAGTCGATGGTCCCCGAGAGTCAGGACTCGATGATGTTCCACGTGACCCTGACATAAGCGACGCTACCCGCGGTGAATAAAACCGAACGCAAATTTCCTTTTCCTTTCTTCTTCACTTCAAAACATATTCACGGTCCCCAACACACTCTTGTCGATGGAACATTCTCACTCCATCTACATATTTTAGCTTTGGGACCCAGACCGAAGAATGCTCGTTCTAATCCCGCCCCCTGTCATATAGCCAGAGGGGAACGGGTTCGCTTTTGAGCCGACATACTGGTGCAGATTCTGTTCTACTGAATCTTTAATGTCGAGATTCAGTACCAGTACCTGTCATGATCGCATCCTATAGATGGGATGGATCATACTAACCTAGCTAGAGATGTAGTTGGCAACTTCGAAGTCTTGTTTGTCATATTGATGATGTTCGAGGTCAAAAAGTTGCCCAAACTAAAGCCTTACAGTTGGACAAGTCCTTCTGAAGACTCCCACGTGTTGCGTCCACTCCCTCCATGGAGATGTGCGTGTCAAAGTAGGGAGATACATTCCTGTAAACAGTTGTAACTAGTAAACATCATTCCTTGTGGAATGTTGAGGGACCTTGATCCCTCTAAGCCTGGATATTGCTTGTTATCCCTGTGATATTCCTGTACTGGCACGATCTTGATAATTGCAAGGTGCATTTGAATCTGCGTACCCTGTGCCCCAGCCAAGTCCTGACGGACAGCCAGGTTGGAGCTCGTGCATGAATATGCCGCACCTCTGATATCAACGGGACTGGAATGTGTCGTGCTGAAGGCTCTCATAAACCTGGAAGAGCTGAACAACAAACATCCAGACTGTTGATTATATCCATCCCTTGATTGAGACGCGGCCCGCTTGATTCGACGCAGTCTATACAATTATAGACTGAAGCCTCGTTCATACCAGCCATAGGAAACGCATCTCCCCACGTATAGCCATTAAGAGCTCAACCATGAAAAATGTGCCACTCTTGTTTATCCAGTCTAAATGCCATGCGCAGGCGCGATAGTATATCATTTGCCCTAGCACCCCTTTGGGTCGCGCTTCCATTACCTTCAAGGGGCTCATTTAAATCTCACATAACTCCCTTGCCCAGGCCCATTCCCTCCAGCTTCTTCTTCAAACTACACTGTCTGCCACTCTCGTTTTCCAAATCCACTCGTTTGACACTCTTTGAACATACATTCCTTCTCTTGATCTATATCTTGCTCAATATACACAATGGCCCGTCTCAGCATTTCATTCCTCTCGGTGCTGCTTGTGCTGGCCGCGCTGGCCATGTCAGTGCCTGTCAAGCGTGACGAAGCCAAGGCCGGAGCCCTCAGTCTGGACAGTGCCCTTGGTCCTCTGGGAGTAAGTCTTCCATACTCTTTTCCGTGTTTCAGAGCTAACAGTATACACAGGGCGTCACCAAGATGATTCCCGGCCTCGACCAGGACGACGGAAAGCCCAAGATGTCCGAGGAGGAAAAGAAGCAGAGGAAGGAGCAGGAAGAGGAGCAGCAGAAGAAGGATGACGAAGCCACCATCGCCAAGGCCAATAAGAAGATCGCTGAGGCTGATGGAGATGCCCAACCCACTCCTACTGCCACCACCAAGAACAACAAGTCCTCTGGCAACTTTGTGACTCCCTCTGCTACTCCCACCCACAAGGCCAAGTCCAAGCCCAACGCCTTGGGCAAGATCCCCATCGTAGGTGGTCTCCTTGGAGGATCTGGAGTTGGCCTTTAAGCGATGTACTGGAGCTTTATTGTTGGAGAAGTCCATAATGACTTCATGTTTGGAAATGATCTCCTGTTATAGTTATTGAAGTTTCGCCCAGCTCTGAAGTGAGGGCTTGCTTCGTTTGAATAGGCAAATAAGAATCCTCAAGGTCCTGAAAGATCTCATTAAAATTATTTGATTGGTGCTCGTAGATCCGAAAAGACAAACTCTGAAAAACATCTGAAACGCTGAATGCTTGAAAAACGCCGATATCAGGCCTGCCATGGATCGCTTATGAGCTCTTCCCCTGGCTGGCTTGTTGCTGACCTTCATGTAGTCCAGTGTAGTACCCCGCATAGTACCAAGACATCATGAGGTTCTTCAAGGCTTCGTCTTTGACTGGTAGAATTAGCATTCGATCTCCATGTGTCTCAAATTCGGACATACCGTTGGCCATCACAGGGTGAGGCATGGGGAGGGTAGCAGCTGGAACCTCAGCGGTGGAGGTAGGAACAGGCTGAGGAAGCAGACCCTAATCAGTTAGAAATTCAAGTAGAAGTAGTTTCGGGAGCCATGACATACCTGTGTACTAGGCTCAGATGTGCCTTCATCTATGATCATAGCAACATCCTCACTCTCGGGATTCACAGCATCCTCTGCGTGAATTTCTGCCTCTCCGACCACCTCAGGCTCAGCCACAGAGCTGGACTCAGCAGCTTTCAAAACATCTTCCACATTCTCTCCTTTGGCGTGAATGCTGTGATAGAGCTGCCATCAAGTTAGATCGTGATCACGTGAACAGGGACTGAAACCGACCTGGTATTCTTCAACAGCATCATCCCAGGACTGCACTAGAGCAGAATCATCCCAGATTTCCTCGTGTGTCATCGACACATTCTTTTTCTTCCCCATGTCCAGAGTCTTTGAAATGAAAGAGGTTGGAGTTGATAGTGTTGCGATAGGTCGTGGGGGCTCACCGCCTTCCAAGCAAATCAGAGAAGAAAAAAAAGTTTCCCGATAATCTCGAGCAGCGTCCAGACTCCATTTCTACACCACAGAACGTCAAAATGGCCCCCGATAAGAAAATTTCCAAGCGCAAAGGTATGCGAAACTTCAATTGCTGGTGGAATCCTCTTTGAACTTGACTAATGCCATTCCAGGCGCACCTGTCGCCGCCGACTCTCCCGCTAAAAAAACCAAGAAGGCCGAGGCCAAGACCGAAGCACCAAAGGAGGATGTTCCTAAGTCTGCTCTGAAGAAGAAGGAGACTGCGAAGCCCAAGGCTGAGAAGGCTGCTGCCCCAGCTAAGGCTCAGCCAGAGTCCACTCGTCAGATGCGGCCTCGCAAGCGCGCTGCCGATTTCCTCACTGACGAGGAGGTCGAGGCCCCTGCTGCTGCTAAGGCTGACAAGAAGGCCGAGAAGAAGACTGCCGAGAAGCCTGCTGAGAAGCCTGCTGCTAAGAAGTCTAAGAAGGAGGAGACCAAGGCTTCTCCCGCTGCTAAGAAGGCCGCCCCCAAGAAGGCTGCTGCTAAAAAGACCGAGAAGAAGCCCGAGCCCGTTGAGTCCGAAGATGAAGAGGACAACGAGGTCCCCACCGCTATCGTCGAAAGCGAGTCCGAGGGCGAGGATGACCAGACTGCCGACCTCATCAAGGGCTTTGAGAGCAGTGATGATGAAGATGAATCTGGCGAAGGTTACAAAGAGGGCGAGCCCATCCCCAAGGCTCCTGACACCAAGAAGGCTGAGCGCAAGCTCGCCAAGGCTGCGGCTAAGCAGCTGAAGAAGAACGGTCCTCCTGAGGAGCCCGGCACTGTCTACATTGGGTGAGTTTCTTTATATCCTTAAAAAATCATCCTCATCTAACATCAAACCAGACGCATTCCCCACGGTTTCTACGAGCACCAGATGAAGGCCTACTTCTCCCAATTCGGTGAAATCACCCAGCTCCGTCTCTCTCGCAACCGTCAAACCGGTCGCTCCAAGCACTACGCCTTCATTGAATTCTCTTCGACCACCGTTGCCAAGATCGTCGCCGATACCATGGACAACTACCTCATGTACGGCCACATCGTCAAGTGCAAGTACGTTCCCAAGGAGCAGCTCCACCCTGAGGTCTGGCGTGGCGCCAACCGCCGCTTCAAGGTGACTCCCTGGAACCGCATTGAGAAGAAGCGTCTCGAGAAGGGCAAGACCCGTGAGCAATGGACCAAGCGCATTGAGAGCGAGCAAAAGAAGCGATTGGCCAAGGCCAAGAAGCTCGAAGCTCTCGGCTACCAGATCGATCTTCCTCAGCTGAAGAGTGTCGATGATGTCCCTGTCCAGGAGGTCCCCAAGGCTGTTGAGGGCGAGACCGAGACTGCTGAGGCTATTGAGCCTGCCGTTGAGGAGCCCAAGGCTGTCGAGGCTGCCCCTACTGATGATACCCCCAAGAAGACCAAGAAGGGCAAGAAGGCCGAAGAAAAGGAAGTTGTTGAGTCACCAGCTGCCAAATCTCCTGCCGCTAAGAAGGGCAAGGTTACCAAGAAGGCTGCTAAGAAGGTCAAGGCCTAGGGATCATATTTAAAAATGTTTGTAATTTCATTCTAGCCTCTTATCGAATGCATTTGTATTAACGACTATTCAACGTCTTGAGTATAAGGAGTATAAGATGGATATAAGATGGACAGGGTTTAATGGATCATCAATTAAATCTACATATACACACTGAAGTCCTCGACTGAAGCCGTAGACCATCAAAAATACCTGCACTCAAGTATACAAACTAAGAGAAGACGCTAACCCTAACTAAATCAAACTAACCCAGAAAGGCTAGTAATCACATGACCCTCCCAGCTCCACATAAAAAATAAAACCCAGCACCACCACTTCCTCCTTCTTCAACTCCTCGTTCAAAGAATCGCATTCAAAGCTCACACACAGAGGTTCCACCTCTAACTCGCTTTGGGAGAAAGTCCCCGGACACCCTGCACTTTGCAAAAAGATGCCAGGCACTGCGGAAACGCGCCGCCATAGAAGCAATTCGATAGCGGCCACGCCCACTCCCAACCACACACAGCACCGCCCGACACATCGTGGAAACAATGGGGCGACTGCGGCGTTGTGGAAGGGGAAGAACTTCGGTTCCAATCGGGTTGCCTTTCGTCAAGTTCGATAGTCATGCGATTGCTCGTCTTCGGACGGGTAACTCAATGGGGCTCATTCTTGAGGCGAGGAGTTCGCATTTTCCAAAGTCTGTAGCTTATTGAAAGCGGTACGGGTTCGCTCGACAGATGCCCCGTCGAAAGGGTCGGACTTTTAATTTGTTCGCGTGATGATATACCAATCATAGAGTCAAGCACAGAGTCCCAAGGGATGTTGACGATAAACGATTTAAAATTATCTGATGAACACTATATAGCTTTTTTGTTTTTTCTTGATAGCCAATACTATATGCAAATGCAATTGAAGGGAACATGAAAATGATTTAATGCAATATTCATTGTATCGTAGCATTCCTCGTATAATACAGGTTGACCATCCTGTCCTGCACTTTACTGAGCCTTGGCCTCAGCCTGGACGGGTTTGGCCTGTGCCTGTCCTACAATCCGGACAAACAGAGCTCCCACAACCTCCGCAGCAAGCGCAATCGCCGCAGCACACACATTGCTCCAGACCTGGATACTGACAGATCCCAAAGGCGCGCGAGGGAACGACACAATCCATTCCGCATAGTAAGGGAACCAGCCAGCTGGCAGCGGGAACACTGGAGTCTTCGAGTACCAGAACTGAAGGAAGATCTTCAGTCCGTTTGTGCTGAGCCAGCGGGCGATCTTGACGGTCCAGTCGAAGGAGGATTTTTGAGATGTGAGGTCCTTGTCTGTAAATCGTTAGCTGTCTGGATGTCCGAAGGTGAAAAGTAAACGCACTCAGCGCCTCGTATTCCTCCAGGGTCTTGTCATGGCGTCGGCGCGCTTTCGCCCACTTGGCAAATTCGTCCTGGGAGCTTGTGTTGTTCATTTCGCGCTTTTGTTCAAGCACCGCTCGCTTCAGTTGTTGCTGCTTGCGAGCTGTTCGCGATGTCGGCGTCGGCAGGCGGAGGTATAGTAGCCATAACTGTCTGGTTTTAGCTTTTGCGATCAGGATAGATGTCGCCGACAGTGCGCGATGCCTGCTGTCTGGATTTGGCTTGGGATACGGACCAGCTGGTCGATGGTGCTGGCACCGATCGTGTTGACTAGGTAGATTGCGACATTCACAAAGAACACTGTGAGGACGAGAGACAACATCGCGGTTGAGGGTTGAGGAAATGGATGCGATGCTGAGAGAGCCTGGGGGAAGGGCCTAGAAGAAAGACCTCAGCCGGTCAGAGTTGTTATGTTGCAAGGTGTTGAAATGTTGAAATGAGAACAGCGGACTTGGCCTGTCCGCCTTACCGATCTACGAACATCACGACTTCTCTTTTCTTTTATATTTCACCAATGCGAAAGAGAATAAAATGTGTAGCCATTTATGACTGCAACTGAATCAAATGTCCCATCAAGATGCATACCAACAACTTGCCAGCGTCTTCACATCTCGAGGCAACCAGGTTCTTGAAATTGAAATCATCCCATCAAGCCTAGGATCATTCCTACAAGATGGCAATGCAGTCGGCACAAGCAAAAAGACATTAGTCGCCGCATATATAGTCGCACGACAACTCTTCAGCAACCTCCAGCCAGGGGATTTCTCCCACCCGGCCATCACAGAGATAATGCTCCTCTTCGACTGTGAGCATCTGACAGCCTGCAACTGGCGCAAGCTTCGCATCAAGGCAGCCACAGCAGCTTCAGACTCGCAAGACCTGCTCCAGGCCGAGCTCACGCTCCTAACGAGCTACCAGTGCTCGCCACTGCATCGTCACACCAAGTCTCCGACATTATGGCATCACAGACTATGGGTGCTGCGCCAGATGCAAAGGCGTCTTCCTAGTCAGGAGGCCTTGGATTGTCTGAACTCAGAACTGGAAGTCGTTCTTCGAGCCGGAGAACTGCACCCTAGAAATTACTACGCTTTCAGCCACATGCGACAGCTGTCTGCTCTCCTCGGCACACACTGGGATGCATCGACCATCGACCGTGTCGTGAACTGGTGTCTTGCTAACCCCCGTGATATCTCGGGCTGGAGCTTTGCAGTGTATGTACTAGATACCTCGACCCGGCCGTCCCAAGTGCAGGCGCTTGAGAAGGTTATTCGATTTGCACTCGGGGTGCGGTGGGAAGGCGAAAGCCTCTGGACGTTTATTGCGCAATCTGCCAGACAGTTCGGTCTGGAGGCTTCCCTGGAGAAGATGATGATTCCCGAGGGCCACAGCTCCCCGACGCCTGACTCATGGTCAAGGTGGCTGGAGTTGGCTAGATCGCATTGGGCACACGGTTAAATGTGTATATACGGCATACGGATGCTTACAACCAGAATAGCACCTCCGTGATATTTTCTCAGGTATTTCGCAACGGTATACACGCTCTAAGTATAATGAACGCCAAGTGTCAAAACGCCTCGCTCGGCCTCTGTAGTTGCAGGGCATGATCCGTCATTCAGAAATCCCGTCCCAAAATGTCGTTGGACTCGCAGCGCTCGGTATAAAGGCAATAGGGTGGTATCGGGGTTATTTTTTCCCTCCTTCGGCCGCTCGTTTTTCGTCCGCTGGAAGAGATCAGTAAGATGTTGACCCCTGCATTGTGCTCACACGTACCCTTCTTCTGCTTCTCGCGCATGATGGCTGCGGCGTCCTCCTTGGTCTTCTGGTACTGTGAACCGGTCTGGGTGTTCTTGTTCTTCTGTAAAGGGGTCAGTCGCAGGCCAGCCGTTCTCGAGAAAGAGACGCACTGTGTTACCGGCTTTTTTCAAGGCCTTGGCCCGATCATTGTCACGCTGATTACCCCGAGTCATGTTGTGCTGTTTGGAATGAGAATGTTGTTAAGGAGAAAAAAAAGTTGGAGGGGTCGCTGGCGCGGGGGCAAATCCCCTCCGCTTTTCCTCGCACTTCCGTTCCTCTCTTTATTCTGTTCTTTCACCTCGGCTTTTCCTGCCAGATATAAACCTCTACTATTTAGGTCTATCTTTGTATGCTACCTGGGCGGCTATGGCTGACTCGTGATTGGTGTGTTAATCATTTACCTATTCGCCTCAAAGAACAGTGCCAGGCTATATTCTACTTCCATTTGGGAACAAATTCACGATGATTCAGTCTCATCTCGTCTCAGATCCGAAGCCTTAGGATCGCAACACTAACAGCCTGAATGCCAGCCCAAAGACGAGGCAATGAGGCAATGGGGAAATGAGGATCTTGTCAGGCACAGCGTTAGCCGCCAGGGACCCGACATCGTTTCAGGGTCGACCAGCAGCAGCTATTGAGATCCAATGCTTTGGACAGATCGGAACTCAGTTGAGATCCCAATAGCAGCTGCATGAATCCTGTACTGATTTAGGGCATTTTCCCTGCGCTTAGCTCTATTGTCCTGAAACTCAGGGCTCTATGGGTTTCAAGTCTATTCATAGTGTATAGTCCTTGATTCTTCATTCATCATTCATCATTGTCCTCTTTGTCTTTCTCTTTCTTCTATTCTCAATTCTATTCATTCTCTTTATTCTATTCTTGCCTCGAGTCGATCTCGTTTGGATATCAAGCTTTCTGCTGGACAGGAAGCTTCCTTCCCTTCTTTTAATCCCTTCATCCCCCCAGAAATCATCTACATCTTTTCTGCTCTCTCCTCTGTATACCCCCTTGGCATCATGATTGCCCGTTTGCGCGAATCCCTGGCTGGTCCAGGGTACGTGATCCTGAACGCCATTCGCGTTCTCAACATTGTGACTTTTCTCGATCTCATCGCGGCCTGTGTCGTGATGCTGGTTAAGATCGATATGCTGAACAGCTATTTCTTCTTTGAAGCTGTTACTCATGCTGTGGTGGCAGTGGTCAGCAGTAAGTACTTCCCATTTTCATCTGATCCCCATACTCACCTCGCCTAGTCTTCCTGATCGTCTCTGAACTCCCAGTGCTACAGCATTACTTCGACCGCCACTGGCCCATGTTCGGTCAAGACTCAGGCTTCTACTCCCTGGCTGGCATCATGATGATCCTGGGTGTCTCGACATTGGGCAATTTGAACACTCCAGCCATGGCCCAAGAGAAAATCGGCATGGTCTTCTGGCGTATCATTGCCTCGGCTGGCATTCTAGCCATGGTCATCAGTGTTCTGAACGTGTTGGCAGTAAGTCCATACCCCAACCCTTTGATTAAATCCATACTAATATACCCCCAGAGCTACATCTTTACCGACTCCGAAACCGGCGTCAGTGCCCGCCAAGTCCGCGTCGACGGCGCTGTCGCCCCACAAAAGGCCATGAGTCGCAGCAGCAGCAGTCGCAGCAGCAGCCACCGCACCCTGCACCTCAGCATGAAGCGCGAAGAGACTCTGCCTACCTACGAACGTCAGAATCCTGTCAAGCGCGCCACCAAGCGTTTGACAGGTCGCTTCCCTTTGAAGATCTCTCGCCCCACGTACCCTTCTCACCCGTCTGAGATTGCGCCAAACGATTCGGCTTCTTCGAGATATTCTCGTGATACCTGTGAGGTCCGTCCTCCTGATTTGGCGCATCACCCTGCTATGTACACGGGACAATATGTTTGACTCGATTGAGTTGGTCGTGAGGGGTGATTTGCGTTTTTGCGATGGCGCTGGGCTGGTTGATTCCCTTTGATTTTTGCTCTTTCAGTCTTCAAGGTTCTGATAGTTAATGGACTGCGATTGAGACATGTTGCGACAGTATCAGTTGACAGTTTGATATTGATGTTTAAATACGAACATTCACAGCATCAAAATGTAATGTAAAATAATGTCAGTAGTAAGTAGAAGTAGTAAGTAGAAGTAGTAAGTAGAATCAGAAGTAGTAAATAGCCATAGCAAACAAAGAGACCCACATCTCCGAGGACACTTCACACTCCCGACATCTTTACTTCTTACACTTTCGTCCTCTACTTAGTACTGTTCTGCTTCCTCTCGATGAGGCAGACTGTCTCGCAAATATGGCTATAGCAATCTCGTGGGGCACGTAAGTATTCCAGTATGGCTCCGCCGCAGCTCACTAACCGCGAATAGTGTCAAGTCCCTCCTCATCTTCTTTGGTCCTGTCCTCTTACCACGCCTCATCACTGCTTATCGAAGTCTGCGCGTGTCCATCGCAAGTCGTCCACCCCCACGACCCCTCCCCGCTGCCGCAGGTCGAGCCCTGAACATCCTCTTCGGGGGCATTGTCTTCTTCCTCCTCCTCAGTCTCCCCTTCAACCCTCACGCCCCCGAACCCAACATCTTCACTCTCACTCGATCCCGCCTCAATACCCCCACCGATGTCATCTTCAACCGTCTCGCCCGCTTCCGCCCCGACAACCTCCTCACCTCCGCCGACACCCTCCTCCAATCCAAGTTGACTTCCCTCGGCGCTCGCAGGGTCTACCTCACCTTTGGGCCCGACGCCTTAGTCTCCTGCCAATTCTGTTCTTATGATGATCTCACCACCTACCTGCTGTACTATCTGCCATTCCACGTGCTCCTCCCCCATCTCGCCCACCTCATGCTCCTCGGCATCGCGACCTCTGCCCCCCTCGCCGGCCGCGATTCCGCCCGCTGGCGCATGAAATTCACCCTGGCTGGTCTCGCCCTTGCCGCAATCGATATTTATATCATGGCCAGCTACGACGCCATCAATGGCGCCCCCTTGTCCGTCCGCGCAGGCCAAAAACCCCCCACCAGTCTCTACAATAATATCACGCTCCTACGGCCGCTGGCGATCGTGGTCTGCGATATCCTCTGTGCAGCCGTCATTTGGCTCTCTGCCACCCATCGCTTCTTCTTCAAGCCTCCTTCTTCAGAGGACCAGATCGATACCGCGGTTCAGATGGCTATTCAGTCCTTGACCGGTGCGACTACGAAACTCCATGCGAGTAGTGTGACGCGTAATGCGGTGGTGCGGGACAAGGCGCTGAAAAGTCGTGACGATTTATATTGGCAGACGATGGCGGCTTCGGAGGGCCCCACGGGGACTGGCGGGGAAATCCTCAACAATATTTGGGAAGAGGAAGAAGTGGCTCGAGCTATGTCGCGGGCTATGGCTGGTCAGGGTGGCATTGATTTGGCTCAATTGGGTGTTAATGCCAATGACTTTGTTCGTGGAGTCACGGAGGGTCTGTAACTGTAACATATATAGTGATCGGCGTGGAAGTCCTCTATGTGTCATTTTAACCGCCAAGACTTTCTTCTCCCCGGAACAGGTATTCTGTTGATATTTTTCAGTGTATTAAAAACAAGTACTTAAGTAGTCTGTAAAAAGATCTAAATACCCCGTAATTCTACTTAAGTATCTACAGTATAGAGTTAATACTAGTTCATGCAGGTCAGCGTCAGCCAAATCTACTTAACGAGAGGCGGTGAAGTGGAGATGATCGTCGTTCAACAGATGAAACCACTTCAACCACGTTCCCCTCTCCTCAGAGGCGAATTTCCTTTTGAACTTCCAAGTTACTATTCTCTCTCTGATCAAATCGGATCTGAGAAGCTCTCGTTGCTGGTCGAACGAGTGTATCAAAAGGGGCTCAGATGCAGGTCCACCTCTCGGCATATTAATATTTCTCCATTTCAACTTTAGAACTCTCGCTTTCACAATGGCCGACGTTCAAGTCCCCGAACACAAGGAGCGCAAGGAGCGCAATGCCTATCTCTCTTCACGAGTCAAAGAAACCACCTTCCGAGAATGGGTGGTTGCCAATCAAATTGGTAGGCCGACTCCTCCAAAAGGTGGCCCATCGCTAACGCTATCACAGGAATCTCCATGACCACCCTGGCTATGTTGCTGGCTCTTCATAACCTCTACCCCTCTCTCCGCCCCTATACCGCGCCCTTCTTTCAATTGTCCTATTACGATGAATCTACGAACTCCTACGTCCAAGGCTGGGACGATGTCTATTTCGTCTTCAGCGCCGCCGTCGCCCTCACCGGTATTCGGGCCATTGCCATTGAATGGGTCATGCAGCCAATTGCACGCGCCTCCGGCTTGAAGCGCAAGAATGCCACCCGGATCGCTGAGCAGGGCTGGATGGCTATGTACTATGGCTTCATCTGGATGGTTGGTTTGGTGAGTGGACCTTCTCGGGGTAGTGGATCTTGGCTGATTGGTGGTAGTATCTTTGGAAGACGTCTTACTACTGGGGGGATTTTGCGGCGATGTGGTCCCAATGGCCTGCTCGTCCATTGTCTGGTATGATGAAGTGGTATCTTCTGGTCGAGCTGGCATTTTTGATGCAGCAGATCTTTGTGATTCACGTCGAGGAAAGACGCAAAGATCATGTTCAGATGCTGTCTCACCATATCATCACCAGTGCGCTCCTCGGTTCGGCCTATATCTATGCCATGTATAACGTTTCCAACGTCGTGCTGTGTCTCATGGATATTGTGGATGTTCTGCTTCCGGTAGGTGAACATCGAACATCCTGTATGAAAGAAGCCCCGACTAATGTTTTGCCCCAGACTGCCAAAATTCTCAAGTATCTCAAGTATGAGACTGCCTGCAATATCGGCTTCGGGTTGTTCATGGCCACTTGGTTCTTGACCCGTCACCTTATCTACCCCGTCGTGTGCTGGTCTGTATATCACCAGTTGCCCCTCAACCTCACCTACGGCTGCTACACCGGCTCCACGAGCGAGTTCATCTCCGCCGAGCCTCCGAACTCCTTCGCCTATATGCTCGGTCCATACTTCAGCCTGGACAATCCCATCTGCTTCAATCCGACTCTCAAGTGGATGTTCCTGGGTCTCCTGCTGATCATCGAAGGCCTGTCCGTCCTGTGGTTCAGCATGATCGTGCGCGTCGCCTACGGTGTCATCTGCGGTGGTAACGCGGAAGACTCCCGCAGTGACGAAGAAGACGAAGCCGAGGTGGAACATCAACCCGTTCACAGCTCAGTGCACCTGGCCGCCAAAGACGCCACAGCCGAGACAGTTGAAGGCGAACACGCCCCGGGCCTCGACCGTCGGCGGTCCAATGGCACAGCCTCAGTCCGTGCCCGGGGTCGTGGACGTGTACCTTTCGACCAGAGTGACCGCAAAGCCCTTCTTGGTCGCATTGGATGTGAAAAACCCACGTAACCTCTTCTTTCCTTTTCAAAATTTGACGATCCTCATGTCGACTTCCGTCTGATGTTCCCATAGCTCCAGGAGCAACTTACGAATTGCGTTTTATGGTTTTCCGGCATCTCGTTTTTCCAGTCTGCTTTGCCGGGTCTTATATCCACTACGTTTCTCTTTCGAATGCATCTCATTCTCATTCGCATTCTATGATCCAGATCCAATGGCACGTAGGAATTCGACTTCTTGTCTCTGCCCATCACTACACGTAGTCCCTTAGTATCGGTTCCCCTCCCCCCTCCCTTACATCCCCCAATCTCCCAGACGCCCCCCCTCCCCCCCTGCGGCTGCACCACAACATCATCACAACTACTTAGTTTTGTGTTATCCGTTTTACTCTGAGTTTCGGCTCATAAGTGTTTTCACGACTGTATAGATCTATAAATCTTGATCAATATACCTCAGAACATTATAGACCGGAGATTTCAATGATACCAAATATCTACTTAATCATTTCCCATTCCAATGCAAACGTTCGCCCTCAAGGAATCTGTCTCTCGTAAACACCCTTCACACAAATCTCGTAGCTTGTGCACCCCGGGATATCCTCACGAGAGCTTGCAACCCGTGCAACAAGTGGCCGAATTATACAAATCAGATTATCCTCCGATCTCCGATCTACGATCAGTCGGTGTTAGTTTGTTTGGGAAATTCCAGCCGAGACCTCCAGGGTGTACGTAGGGTTTGCCGTCAAGACTGACCCCAGAAGAACAGCTGTTGAGCCCTCATTGTATGAAAACGAGCTGACCTCATCCACATCCCTTTGCAGTAGTCCCTTTCGGTTATTCTGTGTCTAAAGAGAGCGCAATGATATCTTATTGGCATACTCTTGATCTCGTTATATGCAGAGCCAGAAAAAAAACATAGCTATCGCATAACCCCCTCAACGTTGGAAATAGACTGAGGACAGCATTGAATGATTTGATACAGGACTCATCCAGTCAACTATATACATTTCACAGTCTCTCTTTCATATCCTAGAATCTGCAGAGCGCCTGAGCAGTGGTACAAGGCGACCAAACCGAGGAATTAACTTTGACCAGCAGCAAATTCTGATCAACTTCAGACTAGATCGTTACATATCTTCGTATCGAGCGCTTCAAACACTCTTCATTGGTCAACGAGACCAAAATCAGGCCTTCCTCTAGTCTACTAGATAAAGAAAAGATCGCACAGCATGAAAATTCATGGATATCGTCGAACATTCTCGTTTACTCCCAGGATTCCCCCACAGTCTCTGTATCAGGCCTCACGTCCGTCACACATCTGATTATCGAGGCTCTGTAATAATGATAGCGCAACACCTTTATCTCGGAGAATCTGAACGCTGTTTAGCACACAATTGGAACCTCAATCATGAAGACTACCACTTCAATGACAGACGTCGAGGAAGGCCCAAATAGCCAACGCACCAAGATCACCGGTGATCATGGAAATGTTCAACTACGAGACCCCGTCACCAATCAATTGATATTAATTCCCCCTCCATCAGAGGACCCGAAAGATCCTCTTAACTGGTAGCATGGCTATTATTCAATGCGTTGCACTACCTGACAAAGCACAGGTCTAGAGGATTTCGACTGTTCATCGCATTCATCGCTAACACCGCTGTCTTCCTTGCTCAATTGATATCCGCCGGTCCAAGTGTCAACATCATGAATATGGTCCATGACCTCTTCAACGCAACGCCAACCCATCCGAAGTATCCCACTCTAGTAGCAAAAGTCTCATACTTCTTCAGTGGTATGGTATTCTTGCAAAGCATGTCGAATCTGTTCTACATGCCAGTGATTATCAAATACGGCCGTCGTCCAGTGTACATCGTCTCCTTGTTGGTCTTCGGTGCGTACTCGCTCTGGGCAGGACTAGCAAAGAGTTATCCCAGTGAATTGGCTGCACGGCTAACCCTGGGGTTTGCAGGGGGTTCTGCTGACTCTCTAGCTCCTCTCACAATCACTGATATATTCTTTCTTCATGAACGGGGGTTCATTATGAGGTTTGCCCTTGCTCGAGTATGTTTTGCATGGCTAATTTATGTAGTTTTTATGCGACGGCAGTGTCTTGTGGGATTGGAAGTGGGATTGTTCTGTGTGGTTTGATCTCCATCCACTCGAGCTGGCGGGTGATTTACTTCGTTGTTGCAGCTGCAGCTTGGATCCTGCTCGCCGTTGTTGTTTTTGCTGTGCCTGAAACGGCATACAAAAGGTGTCAAAGACAAAATCTTGCAGTCCATTGACTTACTTCTAATACAAAATTGTCCAGATTCTCCCACAATGCCAACCATTCACATCCGACAGAGTCTCACCAAATCTCCCCGCACAGCTTGAAAATATTCAACGGCCCCTTCACCACAGAATCCCTCTGGCAGCTATTCTGGCGACCCATCCGACTCCTCCTCCTCCCACCCGTTCTCTGGGGCACCCTCGCCCAATCCGTCTGCATCAGTGCCCTAGTCGCCGTCACCACAAGCTCCGAAACTGCCTTCTCCAAAACATACCACTGGACCATTTGGCAGTGCGGCCTCGCCTATATCGCCACCATAATCGGTGCTCTCCTTTCCATCTTCGGCAGTGGATGGTTATCAGACACAACAGCAGATTGGCTCACACGTCGCAATCACGGCCTCCGAGAGCCGGAAATGCGATTACCTGCTTTAATATTGTGTTCAATCCTCTGTCCCCTGGGCATTGTGTTATACGGCCTTGGAATCGAACATGGATTACCCTGGATAGTGCCTGTTCTGGGTCTAGCTCTTTGTGAGTTTGTGGCTCGAAACCATATGCAAATATCTAATTCTTTTAGTGGGCTTCTCGGCTGCCCAGGTTGCAAGTACAGCTTTGCTTTATGCTGTGGAATCTCATCGGCCTATAGCTGGTGAAGTGGTTGTTGCACAGATGAGCTTTAAAGGTGTGTCTTGACTGGATATAATCTTGCAACTATTGCCGATCTGATACATACAGGGGCATTCGGGTTCCTGCTCTCTTTTTATACGAATCCGTGGATTGAGTCTGCTGGTTATAGTACTTCTTTTGGGATCCAGGCTGGGATTATTGCTGCAGTGTTGATTCTGTGGGTTCCTCTCTACATTTGGGGTAAAAGGATTCGAGCGTGGTATATGCAGCTTAGTCTTGCCCGGTATGTTCAGTGGAAGTCTGATCGCGAGGTGGGCGAGTAGTTGTAAACTGCAAATACTTGGGCTGTGGTCAGCTTGAATATACAACATTTAAACAAGAAGTAAACATTTCAACAATCAATAAATACTTAAACAATAAGTACTAAATCTATAAATAAGTCAATTTAAAGTATAAGCTTAGTCATTGGCCCCCAAACTGGAAAAGCGCACTCCTATTCAACTTTAGAACGTGCAGATGCAGAGACTGCAGAGATCTACTGAAGTAGCAACATGCCAAACCAAAAGCGTCGTCTCAGAATAAGCCCCAGATCCAAATCAGGCTGCAAAACATGCAAGTAGGTGTTCTGGACCTACCTAGGTACCAAGACTCCAATACTAAACCACTTAGAATCCGCCGGGTAAAATGTGGAGAAGAAAGACCAAGTTGTCTACGATGCACAAGCACAGGCAGGAAATGCGATTTCAAAATAGAGCCCATCATCTTCGTCAACCCATCGCTATCACCCAACACTGGATCCCGGGAGAGGCGCGCATTCGCCTATTATTTCGAATTCGCAGCCTCATCTATAGGCGGTGGGTTGGATCTGGATTTCTGGCGCACCGTCGTACCACAGGTGTGTCGACATGAGCCTGCAGTTTGGGATGCGATTATTTCAATCGGTGCTTTATTTGAATGTTCTCAGAAGGGTCCGAATCTGTTTCTCAGACAGGCTGGGTTGAAAGACCTGGATCAGAATCATCAGGATGTGCTGGCTTGGTATGCTCGCTCTGTTTCGGCTATTCGTTGCCGGATCGAGGCTGGGAATGTGGATGCTTTTGTTGGGTTGATTAGTTGTATGCTTTTTATCTGTGTGGAGGCTCTTCAGGGTGATACGGGTGGTGCAATGCAGCTTTTTGCGCAGGGGGTGCGGTTGATTATGGCTTTGCGGCCCATGATTGCCTCTGGTGCTATATCTGCTAGTAAGGCTGAATTGCTGGATGATACGATTATTCCCATCTTTCTTCGTCTGGCGGCTTGTGCGCTTGCTATTGATGGTCTGCCGCTGGATGTATTGTTGGAGAATCGCACTCCGCAGCTGTTTGAATCACTCAGGTCGGCGCGGAATGCCATTGTTTCGCTGGCTGTGGAGATTCCAATGTTCGAGGCCAAATGCATTGATCATATGCTGCAAACTGATAGCTCGGTTGTGCCGGACGATCTCCTGGCCCAGAGAAATGTCCTGGCATCAAAACTCGAGAGTTGGTATACTGCATTTGCTGCTATGAACAACTCCAATAAGAAAATTACATCGGAAGAAATCGGCGCCGCGGCTCTTTTTTTCTCATATCATGAAATGCTATACGTGATGTTGGGGACTTGCACGTCGATGTGCCTGACAAACTTCGACGCTTTCATACCAAACTTCCAAAGGATCGTCGAACAATCAGCCATTACACTCAGGGCGTCAACAAGACCAGATGGAACACAGCCACCATTCACATTTGAGCTCAGTGTCGGTCTCCCGCTGTGGTTTACTAGTCTTCGATGCCGGGATCCGCAAATTCGTCGTTTGTCACTCACTTTACTCCACCGGGCACCTGCCGTCCAAGGATTCTACCAATGCTCCGTTGGCACAGCGATCGGCGAAAGGATCATGGGACTGGAGGAATCATTCGAAATGGGCATTCATGCAGCACAGCCAGTCAAGACACTGGAACCTGCGAAGAATCCAGGCCTCGAGATCGTTGCGAGTTCATCTGCTGCTGTGGAAATCGAGGCTCATGCAGGCTTGATTTCAGAAGAGGCACGAGTTGGACCAATCACTTTGTTCAGGCCGCGGGACGGCCTGCCAAAGGGGACCAAGTTGGAAGATATTGCTGAGTGGAATCGAGACCCTGGTCAAGCATTTTTGCGTTTCTCTCGGAATGAACGAGGCTTGACTGATGATTCTTGGCGAACAACTTACAAGTATGTGCCTTTTGACCATGCTTTACCGGATTTATACTATGTGGTGTCTTGTGTCGACTCGGAGAAACCACAAGCCATGGTGGCATGATACTTTGTTTGCGAATATGTATCGAAATATGAACTTGTCTTGCTTGCAAGCTTGGGATTTGCCTCCGTATTATTCAACCCGAATGTCCCCGCGAGCACGACAGGCAGACAAGAATGCCTGATTCGTGCTGTGTTGTGACCAATCCGGGCACTCTGAAGGTGGGTGACATTCGGCAAATGTTGGCTGCCAGGCTATATCGTCGATGTGGATTTCGACCGTTATTGAACGGCTGCTTGGATAGCACGCATGGCCCAAATCAGCCCAACCGATGCTTAAATCCACAGAATGAGCAATGAATTGTTTCTTCATTTCGCAATTCCCAGTGTACACACATCGTGCGCAGCGTTTCTGGGCATGAGTCTTGTCCAGTTCATCCTGTATGATGCCAGGCAGACATTTTTGAAAACGAAATTGCCAGTTTTTCTAGCAGGAAAACGACCGAGCAAGAACCAAATAATGAAGATTCCAAAGAATCAGTCTTAGCAAAGACATCACTCTCAGCCACCATTTTCTCTCAATCGTGCAAGCGCCGCTGTAATGCCATCACTCATCCCTTCCTGGTCAGCAGCCCGGGTCTCACTGGTTTTCGCAGCCTCCGAGGCTGCCGTCCTCCGACTTTCTTCTAACACCGCACGAAGAATCGCCTCTTCTTCATCCTCTTCGTCGGCATTCTCAGACCTATCAACCGCAGGTGCAACAGGGGGCGGGCGGCGCGGTGCAGCAGAAGACTTCTTCGACCCTTCAACCCTAAAGTCTTCCCGTACAGCACTGCACCACTGCTGGACCTTCTTCTCTCCCCAGCCTGGCACAGCACTGATCTGCTCAGGCTGTGCATTGATGGCATTCTGCAGGCTCCCGAATGTGGAAATCAAACTCGCCGCGTCGGACTTGTTGATGCTTCGTGGTACTGTCACAAATTCAACAAGTGACTCCTTGTATGTTTGTGGTTGTTGGGCGCGGATTGCAGTTGGCTGGGCATTCTCTGATGATTTGTATAACTCCAGATAATGCGCTGCCTCTGGTGCGGACCAGCACAAGATCAGTGTCAGGTTGTTGATAATAGATGTTTTGGATAATTCCCGGAGACTGTCTTCGTGGTTCTGGATGTCGACCATCACCAGTACTAAGCGCAGATTGTATTTTCCTGCTAACTGCTTGACTCGAGCGTAGATGTATTCGGGGTGTAGACGGTGGTACTTTAATGACAAGAACATGGCGCAGGTTGTGACTCCCACCACATAGTCAGCGGGGATATCGGCATATTCCCAAGGTAGGAGTTTGATGTGATTCAGAATTGGGTTGCCTTTCTGTCGCGTAGACACGAGAATCGCGGAGGGTCCAGCGCGATTGGCGAGAGCTTGGGGTTTCGGTTGTTGGACCTTGGGCTTCTCTGAAGTAGCTGGAGCTGGAGAGTCCAAAGGCCGAGATGGTAAGCCACTGCCAGGTCTCTGGGGGTCCATTGTGAGGGTATCGTTAATGCAATGGCGTCGACTGGAGAGAGTCTCGGACCCGGGGAGTCGATAAGTTGATAACGCTTATCGGAGAGACGCACACCGCCCGGCCCCAATCTGGCTCAATTTTCTGCCGCTAATTTTTTTGTTCTTCCATCGACAGACCAAGTTCAGTCGCAACATGGCCAACATGGTGGAATCAAACAAGAAGCGCCGCTTCTCAGATGCTGAGAGCCCCGAAGTCAAGGTCGAAGTCACTGCAGCCCCCGCCGCTCCTGCGCCCCAGAACAACCGAACTCTTTTCGTCCGCTCACTCCCCGAGTCGGCCACTTCAGAGAGCCTGGCAGAATATTTCTCGGAATCTTACATTATCAAGCACGCTGTTGTTGTTTGCGACAAGGAAACTAAGAAGTCTAAGCAATTCGGTTTCGTGACATTCGCCGACGTCGAGGATGCCGAGAGTGCCTTGAAGGAACTCAATGGCTCCAAGTTCGACGGAAAGATCATTCGTGTCGACTATGCCGAGCAGCGTAAGCGTGAAATCGACGAGAAGATCGGTCGCAGTGTGCCCACCGCTGCGTCTCTCGAGTCGAAGAAAAAGAAGGAAGAGGAAAGAGGTCAGGGCTTGCCGCCCAAGCTGATTGTCCGCAATTTGCCATGGAGTATCAAGGAGTCTAAAGATCTGGAGATCTTGTTCCGCAGCTTTGGAAAGGTCAAGTTTGCTACTCTGCCCAACAAGAACGGCAAGCTCTCTGGTTTCGGTTTCGTGACACTGCGCGGCCGCAAGAACGCCGAAAAGGCGCTCCAGACACTCAACGGCAAGGAGATTGATGGTCGCCAAATCGCGGTCGATTGGGCTGTTGAGAAGGAGGTCTGGCAGACGACGAATAAGGAGGAGGAGGAGAAAGAAGAGAAGGAGTCTGAGGATGTCAAGATGGAAGATGCTGGTGGCCCTCTGGAGGAGCCTTCAGAGGACGAGACATCTTCCGACGAGGATGACGAGGATGACGAGGAGGATGACGAAGATCTTGACGACGACGAGCTGGATGACCTCGACGATGAGGACGAAAACAAAGAGGATGACCGCAACAACTCAACAATCTTCCTTCGCAACCTCCCCTTCACTGCCACCGACGACTCTCTCTACGAACACTTCTCCCAATTCGGACCTTTACGATACGCCCGTGTGGTTCTCGACCACGAAACCGAGCGCCCCCGCGGCACTGGTTTCGTATGCTTCTGGAAGGCTGATGACGCTAACACATGTATCCGCGAGGCTCCCCGCGGTGCTGAAGCCATGGCTCCCAGCAAAGACAAGCCCAAGTCCAACACAGCCATGAAGCACTCTGTCCTTCAAGACGAGAACACCGATCCCAGCGGTCGCTACACCCTCGAAGGTCGTGTCTTGCAGGTCGCTCGCGCCGTGAGCAAGGGCCAAGCCGCAAAGCTGGAGGAAGAAGGTGTCTCTCGCCGCATGGTCCGCGACACCGACAAGCGTCGCCTCTACCTCCTCAACGAAGGAACCATTCCCTCCAACTCACCCTTGTACAAGAAGCTCTCACCCTCCGAGGTCAAGATGCGTGAAGACTCCTACAAGCAACGTGAAACCTTCATCAAGAAGAACCCCGCCCTCCACCTCTCGCTCACCCGTCTCGCTATCCGTAACCTCCCCCGTCACATCGGCTCCAAGGACCTGAAGCAACTTGCTCGAGAGTCTGTCGTCAACTTCGCCAAGGATGTCAAGAAGGGTGTTCGTCAGCCTCTGTCTCGCGAGGAGCAACAGCGCTCCCGCGATACCATGAAGGAACTCGAACAGCTGCGCAAGCAGAAGAAAATGGGTATCGTGCGCCAAGCCAAGGTTGTCTTCGAGACCCGCGAGGGAACCAAGGTCTCTGAGAAGACTGGTGGTGGTCGTTCCCGTGGCTACGGATTCATTGAATACTTCACCCATCGTCATGCGCTGATGGGTCTGCGCTGGCTGAACTGTCACTCCATGGTTGTTCCTGCTTCCGCGCAGGATGCCGAAGACAAGGACAAGAAGAAGAGTCTGGTTGTTGAGTTTGCGATTGAGAATGCGCAGGTTGTCAAGCGTCGCAATGAGCTACAGGCCAAATCGCGTGAGCCGAAGCCCAAGCGTGACGATGACGATCACAAGGATCTCAAGAGGAAGCGATCGGATTCTCGGGGCAAGAAGGATGGTCGGGATGATAGACGCGATGCAAAGCGTGGCAAGACCGATTCTAAGCCCGAGAAAAAGACCGAGAAGACTGAAGAGGAGGACAAGGCGGCCAAGCGCAATCGCATTATCGGACAGAAGCGCATGAAGCGCAAGGGCCGTAAGGGCAAATGAGTCTCTAATGTATAGTTTTGTGTATATGCGATACCAAAAAAATGAACCAGGTATAGGATTTGTCTCTTTTATATTCTCCGTATTTCAAGTGTTGGTTGCACCCTCGACCTTGCCGACAATGTTATACCGCTTGCTGAAGAAAGTGAACCATTCATTCAACGTAGTCTTCTCCTTCTCGTCGAGATCGTACCATTCCGGGACGCAGTTTTCAGGCTTCAGGGAGGAGCATGCGAGGGCGCGAGAGGGGTCCTTGCCGGCGAATACTGCTCACGTTAGTATCCGGAGTTTAACTTCGGTTCTTAGGTCCCTACCTCGGTATTGACCCTGTGCTCCGTATGCTGAGTTCCGAGTCACGTCGAACACGACACCCTTGATCGCGACCAGAGTTGGGCGGCTGGGATCGGAGCCTGGGGCAGTTAGCAATTGTGGCATGCATGCGCCATGCGCCATGCGGAGGTGAGATGTACCGTCACATTTAGCCAGCTCCTCAAGGGAAATGGGATCATCCTTGGGGGGATCGAGCTGAACAGCCACCTTGGGCGCAAAACGCTTCTCTTCAGTCATGGTGTGTTGATGTGTTGAGGGGAAGTTGGAGTTTGGCGGGGTTGGATTACTATCCTCGGCTCTTTATTCGATCTGCCGTACTAACCTAAATACATCAACTTGTACTCCATTTACAGCCAATGTTCAATTGTATCTCTACTTTATCTCACGACCTATTTCCATTTCCATTTCCACACTGTGTATGTCCATATGCCCTAACTATACAAACAGCATTTCAAAGACACTCGTATTCTACTTCGGAGTATAAAGACTTCAGTTATAGCATAGATACATTCTTTGAAAATGCCTATCAATCTTTTCTTCTTCTCTTCTATCAAGCGAGAGCTCCGTAGGGAGCTCTAGAGGGAGAGATGGGGAAGAGGGAGAGAGAGAGATAAAACTGCAAAGAATTGTATGTACACTCAAGTACTTAGATATCTCTATGTTGATCTATAAACACAGGAATAGGAATATCAATATCGATCAATGGTATTCTCCGCACTGAGGTATAGAATACCCATCTCTTCCAGCAGACAGCATACCTTGGGCAGGTACTGGATACTTTGTTCAGTCCATGACGTCAAAACCAACCCTAAGATGACTGCGCCAGTTCAACCTCCAAGGCTCATCTCTTCTTCTTCTTCAGCATTAATCATTCTTCAAATCCATATACTGAAGACCACAATATGTCATCAAACCATCCTCAGACCCCCGTGGCTCGGGTCGATCTAGATCACCCCACACAGTCTGAGATCCACCACCGTTACTTTGAAGACAATGACAGCTTCTTCCCACCTAGCTGGCTGGGAGCAGACACAGCATCCCGCAGATCTTCCACCGAAAGCACAGATAGTATGACAACCCCACAGAACACGACCATGAACACGGCCCAGGACACCGGTAGGAAAGACAGTGATTGACCGAGCAAACGGTATGAAGTATGATGCTCATGGCAAGCGAGTACGTTGCTACTGGAATGCCATATCAAGAACCATGCTGACCTCTTTAGATTGTAGTGCACACTTGGTAGTGTGACTAGTGTCTCGATGTTGGGGGGCAAGATGTTTGTCATTCATGTGTAATATACTTTCATGTAAAGGTGAAACTCGCAGCTCAACGATGTACATTCTGTGCCTTGATGACCAGGCCATATTAGAAAGGAATGTATGTTGCAAGGTCATTGAGAGGAAAGTGTGGGATGAGGCTCTGTGGGTATCACGTGATAACACCTTCCCGATTAGGAAGTGCAGAGGTCTATATCAGATACAAAAGTTCCTCACTCTCTGTGAGCTGCTCCGGTAGCTCAGTGGGTTAATGAGTTCAGGATTTAAATACCGCGTACTCTAAAGCTCCCCTCTGGATCCTAGGGAGCACCCGCCGGTCTTAACAGAGGGGGGGAGTTCGATCCAGCATTCCCACCCTTTTTTTTCTTTTTCTTTTCCCCTTTTCTCTTCTTTCGTCTTTCAACCTCCCAAGCACTGTCATATCCCACATTGTAGCTGAGAGAAACATCTTATATCCATGGAGTGAAGGTTGGTGTATCCTTCGGATCTGTAGATTGAAGTGGTCACGTGACTGATATGGCCCTTGGACTCTGTACTTTGTAGATCAGACTACATATTTCACACTTCCTGTCTGCAGTTGACAGAATTAGGATTGCTTTCGCGCTCATCTCCAGGTAGCCCTGGACTGTGACATCAGGCCGATCAAGCACTCTTTTCTTTTCCCTTGATCTCGTGAGAACTGTTTGATAAAACAAGACTGACAAGGCCAAACTGGGGAATAAAATCCATACAAAGTTCAAGTATTCTATAGAGAACCAATGGGGGTAGCCAGTACGGAGGACTCCGTGCTTCGCTACAGTGCACGATGTGCACGATGTGTATGGATATCAGTCTAGCGGGCCCGTAGTGGGGAGAAACCTGGAAGTAAGGGGCTAAAGTGCAATCTGATTTGCCGTTCTACAGTGTGTCTTTTTTCCCGAATTCGGACTCTGCCGCTCGAGGGCCCGAGGTCCAAGTTAAACGAAATACTACCTCAAACGATAAAAATTCTATTTCTCTCTTTCTTTTACCTGTGCTTTCTCTATATTAACCTTGGAAACTTGGCATATATTAATACAGTCCTTATGTCCCTGGACCATGGCCCCTCATATCCATACAATGTCTACCATCCAAAGCGCAGAACATCCCACTGACCCGGACTCCAAGCCCATGAAGAAGATGGCCGTGTCGGAGAAAGGGTCCGAGAAGCGCGACTCCATGGACAGCGGATCAATGCAATCGACCTACGACCACACCCACCGCAAGCTCAAAACCCGCCATGTGCAGCTCATCGGCATTGGCGGGACCATCGGCACGGCCCTGTACGTCCAGATCGGCTCCAATCTGCGCACCAGCGGCCCCGCCAGTTTGTTTATCGGCTTCAGTCTCTGGTAAGTGCTGTTCCCCTCTATGCATATCTGGTTGACTGGTTTGGGTTCTGGTGTTGGTGGTAAGTCGGGGTTTGCACACCCTATGTATGGAGTAGCAGTGGAAAGTCTATATGTAGCCCTAGCTTCGGGACACTGAACCCAAAGTCATGCCTTTATTGTGAAGGCTCCCTCTTATACTATGTTTTTTCTTTTTCTAGGAGCTGTGTGATCTTGATCATCACCGTCTGTACGATCCCCTGCCCTTTGCGTCCGAGATCTCCAATGCGCCAACCGCTTGCCCTTTGCACCCTATCGCCCATTGCAATCCCCGTAGTATGAAACTCACCCTTCTCTCTAGGTCTGGCGGAAATGGTCACCTACCTTCCAATCTCTTCTCCCTTCATTCGCTTCGCCGGCCGCTATGTCGATGAAGCCCTAGGCGTCGCAGCAGGTTACAACTTCTTTATCTTCGAGGCTGCATTGGTGCCATTTGAAATCGTCGCCGTCAGTCTGATCATCAGATACTGGACTGACGCGATTCCCGTGGCCGCAATGAACGTAATCGTTTTGGTACTTTATGGGTGAGTGAAACAATCTCCATTGCACACCCAGAACTGACCATCGTCCAGAGCACTCAATCTATTTGCCGTCAAATGGTACGGCGAAGCAGAGTTTTGGCTCTCGCTAGGTAAAGTCCTGCTGAGCATCGGTCTGATCTTCTACACTTTCATCGTCATGGTAGGCGGGAATCCCCTTGGAGACCGCTTTGGCTTCAGATACTGGAATGAGCCTGGCGCCTTCAATGAATATTACAAGACTGGGGATACGGGCCGCTGGCTGGGCGTTCTGGCTGCTGTCATTGCGGCCAGTTTCACCATCGCTGGTCCGGACTATGTCTCCATGGCAGCTGGCGAGACTATCAATCCGCGCAGGGTGCTCCCCCGAGCTTTCAACGGGGTCTTTTACCGCTTGACGGCCTTCTTCGTGCTGGGCGTTTTGTGTGTGGGCATCTTGGTCCCGTATAACGACAAGACCATGGCCGATGCCTTTGACAGCGATAAACCCGGTGCGGCGGCCTCGCCCTATGTGATTTCAATGGATCGGCTCAATATCCCTATCCTCCCGCATATTGTGAATGCCGTCGTTCTGACGGCTTCCTTCAGCGCTGGGAACAGTTACATGTACTGCGCCAGTCGCAGTCTCTATGGTCTTGCATTGGAAGGGAAAGCTCCCAAGGTCTTGACTAAATGCACCAGCCGTGGCGTCCCAATCTACTGCGTCTGCATCGTCCTTGTCTTCGCACTGCTGAGCTTCTTGCAAGTCTCTAACAATGCAGCTATCGTGTTGAACTGGTTTGTCAACTTGGTATGTTCATCCCTTTCCAGTTGAACATCCATCTAATATAACCAGGTCACCGCTTCCCAACTCATCAACTTCTCCGTCGTGACGTTTACCTTCATTCGCTTTAAGAAAGCCCTCGACGCCCAGGGCATCTCTCGAGACACACTCCCCTATAAAAGCTGGTTCCAGCCGTACATTGCTTATGTCGCGTGTACCTGCACCACCATCATGGCGTTCGTGGGTGGCTATACCGTCTTCTTGCCGGGTAATTGGTCTATCCCGACATTCCTCTTCTCGTACACGATGATCGGGGTCTTCCCGATTCTATATTTCAGTTGGAAATTCTACCACAAGACCAAATTCCTGAAACCAGAGGAAGTTGACTTGGTCTCGGGTGTTGTGGAGATCGAGGAGTATACGAGGGACTTTGTTACTCCGCCGCCAAAGTAAGTTTTGTTTCTGAATCTGTGAGGAAACTGGACTGACAGTATAGGACTGTGCTTCATAAGTGGATTGGTATGATCTTCGAGTGAGGTGTTGGATATATGTGCAGATCATTTCTATGGTTCTATAGCATTGGTACCAACTGTTAGCATCAATTGAGAGAAAATAACAAAGCCTTGTATGATTCGCCCTAAATAACACCTGCATATTCGTACTCATTTCCCCTCCTTCTTCAAAGCATCCAACCTCTTCTGATTCCTCTTCCCAATAATCCGCATCGTACTCTCCTTCTCTGAATCCGTCATCTGCGCCCAATTCCCAATCTGCGACAATGTCCCATCCACATTCACGACCATCGGACCCAAATGGTCCAGCTTGACTTCGGTGCCACCACTACTCATGTCGAGTTTGATTCCCCCAGAGCCTTGGACGGAATTGCTGGTGCCGTCACTTTCAGGGAGAGAGAGCGGTTTGGTCTTGGGTGTGTCGCTCATGGCGCGGGTTTGGTCGATGCGGATGGCACACTGTGGGAGGACTGAGTGGAGTGAGCCCAGGGATGAGGCGCGCGCGAGAAATGGATTCACGGAGAGGTGGAGGAGGGCTGCGCGGTAGATGGTGGACATTTGCATTTTGAGGGGTGGCGGAGGGAAAATCAGCGGAGATTAGATGTGACCAAGTAGTACTTAGTTACGACCACATATTGACTTGATTATTGATTTTGGTCTTTTACAATAGTCTAGCTACTTAAGTATTCAGACTGATCCATCATATCAACTCCGTTTATATCATACACTATGTAGTACTTCATCTGAACCACCAATTCACCTACAACCATTAGCTGTCCACTCAATACTGAAGAAGGAAACAAAACTCACCGAACCAGTCACACCCTCTCCAACACCCTTAATACTATGCCACCACCCCTTAGGAATAAAAAGTCCATCTCCAGCCCCAAGTCTCGCCTCCAATCCATCAGTCCCCCAAACCACTTCATCCAACAAAGCCCTCTCACCCCCCTGCATCATTTCCTCCCCCCGGAAAGCCGCCGCTCCCCGATCCCCACTCTTCCCCAACCGCGCCCTCACGCCCGCAAACACAGCATGTCCTTCATCCGGCGCAAGCAGTCGAACCACCTTCTCCCCGGCAAGCTGCACAAAGAGATTCGGGTTCGGATCCCGGTGGAGAGGCGTGTATGTGGGCGGATGACCGATCCAGACATTCGTGTCGTAGATATCGCCCCGTCCAGCCTGCGAGACGAGGGTTGGGGTCGGGAAATCGGTGCGCAGAAGAGGGGGTAGGTCTAGGAGTTGGCATTGGGCTAGGTAGAGTGTGGATGGGGTGGGTGATTCCATCCAGTCGAGGAATAAACTGAGAGGCGCGTGGAATGACCGGAAGCTGGGTCCCTCTGGGGTGGATTGGGTGAGTTCCAGAGGCACAAAGGCATCTCCGCCGTGTTTGCGTAGATAGTCTGTGTTAAGGCCGGGCGTAAACCAGTGTTTCATGGCTGGGAGGTCGTTGAAGGCCCCTGGGAGGATTGCTGGTTGTTCTGGTTGGAAGCATTGCTTCTGGAAGGTTGCGAGGTCATTTCCGAGACTGGGAAGAGGGTATTGTGTAGAGAAAGACCGGCTTGTGATTTGCGCCCGAAGTCGCGTCCTTAGCCATTGGAGCTTCATGCAGCCGAGGTGGTTGAAAGCGGAGAGCGTGTCAGCGCGGGAAATGTTGACTCCGCATCGTTCTCCAATCACAACATCGTTCATGCGGGTTATTAGTTGCAGTGTCGGGGCTTGCGTCGCACTTAAAAATGGTCATATGAGCCGATGCTGTACTTATGCCATTTTAAGTCTGCCGAATCTTCCCTTGAACACATTACAGTCTTACTGGGAACTTCAGAATGACATCCATTGCTAGTATTCACAAGCGTCATGCATATAGCCGAGAGGGCCATACCTACTATCCAGTGCTCATTGTCGGCGCTGGAGAGTCGGGAGTGGCCATGGGATGCCGTCTGAAGGAAGTCTTAGGAAGAGACCAGTTCCGGATCTTCGAACGCCAGTCCGGTATTGGAGGCACTTGGTGGATTAATCGCTATCCCGGGGCTGCTTGTGACATGTAGGTCAATAGGCCGAGCTTTGATATGCGACGCTGACAATAAATAGCCCCGCGGCCTTGTACTCGTTCTCTTTCTGTCAAAAGAAAGACTGGTCTACCCTCCATCCATCTGGTCCTGAGCTGGCGCAGTATATGGCAGATGTGTGTGAAAAGTACCAGATCGTGGACAAGATCCAGTTCAACACAGATGTGAAGGAGCTGCGATGGATTGAAGATGACGAGGAGTGGGAGGTAACCCTTTCACACCTGGTCCCAGGCACCGGTGATCTCGCGCAGTCTGAACGGGACCGAATTGCCAGCCAGGACGGTCACTCGGCGATCTATGTCAAGACAGAGATTGTTCGAGCCAAGATTGTTGTCAGTGGTGTCGGCGGTCTAGTGGAACCGAAGACGACCCCGAAAGACATTCCCGGCTTTGATGATTTCCAGGGCGAGATCATGCACACAGCCCGGTGGAATGATCAAATCAATCTCCGAGACAAGGATGTCATTATGTTGGGATCTGGGTGCAGTGCTGCTCAGGTTCTTCCTGAAATCGCCAAGCCAGAAGCTGGGGTACGCTCGATCACTCAACTCATGCGTACTCCTCCATGGGTCCAGCCAGATATCATTCCTCCCAAACATCTCGAGGCGTACGAGAAATGGTCTCCCAAACTCATGACCCACGTCCCCGGGCTGTCGAGCCTCACACGGACGATTCTTTTCTTAATGTTCGAGAAAACGTACTTCCAATTATTCACGGACACGGCACTGAGCAGGCGGGCACGGCCGAGAAGTGAGAAGGTGTTCCTCGACCATATGCGCACCGTCGCACCCAGCGAATACCATGAGATTTTGACCCCAAACTACAGCCTCGGCTGTAAGAGACGCATCATCGATGGAACGTGGTATCGCTCTCTCAACGCCCCCAATGTGGAACTAACAACCCAGCCTCTGACACGCGTTCATGCAAAGAGCATCACCGTAGGACCGGGAAGTCATTACCCGCCGAACAAACTGGCCCCTGAGCCCAGAGAGATCCCCGCCGACGTGATCATCATGGCGAACGGGTTCGAAACCAACCAATGGCTACACCCGCTCAAGGTGATTGGTCGCCAAGGCAAAGACATGGAAGAAGTGTGGAGGGAGCGTGGAGGTGCACAGGCATACCAGGGTATTGCTATGGATTCATTCCCGAATTTCTTCATGATATTCGGTCCGAATACAGCAACCGGACACACGAGTGTGATTTTCGCAACTGAAAACGCAGTCAATTACTCGTTGAAGTTCATCGAGCCTATCTTGAACGGCACTGTCAGCTCTTATGAAGTAACAGAGAGCGCGGAACGTGAATGGGCCACGCAAGTCCAGGATGACCTGCAGAAGACGGTTTTCCGTCGTGGTGTCTGCTCAAGCTGGTATTCTACTGATGAGGGTTGGAATTCATCAACATACCCGTGAGTCCCTTGGCCATGTTCGTGTCCATGCAGCTGACTTTTCCTTTTAGATATACCCAAATTCATTATTGGTACCGTTGTGCATTCCCTTACTGGGGTCATTGGACTGCGAAGCTCACTAAGAAGGGACGAACTTTGCGGGCTGTCCGTAAGGCTCTTCGTGCTTCGGCCTTTGTGATTCTTGCCGCTGGGCTGGGTTGGTTACAGCAGAACCCCCAGCAGAAGGTCCGGTTGGTGCAGTCGTTAGTTGGTGGGAAAGAGTGGCTGTTCTCAGCTGTGCAGAGATTAGTTCGCTGAATCACAATTGCCTTCCAGGGTGAGATGTTACATTGGTGTTTTAGTACTTAAGTAATGTTATATCCATGGAAGCTCATGGCCTTGGAACTATTCACATCTAGTTCCACTCGGTGATATTAGACCTCAATTATTAGATTCAATTCTTGATTCCTACTAAAGTACTATGTATTCAGATCTATAACCTGGGAGCCAATCACAGCCAACATAATCCGATGAGCTAAGCAATCCGGGGAAAAAGACGGCAAACCCCGCGACAGAGGAATTTCTCCGCACTTCTGTGTCTCTCCGTTCTGTATCTCTCCGTGATCTTCTTCTTGGAATGGCTTCAGAGTCTCCCCAGATGGACAGGTCACCCGATCCCCGCGATCAGTCGATAGCCTCCGACTCCAATAAGAGAAAAGCGGAACAGGGGAACGGAACGCAGACGCGCACAAAGCGGAATCGTTACATCTCCATTGCATGGTATGACATGGCATGATTCGGCACTTTCCGCGGTCATACGATGGCTAATGAGGCAGTAATGAATGCAAACGTCGCAAAATTAAGTGCAATGGGCAGGTCCCTTGTCAACGCTGTGGGCATCTCAATTTGGAATGTATGTTTCGTGGCCTCATAGGCTGGAGTCTGTAAAGTTGACATTGGACATCTAGGTCGATATGCCCCCAATTGTTGTAATAACAATTTCAAGGACTCGGAGTAAGTGGTCAAGCCCATGCCAACCTCACAGCGCTAATGCCCATCTAGTGAATTCCGGTCCATGACTGAGCAGATCACTACGCTGCAAGATCAGGTTAATAACTTATTCACTAATCTCAATGATCTCCGCACTCAAAGGACTTTTGAGTCCCCGCCATTTGATCCGTTGTCCAGGGATGGCTCGCAGGTGTTCACTCCTATGCCAGGAATACCAAAGCCTCGATCCCGTCATCCTCGCTTTCATGGACCAACTAGCTCGGCTTTTAATTTTGACGTTGCCAAGTCCAGTCTGCAAAATATGGGAATCACCCCTGCCGAGGATGGAATCCCTGATGACTTAACTACGGCACATGTTACCCCGGCGGCCTCGCCGCCCTCCCATATGGGCCAGCTTCTTCCTACAGTGCATCCGACGAAAGATCCTATATGGACTATTCGTCGCGAAGAAGCATTGCGGCTCTGCAAGGTTTATGAGGAGGAGATTGGAATCATGTATCCTGTGGTGGATATTGCGAAGATTACCAGCCAGGCAACTTTGCTGTACACATTCATAGAGGCTGCAACTAGGACGGGGTTTGCGCAAAGGGGACTCCCAGGTTCTGATGGTCTGCATGATGAAGCTTCCATCATTTTGAAATTGATCCTTGCTACCACGCTGGTCGTGGAGGGAGGAGGCCAAAGTGAGCTGGGTCAGAGCCTTTACCTGAGTGCGAAACCTTTCATTGAATCCAAGTTGTGGGAACCTCATAGCATCAAGACTATTCAGCTGTTTGCTATTGTGGTGAGTACTGTCCCCTCGGGTATTGCACAAGACTGACACCGTTCCCAGGCCACATATCATTTCCATACCGATGACGATGCGATGGCTTACCGTGTCATTGGATTGGCGGCGAGGATGTGTCTAGAGATGGGATTGCACCGCCGGGATGCGATGGTTAAATCATTCCCGAACGAAGAACATTGGGATGAAATCACCCGGTTGTTCTGGTCGGTCTACAGTCTCGATAGACGGTGGAGTTTGGGCACGGGGTTGCCGTTTGTCATTCAGGATGAGGACATTGATCCTAATCTGCCGGAGCCTGTAAGTCCCTTCCAGTACATGACTACAACGGCCCAACTAATATGAGCAGGATGCCTCTCTGCCGTATTTACGGTGCATGATTCTGTATAACCGCATCAGCTCAAAGATCTGGTACTCGGGCCTAGGCTCCGAGGGTACAACAGATATCCGCCGCGATGAAATCGGATATCTGGATTATCAAATCCTCCAATGGTACAAGCAGGTACCCGACGAACTCAAGTTCTACCCCGTCGAATCCCCCAAGAACGGAGACAATGTCAGCAGAGGCATGAGACGACTTCGGATCCTCCTCTATCTCCGAATGAATCAGCTGCGCATCCTCATCTATCGCCCAGTCCTCCATTCCCCTTCCAGTATCGCCGAAGACCGTGGCCACGCCCAGACCGTGGTCGACATCGCCAAAGACACTGTCCGCGTCCTGACCCGCCTCAACCAAATGTCTGATATCTACCGCACCCAACAAATCACCTTTAATTACTTCCTCGTGGCAGCATTGGCAGTCCTCTTCCTTGCGGTGTCGCATGCTCCCGCCGATTTCAACCGCCAAGTCCGGGACGAGTTCTACATGGCGCTCGACTTGATCAATGGATTTAGCACGAAGTCATACGTGTCCAAACGTCTCTGGAAGACCATCAAGGGCCTCCGGAAGATTGGAGAAAAGCTGGGCGTTCTAGCTCGGCCATTTGGTTCGAACTCAGCGGATCCTCACTCCAATGCTGCTGTCGCTATGGCTGGTTTGGCTGGTCATTCTATTGAAGATTTGTCCATGTATGGACCTGTCAATGGTCATGAACTTGGAAACAGTCCTTTGAATGGGCTTCAAATGAGTCATGAGTTGACGAATCTGTTCGAGGCTGTCGGTGCTTTTGGCAATTTCTTACCTCCTGCTGATGGTATCGGTGGGTTTGTTGGACCTGATGGGGAGCTTGCCAACACTGGAGAGGGACTGTCTGGGGTTTTAGGAGACGAGGGTGAGTTTGCTCGGGCGATTCGAGATTTATTTTAGGTCGTCTTTCTGTATGATACCCGTAGTTGCAATCGATTTAGGCCTGTCATATACTCATGAGCTCAACGTAAACCAGTTGATATGTCACTTTCACCTTCAGAAAGATGTGAAGAGAAGAAGTGAAGTTGAAGTGAAGCTCCAGACTACGTAAGCTGCACGTGATTGAAGTTCCCAACCTGCAAGCTTCACCAGTAACCCTTTCGAAAACATTTGAACAAAAAGAAAGTGAGGTTCGATCTACAGGCCCACCGCCTGTGAACGCTAATCCCGATTTGTTCTCCACAACACCCCTCGACGTTCTGGCTTCATCCTCTCCAACCTTGCTCGTATGGTGGGGCTTAGCCGTTGATCGCACATTCTCGCTATTTACTACATCCTACGAAGTACAGGCCCGCTGAAGCGACCATCTCTCAATTCTAGCCTACGATAACCTACCCCGCTGAAGCGACCAAAAAAAAACTTCCCTTCCTCAACGTGACGAGATCGCTTCGTCCGAACCACCTCGAGCCCCTCACCCCCCAGCTCGGCAACGTGTCGAGAGAGACAGGTTCGGCGTTGGCCGACGGCCTCGACAGGCTGGATTTAAGTCAACTGTCTGAATCAACCTTGTCGTCATCCGTGTCTGCTTCGTTTGACATGTCGTCTTCAGAAGGAGCACCGGAGTCATGGATCTCCTCATTCTGCTCGCTGATGGGCCATGAGTTTTTCGCCGAGGTGTCGGAGGACTTCATTGAGGATGATTTCAACTTGACGGGTCTGCAATCGCAGGTGCCCATGTACAAGGAGGCCCTGGAGATGATTCTCGATGTGGAGCCGGAGGACGACGAGGACGAAGAGGAAGAAGAAGAGGAGGAGGAAGATGAAGATGATGCGCTCGGAGATCAACCGGTATACCGAAGAGCTGGGGATCGGCGACATGCTCGAGTAGCCAGCGATCTCAGCGTCATCGAGAGCTCCGCAGAGTTGTTATACGGCCTCATTCACCAGCGCTACATCACCTCCCGCCCGGGAATTCAACAGATGCTCGAAAAGTACGAGATGCAGCATTTCGGCACCTGCCCCCGCGTCAACTGCAACGGCTGCAAAGTCTTGCCCGTCGGCCGCTCCGATACCCCCGGTCAAGAAACCGTCAAGCTCTTCTGCCCCGGTTGCCAGGATATCTATACCCCGCCCAACAGCCGCTTCCACTCTGTCGACGGCGCTTTCTTCGGCACCACCTTTGGCTGTCTGTTCTTCATGACCTTCCCAGACCTGGACATCGGTCCTCGTCTCGACGCCTCCCTCTCCCTCATGTCCCCCCGAGCCCAATCCCGCACCGGCTCCGTGACCCGTACCCCTGTGCGCCCAACCTCCCCAACTCCGGAAAACCAGCCGCTGGAGATCAACGGGGTCCGCACGCCCAACCTCTGCCCGGGCCTGGGTAAAGGCAAGATCTACGATCCTCGTATCTACGGATTCAAGGTCTCGGAAGTCTCTCGGGTCGGCCCGCGCATGAAGTGGCTCCGGTCCAAACCCAAGAATGTCATTGATCTCGATGAGGCATGGAACCATGAGCAGCAACTTTCCCCACAGGCAGATGATAAGGATGGAGATACGGAGATGAACCCAGAACAAGTGCAGGATGCGGCCATTGCCAACCGCAAGAAAGCGCCTATGCGTCGGCGGAGGGTCGAGTCGGCGGATCCAATGGGTGTGCACGGCCGATAATTCTTTTTTTTTCTTTTTTTATTTGGATATCTAGTGTTGGATTAGTTTGATGACGCTGATGAATGTTTAGCTTGTTTTACTGCTTTGAAATCAGTTCGCGTACTGTATACTTCCTCTGTTACGGAGCTCCTCCGTAGAGTTATCGTCGCCCCCAATTTTAGGCAGTACAGAACCGTTTCCCATTTAGGAATTAGCATTCGCAGCCTCACAGACACGTATCTGCAGCCTCGTATGTCGGACTCCCCGAGGCCTGAACTCACGGCGTCCCCGTCTTTCGTTAAAAGCCTCGTATTGGCCTGCATTCCTTCCCTTTGCCGCCTGTCCCAACACCCCGGAATCCAATCATACAGCGGGACGGCGGAACGGCGGATATGCGGACCGCCAGCGTATTCGCTGCACGCTATATGCATGCCTATCCCGGGCGCGTATATACGTTGCTCCATAGATGTGCTTTGTTCACATGTTTCCTTGTTTGATTTGATATTGCATACGGCCCTGGAGCCTACAGGCTACAGCCTAGGTTAAGTCTGGCTAATTGCCACGCCTTCCAATGCCAGGTCTGGGGATTCGGGAATACTTTCATGGTGATTTACGGGGGACTCTAGTGATCTTTCTCTCCATATGACCTGACTTGAGAATGTGTAAAGCGGTGATCTGGAACTGTCAGATCTTAAAACCCTAATTGTCCCTGCATGATCTGACCTCTTGGCAAGTATATCTCAGGCTCATGTCTATGTGCTACTTAGCTTACTCTTCGAGTTAGAATTGTCGGTGCTCTTTACGCAGGGTTATACTTAAGTATAATACTTGCTTTGGACTGGACAAGATCCTCCATACTACTTAGTACAGTTAACCCCTGGCTCAGACATCAGGCTAGGAGATGCGATCTTCTACAGTAGCACATCTGGCACACATGGACACAGATATTTACACCTGAGTAACCTTGGAACTATCCAGTAATAGTTTTCATCCACAGATACTCCGTACAGAGTAGGATCATCTTTCCGCACTTGGTAAAGATGAGATATTCCAGCCTCGATGACCCTGGGTCAAGTTCACTGGTTCCAACGATTTATTGGACCTACCATAAGGCTCGCCAAAAATGATACATAGCCCCGGAAATACTCCACTGCTGATTAGTGTCCCAGGAGAAAGAGCTTGCAAAGTTCCGTACAAACTCTGGGTGTTTCAACGGGATCTCTCCGGTTTTCACCAAGGTCCCCAGAGATCGAGGCTACCAGTACGAGTATTCGAGCCTCACTTAGAGGTCAATCTTCGCTCAAATCTTCTCTTGTTTCATTGGATCTATAAACCCAACGCTCTGTGCTGACTGAATACTCAGGTCAGAAGCTTGGCCTCCCTAAATCTATAGATCAAGCTATACTCTGTATTCTATATACTCTATAGTCGTCAGTAAATCTATAGAATTCTTCAGAACTCTACGAGTGCTATTTGTAATCTGAACCGGCTATTCCGCGGGAATTCGATGTCTCAATAATAGGGATTTGGTCCGTTTCACCCAATAGCACGATGTATCAAGACAGTAGACAGCTGTCAGTGCTGCCATTGCATCATTCCATGGTTAAAATTTCCGAGCCTCGCTGTGGAGTATACTCCATAGTATCCCAAGCCTGATTTGTGTACTCACACACAAAACCCCCGACCCAACCCTACGGTATACCGAAGTAGGATAAGTAAAGAGGATCAGGGGGTGTTCCACCCCCTGAACCGTGTCCATATACCTCGTGCCGACACCCACGGCCCACAGGCAAACCTTGTCGGGGAGATCGATGAAGCATAAAGAGAAAAAAAAAAGAGAGGTTACGGCCTAATGTCGAGTGTCAATCTTTACCCCATTGTTTCAGAAGATATGGGCCCATCTGGAGGCAAATATGATGAGTCTTTAAGTATTATAGCCACGCACTACGGTAAATCACCCAAAAATAGGAGTATTATCAACGTCTAATTCCACCACGCTGGTCTCCCGTGCTGACTGCGGACAGCCCCGCTGCAGAATGTGGAGAGGGTCTGCTGATTATCGGCTCTATCACCGGGTTTTGTTCGGGTTTTGGCATTGGCATTTTTTTTTTTTGGTGTTGGTTTTTTCTGTTGGCTTTTTGTTGGCTTTTCATTGGCTTTTCGGGAACTTCACAGTTCTGTATGCCCGATTTGTCACCTCGATTTAGATGTGAGTTGGCAGAGCCAAGCCTAAGGCTGAGACCCTGTCTAAGGAGATAGGTTACTACTTAAGTTTGTATACTCAAGTATGAGTAGAGTATAGTATATTAGAGTATACTGTAGTTAGAGTATGGGATAGAGTAGAATATTTACTCCATACCCTACTTAAGTACTTAGGCTTGTATACTCCATATAGTTAAGTAGAGTATGGAGTATCAGTAACAACCTTCCGCATAAGGCCCAGAGCCGCGACGATAAGAAAAAAAGGCCCCCAAGCTAAACCGTTTCAAGGAAAAGAACAAATACCGTGGCCAGCCCTTTAACCCTTTAGCATGAGAACTGTGGGTTCAACGGCAAACTAATCAGCTTTATTTTCTCAGCCCCAGCATGTTTTTTGGCCCCAAATGGAGGGCCGTGCTGCATTTGCATTTAATATTAAATAAAACTAAAACGAAAAGAAGAAATAAATAAATAGATAGTAAATTACTACATAGGAGTAAGTAAAACATAAATAGTAAATACATAACTACCGTTGAATCCAATAGTTCTAATTGTACTCCAGGGGATACTTGTACTCGTAGAGTCCTCGGAGCACCTCCGCTCCCGGTAGACCGGGTTGATGGAGACGAGAAGTGCAGATTACTGGATTGCATCATCGGTGAATTCAATAGAAGGCCGAGGCGGATAAAGACCGAGGCGGGGGGTTCTTTTCTGCAGGGATCGAGGCTCGACTTACTGTTAATTAGTGGGACTGTGAACACGAGTCATGTGTGAACTTGTCCACTTCAAGGAATTGGTATTTTTTGGGTCTTGGTTTCTTGGTCTCTTGTCTCTTGGTCTCTTGGTCTCTTGGTCTCTTGGTCTCGTTCCACGAGTAGTTGGCTTTCTGTGTTGGCCCCAGCTGCGCCTCGTACTTTTTAGGTGCAATGCACACGGGTTTCAACGGGGGCTAAACGAATTCTTCGCATTGGCATTTGGGGGCCATGGTGATTTCTATTCATGTAGAGCTGAATTAAACCAGAGAATGTCAAACAAATAGAAAAATATAAAAACAGCATACGAGTATATTCGACCCAAAACACCACGCTACCAATAAGACCTGTAGACGCCATTCATGCTCTCTCTTCACACACGCACATCCCAACTTATAGCCACCAGAGTGGAGGGGGAGAAAAGGTGGAAATCCGATCGTCGGGGTCCGCATGAGGCGGAAATACCCGCACGAAGGACTTTTGCCTGATCCTGCATCACGACCGTAGATCATATTCGTAAGGCATCGTACGAGGAGAACAAGGTACAGATTCTGGTGTGAGGGGGAATGTGAAGATAGAGGCATCTGGCGAGGTCGATGGCGCTCGCTGGTCCCCGTAGCTGTATCCAAGCGATGGCACCTGCAGTAATTCGTACATTAGCTGCTGATCGAGGTGGTTTTGTAATAATTTTTCTTTCTTTCTTTCTTTTTTTTCTAATATCAGCGAGGGATATGTACCGGAAGACCCTCTGGATGTGACTGGGCATGTGCTTGCTGTTGGCATATATCGATGCCAGCCATTGTGGCATAGCTCATGCTAAAGGGACTGATGAGGTCCTCGTCGTAGGCGAGTTTGCGTTGCATCGATGGAAGAGGCACAAGGGAAGGCACTTGCTCGCCGTATTCTGTTTGGTAACTGATTTCGCTATATGTGTTTGGCGCAGTGTGATAGAGTGGGGGTTGGTAGGTTTGTCGATAGGTCTCATAAGGCGACATGGCGGGATAGGAGAAGACGGGTGGGGGTGAAGCCGACAGTTGTCGCGTACATTGTTGAGCGAACATGGCTGATCGGTCTTCGGGAGTATAGTAGTCGTAGGCGGATCGATCTTGCATATGAGGCTTCACATCGGGCTTGGGGGCTCGTTGCTTGGATCGAGTCCTGGGTGATGGCTTGGGAGACACGGGCTCTTCATGAGACTGTTCTGGGGAGGCAGAGGTGGCAGCTCGTCTCTCAAGATCCTCCAGGCGACGCTTCAATTTCTTGCCTATCTCTGGGTTAGCCCATGAAGTAGACCTCGAGAACGGGTTCTTACGGTAGTTGCGCTGAGCGATGCGGTTCTGAATGCGTCGACGCTCGGCCAAATCGGAGATTTTGGTCCAGTCTTCATTGGCGTTGGCGTTAGGACTGAAGGCACTGCTATTGCTGTGACTGCCTCGAGAGCCTGCGCGGCCGTCGTATGCACGATGCATTATGTCAATAGCTAGAGAGAATGGGAGTATAGAGTACAGTATAGAGAGGATAAGTAGACAGCAGAGAGGAAAGAAGATAGAGTAGAGGATATAGACGTTGAAAGAATAAAGATAGGCCAAGACAAGTGGAGAGAGGTCGTTATATACTAATATGATCAGCTTCGGGTGTCTGCTAAGCCCCGTCGCGATAACCCCAGTCCGTGGCAATCAAATTAATTAAATATTTGGTGTTTTTTTGGTGTTTTTGGGGATTTTTGCTTTTTTTCGCTATTTTATTTTATTTCACTTTTTGGCTTTCGCTTTTGGACTAGGATTCCCATTCAGCCTCTTGTCGGGCACGGAGGTACTTCACTAATACCGACAACGCCGACAACACCGACAGAACCGACAGAACCGGCTATCTCAGATCAAGTGTTGCGTGGTACAAGAGTACAGCGTATAGCCATTCATATTGGGCCGGGACACACTAAGTAGACGTTCGCTTGGAGGCGATCCTCATTCGACCTAACTGGTCCGAGACACGATATCTCCAGGGATGAAACGGGAGGAGGTTACACGCTCTATTCCTTTTTTTTTTCTCCTCACGTGGGAATTTGTTGCGATGCATGAGCCCACGTTTTTGATTTCATGTCGATCTTGGCAACGGACTAAGGGATAAAGATCTGACTCTTTGGCGGATCCTGAGTAACGAATATGGTTCGGGTAATTTCCAGCTTCAAAAGACCTTAAACCATAACTAAAAAAATAGGGTGGGAACAGAAGAGAAATTGGGTCTAGGCTGGAATGTGTCCTATGGAGTACAAAATCCTACGGTCATTGGGTGGTTCGTATACATGATCGGACCCTAGACCTGTCATGGAATAGGTGTTGGTTTAGTATTTGCGAACTAGTATGTATGGATTGAGTATTTAAGCAGGTATTTGGGGGTATTTGGAAGCTTTCGGTATTAACGGAGTATTTAGCTGCGGTGATTCTATTGGCCTATGGTGTACGTCTTTTGTGATCTGTTGGGGTTGCCTTTCTTTTTGGCCTATTCTTTTTTTGCTTTTATATACTTGAACTAACTTTAGAATTCCATTCTATTCCTTATGTCTAATTATGTCTACAGGTATCCATTTCAAGGCGAGAACAGAACGCGCTTCTTCGGGTTGCCTGATTGGCGCTGCATCCAGGATACCAAACAGGGCATATAGCGCGCTGTCCCCACCGGAGATACGCTCGGACTATTTGTATTTGAATTTCGAAAATGTGCTCAACTGCTTGCGTCTTGGTCTTTTGTTATGAGGGGTCCTTAGTCGGACCCGAGGCTAGAACACGGGAGGTTTAACAAAAAACAACTAAACTTAATATGTTAACTCCAGTGCAAACCCCGAGGCTAAAGAGGCTCTTTCGCAAAGTGAGACAGACTATGAATAGGTGGCCTTGCAGGACCGGACGAATCTGGACGAATCTGGCCCGGACATGACGCACCTGGAGAACTTGGGAAAAAGATGTCGGTGCGTCGGAATGGCTCATTGTTCTCCTAGGGCTGAGCTTGATCAGCCTGTTATTCCTGTTCGAATGAGGAGTCGCCTGACCTGGGAACAGACTGAAAGCACAACAGCTCAGGTACCCGGTACATTGAATTGTACTCTATAGCTTCACCGCTGCTGCTCAAGGCGGGCACAGCCCATCCTTGTGCGAGGTCTGCCCTCCTGCAGGGAATGTGGCCATTCAGCGTCCACACTCCTCCCCGGATGCTGGGGCCAGTTGCATTCCGAGCCTTCTAGTCATCATCTAGAAGAATGTTCCTGGCGGTGGACGCTCATGCAGCCCTTGGACCTCAGATGCAGAGGTCATGTCTGCAATTTCGGTGTCACACCACGTCCATCGACGGCAATCTCCGAGCCTCGTTGGCACGTTTCGTTCTGCCAACTTGGGGACGTTACACTAAACGTGAAATGGACCGAGTGCGGAGCGCCTCCCAGTGCACCTACTGGACCTGCCAACGTCGTCATAAATAGATTGAGAAGTTGGACAAGGCGCCCAGCGCTGAAAACAATCTCCGACCTCTGCAAAACGAGCATGGGGAAGGGAGTTTCTGGTTAGGTTGTAACGTCGGCTCAATGGACCTTTTGTTCTTTTTTTTTTTTTCTTTTCTTTTTCCTCACTAGCAAGTAACAATCAGATAGTCCGATATGTAGTGTTCTGACCGGGGATATTCCCCAAGAATAATACCCTTAAAAGAGTGATAACTATGAAAAGCAGAGAACTTGTCGCTTCCGATGCCCCCACGTGGTCCACGTGTGTCGCGTATCTTACCTTAAATCGCTTTAGGTGCAGCGACAATATCACTCCCCAGACGCCCTTCATTCGTCCGAGTCTATCCATTCGGGTGATGCAAAGGTCTGGGAACTAAATGACTTCTATTTCTGGCGCAATTTCCTATTTAGTCATTAGGCCAGGACCCGGGTGGCTGAAGGTGGTCAGCACTGTGTTTGTGCAAGGTCGTGTTCGATCAAAGTACTTCTGTGCTCTGCCTGGTTTCAGATCCCAGCACTGAACAGTGACTCCGTGACTCCGTGACTCTAGTGACTCTAGTGACTTCAGTGGTATCGAATCAGAATTATCAGGGAAGCTCCACGGTTACCCAAAGTTTGGAGCATGAGGTGTTCGACGCTCTCTCAGCTATGATCTGCCAAGTTTGATCCCGATACTTGCATCGTTTGAGAATCGGTCGTTTCATGTTTGCCACAAAACGCTGTCCCACGACAAATCGAGAAATCTGCCGGTACGAGTCATTGAGATACTGTCTATGAAGCGATGACTGGATGAGAGTCAATTAAATGCGCAAAGCAATGCTCCATGAGTAGCTAGTAGCTAGTACAGACCATAGTCAAATATGTTCACTGTCAAAACAAGTGGATAATGTAGATCTGACGATCTGATGGTAAATTAAAAAAAGTGGACATTAGGGGTGGGTGGGTCAGATGGGTCTCTTAACCCTAACTATTCATTTCCTCTGCCCTGAGGAGTACTTCTTAAGTTCTCATCCAGATCGAGATCGACTGCGAAGGTGGATTAAATTAGAAAACTCTGTTATTCAAACATCCACCAGGGCACATTCCTCAATTATGAGCACAGTTGTTAAAGTGATCGGTAGATCTGAAAGGAGTATGGTGTCAATTTTGACGGCAGACCTCCTGGAAATGTCCACTGCTCCCATTCACATAGAGTTCAATGCTTCTAATATCAATCTCATAGTCTGCCTTAGCCCTGCCTGAAGCTTCCAAGTTGGCTAATACCCTTGGAATGAGATAGGAAAGCCATTCCAACTTCAAATACGTGATAACCACGAACCTTTATCTCATTTTATGGCCGAGCAGAGCCTCCGACCTACCCAAGCACAGTGATCTGAGCTGTGAGGGGCTACTACCTTCAGCATGCTTTCTTCCATGTGTTTCCATGTTTCATGGCGTTTGCTGCTCCAAGCTCTTTTCTCCAGAATTGAACCCAACTCCATCAACCCCTAAAATAGACCCACTATCAGTTCCGCGCTGAAACGAATACCTAGCTCTCCCAGACCATCCAAGACCTCATCATCGAGATCCAGAGCCTCCGAATCCAGGTTGAACCAAAGCCTCTCGTCCATCCGAGCCATTATCCGTTGCCAAATGCCCCAAACCATCATTTGCGAACCCCGATTAAGTTCACCGGAACTGTTAACGAGTTTGATATGTGAATTACAGTCATTCAGACATCCCTTGCGCAATGTCGAGATCTTTGTGGCGTTAGACCTACTTTGATCTCTTGCTCCGTACAACAACCAGTGAATCGAAAGGATCTTGCCGAGTTGCCACCAAACGGTCTTGCCATTCCTGAGACCTTGTTAGGGTTGTCTTACACACGAATGGCTCGATCTACAGGTGACATGCAACGGCAATGACCTGATTCTCGCGTGGCAATCAACTGGAGAAAGTTCCGATAAAATCACCCGAATTGCTCACAAGTTCGATGTGTGGGAGAAGCTTGCTATCGACGACACAGCTATGAGAAACTGGACGGCGCAGCTCTATCATGTTGCTATGAATCTTTCGAGTCAGATTTGAATGATGATTTTTCCACAGTTGCTTGCCGCGCGCGGATCCGGTAATTGCTGTCACCTGTCTTCTATCGATCGAACTACTCGTGGGGATGACAATAAATCTGCGAATCCTGGCAATGCTGGGAGATTCGACGCAATATAAAGTTTCTGCTGGGGTTGTTTTTGTCAAGGTTATACATATAGGCCCTAACTCTGCAGTGGCTGCTTGGGAAAAAGGGATTCGAGACATATTCATGCTATTGTTTGAGCGTCTTGACGAAGTTACTGTGCTGAAGAGACCACAATGATAAACCAAAAAGTTGCAATAGCTTTCTATGTAAAGATCCAGGCCCTAGATAATATATCAGATGGACTGGCTTGATATCAAAATGGCCTGTCGTAAACCACAAAGAGAATGCAAAATTAAATGACACAAATCTTGAGATCTGAATCTTGAGATCTGGTTGAAAACTTCTAATGCACTGGAGTAAAGCTTGGGTAGTGAAGCCCTTTTATGAACGTAGAGTTATTAAATCACAACGCTATATAACAGTCAGCATGTGTCTAATGACATCCAAAATTGTAGTAGTGTTCACTTACCTCCAGGGGTTCTGCTCATCGCCATACTGGATACCCTCGATCCAGTTCTTCATTTGGAGGGCAATCTCACCAGCCTCCTCGTCCTCCTTAAGACCGCACTCAACCATCTTACCGCGGTAGCTGATGTTGCGGACGGGGCTGACGATGGCAGCGGTGCCTGCACCAAAGACCTCGATCATGCGGCCCTCCTCGGATGCCTCAGCAACCTCGGACATCCGAATCTTCTGCTCCTTGATGGCCCAGCCGAGAGGCTCAAGTCTCTCGCGGGCAAGTGTCAATACGGAGTCACGGGTGACACCCTCCAAGATGGTGCCGTCGAGAGGAGCAGTGATAAGCTCCTTCTGTCCGGTCTCCTTGTTCTTCAGTGCGATGAAGAGGTTCATAGTGCCAACCTCGGTAACGTACTCCTCCTCGCCGAAGAGCCAGAGGTTCTGCTGGAAGCCACGGGAGGCGGCCTCGAGCTGAGGCAAGATGCAGGGAGCGTAGTTAGCTCCGAGCTTCTTGTCTCCAACACCGCCGGGCCAGGCGCGGACGGCGTAATCGGTGGCCTCCAGGGAGATGGCCTTGAAGCCTGTGGGGTAGTAAGGGCCAACAGGGCTGGCAATGACGAACAAGAGGGCAGAGCCAGGTGGTCCAACTCCCAGAGTCTTCTGTGTGCCAATCATGGTAGGGCGCAGGTAGAGAGAGTAGCCGCGAGCACTGTGGGGGGTTAGTATTGTCTTCTCTCAAGCTATGCAATGAAATACGAACTCGGGAATGAATCGGCTGTCGGTCTTGACAAATTCACCAATGATCTTTGTCAACTCGTCACCATCCACGGTGGGCAGGGCAATGCGAGCAGATGACTTGTTGAGTCGTTCCATGTTCTTATTAGGGCGGAACAGACGGATTCCACCGTTGCTGTCCTTGTATGCCTTCATTCCTTCAAAGCACTCGAATGCATAGTGGAACACACATGTCGAAGGATCCAGGCTGAGGTTCTGGTATGGGACAATCTGAGGTGCGTGCCATCCTTCGGTAGCGGTCCACTCCACGGAAAGCATGTGGTCTATAATTTCCTGAGTGAGCTTGAGTTGTGATGGGATCCACGCGCTCTCTCATACCGGTAAAGTACTTTCCAAAGACAAGGTCCTTGGCGTCCATTGGCTCCTTGGGAGTGGTTGTCTTTGTGATAGTCAACTTTGAAGCGTCGAGGCCAGGGAGTTGTGATGCAGCCGGCGCTGAGGCGCTGAAGGCCCGTTGCCATGTCCGACTGGCTGCCAGGTTCTGAGTTGACAACACGCGGGGCATAGCGAGCCCGCTCAATGCCTGCCGGCGGGCGAATTGGTGAATCGACTTCATCGCTGCGAAATTGTTAGGAAGGATTCAAGTGGCGCAAGCTGTGTATATGGAGTGGAGAGGGGTCAATTGAGTCACAAAGAGTAGTGTACACATACCTCCAAGGTGTTCTGTGGTCCTTTTATGTCTTCACGAACAATATGACTCCTCGGACTGCAATATGTCTCTGCGGAGGTCAATCACAACTCCGGTGACTCGGCCTCCAGCGGTAACTTGAGCTCACCGCCCCACCTGGCAGGGCGTGACTCAACGGGTCTGCAGAATATCTGACCAATCAGAGATCTCCAATCTGCCTGACCCGCCGACTTCGGCTTGTGTCGGCGATAAGAATATTTGATGCCTGAGGCCCCAGTCTGGGGAGCTATCCCACGTGATTGCGGTCGCGATACGGAGATACGAGGTTGGGTCGATAGGTGGTTTCACCATTTGAGTGTCTCCGTTCCCCCTCCGGCACTTCAGGCTCTGAGGACCAGACTCACTGCTTTGTCAGTTGATTCAATTGATGCGACTGTTCTGCACATAGCCATGGATTGTGTTCGAATCCGGACACTGTGAAGCAAACATCTCCCATCACATCGATCTGACAGGTCGATTCACGATTGCAGACTCACAATGTTTACCTCCGCCCTGAAATCGTTCAACTCGAACATCTCCGCCAATTACCAAATATCGCCCAACCCCACTGTGTACTCAGGCCCTTGGAAAATCCATGACGCAAAGAAGAAGTCAACCGGAACCGCGGCGTCGGTGTTTATATTTGATCGCAAGTCGCTGGACACCCGCTCTGGTGGATTTGGGAGAAGCTCGGGTTCTTCCAGCAAGAAGCTTCAAGAAGACATAATTGAACGTCTCAAGCGCGAAGCGAGTAATCTCGCTCGGTTACGACACCCATCAATCCTTCAAGTCTTGGAGCCCGTTGAAGAAACTCGAAATGGCGGCCTCATGTTTGCGACGGAGCATCTCACAGCCTCACTCTCTGGTCTGCTGCTGGAGAAAGACGACCAGGAAAATACCACACGTGCGGGGTCACGAACGGGCCGATACATGGTCGAGGAAGCCGATGGGACAAGGAGGAGAAGAGATGTAGAGATCGATGAGCTGGAAATTCAAAAGGGACTCTTGCAAGTTGCTAAGGGTCTTGAGTTCTTGCACGAATCTGCCGGCTTGGTCCATGGAAATTTGAACCCGGAAGCTATCTATATCAATGCCAAATCAGATTGGAAGATCTCTGGTCTGGGATTTGCAGGACCTCCAGACTCCTCTGAGACTAAATCCTCGCTTCCACCATTGGCTGTTTCGGAAGTTCTCTATCAAGATCCGAGGGTCCCAGCTTCGGTACAACTAAACCTCGATTATACGTCACCGGACTTTGCCATGGACTCCAATGTGTCTTCGGCCGCTGATTTGTTCTCCTTGGGACTGATCATCATAGCGTTATACAACTCACCACATACCTCACCCCTACAAACACACGCAAATACCACCACATACAAGAAACTGCTCAGCTCGCCATCCTCGACCCCGTCTCAAGGGAATAACTTCCTTTGCTCGAAACCTATTCCCAAGGATGTTCTCTCACATGTCCTGCCGAGGCTCATTACCCGGAGACCTGCGCAAAGAATGAATGCCCGGGAGTTCCAGCAATCCCCATATTTCGACAATGTGCTAGTCTCCACCATTCGATTCTTAGAGTCGCTGCCAGCCAAAAGTCCAAATGAGAAGTCCCAATTCCTCCGAGGCCTGCAGCGCGTACTCCCTGAGTTCCCTGTCTCTGTCCTGGAGAGAAAACTGTTGGGGGCATTGTTGGATGAAGCGAAAGACCGAGAATTACTCCCCTTGATTCTTCAAAATGTATTTGGGATTTTGCAGCGGATTCCCAATGGACGCCGCGTGTTTCCTGAGAAGATCATTCCTCGCCTGAAGGAAGTCTTTGGAACGGGGTCTAACAAGCCGCCTGCCGAGAGGGACTCCAAAAAAGACGCCGGTCTCATGGTGGTGCTTGAGAACATGAAGATTATTGCCAAAAACTGTTCAGGAATGGAATTCAAAGATGGTAAGTTCTTTGGAGTCGCGCTTGCTGTATGATGTATCTGACCTGTTTCTCTACAGACATTCTGCCTCTCATTCGGCTTGGACTGGATTCACCACAGCATTCTTTGGTGGATGTTTCCATCAAGTGCCTTCCGGCCGTGCTTCCTGTTCTTGATTTCAGCACTGTCAAGAATGAAGTGTTCCCTCCCATCGCTGCCACTTTCAGTCGCACAAGCAGTCTTGCTATCAAGGTCCGCAGTCTGGAAGCGTTCAGTGTGCTGTGCGGAGCTTCTGCTGATGATTCCGATGGGCTTGATGATGACCTGTCTGGGGTCGTAGCCAACAAGGCTACCTCGTCGAAATCATCAATTCTGGACAAGTATACCATCCAGGAAAAGCTTGTCCCATCTCTGAAGGCCATCAAAACAAAGGAGCCCTCGGTGATGATGGCTGCGCTCAAGGTATTCCGCCAGGTGGGACTTGTTGCGGATACCGAGTTTCTGGCTTTGGAAGTTCTGCCTGTCCTTTGGAGCTTCAGTCTCGGTCCACTGCTGAGCCTTAGTCAATTCAACGAATTCATGGCCTTGATCAAGACTCTCTCCACTCGAATCGAGCAAGAGCAGAGCAAAAAGCTCCAGGAGCTTTCCTCCAGCACTGGAGCGACTGGTTTCCAAAACGGGGCCAATGAGTTCTCCCAGTCCGCTACCGGTCTCGGCTCGCCAGATGCAGACGGCGCAGGTAGTTTCGAGCGTCTTGTCCTTGGGAAGAAGCCCTCATCTACCAATGGTGAGGCTATAGATATGTGGGGTGGCATGGAGTCTGCGCCGGTCAAAGCTGCCCCTAGCGCATCGCCTTCATTCTCGTGGTCTTCAAACCATGCAGGCATGACCAACCAGGCCAGCGCCTTGAGCTCCCAATCTAACCTTGGTTTCCGCTCCATTACTCCGGATCAGAAATTGAGCTCTTTCCCTTCCCTGGCTCCTGCAGCCCCGCCTCGGCAGACTTCTCCTATTGCTTCGCCAACTGCCCAGCCTTTCCCTCCTATGCAACCACAATCCTCATCTTCTATCTGGGGGGCTCCCGCCAACTCCAATGCACGGCCACAGATGGGCGCCTCTAGTCCGTCTTTGACATCCATGTCGACCATGATACCCTCGAATTACATGTCAGGATCCACTGCGGCAGCGCCCAACTACTCGTCCTTTGCGATTCCTCCCCCTCCTGCTGGAAACATGGGCTCCAGCAACACTGTGCGATCCCCATTGAACCCTACGATGAGGTCCCCATCTTTCCCCTCCCCACCTCCGCCCCAGCAATCGGTGAACTCGAAGCAGGGACTGGATAAGTACGAAAGTTTGATCTAGGGACAGAATTGCTCTTTTGGCCGATACCCAGGTTCGCATTGATTTGATTTGTATTATTTTTTTTTTCTTGTATAGTCCTCGTAGTCAGTCAAATAAGTAAAGCATAGGTGAGTATAGAGTATGAAATATAAAACATAAGAGTACGGAGTATAAGAAGTCAACATGCCAAGCCTTATACTCCGATCCGCAGCTCGGCTGATTGGCATGTCATAGCTACACCATGTACCTCATGCGTGGCATTGCGCCGCTCCGCTCTCTACCCCGCTACTCTCGTCTCTCTCGTTCTCGACTCACCTTCTCTTCATATACCCGTCTCAACATGGATGAAAGCGTCAAGAAACACTACCTCGCTGACTCGCCTCCTTCGGTGGTCAGATTGGAGATCAAGACTCACTTTGACACGCTGAAAGACCAGAACCTCCGTAAATATGCACACTTCATGAGCAGGTATGGCTGATTCCTTGTTCGCAACTTTCGATGGTTCTTATCGGCTAATGTCTTCTACAGAGCTGCTTTTGAGGGCACCCGTGTCACTCTGCGCCAAGTCTCCCCCGAATCCGAACCCATTTATGACCTGATCATTTCGCTCTACCATGCTTCCAATGGCGACTGGAACAGCCTGGCCGAAAAGACACAAGTGAGCGCCGAGGATCTCCGTTTCTTCCTCGAATATGCCGGTCAATTCTTGGGCAACTGCGGAAACTACAAGGGCTTTGGTGATTCCAAGTTCATTCCTCGACTCTCGCCATCCGCGTTCGAGACTCTAGCCTCCGCTACTGCAGAGACAAAGGCCGCCTTCCAGAAGGCCAACACCACTGGGGGCGGTATCTACGAAACAAGTGAACAGTCCATGATGCACCTGGGATACCCCACGGGCGGCCACATGACCACCTATTACCCCGATTCACCGACGATCACACAGGATGAAATCACGGCAATTGGAGACTTAATGGAAAAGAAGGGCCTCGCCCTTGAAAACACTAGACTTCGCAAGACACCCTCTGGCGACTTTGAACTGTTGATCGCATCTGGCGTTTCTTCCCCGCCCGTTAAAGATCGCGATCTTGGTGATGTGGATACTTTCCAGCTCGAGGGTGATCTGAAGGGCAAGACCCTTCGTCTAGTGTTTGGTGATCACCAGGAAGAAATGGCAAAGATTGCCCATTCTATCAAACAAGCTGGGCTTGTGTCTGCGAATGAGAAGCAGAAACGCATGTTGGATGCCTATGCCCTTTCTTTCGGTGCCGGCTCTATTGAGGCTTTCAAGGAGAGCCAGCGCATCTGGGTTCAGGATCAAAAGCCTGCTCTTGAAACAAACATTGGTTTCGTCGAAACCTACAGAGATCCCCATGGTGTGCGCGGAGAGTGGGAGGGCTTTGTTGCTCTGGTATGAATATCTCCCAGACTTCAGGGTCATTGCTAACTTTAAAAAGGTCAATCTCGAGCGTACTCGTGCCTTTGGTGTCCTCGTGGACAGTGCTGAAAGCATGATCCCTAAGCTCCCATGGGGTACAGACTTTGAGAAGGACAAGTTCCTTAGCCCCGACTTCACTTCATTGGAGGTCCTGAGCTTCGGTTGCTCGGGTCTCCCAGCTGGTATCAACCTGCCCAACTATGATGACATCCGCCAGAATCTAGGATTTAAGAATGTGTCTCTTGGCAATGTTTTGAGTGCCAAGGCCCCCAATGAAGCTATTCCTTTCATTGCGGAACGCGATCAAGAGATTTACCGTGATTTCCGTGATCCTGCTTTCGAGGTTCAAGTTGGAATCCACGAGCTTTTGGGCCACGGAACCGGTAAGCTGTTGCAGGAAACTGCACCTGGGGAGTATAACTTTGATATTCAAAACCCGCCTATCAGCCCTGTCACCAACAAGCCTGTGTCGACCTGGTACAAGCCTGGACAAACATGGAGCTCTGTCTTTGGATCGATTGCTTCGTCATACGAGGAGTGTCGTGCAGAGTGCGTTGCTATGGTGTTGGGCTGTGACTTTGGCATCCTGAAGATCTTCGGCTTCGGTGATGGCAAGGAAGACCTGGCTGGTGAAGCCGGTGATGTTCTCTTCGCGGCATACTTGTCCATGGCCCGTGCCGGTCTGGTCGCCCTCGAATTCTGGGATCCCAAGACCCAGAAGTGGGGTCAGGCTCACATGCAGGCTCGCTACAGTATTCTGCGCACCTTCCTCGATGCCGGTGATGACTTCGTCAAGTTGTCATACAGCAAGGAGGATCTGTCTGATCTCGAGATTCATCTTGATCGCTCGAAGATCTTGACCCACGGACGCCCTGCTGTGGCGAAGTACCTCCAGAAGCTGCATGTATACAAGAGCACTGCAGACATTCAGGCAGGTAAGGGGCTTTACGATGAGATCACCTCTGTTGACAGCTGGTGGGGAACTACTGTCCGTGATGTTGTTCTTAAGAACAAGGTTCCTCGCAAGGTATTTGTTCAAGCCAACACTATCCTCGAGGGTGATCAAGTCAGTCTGAAGGAGTATGAGCCTACTCTTGAAGGCTTGATTCAAAGCTTTGCCGAGCGCAAGGTTTAAGACAGACTATCCTTGTCAATAGGTTATCACAATAAATACTACACCCTGAATATATATTTGTCTGGGGCTGCCCCTTTGATATAACAAACATTATTTCTCGGTGGCCACAACTTAGCCCATTTAAGACACTGATCCAGTTCAATTCATCTCAATTATCTGGCAGGTAGTCTCAATAGCCTACGACTTCAGGAGTAATTTATTTAGTAAGTGGCCGAATATCTGTCTATACATGAGTGGGAGTAACTATACTCTGCAGAGTGGATTTAGGCGAACAACCTTGGAACCTTGCAAGTTGTCTATAAATTTAGATGAATAGGAAAATTGAAGAGCACTGCCAGCCCTGGAGGTCTCTGAAAATACTTTCATTTCAGCATCCATACAGCTAATGAGGTGAATAGAAACCATGTAGTGCCAAGCCTTGATATGGCGCTCGGACTTACCGCTGTCGTTGATCTACGCTTCCCCAACCTAAGCGCTTCCCACCGTCTGTCACAGCTCTCTCCAACCCTCAATCACACTTTTAGACATCTTCGGATATTGACGTGAAACTCATCTAATATTGAACTCAATAGCAACTTGGGACACACTCCCGTGGACCATCACTTTGGACGTGGGATCGCATCTCCAGGCCACCAAACACCGATCACATTAGGTCGTGTAGACCGAACAGCCTGAGATCAGTCAGGCAACCTACACCACGGTGTCGCGAGAAACGCCGCCGTCGGATCCATCAACCACGGCGTGCCCGCCCCGTCCAGCCGACCCTCGAGAGGACGATTACACCGGACCTCCACTACCCCCTGCCTCAGCTTCCAGCTCCTCCGCACACCCGCCACCTTTCTCATCCCTCTTCTTTGCGCCCCCCTCAGACTCCAATCGCGCATACAAGGTCACTGAACCCGGTCCCGCTTGTCCTCCCGCTTTAGCGCCCCCGACACCCGTCGAGGAGCCCCTCGAGCCGGCCAGTTCTTCGGCAGTCGTTGCTGACACAAAGGCCTCGTTCTCCGAGCCGAAAAACGAAGGTTCCTCTGACGACAGTGAACCTCCTCCCCCCTATACCGAAGGATACAGCCCGCTCGAGTCATTCACCTACGTAATGGCTGCTGCAGGAGGTGCTTCCAGTATCATTACCCAGGTCTCCCAGACTGGGGGTCCGCCAATCAACACTCTCGGTGGTAAGCATAATGCAGAATATTACTGGGTGACTTTGGATGCTAACAGGGATCCCCTGACAGACATTGGTGGCGATGAAAATATTTGCCTTGATCTCCGGTAAGATTGCGCAATTATTCGATTTTCGATCTCCGAAATCTGACCAATTTATAGAAACACTCGGTTTACCTTATCCCGGGATGAGCTTTTGACCCTGCCGGAGTTTGTGCTCTTATCTTTATTCCCCAATGGTCTGCTACCCGATGGTCATGCAACCAGTAATGGCTTCCATGACGGGGATGTTTACCCCGTTGATGTGAGTGGAGTTATGATTCAGAAACAAACGAAGAAAAGAATTAACCCAATTCCATGTAGTATGATCCAGCGGCTCTCCAGTATATGCTGGACTTCTTCCGAAACGTCGCCCAGACAATCCCCTCCTCTCTTCCTTCCGGCTCTACTTCACCCGATGCGGAACTAGCGGATGCAATGCAAGGTTCTGCCCGGGATATGTTGCAAGACCGTGCTGGCATCATCGTTCTCCGGGAAGATCTTGACTTCTATGTTATCCCTCCCCGTGCAGACATTGGCCACGACGAGATGCTTGAAGTCAAGCGTGCAGCTGGTCGGTCACTCTTGAAACAAGACGGGATATTCTCCGGGTTGAGAAAAAGCGAGGAAATCGGATCAACCGAACAACATCTGATCGAGATGCTGACGGCCGGGTGAGTGGAATTTGATTCCGATCGGGGGAACGACTGCTAACCTGTGATGCAGTGGATTTGATCGCGAAGATCAATGGGGCCACCGTGCCGCAGAGCCCAACAAGGCAGTCATTTGCAGTCTTGCCTTGGCCAAACTCCGCACTGACATCCGGGGTGACCTGTCCAACAACAATGCTGTTGGCATGGCCCAGAAACTTCTGCTGTTCTGGCGCAAGCCTGCTCGCCGCTGCTGGTGGGAAGGTATTGAGCTGAACGATGTGGAGGGTGTTGAAGGCCAGGTCAAAGTCTGGATTCGGCGTGTGTGGACTCTGGAGATGGTGAGAGATTATTCCTATCACCTTGATCCTTTGAAACTAACCTCTTGCAGAGCGTCATTGGTCTCCGGTAAACTCTTCTTTTTCAACTTTCTTTCTTTGCATCTTGTACTGCCATTATCATTCCCCCGGCCTTTCGCCTCGATGTTTCGTCTGTTCTCTTCCCAGGCATTTCCGATGCCCCCTCCAATATCCAAACATTTCATCTCGACAGCAGGGCTGGCGTACACAGCAGTTTGGATTCCATTCATTCCAGTATATTGATTATCTAGTCACCTTCGTCAAAATTTGGGATACAGTGCTATTTAGTATTTTGGCTGTGAATTATTGAATATATGGCGTGAGGATCTTTATCTTGAAGTGGCATTTCCTATTCTCCTGCTCTCCTGTTTGGCTTTCAAATGCATTGCCTCTCTTATCCTGTACCACCCTGCCTATAATGGACAATCCCATTGAGGCCAGACATGATGCTATACTTCAAGATCACGTGACACTCAGCGCCTGAAAATCATGGCGCCATGATATGCACGTGATGAGATGGAATGGGACTAGCGTCGAAACAGGCAAAGCGCGACTGGACATTGCGCAGATTATCGATTCCAGAGTCAATTCCCTTGAGCTGAATCCCTAGAGCAGCCCTCTTTGACGCGATCTTGGATTCCTCTTCTGTCCTATCTGCTGTGGCTGTTCTCGAGTCCTGGTTGCTACCCTCTGTTTGCGCTTGGACCAGTTTCTCAGCCCTCTATTCATTGATCAGCCCTTCGAGAAACGGGTCAACAAATCGCAAGCTCTCTGTCTCTTCACCTACACCCCCTCAAAGGGGCATGTTATTGTGCAATTGAATCGCCAACATGTCCCCTCTCCGAGGATACATCACGTCCTACCCTCCGCGCATGCGCCAGTATGGAAACGCGTTACTCACACCCGTCCATCCTCCGTCGCAGGCCGGTCCGACGCCGCGCACTACCAAGCGTGGCACCACTGCCATCAATTACGCCGAAGATGGCTACGATGACGAGGACTTCGATGAAAACGACGGCCCCCGCCGACCAACCGGCCTAAGGAGCCTGAGGCGCGAAGAATCCGCCGCCGACAAGTTAATGCCATCTTCAGACAAGTTGGGCAAGGAAGTACATGCGCCGGTGGAAGTACAAGGTCTTTTCCGTGAATGGATGATCAAGCGGATGCTGCGGCCAGCGTATGTTGCTCACTCCCAGGACTCCTCGGGCCCAAAATTGGCCTCTTGTCTTTTCCTCCTTAAAACTGGCTAACATACAGCGTGGTGATTCTAGGTGCGCCGACCAGCTACAGATCCAGGCGCAACTTCCCTTGACCTTAGTCCCTATTCGCATTGACGTGGAAGTTCCCGCCCATCAGCCTCTCGAACCATTCCCCCTCCCACGCACTGCTGTGGATCCTGCAATCAACCAGACTCTTCCTGCCTACCGCAGGCCTGACCCGCTACCTCCCTTCAGAATCAAAGATACTTTCCTATGGAATCTCCACGAATCTCTGTCGACCCCAGAAGAATTCGCCATTGGATTCGTCCGCGATCTCGACCTACCAAACCCCCAAGCCACGACGATGACTATCAGCAATCAAATTCGACAGCAGCTGGAGGAATACGCCGGTGTGGCTCTTCACCCCCTCTTTCAAAGTACCGACTCGGGCCTTGCGCCTAGTCTCCCCCCGCAGACCGAGCCCTCGCGAGACGCCTCAATGACACCCGCTGCCACAAATTTCGCAACGCCTGATAGCCGACCTATCATCACTACTACTGTCACACCTACCAAAGAAGCGTTTGTAAATGACAGCCTTCTCAATCCCGATGATGCCTATCGTTGTTTGATCACCCTCAACATCAACCTGCAGAACAAGCTCTACACAGATAAATTCGAGTGGTCTCTACTTCACCCACCCGGCCTGGCTGAGGAATTCGCCCGTATCACTTGCGCAGATCTCAGTCTCGGCGGTGAATGGGTCAGTGCCCTTGCGCACGCCATCTACGAAGCAGTGTTGAAGTTCAAGAAGGAAGTTTGTGAAAGTGGTGCCCTTGTCAGTGGCATCAATGGATATGGTAATGATATTGACAATCTTGCCGCCAACGGAGTGGAGGCTGGTTGGCGTTACGACCCAGAGACTATTTGTGAAGAGTGGCAGCCTTCGGTTGAGGCATTGTCCAAGGAGGAAATTGAACGCCGAGAAGGAGACCGCGAACGCCAGATTCGTCGTTTGCGCCGAGAGACTGCCAGATTCTCATCAACTACAGGTATTACACCTGATCATCAACGACAAGGCAGTAGTCACTTTGAAGTTGATGGCGACACTCCGCTGGGTCGGGGTGAGCGGAATAAACGCAAGCGCCGTTTCCGTAGCTTGAGCCCCAGTGGCAGAGGTGGCACTCCAGGTGGTCGTGGTACCCCAGATACAGGATCAGGGGCTGGATATGGAGGCGGTGGTGGTACACTCTCTGACTGGTATGTTGATTTCAAAGCTGACAGGCGAACCCTCACTAACACACTTGTCTACAGGGAGCGCCAGAGTTGGAGATGCAAGAACTGTGCAGTATGGGGAACAGCAGTATGGGCTGTGCGAGACGGTCCAGACGGTCCTCGAGTGAGTTGCCATTCAAATCCTTTTACCTGCATCAAGCTAACCACTCCTTGTAGACCCTCTGCCACAATTGTGGTTTACTCTACGAACGCGATAAGGTCGCACCGGAATGGTCCAAGGACCTCCATCGACACGATGTCCCTGTTGGCCGATTTGGCTAAGTCGACATCTCGCTGCACCTTAATGTACTATTAAGCTTCAATGACCTACTTCACGCCATCTACTTCTTCAAAATCTCTCAATTCTCTGTTGCATCTTGTACGCTTACGGCGCCACGGCGCAGGGTCTTTTGTTTTATGGACTCTCAATCTCACGCGCAACATTGAGGGTTGTCTTTGTTACTACACAGGTACTTAATCAATATTTCATTGATCTTGAATGTCCTCTCTCTGAGGCGATGGGCCTTGATAGTAGATCTCGAGCACCGTAGTTGGAAGTCGGGTCGATCTGTATAGTGTAGGGCTATTGACTGGAGAGGCCTTTGGCGTTAGGCTACAGGCCGTCTCAGATCATTATTGGATTCCTCCCGCGTTAGGATCTTCTAAATGTGCCAGGTGGTGATGTAGACGTGTTCTTGAATAGAACTTGATTTTACAAAGATTGACTAGAACATCCGTGAATTTGGCAAATTAGAAGTTAACATGTATTTAGTATGAAGATTCCCGTGTACAGAATCACCATCTTGTAGTCCAATAGAAGAATCCTTCTATTTCTTTGGCCAAGGCCAACTCCAATTCCGAATATATTCCGGATCAAGGCCATTATCAAAAGCCACTGCTTTGGCAGCAAGTTGCTCATTGATAAGCCTCTCTCTCACACCAGACGCAGTGTTTCCAAGAGACTTGACCAGGTCAATAGCATCGATGGCGAGACTGTATCGATCAGTTTGATTGCGCATGGCTAGCTCGAATGGAGTGTCGATGTTGCCCTTCTCCCTGTACCCCCTCACGTGCAGGTTATGTTGACCTGGCCGCTTGTAGGTGAGACGGTGGATGAGCCAGGGGTAGGAGTGGAAGTTGAAGATAATGGGTTTGTCGTCGGTGAAGATGGCCTTCCATTTCTTGTCTGACATGCCGTGAGGATGGTGGAGGGTCGAAATCAACCGGAAGAGATCAACGACGTTGACGAATCGGACCTTCAACTCGGGAAGATGCTCGCGTAGCAGGGCTGTTGCTGCGAGGGCTTCGTGGGTTGATACATCACCGCAAGATGCGACGACAATGTCTGGTTCTGCGCCTTGGTCGTTGCTGGCCCAGTCCCAGATTCCTAGACCTTTCGTGCAGTGCGCAACGGCGTCGTCCATGTTAAGGAATTGGATGTGATCTTGCTTGTCGGCGACTACGACGTTCACATAGTTCACACTGCGTAAGCAATGATCCATCACTGAAAGAAGGGTGTTTCCATCAGGTGGGAGGTAGATGCGGACTACTTCCGGGCTTTTGTTGGCCACCACGTCGAGGAAGCCTGGATCTTGGTGTGTGAAGCCATTGTGATCCTGTCTCCACACTGTCGCCGTGATGAGAATATTCAGAGAAGCAACACGGGCTCTCCATTCGACCTCGAGACACTTTTCAATCCACTTGCAATGTTGGTTGACCATAGAGTCGATGACGTGGATGAAAGGCTCATAGCTGTTGAGCAGTCCGTGTCGTCCGGAGAGAATGTACCCTTCCAGCCATCCCTCGCAGGTATGTTCACTCAGAATCTCCATCACCCGGCCATCAGGTGATAAGTTGCCCCCATCTTTGTCTTCCTCGAAATAGTCTCCCATCCACACTTTCTTTCCTGCTTTGTACACCTCAGCCAGCTTGTTGGACTCCGTTTCATCGGGACCGAACAGTCGGAAGTTGTGCATGTTCTGGGCTACCAGATCTCGGAGGAATATGGCCATATTAGCCATGCCTCCCTTGATTGACCTTCCGGGATCGATGTCCGTGAACCCATACTTTCGGAAGTCGGGCATATTGAGTGGTCGACGCAGAAGACCACCGTTACCGACCGGATTGGCACTCATCCGCGAATTGCCCGTAGGTGCAAGCTCTTTGAGTTCGGCGTGCAGTTTGCCGTTCGTATCGAATAGCTCCTCGGGCTTGTATCCTCTCATCCACTCCTCTAGGAGCTTGAGGTGAGGAGGATTAGTCCGGACATCAGTGATTGGAATCTGGTGGGCACGCCAGAAGCCCTCCAGGTGGTGGCCGTCGATTTCTCGTGGGGCCGACCATCCTTTGGGAGTGCGAAGAACAATCATGGGCCAGCGAGGCCTGAAAGGAGTATTCGAATCTCGGGCTTTCTTCTGGTATTCCTTGATCTCCTTCACACATTGTTCAAGTGTGACAGCCATTGCCTGGTGCATGCTGTCAAAGTCACTTCCCTCCACAAAGTACGGCTTCCATCCGTAGCCGAAAAACAAGGACGTGAGCTCTTCATGGCTCACTCGGGCAAGGACGGTTGGATTGTTGATCTTGTATCCATTCAAGTGTAGGACAGGTAGCACGGCTCCGTCAACAATAGGGTTCAAGAACTTTGTGCTATGCCAGCTAGTCGCCAACGGTCCAGTCTCGGACTCTCCATCACCGACCATGGTCAGAGTGATCAGGTTTGGGTTATCAAAGACGGAACCGAAGGCGTGTGATATCGAATATCCCAGCTCACCACCTTCATGGATACTTCCAGGTGTCTCAGGAGTTGCATGGCTTCCAATGCCACCGGGGAATGAAAACTGTTTGAAAAACTTCTTCATACCCTCTGCATCTTCCGCTTTATCCGGATAGACCTCCGAGTAAACCCCTTCCAGGTAGGATTGGGAAATAATGCCAGGAGCGCCGTGGCCTGGACCAGAGACAAAGAGCACATCGAGATCATACTTCTTGATGAGACGGTTCATGTGCATCCAGGTGAAAGACTGCCCTGCATCGGATCCCCAATGACCCAAGAGACGGGCTTTGAGATGTTCTAGTCTGAGAGGTTCCTTGAGCAGCGGATTGTCGCGGAGATAAAGCATGCCCAGGCATAGATACATGCTGGCCCGGAAGTAGGCATTCATCTTCCGGATGGTCTCGGCATCCAAGGGCTTCCCCTCCAGGGTCGAACGAGCCTCTCCATATGCAGAGATGCTCTTTTCACCAGCCTTTGAGGCCATGTTGTGTGACTCGGTTGGATTTAAGATGTCTCACAATATGTCTGCAGCCGGCTCTTGTGGTTGTTCTGACTTCCTATCAAGGCGAGTGTGGTAGTAAATGTTGAACAGAATAAGAATACCCGCAGGAGAACCTGAGCAAGAAGTCATGGAATATGTACCAAGCCAGGAAAAAGAATCCATGGCCAACTTACTTGCCTGACAAGTCAATGACGTGTAGGTGGTTCACAAACGTACCACATAAGCATGGTACGATGCACGCATGACTGCATGTATCCCGGTTTGCTCCCCACTGGTCCATTTGTACTGCCAGATTTAGAGACATGCATCTAGACTTTTGACAGTGGATCAGAGTGGAGGGTAGAAGTGTAGAGAGTAGAGAGTAGAACAGTGAGAGGTGATGATGTTGTCTTGGCATTGACACCTGAGGCCAACACTGAGGTCTATACATCGACGACATTGACTACATTGACTACACTGCCTTTACTGGTGTATGTATAAGTTGATAAATCAATTGCAGTACACATGGACTGAAACGACAGGTATTGTGCCACTCAAATACATCTCTGAGTGAATGAAATGGCGATTCTCTCCAGCAAACCCTATGCCCCTACTCAACCAGCAAAACGACCCAATCTAAATTCCTCGAGCCTCCAGCACACCTCGCAAAATTTTCTGGAATTCAAAAACATGCTCTGGCAATAGCATTGTGTAATGTCGACCGGGAACTTCGTGGAAGCCGACTTCTGCCCGGGAGAAGTCTTGCCACTTACTGAGATGTTCATTCAACCATTCCTCTTTGGTGGATGCCGCAATAGCCAAGGGAGTGCACCAGAAGACATCGATACTGGGAACAGATCCCTCGGGATCATAATCGACAGCCATACTGTGTAGAACATATGCAAGGGAAGCCCACCTAATCAAGCTGGGCTTGGAGAACGAGAGCTCTGCCAGACGTTCCTGAGACGAATGCTTCATCACCTGATCAAAGACATCTTCTCTCGAGAGACCCTTGAGTTTGACTGACAGCTCCCGTGATTGTTCTTCCGTCATAAGACTCAAGAAGTAGGCAAGATGAAGCAGACACTCCCTGTAATCGAGATCACGCATGCGGAGCTTGATGTGTGGTGGAAGATTGAATGCCCCAACAAACCTGACTTCATCACCGTTCTCCTCAAGTAGCTTTGCTACCTCGAAGGCGATCATGGCGCCATAGCAGTATCCGGCTAACGCATATGGCCCATGAGGTTGTTGCTTTTTGACGGCGTTGTAGTAGCTGTTAACTGTTTCCTCGATGGTGGAGAAAGGAGTTTCGCCTTCATTGAATCCTCTTGCACGTAATGCATGAACAGGCCGATCCTTCATGTATTTCGCGAGGTTAAGGAAGACCAAGACCTCACCTGCACCGGGGTGGACAAGCCAGAGAGGTGCCTTGGTACCCTTGTCCTGCAGAGTAACCAAAGGACTATACTCTTTAGGGGCTTGAAGCTCCAGTAGTGCATTGTGCAGTTCACGAACTGTCGAACTTGTCATCACAGCTGTCAATGGCAGTTCCCGACCAATGTCAATCCTATTCTCAAGATCTTTTTTCAGCTTGATCAACTCCATGGAAGTGATTCCAACGTCGAAGATAGGGGTTTCAACTCCGAATCCCTCCTCAACTAAGCCCAGAGATTCAATATAAACCTCTAGGATCTGGCGCTCGAGTTTAGTCTGTGGTGGAGTGCGCACAGCTTTGTAGTAAAGTCTGACCATTTCGGTGTTGATCTCCTGGAAAGATTTGTATTCACCCTTCTCATAACTGGTCTTGATCTTTTGACGAGACACCTTGCCCAAAGCAGACTTTTGGAGTAAGGCTTCATTCAGGGGAATGATCTCGGGGCGTGATCCGGTAGCCATCATGACGATTTTCGAAATTGCCTCGGTGGTTCGCACGCGCGTCACCATGTCCTCTGGCCTGTACGTCGGGAGATATGCCAGGCAGACCATCTCGGTGTCTGCACCAGATGGGAAAGACGAGAAGCAACAGTTAAAGCTGGGCACGAGACCGACAATGTCGGAACGATCAAGCAAGCTGTCAATCTCGTATGGGCTATAGTGAATTCCATTGATGATCATTGTCTCTTTCAGTCGACCAGTCAAGTTCAGATATCCGGTGTTGCGATCAATAAAGGCCCGGTCGCCTGTCTTGAACCACCTATCACTGGTGAAGGAGTCCAAGGTGGATTGGATGTCGTTGAAATACTCCTTGAAGACCGTCTTGCCCCGGAGCTCCAAGTTACCTATCTCTCCGGGTGCCAGACAGACGTTTGAGTTGCCTGTGATTCTCATCTCAATACCCGGCATACATGTTCCAACAGAAGCGAACTCCAGCTTATGCTCAATGTCATACCGTGGGCAGTTGGTGTTGAAAATTGCCCCAGCACAGGTCTCTGTCATGCCAAATCCGGGAACGACGACATTGCTGGGGGCCCCGTAGCGGGACAGCAGTCTCGAAACCTCACTGCATGTCTTTGTTACATTGGCCTCACCCCCTGAAGCCACATAGTTGAGACAACTAAGATCCCAGTCCCGTGAGACACCATTTGTTACGCCATTTGGAGTGATAGACAAGACGCCACGGAGCTTTGCCAGGAATGAGTTTGGAGCAAACGTCCTGGTGACTCTGTGCTTGTCGATGAGATCGATGAACTTGATAGGATCGGACAGTACATCTGTGCTGTGGACATGAACCTGGTCCTTGAGAGCCAGCATAGCCTGCAGATGAATCTCAATCAGCGAGGCGGCGTGGTCCAATCGAATCCAATTCATAAAACTATCCCCATGGAGAGCCACCACGGATAGTTTCCCTGTCAGGACAGCCAGAATCTGACCATGGCTGAGACAAACAGCCTTGGACTTACCCGTGCTGCCCGAAGTAAGCATCATGACTGCCGTGTCACTCAGCTCGGATCCCATAAAATCCACCTGAGGATGGGCGGCTTTTTGATCAAACGAATCGACTGCCACGGCATTGATAGACGGTTGCTGGCTGAAATCGGATACCAAGTTGTTGCGAGTCAAGCACAAAGGCTCTCTCAAGACATTTGACAAATGGTCCAGATGTGCTATGCGCAAGGAAGGGTCGTTCGGAAGAGTTGTAGAAATGACTGGCACGCACCCCGCCAGCATGACCGCCCAAAACCACACGATCGTATCCCAATGGCCATCAAAATGCAGGAGAACCGGACTTCCGGGAGTAAGACCAGAAGCTATAGGGCTTGCACGAAGTGACCATGAGGCCCTTTGCGCATGCTCAGCGAGTTGCTGGTATGTGCAAGTGGTTGGAGATTCGGTGTTTCCTAACGGGTAGCAGATCAAGTTCCCACCATCTTTGATGCTCGACACTTCCTGTAGCAGGTGTTGGAGGTTTCTGAACGTCATGTTTACCAGAGGTTGATGCATCATGGCGTGTGGACCTGATGCTTTCTTGAATCTGGGGAAAATTCCAGGTTATCAATCGCCAGATGCTGTATGTTATGTCTATGGCCTTGAGAACAGCGGTTCCTGTGCTTTTAAATTACATTATACGATCTAGTGGGACCTTGTGTTCAACTTCAGCCAAGGCAGTGAATGCAGCGGTAGTCAACAGAAGGCCTGATGCCTGGATTACTTGTTCTGAGTTCTATGATTAGTTCTCCTATCCGACACTACTTTCGCTGAGGCATGATACTCCCATCTACCAGGTTGCTCTACGTATGTGAAACAATACATGACCTTGAACCAATATGAAACACCCCAGATCCCGGGTACAAGCGGTACAATGGATACTATTTACACGAATCTGAGTCCTGGTCGTAAAGATGACACCTATGAGGGCCTGAGACCGTAGAGATCCCTTGATGAAGATGCGCTTCGCGCATTGCTCTTCGTATAGGTGACAGCTTAGATTGTCGTGCGCCGTGGAACCTGAACAGCTCTCTCGCTCTCCCCGGCTCTCGTGTTCGGCAAGATGGCTGCCTGTTTTTGCGAAAACGCATGGTCTCAGGGCTTCTCCATGCATTTTGTGGTTAGAGGGGGTATTTATTCCAGGGTTCTGCTGTCACAACAAAAAATTCTCTTTAGCTTATTGAGATACTTAGAATCGATTTCAAGACTCATAATATTCTTTCTACAGAACAAATTTCTCTGATCAATAACAAATCTATCTCGATGATCCACAGAAGATACCGCGTTCTGATGAAATGGAGAATTCAGGCTTCCCAGGTCAAGTGAAAGGTATTTTTGGATGCCTTTTCGAAGCAAGATATTGCGTGTCTTATTTCTCAAGTGATATTGAAATCATCCTTCTCGGACAAAATAAGGCAGATTGGAGGATGCAAGTAATATAATATCCGACAGGAGCATATCAAGATTAAACTAGGGGTTTCTTTGGCCACAAGGCATCCCAATATAACTTTAGAAATAACGCTATAGACCATATTGTCTCTTGGGCTAGACCAAATCACCCCAAGCTTACAATAACCTTGGAATATTGGCATTAACTCGGAGGATTGGTAGTACTCCATAATGTAGATGACCTGGATTCCAAGGTTCTCGGCATCAGTACTCTGTACCTATTGCTTAACCCTAGGGTGTTGATATTTGGCTAAACTCCGTGAGAATGCGCTTCTGGATTTCTTTGAAATCATCTCACTTGACTTCGTGGCCAGCTGAGCCTTGGCTCCCCCACTGGGCTCGATTGAAATAAAACACCGCAGTCACACCGAAAGTAGTCACTCTTAGTGATCCCCATAGTCAGAGGTCAGCGTGACTCACTTGGTACAAAAGGTACAAACTGCGAGGGACGTTCTTGTCTCTCTCTCTTCTTCTTGGACTCGTTGCCGTGTTTAGTTGATAAAACACGGAGTTTCGCGCTACGTAGTGCAATGTTCTGATGGCCCATGCACAAAATCTGGGAATTACATTGCGTTAAATCTGGATTTTCAGCCCTGAATATTAGATCGCTTCTTTGGCAAAGTCCCGAAGTCCCATGGCATATAGTTAGAACACCATAATCATGTCCAGAATCGATATCCCTGCGGCTCGACCAACTTGCACAATCCGCTTTTCCGATCTCACCTTTCGACGGTAATCCTTGGAATGCTTATTTATATTCTCTTAAGCATTATACAGTGGGGAATACCCGGTGAAATTCAATATTTGGCGCAAGATCTTCCCAGGTTGCCTCAACTACATCTCGAGGTACGAAGTAACTTTACTGAAATAGTGACATCTTAAAGGGTGATGTATATAGGGCAAAGGTACCGATTACATTAACTTTAGAAAAACATCGCTGAGAAACTTTGAAAGGGCACTTCTAAGTAACAACTTTAAAATTTTATCACTAGAGAAGCTGAAAATATCGCCAGCTACGAATTTCTAAAACTCTGTTTCTCGCAGATATACATTGATACTACAGAAATAAGTTCAGGGAAATTATTGATGTATGGCCCGGGAGATCTCAATCTGATCAATGCATGCTCTATACCTGTAGACGGAATGGGGCGGCTATGGAGCCAGCGCACTTGAGCAGATTTATGGGAAAACTACGCGCAGAACCCATCGAATTGTTTGCCCGGGTGCGGAGGACTTTCCTAAACTAGTGAACCTATCTTCAGGGCCTTTTTCTCGGACTTCACCAAACGAATGGGGAATGCTCTTTTTTGGGGCCAATTCCTCCATACCCTTGAGTGGAATGGGGGGAATTATGCACGCTAGCGCTAGCGCCAGCGCCTAACAGCCCCTTATTGGACTTGAGTAGCCAGCGCATGTCCATACCCGGGTAAGAGGGCTGATTTCATGTTTTCACATTGCCCTGCATTGATTTAGGGGCGCGTACTCAAACAGCAGTATTCTGTAGGAGGCGGTTCATGGCTTTGGGGGCAAAAATAGGTCTACAGTACTGTTGAGATATAGCTATATGATCCCATCTTATTCCGCAATATTATTCGAGTCTGTTATAGTGATGAGATAGAATGGAAAATACATTCGCCTCCAGCGGATGGGTGCAGGAGCCAGACGGGCGAGGTACGTGGAGTATTCTCTGCACTTGCACTCTCACTACTATCCTCTGTTGCTGGTCATCAGTGGCCCCCAATTTACCCGCGAAAGGGGATGGGGAGTTCAGACGATGGAGATACAAATTTGATCTGGCTTGTCTTTCTGTGCTTGGGTCGGAATTTATATTAATGGTCGCCTTGGGGCAATGGTCCTCCGCACGTCGTTCTGTGAAGGTGGGTTGCGCATACTGAAATTATATGGACTACCCAATCTGACTTCAGGACTGAGCAGGATTTTCATGATGTCGGATATAAAGACTGGTCGATCCAGCATGCCTGGTTTGCCGATATGGGAGGTTTCTTAGTTAACCACCCCGGCGAGGAACTGGTTTCGTTTCCAGTGGACGCGAAGCAGTTATGTGCATTGGTCAAGGATGGATACGTTGTATACCCAGCGCTGGAGGAAGAAGAGATCGAAGACAAGAGTAAATCAGGTGGATTGGCCAAGTAAGTGAAATAACTGATCTTGGACAAGTAATGCTGACTCGGACAGGCTGTTTGCAATCGCACAGGCCTGTTGGTTTACCTTGAATTGTCTCTTTCGATTTGCCCAGGGGCTTTTCGTCACCACGCTGGAAGTGACCACTCTTTCATTCATTCTAGTCTTCCTAGTCACATCCTTCTGTTGGTACCATAAGCCCATGGATGTGAACAGACCCATTACCCTGGAGCTCACTGTCCCTGTCGACATGATCCGAAAGAACTATGATCAAGCCGATTCACCATGGTACGAAACACCATTCGACTTCCTCTCTCGCGACGAATGGTTCGTTGCTCGATTTTGGAAGTATTATATTCAGATTCTTCACTACATGCATCTACCTCTCTTCACTCGACCTGAGAGACGACCATATGATCGCATTCCCAGTCACTATGGACCGAATGTGGACACTCGGGCTGAGATTATTTGTACTCCGACTCTCCTACTATTTAGCTCCGTTTTTCTCATCTCCTGGAACTCGGAATTTCCAACTCAAGCAGAACAGACGCTCTGGCGGATTTCTAGCGCGAGCATTGTAGCCTTCACCATAGGTGGGGGTCTTACTGCGCTTTATTTCCACCGAACGATATTCAAAGCAGGCTCGACACAAAGAATACCAGCCATTTCGAATCAAGAACGAGGACCTCGCCATTGGATTTATTGTTTTGCTTCAAGTCTCAGAAATATCGACCCCGAGAAAGATCCTGCGTTGGAAATCCCTCTTCGGGCTTTGATGCCCATCTCCCTGGCCTGTATCCTTTACCTCCTGGGGCGAGGGTTCATCCTAACAGAAGATCTGATTGGATTGAGGGATATGCCCAAGAGTGCTTTTCAAACGATCTCATGGTCAAAGTATGTGCCTCATTGGTAGTGACCAGAATCTACTTGAATCAACTTCAATCTACGTGTGCCCGAGATCGTATTCTGAGCTCTGATGTCCCAGGCTTGGACCATCTCTCTTTTTTTTTCTTCTTTTTTTTTTTGCTCAAGCAAACAAAAGATTCGATCTTATATTGGAGCAAGACAGATTAGATGGAATCAATTCGTGGTAGGCTCCCATCGTAATGAGAAAGAATATCTCTGGCAGCTACTTCTGTCCTCAGCACTCTCAAGAAAAAAGTAAAATCTATCACAAAGCCATTAAATGAGAGACATATGGGCATACAAAGTGTTGAAAACAAAGAAAATGAGACATCACAGAATGCAACTTCAGATTTCTTTCTTTGATGCACTCCCGGCATGAAGCGTATCCCTGCTATAAAAGAGCATTCATTTTTTTACAGGCCCTCCAATAAATCTGAAGCTCGTCTACGAATACATACAGATTATACCAAGCTAACATCCCTTTTACAGAAAGACATTAGCCCAAATACCAAACAACAAACCCGAGTAATGCCTGTCATACATCACTGTCCATTCGCAAGACACGCAGCGACGCCTCGATGCATTCGCCTGGACGATGTTGTCCAGTGCAAAACTCATCCAAATGTCTTTTATCCCCCTTCCAGTCACTGCACTATGTGTAAGGCTAGAGAGAGGCGGCTGATAGCGCAGGAGAAGAAAGAGAAAGCCGATGAAGGGCTGGTAAAATCATAGATATTTTATACGAATATCATCAACTAGATAGTCATTCTCAGAAGACGTTGCCCTTGGTCTGTGTCATAGTCTTCACGTTCAAGTTTCTCATCATGCCAACCCAGATAAAGCCCAAGACCATGAATCCAGTGCCGGATGCAAGCATGATTGGTTGAGCGTAACCGTAGGCTGCAACGATTGCATCGCGAGTTGGGCTGCCAACGGGGTAGGTGAGTTGGACCGGAAGGCTTTGGTAGATCAGTGTTAGACTGGGCAGAGCCTCATCGGGAAGAAGCTCCTGGAGCTTCGGCCTGAAGGTGTTTGTCCAGATAGCTCCGCAGATAGCACTGCCAATAGAACCACCAATACTGCCCATCACGAAAAGAAGCGCAAGGGCCGCAGCAAGATGCTGGTGATCAACAGAGGCGAGAACAGCAAGCTGCACACAAAGAATGAAGATACCACCGGGGACGGAGAAGAAGATCTCACACATAACAATGTAGCCGATGTATCCTCCCGGTGTGCGGAAGTGGATCATAAGGCCCAGTCCGAAGATATAGAGCGGTACACAGACCCAGAGAATCCACTTGAAGCGACCAGTCACTCGAATCAGCCAGCCGGTGATGAACAGGAAGACAAACGAGACCACGCTAAAGGTGTTTCCAACGTATCCAGCTGTGGCAACGTCCAAGTTGTACACGACCTGCAAAAAAGAGGACAGATAGCTCGCATAGCAGTAGTAAGAGACCTGGTATGTCATATTCAAGAGACATGCGCCCAAGATAGTTCGGTCGGTGAGGAACTTGTAGTTCAAGAACGGCACTGAGGCGACAAAAGTCTCATAGACCCCAAACGAGATGAGAAGGAACAGGCCAACGACAAGCATGGCGATAATGTAGCCTGTCTGCCAACCACTGGGCGCAGTACTGGCTAATGTAAACGGTAGAAGGAATACGACCATTCCGCCAGCAAAGAGGAAGACACCCATCACTAAATAGCGCCAGAATTAGTCAGTTTTGTTTGACATTCAAAATCGCAGGCTACAATTCAACTCACAATCGAATTCCACAATTACCCACCAAATAGTTTCCAGGTTGAAGACGGGTTTTGTTCTCTCTTTAGTAATTGTGCCTTGCCGCTCTGCTCGGCGCAGATTGTAGGCCAAAAGACCGTACAGAGGCAACGCAAATGCTGGCAAAACAATTGCCCACATTCCATAGCCCCATCGCCAATTGACATGTAGCAGGAACTCGGCAGCGGCTTTGGATCCAGCGAAGGCCGATATCAATGCTGGAGAGGAAGTGAAAGCAAATGCAAGACCTCGATTTCTCAGGTTGGTCACGTCTGCTGCAAGAACATCCCAGCTGTAGGCCAGGCCTCCGAATCCCACAGAGTAGAACACCTATGAAAAAATTAGTTATCTGCAGTAAAAATGGAGGTGCGATCTCTTACCTCTCCAGCGCAGTAGGTTGGGAGATTATTAGATGACGCCAAAAGGACGATTCCCAGAATAGACATGCCAACCATGAGAAGAAAGCCTTCTGCACGACCCCAGAGATCCAGTGCCTTTGCCATAGGAATGTAAACCGCGCCTGCCATCGCAGAGGATACGATATTGACGACGGTCAAAAGCGAGTGTCCTGCGAAGGAGCTTGTTGCGTAGGCCGTTAAGCTGTATACCATCGAGGACTTCATGTTGTTCACCAGAGTAAGGAACCAAATGCTAGAAAGAGAAGGTTAGGTAGAGAACTCGACAGCCAGAGCAGAAGCCATACAAAATCAAGACCATGAACATGGATCCCCTCCCCCATGTTAGGGTGACCGCCTCGATCTTCTTCACTCCGGTCTGAGCATCTTCGGTTGGCTTGTCATCTGGGCTGATATCGTTGACGGGCCCAGCTTCTTTGTCACCAGCCCTGAGCTGAATCACAGTCGGTTCATCCTCAGGGGTCTGCGTCTCAGGCTTTCCCACCAACCTGTGTAACCTGCTTGGGATGGCCATTGAAAAGATTGATGAGTTCCCACGAGCGGAAGTGCCGACATTAAATAGCTAGACTTTAAATTCGGCACTGGCAAGTGACCCAGTACAAATCAGCCGGTCATACCATCCGAAAAAGTAAGGAGAAAGGGAAAAAAAAGAGTAATTTTTGGCGCGGAGACGCTAGTAGCGACTTCAAATTTCACCGAGTTGGCCCCCAAAATGCCAATGAAGCGTATAGTAGTCCGATAACGGGTGTCGAGAGGTGCGGAATACTAGAAAACCAGGGCCAAGTAGGCCAGACAGGTACGCCAAGGTGGCGAGATTAATTCCAAGAACCAGTCAAGACTTCCAGACTGCAAAAGTTGCCCAATTCTTCACAAATCAGATCAGATTAGATGTCGCCCCCAATGCCCTAACCGCTTCGGGGAATTTCCAAGCCCGATCCCTCCCGTAGCTCTGGTCTTTTTCTTGGTTTTTTCGCTTTTCTTGGGGAACGAGCATGTGACTATCTTTTTCAAGTATCACTGTGGTAGAGAATGCGCTCAAAAAACTGCGTTGAAGGAGAATGGTTGTGACAAGTGTAATTGAACATACTCATCTGTGAGATGAGATTCAAGTGCTAAAGAACAAGAAACATTTCCGATTAAAGGAGAGGCGGAGGGGCCGAGATTGCCGTTGCCATCTTAAGTTTTTTTTTCGATTGGGATTCGCCTCAACGGAATGCAACATGTCGTTCATCCTTTGAAAGGCCAATTCTCGAGGAACTCGGTCAAGCCCCGAGTCATGGAGCATGCCATCACACTCGTGTGCTCTTCACCTTCAAACTCATTCATCAGGACAGCATTCAAATGTGGAGACCCTCGTAACATCTCGCATATCTGAATCGAATTCTCCGTGGTTCGGAATATAGACGCGATGTGCTGCCGAGCTTCGAACTGGTCAAGAGACTCATCGCCCCACTGGTAGGGGTACTGCTCGAGTGAGCCCCAGAAAACTATAAGGGAGGGCAGATTTGTGTCGGGCCGTTTGTCTTGTTGGAGAAATGTCTTTGCTGTCTCCAAGATGCAATGATCATTCCACCAAACAGAGGGACTACTCGCAATGTAGCAGTCAAACAGCCGAGTGCGGTTAAACAACGTGTGTAACGCTAGAAGTCCGCCATAAGAATGCCCGTATAGAGCTTCTCTGGCGATGGAGATTTGCGGAAAGCGCGCTCGGACGTGGGGCTTGACGATACCCTCAATAAAATCAAGAAATGAATCCGCCCCTCCGAATCCAGGAATCGGATTCACTGTTGGCGGCGTCAAATCGAGGCTGCGTCGCTTGGAATCATACACCTTCCCACTCAAGGGGTATCCAATGGCAACCACGACGCCTCCCACAAATCGCGACTCAGCTGCCCGGCGCCAAGCTGCCTCGGTTGCTGTCAAAAACAGGGCATTTCCGTCGACAATGTATCTAGACCGATCAGCTGATAATTTCAAGATTGGAGCTGTGGAAATTACATGATGGGGGCCGAGCCCCCAAAGAAACGTCCATTCGGCCAGCTTAATGGCCAGGAAATTTGGACGAGATAAGTTTCGCCGAGTGCATTCTTCATGTAAACCTGCTCCGAGTTGGGCAACGAGACAGCCATCGGGGTTTGATCCATGGCTTCCATCTGAGTGCTTAGGCTCACAGTGGCGAGTGCGGGATGCCCGTCGATGGCAGAGTGCAGAATATCTGCGAAAAAGGAAACTTGGCGAGGTTTAGCCATTTAAGTCCTGAGGTCGGAGCCGGAAATGGCCCCAATTTCGGATCTGAGACATGGCTGGTCTGTATCAAATCTGATAGCCAAACACTGATCTCGATATCACCGAAGTAGCACAATCGATAGTTGAGCGAGTAGGTGCAAAACAACAATTCTTTATGATGCAAGAGGCAGAAATAAAAGGATAGCGAATAGTTGGCAATTGGAAGAGAGAGGGAAGGAGAAGGAGAGGGAGAGACTATGCTGGGGGCCTGAATCCTAAGGCTCACATATCTCCTTCTTTGTTCTCCCGTTGAACATCCGACACTTAGATCTTCTCCAAGGTGCAAAAGTGCTTTATCTGTTCCTAAGAGCCCATCGGAATAAGAAGATGATGACCAGAATGATATTTTATCCCGTGTTTAGTAGAGAGAGAGAAGAGGGGAGGGAAACTCTCCGACTCGATCTATAGAATCTAACACGAGTTAGGTCTCGACATAATAGCTTCAACAGAAGATTTATTGTTTTGAACCGAACCACTTAGTTTTTCACGCTTCTAGAATTTTCCTGTCAATTATCTTAAAGCTGAAATGCCCAGAGACTATGGAAAGGTTCAATGTTCCGATAGGTAGCAAGCGGGCTATACAACGGCACCTTCGTTCGCAAATCATTTACATGGAGCCTCCACAATCATACGGAACTCTCCATACAAGCTTCTAAAGTTGAGCTCAGGTTTTGACAGGAATGTTGATCAAACTTAAGGGTGAAACGAAGATCAATAAACACGAAATCCAATAAAAATCAAATATCACAGACCCATATAACTGTAGCAAACATTTCAGCCAGCTTCAAGAGATTTAAATCATTATATGTAGCTGCCAGATGCTCCGGAGAGCGTTCAATGGCCACATGAATCGTGATTTTCAGCCTGCCAGCTGTATCAAGAGTCATGTCTGGCCTACTACTTAAGTAAATGACGGCATTGGGACGCGCACGAGTCAATGACATAAGGGTTGCAGATTATTGACCAGAATGCATAGGATATACGAGCAGTCGTATCAAGGGAATTTATTCAGAGTTTGGTGCAGATCTTTGGGTTATGAGCCACCAATCAATGTAGTTGACGCGTTGTCGAAGGGTGATGACCAGTATAGAGATATGTACTATGACCTGACGAAGCTCTCCAAACCTGTAGACGGCGTTCACACAGGGAATTAGTCATATCCGCTTTGCTTCCAAGCAGCGGTGAGTGATATTCAGGTGGTACAGCTACAGATCAGGTTTGGAAGGGTCCTATATTCACCTGAATGTGGATACCTCAGCCCCTGCACGGCATTTACGCCCTCTGACCAAACCTGTCAGGTTCAGTTCAGAGGGAGTTCAGCTCAAGATGCTCTCATTTTGCGGAATTCCCAACTTTGGGCTATGAAGAGTCATGGGTTTCTTCCCATCCGGCGTGAACAGCCCTAACTTCCAGACCTACACAGATTAGGCGGCTACTGAACTTGGGCTTACACGGATTGACTCTCATTGGGTCCTGTTATCTTCAAAGGCCCATATTTTGGTGCTTAGTTGCAGAATCCATGCAGCTACCAATGATGGAGCCGATTGCATGAACCTGCGCTCGCTTCATCTGACTAGTTTTACTAGTTTGACAACGGTGGATCGGCATCTCCGACCAGCTTTAAACAATCCCTATTTCAGTGAACTTCATATGCTCTCTCATTTGTTTCTAATTCTCTTATATCACTACGTTGGTCGCTCTATATCTTCCCTGTCTTGACTTTCGAAACAAAATTCTCCAAGATGCGCATCCTTTGTCTTCATGGCTATGGCACAAACCCCGGTATTATGAAACATCAGTTGTCGACCTTACGAAAACTGTGCGATCCAAGCTGGGAGTTTCATTTTCTCGCTGCGAGGATCCAATGCCCACCTGCACCAGGTCAGTCGATGTGTGCCTCGCTTTACGGTCTCAAGAACTAATCCACATCACAGGTGTACAAGGCTTTCCAGGTCCATATCTCTGTTACTCCACGGACTTCGACCCTGTCAGCATGAGAGCCGCCCATGCTTTAGTGCACGAAGAACTCGAGACCAAAGGCCCCTTTGATGGTGTTATTGGGTACAGCGCAAGTGCATCCATCTTGGCTGCTTATTTATTAGAGCATAGCGCCGCACATCCAGGGAAGCCACTTCCTATTCGATTCGCTGTTTTCTGCTCTGCGGTGCCGATTATCTCGACCGATCCCGCCTACTATCAGGCTATCTATGGTTCACTCTCTGATGAGGAAGAGCAGATTATTCGCGCTGGTCAATATGATCAACTGGTGAATCTTCGAGAGCCCATACGAACTGCAGCCAAGACTGTGGCACATGTGATCGATATACTGGAGCCACTGCTGCGTAGATCTCGCCTGCATTATTTGGATCGACAACCATTGGAGATCCCGTGTCCCTTGCATCCTGATCTGTACAAGACACGCTTGAACATCCCGACCCTTCACCTTCGAGGAAAAAAAGAGCCGCCCGCATTGAAAGAATGCTCACTGGTGTTGGAATCATTCTGTGATTCTTCTTTGCGGCGAACGTTCGAGCATAGTACCGTTCATGGGATTCCCACTTCCCCTCGGGAAGTCAAGGATATGCTCGCCGCTATGGAAGAGGTGGCTGGCTCGGATCGCCGGGTAGCCAGATTATAAGCGAAATAAGTTTTCATGTCAAAACAACATCTAAGTCGTACTAGCCGCCGAACTCATATAATTCGCACCTTTCCGAGCCTTAACTCCAGCCCTCCACCAATCCAGCCCGGTAATATCCCGATCATTCTCACTTGACATCTTCCCATACCCACACCTCCTCAGAAATGGACTGTCCAGCGTCTTCCACGGTAATTTGTCCGTCGGTCGTACAAAATACAGCAACGCCAGCCGATCCAAATGAGCCTGATCCCTTTGGGGCGCTATCACCCGATGAAAGCCGCTTTTCAAGTACCCGTTGGTCAAGAATTGAAGAGTATCGGCAATGTTTACAGCAACAGAGCCCGCAGGAATTCGCAAATACTCCCACTCCGCTTCTTTCGTGGATTGAATCTGCAAGGCTGCGATGGATTGTTGAAATAGAAATGTCAGTGTTCCTTTATCTGTATGGCCACGGAAATACACGTTGTCAAAGGTCTGGTTTTCCCTCTGCGACCGTGCATGATACAGCATGTAGCGTATAGAACTGTCGCATTCATCCTCGTAGCGGTTGCCGTTCACGAATTGGTCTTCGGGTAGCTCGAGCACCAGCGCAAGTACTCGGAGTATTTTGAATGAAACAATTTCGTGCATGTGTCGGGAAAATCCCTCGATCTCTCGGGAGTATTGGCGAATGATGTCGGGGTGGGATCGTTCACTTTGGGGAATGAATTTGAAAATACTGTAGAATTCCAAGGTGTCTTGCATCCCTGGAAAGAGGCTGAGGGCTCCTAGAGGTCGATATCCGTTATAGCTCCCTGTTTCCAAGGGGGCCCGGTGTCTGAGTCGTTCTTCTTCTGGTAATTCAAAGAATGCTTTGGCGATGGCAAATTGAAGATCGATTTCTTCTTGGGAGAGGCCGATGTTGGTGATGTAGAAGAATCCTTCTGCTGTGAATATTTCTCTTCATATTGAAATCAACGAAGCATACCGTGGTGGATGTGTTGTCGGAACTGCTGCACCAGCCTGTCTCTGCCTCCTGGGCGATCATAGTCGGCCAGATCGATGGTAGGAACATCCGCATATTTCACTAGACACTGTTAGTCTACTGAATATTCATCGATATGAATATTGTAGATGTGGGCACTGACGTGGACACCTCGTCTCGGGTGGATGCTCATACTTCGGCAAAGCCTTCACTTTAACTGCACCCATTCCTAAGCTTGAAGGTCCTTATACTTAAGTAGTGTTGGCTTGTCAAGTGTATCTATAAGAGTTTGTTATACATCCCCGCAGAAGCTTACGGTCTACAGGTCGCCACTCGGCTTTCCCCAGAGTCCCATTTCCACTTTTTTTAATAAACTAGTAGTTCAGTACCCACTGTAGAGGACATGTGAACTGTTCTCGTTTTGCACTCTGCATACGTTTCCTTAGGGAGACCCCGCCTGGGGCTGCATCGATCGACATTGCAGTGACCCCTCACCGCTAGTTGATTCGTTGTCCTTGTACATGAAGTCTGGAATGCTTCTAGTCACACCAATTAAAGCTCACAAGGAAGAGTATACCCAGCCGGCTGTCATTCGCTTTAATTGGCCTCGATCTGGCTCCCCGCACTGGACTTTGACTATGCGCGACATCGGATATGTGATCCTCGTCTACGAAGTATGTATGGGGCCGAAATTATAGAATCGCAGGAAATGAATGGCTGTGGCAACCTGCAAGGATACAGATTATGCAGAACTTAATTTCGTACGAGTACGGAGTTCTGCGCTCGGCTTCTAGACCGTATATATTGAAGCTTGGAGCCGTGGAATACTTAAGTACTTCTAAAGTTCGATGTAGGAGTCTCCTATTGCGGTCCTTATATGAACAACTCTAGGAGAGCCAGTCTACCAACCAAAGACACTTAAGTATATGGATTAAAGGAGAATTTAAGCATTAACCATCTTCATCTAGAGCAGAGATCATAATTCATGAATGACATATCAGTCACCTAAAATACCGAGAAAAGATATCAAGCAGCCACCGGTCTAGTAATCAACTCCCAAGAATAACGAACCCAGACCCAGGCCAAAATTCAAAACAAACATAGCAAAAGCGATCCCGAAAGCAATAGAATATCCCTCTCCAATTAATTTAAGTCATACGGCGACGCTGAGTCTCCGGGGCAGTCTCCATAGGCTCCTATAGCCATCGTCAGTAAGGCTTCCGTGGTTTCAACTTGCGGAGCATAGTACGAACCGAGCTTGCACGGCGCTTCAGGGTGCCGCCAACGGTATCAGTAGACTCGGCAGGCTTGGGGGCACCGCGAGTGATGACGTTGTTTTCGCCATGAATCCGCATCCCAGAATTGACCGTTATGTTAATGGGGCGTGCTGCTCCTGCCTCGTCGCGGAGGGCATTGGCACGACTCAGTGCGCCAATGATCACACCTGCTAGTGAGGGGGTGGAGTTCCTGCCCTCACTTGTGGTTGGGGTGCTGGATTCGGACGGCAGCATGACATGATTGCCATTGCCGGTCACATCGATTGAATTGTCAATCTGGATGGTGATAGGGCTGGGTTCTTCAGCATAGTAATAGTCATCCAACCGGTCCACGGTCATGGTACGCGTGCCGGTTGGCCTGGAAACTGAGAGTGTGTATGGGGGAGGAGGCACACTAGAAGTAGGAGTAGTAGTAGTGCTGCGATTTGCTCTTGCTTCAGCAAGCTTCTGAAGGCTATGTCGCAACGCGTCTGAAGGAGGCTTCATTGTGTATAATCAAAGGTGTGAAAGAGGAGAAAGGTGGAAGAGAAGGGAAGAAGGGAAGACCCTATATATAAGCTTAGTTGGGACGAACGCCCTGAATACAATAGGAAAACGCAATCAATAGGGAGCCAATCAGAAGCCTCCGCTGGGCATTGAATTACCGAATTGGGAAAGATCAATGGAGGCCCCGATTGTTCTCAATAGAGTCACGTGCTTACTATTGTTCAGATTGTCCCTCAATAGAGTATGTACTGGGTACCTGCGCTAGAGTGGGTGCTGTCATAATAAAGCAAGTACCAGTAACCCCCCATTCAATAGTCAACTCAATTGAATGCAGATCCTTCAATAAAGAATCAAGGAAATCAATGCAAAAAAATGCCTTCAAGGTTGCCAAGAGGCCAAACGCAAACTAATGCAGGAAATGCGCCTCCAGCTCTCGATTTAAAAAGCAAAATGGAACGCTGCGTCGATCCACCAGTCCCTGGCTGTTGATGAACCCTTCCAGGGGTTCGTATGGGGTGTCATGGCCAGGAGTGGGCGGTTTGGATATGCCTTCTTGTGTTGGTCGAGATTCCCTGATCTCCTCACCTGAACGTCTCGTCAGGTTGTTCGCTCTGGACCCTAGAGGGGTTCCTTACTGGGAGGATGCTGGCCTGGATAGTAACGCCCACCCGGGTGAAGAGAATGCGCCGTCTACACTAAAAATTAGCAAGGACAAAGGTCCTCGTTGGCTGACCGAGTGATACCGGTGTTTCTGTCATGTCCGACATCCAAACCGTCACGGGTTGGTACTGACTTCGCGGAACTCATCCCCTTCCACTTCCACCTCGCGATCTCGAATCCGACGCATCAATGCAAGGAAGTTGCTTTGTGCGAACTTTTCACTTTGTTCGTTCCGCACACTGTCTAGGAGTTGACCGGCTGTTCGTGCAAGTTCATCTGCATCTCGTCCTTTGGTTTGTGGGTCTTGTTTCTCACTCTGTGGAATCAAATCAGATCCGAGTCGGATGTCTTCGGTGACAGGCTCATATTCATGGCTGTCCTCTAGATTATGCTGGGTATCTTTTTGGTCGGCGCCTTGTAATTCCATATCGGCCCGCGCCTGGTCAAACGCGGCCTCGAAGGCGGATTCATCGAACTGCTCCACAGGCTTTTGTTGGCCCTGCATGACCTGCGAGGGCTGCATTTGGTTCATCGAGCCATACATCGGATAATTTGGCGCGAAAGACGGTTGATAGGCGCCATGCATTTGCGGGTTTTGTTGCGCTTGGGACACGTGCCCCGCTTGTTGCCGCATAAACTCTGTGTGCCACCCGCCATTCGCAGTTGCTGGTGCAATGTTGGGCCTCTGTAATTGTGCGGGGTGTGCTGATCCCGATATATGTAGATTCTGGAAATCCGATGCCCAACTCGAGTTGGCCGGATGATGTGCTGCCGGATGGTGTGCCGCCGGATGATGGGCGGCGATATGGTGTGTCTGCGCAAAGTGAGGAGCGTGCTGTAGGTCTGGCAATGCGGGGCCGGCGAGGTTGGCTTCAAAGGCGGCGAACTCCGGGTCAAGTATACCCTCTTGGGGGTTCTGTGATCGAAAACCCTGGTGTTGTTAGTATCCATAGAACACTAGCATATGCCGAATGTGACCAACCTGGCCCGGCGATTGACGTGAAGTCAACCGGTCTTGCTGCAATGTCCGATCAACAGAAGTATGCTTCTGGAAGTTCTGCAGGGCATTTGACGGCCCGCAAAGCGCATCGCCCATGGTGACTGTGGGCTGACGAGGCAGTGTAATAAGATAACTTCACGGTTGTTATAATCTCAATACTCCGTAAACGCTCTCAGGAATGAGAGATGAACATGTCAGATCCCCCGAGCTCCGTGGGGTTACCGATGGACCGAGGCCCAGTCACGTGGATATCTATAGTCACGTGTGCTTAATCATCGGCGATAAGATAGGGCAAAAGGGCCAGGTTGTTTGGCCCAAGAGCTCATCCGGTAACTACATTGTTGATTTCGATATTTAATCATGGTAAGTTGCCCAGACGAAATTCAGCTTGTCACCTCAGCTACTGATACCTACCTCTAGGCGACCCCTCAGGTGATCTCGAACTCGGGGCACGAAGAGATGATTGTATGTGCTATGCGAACCCCCCCAATTGACTGCCTGTGGTGTCCCTCGCTATACCTGAGCTAATGGAGGCATGTTTGGGATTCAGCACGACGCAGGTCTGGACTACTATGGCCGCCGATTGGCAACATGCTCCTCCGACAAAACGATAAAGATCTTTGAAATTGAGGGGGAATCACACCGTCTGGTCGAGACATTGAAGGGGTGAGCAGGTCGATGGAAGCTGCGGGAGATCATATCACTAATGCCATCTTTGACAGCCACGAAGGCGCTGTGTGGTGTGTCGCATGGGTGAGTGATCTAATCTCTATGTGCGCAATCTGGCTAACCATGCGATCGTCAGGCTCATCCCAAATTCGGCACAATCTTGGCCTCTTCCTCGTACGACGGCAAGGTTCTGATCTGGCGTGAGCAGCCTCAGAATGCGACTTCCCCATCGGCTGGGAGCACATGGACAAAGGTCTTCGATTTCTCCCTCCACACTGCCTCCGTGAACATGGTCTCGTGGGCCCCCCATGAGAGCGGTTGTCTTCTTGCCTGCGCTTCTTCTGACGGCCATGTGAGCGTTTTGGAGTTCCGCGACAACAACTGGACTCACCAGACCTTCCATGCGCACGGAATGGGCGTCAACTCGATTAGCTGGGCTCCCGCTGCTTTCGCTGGTAGCTTGATCAGCTCCAACCCCGGACCCGGTCAACAGCGCCGCTTTGTGACTGGTGGAAGTGACAACTTGGTCAAGATTTGGGACTACAAGTATGTATTGAAGCGTTCCGAACGATGTACTGGACTGACTCGATCTAGCGCGGAATCCAAATCCTACAACCTTACACAGACCCTTGAGGGTCACTCGGACTGGGTCCGTGATGTCGCATGGTCCCCCAGCATTCTCTCCAAGTCCTACATCGCCTCCGCCTCGCAAGACAAGACTGTTCGGATCTGGACTTCGGATGCTTCTAACCCGGGTGTGTGGTCCAGCCAAACTCTGGAGTTTGACTCTGTTCTGTGGCGTGTGAGCTGGAGTCTCAGCGGTAACATCCTGGCTGTCAGTGGAGGTGATAACAAGGTCAGCTTATGGAAGGAGAACCTCAAGGGACAATGGGAAAAGGTTAAGGATATTGAGGAATAGTTCTGTTTCCCTTCATAATTTCTCATTTTTTTACCCAGAAGTACTACGCTCAGAAACATCTGATCGAAATAATTTCATTGTCAACTATTGCCGTGCTCTGTGAGCCATTGCCACTGGCATTCCCCTATGTTTTTTTGGTATTTCCAATGTTCCGCACATTTCTTCTCAACAACCGATCAATCACAAACAACACAAACTGGATGTGAAGACGATTCTCAGGTGCACCAGAAGATGAAAGGACCCTTGGCCGAGGGCTCCTTCAAGTCCACCCAGCGGCCCACCATCAGCCGTCCACCGGGGATGAGAAGAGCCTCATAAATATGAACCCAGCCATCAGTGCCATCTTTCGCTTCAGCAAACTCGTCCCCGAGCCGCTCGCAGATAGTAAAGCAGATACGCTGCCAACCACTGATCCCGCCATAAGCAACCTCCATATGCTCAAGGAAGCCGAAGACGTGGTTTTCTTCCTGGGTGGCGTATGTATCCTGCTTTCCTGCGAAGGGGACACGCTTGGTCTTGAGGCCTTCATAGAGAGGAACAATCTTGTTGCAAGCTGCAGGCCAGAACAAGTCCGAGGATTCCTCCAGGTCGAGGGTCTAGTCGGTGTTAGTCTGGGAAAGATGAGGTGTATTTGGAGTCTTACCATAAGTTCCGGTCCTTCGCCATGAGCTGCACAGGTCTGGCGGTTTTCAAGTTCTTCCAGTGTGGTGGGAAAGGGGTGAATGCAGGCTGATTCAAAGACTCCGGTTAGTTCTCACTCATGATTCTCGGTTTCGTCACTCACAATAGTATCCCAACCAGAAAGTGCTCAGCTTGGATCCTTCGCTGGCATCATACTTGCGGACCCCGGGGCGGACCCAATCTTCGAGTCCCATGTAGGAGTCGTAATAGGTGTTTTCGACACTGCTGAGGAGGTGACGTTGCCAGAATGCCCGGAATTGCAACAACTTGTCGAGATCGAGGTTCTCGTGGTCAACGAAAGACCGAGGCGTCTTGCTGATGATGACGGGCAGTTGACTTGCTTCGGATGAAGGCTCTGAGCTCTGTTCTTGGTCTTCTGAGTCAGATTCATCCGAGCTGGCGGTTGAGACGGGCGTAGTTGACCCGCTCGAGGTATCGGATTCATTGGTATTGTCGAATTCATCGTCAGCCTCGTGGTTGGCCAAGAGTCCTTTGTCAATGGAGTAGATTGTTTCCATGTCATAGTCACTGCGTCGACAGTGCTGTTTCATGTTAGGGTCGAGGGCTACTGCGGACAGGCACTATCGCGATGTCAGTCGTGGTTTGCTTTCAGTTCATTCTTCACTTACCAGCTGCAGGGCATAGAACAACTCTGTGCGATGCTTTCGCTCGTTTGGAAATTGGAGGAAGGTAGCTCTGTCCTTGAGCGTGGCTTTGAGGTAATCGAGGGTGTAGGAGGAATCGAGCGACTTGGTGGGTAGGGTCAGGATTTCCTGAAGCATGGTCTGCACAATTTCCATCCAGAAGTCTTGTCGCAGTTCTTCTTTGGGTGCCCATTCTTCTCTCTGTCTGAAATCCAGTGTTCTTCCCAACACGATGGCCCGAGTGACATACTCATTTTTGAGCTGTGCGAAGGTTTTCCCTGGAGGAATCTCGTAATTGGCTCCGAATCGGTATCGCCAGACTCGGGACTCTCCTGCAAAGATTTTGCCCATTGCTTCCTTGGAAGTTTGCGAGAGGTGGAGAACATCCCAGTCAGTGGGGAGATGGCCTGCAATCTCCTGGAGGATCTATCCTCAAGTATAAGCGTTTGTCCTGGGAGAAAGCATGTATGCATACCTCATTGGGAAGATCCAGGAGATGGCGGTTGCAGGCAGCACTGCCTTGGTACAGTTCTGCCATCTTGAGTGATGATGATAGGTTAGCTTGAAGGTCTGATCTGTGTCAGTTGTTGTTCATCTCAAGTTTGAAATGCAGCGTACGAAGTGTAGATTAGAAGAACGTAAAGTGATAGAGAGAGAGAGAGAGAGAGAGCGAGCGAGCGAGCAAGTGATTTGTATTGACTATATACTCTATATTCCTGAGGTGTATGCCAGACTCAATAGAGAGAACAATAGCCCTGGAGACGATGTCATGTGCATTCACAGGGCTCATTGAACAATAGAGTTAGGGTTACTGAAGAGAGATCTGCTATTGGTCATGATCATATTCTTATTGTTGAAACAAAGAAACAATTGACTCGAACAAAGGAAATGAATTTTAAATAGGAGCCCTAAATATAAAAATACAAAATTCCCAAAACGGCAGTTGAAGCCCCCAAGTCTATGGATTTCCTAATACGGAATATAACACCACTATTTCTATGCATTTCGTGAACGCCGCAGGCTTTCTTTCACTCCCCAGCCATCAGCCAACAGTCCCTTGACCTCTTCAAGGCCAAGTCCACTCATTTCGGGGTAAATGTTCCATACAGCAAACCATCCAACCACACAAACAACTGCGTAGAGTATGAACGTCCATGATGGAGAGATCCATTCCATCAAGGGCAAAAAGGTAAGACCAATCACAAAATTCGATCCCCAATTAGTGGCTGTTGCCAGTGCAGAGCCTAGAGACCGCACATTCAGAGGGAAGAGCTCGGATTGTTGCCAGGGCACATTGCCCAGTCCAAGGGCATAGGCCGCAGTGTATATAGTAAGACAGAAGAGAATCGCCAATGGCACGGCAGAACCATGATTATCGTGGGGCTTGCTACTAGTCGGGGCATCCGAATTCCATGCTCCGTCCATTGACGAAAATGAAACTGCACAGAGCACCAAGGCGATGACCATCACGGGGATTGAGTAGAGGAGGATACGCCGACGTCCAATCCTGTCAATCAGTACAAATGCAAGGAGTGTGAAGAGGAAGTTTGTCAATGCCACCGAGAGCGAGGTCAAGGTGGGAGAGGAGAAAGACAAGGATGCAAAAATGGTTGCGGAGAAGTACATCAGGCTGTTGAATCCACAAAGCTGCTGCACTGCTTGTAACATCATCGCAATGATCAATGCTCTCCTATTGCCCCCGTGCAACAGCTGCTGACCTCTCTGCAGCGCATCGTGTATCCACTGAGGCTTCGCACCATGAGGCTTGGGCTGCCCTAGCTCTGAGTCCTCTTGTTCGATTTCTTGGCTGATATCGCGCACCAGGCGGTTCACCACTTGCTCGCATCCTGGACAATCTTGATAAATCTTAGTCAAGACTGACTTTGCCTGTACATCATGTCCAGCCTGAACCAGCCACCTTGGTGTCTCGGGTAGAAACACCAGAATAGCAAGCTGGAAGAAGGCTGGGAATGCTCCGATCCCCACAATCCATCGCCACCCCCCAGGTGTGGTAGAAAACAGCCATCCAACAATATATGCGACCACCTGGCCACCGGTTATGAATAAACTGAGGATAGTCACGAGTCGTCCTCTTGCAGAGGAGGGAGCCAGCTCTGATATGTACCTGGAAAATGAACGTCAAGATCAACCACGGGCTTGGGATGCATGCAGGATTGTGGATCAACCTACAACGGAGTTACCGCGCTCGCACTTCCAACAGCAAGACCAACAATACTGCGCCCAAGTATCATGCCCCAGACCTGACTGGTGAATGCCTGCACCACCGCCCCAAGTGCAAACAAGGCATCTGCACCGAGTATGACTTTCCGTCTACCGAGCTTGTCCGCCAACACACCGGTGAAAGGGCTCGCGATCAACGCGAACAGACTAGTACAGGAAGTGATCAGGCTTTTGTCGAGTGTCGTCAAGGTTCGATTGGACAGGTCTGATCCGACAGTCACCAATGTAGACGAGATGACACCGGTGCTAAGGGCTATTGTTAATATACTGGCGCAACTGGGCCCCATGGTAGCAGGCTTCAAAAAGAGGTCATACTCATATCCAAAAAGAAGACCGCTAATTCCAGCTGAGAAGGTCAACGCCCATATGAACCACCCTCCTGAGTACTCCAGCTCAGAGGCCGGGGTTTCGTGCTCGCGGTCATGTTCTAAGGGGACCTGTGATGAGGCAAGTAAAGGTGCATGGGGACTTGACAGGTCTCGCTCATCTGTGCCCGTCATTTTCAACCCTTCTTCATATCATTTGGCATTCAGCTCCTGGAGTATGCGAGATGCTGAGATGATGTCTGGCGCGATAAGCCGATAAGCAGACCCGCTTTCGGAAACCGGGTTCCGGGCCTCCGATCCGTGGGTGGCCGACATTCATTCCATGGGTGACCGAAGTTTATATTAACGAAAAACAATGAAAACAACCATCTGGGCATCTAGAAAACCTTGGAGATGTATTACAGAAGATTCACTTGAGATCCTAGACATGCTTCGTATTTTGGTTGGCGTTACTCTGTGCATAATTATACTCTCTCTAATGCTTTGCAACGACACCAGCAGCATCGGCCTGCTCAGTGATCTTCTTCTTGTAGGCGTTGACAGTACCGTCGAACTTGTGAACGGTACCACCATCGCAAACCCAGAGACTGGTGCAGACACTTTGCAACATAGTCACATCGTGAGAAACCATCACAACACCTCCCTCGAACACCCGAAGGGCCTCGGCCAAAGCATCCATACCCTCGATATCCAAGTGGTTAGAAGGTTCATCAAGAACAAGGATGTGGGGGTTAGTCAGGGACAAGCAAGCAAAGGCCACACGAGACTTTTGACCTCCGGACAGCAGTCCCATGCGCTGAAGACCGGTCGTACCCGTGATACCGAATCTATTATGCTAGTTAGTCGCTGCAAAAGTCGGAAAGGGAAAGGTTCTACTCACGCTCCCAGGTGTCGTCGGTATTCTTCATCGGTCTTTCCGGGGTAAGTCACGGTCATGAAACCGACGGCACTGTTGTTCATGTCCAAAGCATCGACGTGATGCTGAGCGAAGAATCCAATGCGAAGTCTCGAATTGGTGGAAATAAGACCCTTGGTCGCCTCGAGTTGTTTGGTGAGCAGTTTCAGTACTGTGGTCTTACCAGCACCGTTAGGTCCGACAATTCCAATACGGGAGTCAAGCTGGACATCCAAATCGACATCCTTGAGAAGAGGCCTTTCGGGGGTGTAGCCGAAGCAAACTTCGGACATCTGTACAATGGGGGGTGAAAGCTTCTCCACTCCAGGGAATGCGAAATGCACGGTGTATTCGCTCTCTGGGGCCTCGAGGACGGGCATACGCTCGAGTTTCTTGATTCTGGATTGCGCTTCGGAAGATTTGGCAGCGTTGTATCGGAACTTGTCAATGAAGGCTGGAGGTACATTTTAGTATCATTCACTGAAACACAATCGGGCGACAAACCTTGCAAGTGAGCCCGCTCGCCCATTTGCTTCTCGTATTCACGCTTAGCGGTCTTCCGACGCTCTTCCTTGGTTGCGTAGAAGGATTCTAAAAGATGTGAGTATCATTCGTGGTCGGGGACTGCGTCGTGCTTACCGAAGTTGGCACCTCTGTAGTAGTCCAGTCTCTCGGAGTGCTGGTGGATGATATCTGTGGCGACTTCGTTCAAGAATGCACGATCGTGAGAAACAACAAGAACAGTGCTAGGGTATCCCTGAAGGTAGTTGGAAAGGAAAGTGATAGATGGAACGTCCAACATGTTAGACGGTTCTATAAAATGTTAGTACATTGTCTGCTGAGAAAAGCACCGCGGTTACACATACCGTCAAGAAGAAGCAAGTCAGGCTCGCAGAACAGAGCTCGTGCCAAGGAAAGACGCATTCTCCAACCACCGGAGAAGGTCTTGGTGGCAAACTGCTGGCGTTCTTGGGAGAAACCAAGACCAGCCAAGATACTGGCCGCACGAGATTCGGCCTTGTCAGATTCCATCTCAGAGAGCTTGCCGTAGATATCACTCAATGTGATATCCAGACCCTCTCTCTGCTCGTCAAGTCTGGCAGCATCCTTCGATGTATCAGCCAATGAGGATCGCTCCTCCTCGAGCTCCGCTAGTTGTTTCGTAATTTTCTATTGATGTTAGTGGACGTATTGTGCATAGCTAAGAGAATAGACTGACCTCTTGCTCTCCGAGAAGATGCTTGCGCCACACATCGGCATCCAACACCGCTTGCAAGGCCGGGGTATCGTCACCAGTAATCTAAGTATGTCAGAACAGCCGGGTGTCACTGGGCACTGATTTAAACACACCTCTTGTTCGACGTGAAGAATGGAGACGTGAGTGGGAATGGCGATTTCTCTGCGACTCAGAGCTCGCAAAAGCGTAGATTTACCAATACCGTTCTGACCAACCAGACCATAACGACGACCATAAGCGAGAGTGAACGCAGCGTCGGTCAGAATACGCAGACCACTGATGGAGATATCGATGTTGTCCAGCTTGATGTCCTTGCTCTTGGCCTGTGAGTCTGAGCCCAGCTGGAGAGGGTTGACAGCCATGAAGAACTCCTCGTAGGACATGGCCTCGTCCGGCTGTTGGAGCAAGCGGGATGCCTCGTAGGTAACGTTCTTCATCTGTTTCTTGTCCTGCTTGGCGCGAATCTTGCGCTCAGCCTTCTCGAGCTTCTTCTTGTCCACCTTGGACTCCAGCTTCCGGAGGTTGGCAGACTCCAAATCGACAGTGTTTCCGGTCAGACCGAGGGTGGACGACATGTTGCGCTGCGCACCGACGTTGATAGCCTGTTCCAGCTTCTTAGCCTTGAAGGGCATCTGGCTGCGCTCCGAGTCGGCATTGGAGGAACTCAGGGTCGTAATGAACTTCTCCACCAGGTTGCCGATGGCCTCGTAGTTTTGCGGGGAGAAGTCCCCAGAGGCGGAGACTAGGAGTTCGGTGACTGATTCGGCCGCCTCCACCAAGGGCGATTGTCCTGCGGCATCGTCGACATAGAGGTTTGCGGCGTGGGTCAGGTAGCCCTATCCATTGATCAGCTTTCCACCCCGCGCGTTTTCTTTGAGAGACATACGACAGAGTATTCCGAGATGATATGGTCAAGACCAGGGATCTGGGCTTGCAATTGAGCCTCCATCTTGCCAAGTGCGGGTCGAGCAGACTAGGCAGAGCAACTTCAAGCACCGGAGTTTTATCGACGACTGGACTTGAGGTCATCGTCCAGAGTGGGCTTTTTTGTGTTATCGATAAGGTCACGTGGATGCTCCCACCTAGACACCTGCACTACGGAGTATACACTTGCACTCTACCTGGTATTTTCAAAGTAATATCATGTTAGAAATGGCACCATGATGTTATTTTGGACACTGTTATTGTTTGAGTATTACGAAATTACTCGTTCGGGTTAAAATAACCCGACACCCCTTCAGGTCTATGAAAGTTCCAACATAGGCACCGCTCAATGCTCAGTGTAGTATCGAATCAATGAACATCTAAGAATGTCGTTAATTCTAGGGATAGTATGGAGTATGGAGAGCTCAGTATAGGAATCCCTCTCAGCGCCAGTCTTCTTCCAGACTCTATACGCAGTAGATGCCCACTAAAGGTCAACACCAACACAAGCCTCATGAATCTCTGCAATGCTCGCCGATTTGACTTCAAGGCAGCACAGATATTCAGAGATGCGGTGTAGCATCAAACGATTAGTCGATTCTGTGTCCAGCACAACTCAAACAATCAACTATTTTCTGGTTGCTACGGGGAATTAGGCTGATCCCAGTTGATTGTCGGTCGAGTTTGAAATCACATGTGTTATCAGGGGCAACATCACATCCGAACGTCACACGGTTTAGAATGATATACTTGTACGAGTAGTGAAGGACTAGTCAAGTACGGTGATCGACCTCAGTCCCGTCTCCCCGATAGCCTTTGCCCAGAGATGCGCTTCTGATCTCCATAAATTTGGAGGTTTCGGAGTTTAAGTAGTTTCATCTCACTGCAGATGCCAGTTGTCACCTTATAATAGCTATTGTTGACCAGTACTCCAATGGCATGGTTCCAAGCTCTGGAGGAGCTACTGGTAGAATGTCGGGATAAATTTTCGATTCATCACAATTCTCGGAAATTGCGCACGGGCAGAGAGGTAAGGCCAGTGTTTCCGGTGACTATGGGGTACTCCGTGTATAAGCACGATTACGGAGTCAGTACTCCATAGTTAAGACTGGGATAACGGCAGTGTCACTACATAATATTGAGAAACCCGTTGAAACAAAGCCTCCTATACTCCCAAGATCATGGTTCCAGAAGTCGGAACGATTGGAAGTGCCGATCGCTAAGACTTTCAGGGCTTCGGAACGTCGCGAGCGGGAAAAAGCAAGAAAAAAAAGCAAATATGGAGAAGAGCTGAAACACGAGGTGCTCCGCTTCATTTGATACGCGATGGCGCTACTGGAGACGGTTAGGTGCCATATTGAAGGGAAAAAAGAATTAATAAATCAAGAACAGGGCAGGGCGGCACAGAATCGGCAGTAGAAACCGATTGAGACTCCTCTCGACCCACGCGAGCCATTTTCCTTCGAAAGTGGGCATGAAGTGGGTTATGGTGGATATATAAACAAAAGAGCTTCCGGTTATGACGATGTCCAAGATTTCCAGGTAAGGTTGTTCAGATGTATACGAGTATATAGATAATTGATGCACCATGTAAGTGCCAGATGTACGGAGGGTAGGGGACCTTACATTGAACGTCAATATGCCGTATGCCCGCAGCTGTATGTCTGCCAGTCGGAGTAATAGTCGAGCCAAAGGGGAAAGAGCTGACAAAGTGGGCCTGGGAGTAAAGTACGAATCCTCATACTCCCCGCTTAGGATATATGATGGGAGTGACAGTTGGAGACTCAAGGGCGAAATCACGCAGTGGAGAGAGAGGTACGAGTAGTATAAAGGAACCTTGTCGGAGAACAATAGCGCACCATGGTTCTGCTTCGGAGAACAGTTCATCGAGGGCAAGCAGTGGACACCGATCGGCCTGGGATCTCGAGACTAATCCCACCTGGGGAGTCTAGGGGGCCGAAGAACGAGATTCCAGCCAGCCGAAACCAGATGTGGGGAATCTGTAGGCTTTCGCATGGCTTTTGTTGGCTCATTTGGCTTCTTTTGGCCCATTTCCTGAGAGCCTTTTTTTTTGCTGAGGGTCACTGCGAGCCAACGGACTTCTCCGTTTCCTTGGAAAGAGTTTCCCTATGACGCCAATGCAATGTGAGCCGCAAGGGATGTGGCCAGGCGCCTAATCTCTGAACACTCGCAGGATCGTGCCCGGGGGATTGCTTGGGTAATTCTGCAGTGAGTAGCCGTGGAGATTCAGGGATCTTGTTGCTTTGTGCTTTTTTTCTGGTCTTTTGTTCTTGATTTTCTTTTCTTTTTCTTTTTTTTTTCTCTTTCGATTAGAGTCGAGTAAAGAAAATAAACTGTAAAAAAAGAAAGACAAGGAGTGAAGGAGTATTGAAGCTCCTGGCGGACGCAGGGCGGAGGTGATAATATCCCCGACAGCTTTTGTTATTGTTTCCCCATCTCTTCTGCTCGCAACTTCTTTGGCCTCAAGGGGCTTGGGATAATCTTTCTTATTTCTTTTTTTTTTTTTCTGGTGTTTCTGGGATTGAAAGATCTTCATTCGCTCCTTTTCTTATTTGTTCACCGTGAAGCCCATCTTTGGCGTCAATCGTGAACAGCGCTCTCTCTCACCCCTCAGTGCGACCAACCTTCCTTTGCACATTGCGCACTCACCTGGAATGTCCTTCACGACCTCCCAACAAGAGCTGAGCGTCGGGGTGCTTGACACTCTCATCGGCGCCCTCTAATGGATCACGTATCCATGGTAAGCCCCTCGATTCCTCATGCGCCAGCGGTGGCTGGGAATGTCCACTAATCCAGCCTTCTAGTTATGTGCCTTGAGCACTGTCGGGATTGCGCCTTCTGGTCTCGCACTCGGGCGCGCAGACCGATCTCAAAGGCCCAGCCTCTTTCGGCGCAAGACTGTCGCGCAAGATTTACCCAACCCACCGATCACGGCACCGGTAGACCCTCGCCCCAAGACCGCTGCACCAGCCAGAAGTCCAGCTGCTGAATGGCTGGCAGCACGAGAAGAGGAAGCTTCAAATCAATATGATGGATCAGATCTTCGCCGGGCATCGCTGTCCTTCAGTGCAGCCAGACGCCGACGACGCGGTCAGACCTTGACCAACCCGCCATTGAGAATTCCGGAGAATGAGACGACCGGTTCGCCGGTAGAGACTCATGGCCGGCGACCATCCACAGGGTGGCTGCGCCGGTTGTCAATGGCCTCGTTCAATACAGATAGCCCGGGCGCGAACAGTCCAACGACGCCGTCCTTCAGCGGTTCGGCAAGCCCCATGTTTCCTCAATCCCCCGGCCACCGACGGCCACCAAATAAGCTGATCAAGCGCCCGGTATCCCAGCACACCAATATGCATGCGTTTGGCGCGAACACCGTCTCTGGGCCGTCCCCAGCCGTACGACGTCGACCGGCGACCAGTCACCAGAGGTCGGAATCTATGATTCTCCAGACCCCGGTGGAATCTGAGTTTGAGACCTATTTCCCCAAGGTCGCTGTCGAAACGCCCGCCATGGAAGACTTTGAGCTGGGTAAACAAAAGCGATGGTTACCGTTCTTCCTTCCCAAGGCGGGCAAGTTAACAGAGATGTTCTCGCGCAGGTTCTCGACCTCGACGGCGCCCAAAGCCCAAAGTGTGCGGCACCTTGTGTCGGAACAGGGGGCCCTTCCTGCCTTGGTCATGGCGAGCGAAATTGCATCTGGTACCTCCACCCCTCGTGGGGACAAATCAGAGCCTAGTACTCCGGTGGAATTCCGCAACCCATTCCAGCCTGTGTCCGTGAAGCCGGCTCCCACGCAGCCGGTGGTAGCGCCTGAGGGACCCCCAACTCCACCCGAGGCTGTAGAACAGTCCATTCACCGGCACTCACATTCATGCGGCGATGTCGAGCCAAAGGTGGTGATGACGAACACGGTCACTGCGCATGGAAAGCCGATCATGGGCCTTGTTCGCGGTGGGTCGTTGAAGCGTGTCAAGGGACGAACTTTCTCAATTCCTCGCTCTGAGTTGTCACTGGCAGATAAGAAGATGGCCGTGCCTAGTTCTCCCGCGCGTGAACGGCGTAACATCACCGATCCCACCGTTTTCCAACCGCCACACCCTGCTTCTCAACCAGGATGGGCTGTTTCGGCTTTGGAAAGGCGCGCCCAGGTCGGCCCCCGGTCTGTGTCGCAAGATTATGATGTTGGCTTGGGGTCTCGGGGTGGCTCGCGTCCATTGAACTCGGATGATGTCGCCCTGTCCGCTTGGCAGCAAGCATCTCGTCCTGGTGGCCCAGCTTATGGTTCCCTGCGTCGTCGCCCCAAGGGCTTCTCGATCTCAGGCTCCGATCCCGCCTCGACCATCATTGGGTCCGATGACACCCGTGTCTTCACTTCCTGTGATGAATACGAGACCGACGTGATGTCCGATTATTGGGATTCCATTCGAACACGCGAGACCAGCACGAGTGGCTTGAAGGGTCTTCGTATCGAGACGATGTTTGACAAAGCAGGAGCGAGCTTGGTGAATGAAGAAGCAACGACTTTGGAGGCCCTGCTGCCGCGGGGCTCCTTCGCTGCTCGGTCAGAGAAGGATCCCCGGCTGTTTCCAGATTCATATTTGGCATCTCCTCCACTCACACATGTCTCGATGGCTGATCACCAGGGTCCGGTAGACGATGCGGATGAAGATTCCCTCAGTATGATCGGATCCCTGCCTGGTGATGATCGTCCAACCTTCTCCTCTCCTGCCAACAACCTCTTGTCCAAATATGCCGAAGTTGACTCCCCTCTTGGCTCACCTATTAGCCCTTCTCAGCCCTTTGGGGGCCTCTCTGACCTCAATGTCAACAAAAAAGCGAACATTTTCGACTGGTCAGAACAGACACGGCCGGATCGCGAGTCGTCCGAGTTCGATGCTCGCCCCCGAACTATGCAGGGTAAACAAGAGGGTGTCGACCGCAGCAGCCGGGCTGTTTGCCGCAAGGCTCCCTCTACTGTGCATCTCCGTAGTCAAAGTGTTCCTGTCGCGAGCGAACTTCCGACGAGTGAAACGCGTCAAACATCGGGCAAGTTTGGTACCTGGGGGTTGGGTAGTAAAGGCGTCAGTGAAGACTGGGATAGTGATTTCGACTTTGACGAGTCGGAGGAAACCCCCATTGCGGAAAACAAACAAATTGCTGAGCCGGAGCCCAATCGTCAGAGTATGACTGTCCCCAAGGCTATTTTGGAACGTCAAGCTAGTCTTCGTGGCCAGTTTGGACAAGTGCAAGAGTTGACCCTGTTGGTGGAGGAATTAAAACGTCTTCGCCACCAAGCCAATGCACTGGATATTGTTAATGGCCCTTCCAATGAATTGTGGAAGGAGGCCGAACAAATCGTCAACCTGGCAACAATTGATGAAGAGGAAGAGCGTCGCTCACCTCCGGGATCCCCCTCTTCTCTCACTTTCAGCTTTGATGAATCCGACGATGAGGGCCTCCATACTTCCTCTTCCAAACGAGATAGCGAGGTTTCCTGGGACGTGCAGGGTGATGCTGAACACACGATGCCTCTCACTCTCGTGAAAGACCTTCCCAAATCCAAATCGGTGCTCGATATCCTCCAGCCTGGCGAACCCAAGTCTGCCCTCCACGAGTTGGATCTTGGCTCCCGGACGAAGAAACTTCCGTTTGACACTTCTTCGTTGAAGAATCTGGTAGTTCGGGCTGGAGTGGTGACGCGTGCGCTGAAGGAAGTGATCCGCAAAGCTGAAGGTGTGGCCACCAGCCCTCGCGATTTCCCTCACGATCCCCCATTCCGACGCATCTTCGACAAACCTGACCTCGCCGACTTTGAGGCCGCCCTGGCCGAAATGTCATAATTGACATCCTTAATCTCTTCCATCCTCACTCCCTCTCATTGCCTTCTTCCCGTCCACCCACCCCATGAGATGAAACGACCAACACCTGAAGATTATTTGCATGAGCATTTCCCTTCCTTACCCTAATATCTCGGTGTACCACCTGCATCTTCTTCGATCTCGGAGACGCTTCTCTGCGATGTGACCCCAAAAGCCATTGCTTCTTTTTTTTTCCTTTCTCGTGTACAACTCTACCCCCATGTACATTCCCATCCTCTTTTCTCTGATTGTGACTCTTTTTTATCGGTGCATTGCACAGTGCCTATTGGGCTTACGACCTTTCCTTTGTCGATTGTGTCTCTTTTTTTTTTCATCTTCCATGTTCCATATTTGCGCAGTCCATATTCTCTAATTGCGCTTATCGTGGATTCTGGCGCATTTTTCGTCCTCGAGCAGCCGAACAGCATTCCAATAGCCATATGAGTATTGCGGGCACCATTCTACCTGAATTGGCCTTGCAAGCTCACTGAAATCATAACACTATTCCATTCGGCCTCCTGTGAACATCACTGCTATGTAATTGTATGTAAACTTTGACCGATTAGAGTCATGTCGAATTCTTTGAACTCCTGCACATCTACTTGAGTAGCCTTGGGTCCCACGCCTGACACGTTAGCATACTCCTTACCGATTACCCTTTTGTTTTCTACGCCTCCAATGGGAACACCTCCATTGTGAACAGGAACGAGATATCAATTCAACCAGGCCGTGGTGCTTCAATGTCACCAAGGCTGAAGCATTAGGAATTCATATTTTCCAGAGTTTGAGTCCAAGCCAATTATTTCCACCAAAGGGACACTTTCTCAAGTTCAACGGTATGGCCCGGGAGGTAGACAGATAAGAGCTGGGATGCTCTGTATATATATGCCTCCATCCCACCTTCGGATTCTTGATCAATAAGATATCTACTTAAGTATGTACAGAGTAGATTGATGATCAGGGGTTTACTTAAGTATCTGTGGATATATATTGGAACTGTAGAATAAGGCCGGTGCCTACTTCAGTACTTAAGTACGAGTGATCGTTTTATTTGAGACAAAACATATGATATATATACTTAAGTACCGGTGCACGGAGTATGGGGCCAATATATCTCCCCCTATTCTCAACGCGGAAGTTGCAAATTTCCACGATATATGATCAAAAACACCTATAGTTGTCTGACTATTGAATAACCTTGGTATCGAAGCTTGTCTACCTCCAGGGCTGGGCATGGCACGAGTTTGGCGGCTTAGGTCAGGAGATCCATTGGACAGCGAGATGAAGGCATAGTGGAGAGAGATAAAACAGAGACATATGAGTGGAGTAGGGCGTACTCGTATCTAGACCGAGTCGAGAGGAATTGCGGCATATTGGCCTAGAATTCTCTCCGTTGCACTTCAACTGGTAATCTGACTGGCCGCCAAGCCTTTGCGCCTTGCGTGGAGATGAGCGGAGCACACCGGCGTCTCAGCTTGAAGGATTGCATCGATGAATCACCTGGAGACTTGAGGGTATAGCTGGCGTACTCCGTACATCCCGTAGACGACAGGCTTCAAAGGGTAGGCATCGAAAGAGAACAGAAAAGAGAGAGAGAGAGAGCTTGGCGTCAGTCTCCGAGAATAGACAGCCCCTGGGGGCCCTTGCAGGTTTGCCCGACTGAACCGCCACACACTCCACTCAGGGGCAGCCGAACAACCATTGGCGGGTACCTGGGTCTCAAATTCACCTTGCTTGGAGGGAAAACACCCAAAACACAACAAATAACCCAGATCGTGTGTAGAGGCAATAAAAGATCAACAGAGCAGTCGATCCTCTAAAATAAGATCCTCTCAGGGGGGAAAAGAGAAAAAAAAAGAAGGGGAAGAAAAAGACTGCGGAGATAGTGGGTGCGCTAAGACACCCTAATCTAGAACTCTTCTCTCTCCTCTTTCTCTTCTTCATCTTCCTCCTATACACACTCTTTTTTTTGGTTTTCGCTTTTTGGCTTGGGAACTTGGTTCCGTTCACTCTTTTGCCCTTGTTCAAATGATTTAGCGTCTGGACTTTCAATCCACATTCCGGGTCTATACACCCTATAGACCATGCCTCATTCCGGGCGAATCGTTCGCCGGGATGTTGTCCCAGCACATCGACTACCATTTTTGGTCCCGACAAATACCCCCTTGGCCGGGCCGACCCTCGCAGTGAGAGCTCCCGAAGCGACACAATCCACCACCAATGGCGAGAAATCCACGAGTAATATGACCACCACGGTCTTGCCCGTGGTGTTGGGTGCTGGTGTACCCATCCTCTGTGCTATTATCGTCCTCATTGTACTACACCGGAGACATGTCAAGAAACTCATGCGCGAAGATGCAATGGATAAACATAAGTCCCTCGATTTCGGAATGGATACAGTTGGTCCTGCCACGAGGAGGAAAGGTGGTCCACAGGGAGGAATGCCCCCGATGTCAGAACCCGGTCATACCAAGGGACTGTCCCTTGACGTCAGCCCATATCTGATGCCCCCGGGCCTGGTGGGCTCCCGCGATTCCCTCCACTCCATGTCCATTGATGATGACAAGTACCGCCCTGCGACCGCTGGAGGCTCCGTTCGCTCATTCCCTCGGGGTCATGGCGACGACGCCTCCAGTTTTGCGGGCTCTCGATTTGGAGCCGAAGAGCCCAATTCGGGTCTCCTGAAAAATGCCCAGCGGATGTCCCGCTCCTCTCCGCCTCTCCACAGCTCTCCGACCGAATCTCATACACGCAGTCCACTCAGCCCACTCAGCCAGCGGAATGAGTCCCTGCCCGCTCATGGGCTGACTCCCCCTCCTCCGGTGGCACAACAACCGGGCATGGCCATTGGCAGTCCTAGTGTCGAACGAAGCTTCTCTCCCCAATCCCTGCCACACGTGGATGACACTCCGCTCCATTTCGGTCTGGATGAGCCGCACAGCGCCCCCCACGAGGAGCGTCCGAACTTCCCTCTCCCCGAGCCCTCGCATGCCGACCGCGAGAGTTCCCAACTGCCTCGTATCTCCCTGCCGGCCAGCGATGTAACCACGAGCGATTATGGTGACCGCAAGTCGGATTACATTCTCCCCGCGGTCCATGCCTCGGGCGCGGAGGAACCTGCGCACGAGAAACCAGGGCTCCCAGAGGAGCCCCATAATTTGGAACCCGTCTACGACGGTCGCCGCAACACCAAGCGGATGACTCTCGGGGTGCGCCCTCTGCCCCCCGAGGACCCCTCTGACAACCCCGAGCAGCGGGCCAACCGCATCCGCTCATTCTATAAGGAGTACTTCGATGACAGCAAACCCGGCCAGGAGCCCACTTACTACGAGGACTTCGGCCCTGAGTTCTATGAAGGTGGCGGTCCCGGGGGCAGTGGGTTCGTCTATGATCCGGTCACGGGCGAATACTACGATGCCGGGGCTCCTCCCGTTCCCGCTCCCTTCGCTGAGCCCTATACTCGTCGGGCCATGACGCCTCCCCCCCGCGCGCCGCCCCGCTTCCAGGGTGCCGCCCGCCACCAGGCCACGAACTCCGCTGGGTTCGGTGGCATGCCCAGCCCGCGGGCCTTCTCCTCGGCCTCTGGGCCCCGTGCCTTCTCCTCAGCGTCCAATCGAGGCCCTGGCCGCAAACCGATGCCCCCTCCCTCGCCGCTGCAGGTCCTCCCCACCCCCCACATGCTGACGGACGACTCCCTCATGACCGCCATGGACTTCGCGCCCGCCCACGGCTTCAAGGAACGTCGCGATGGTCGGGCCGAGACTCCCACGGGCGGCATGCGCCCGTACAGTCCCGCCGTGCGCGCTCACACTCCCCTCGCGTCCGCGTTTGATGAGCTGGCCGTGATGCCCAGTCCCCACGCGCTGCGCAAGTCTGGCACGTACACCAACCTGGACTTTGTGCCCCCACCGCGTTTCCGCAACGAAGGGGGTGGCAGTGACGCGGGCAGCATCCGCAGCGGCCGCAGCGGGATGTCGGCGGCACACCAGAACAATATTCGCATGGGCAACTATCGCGTGAGTCGCCTGCCGCCCTCGGCGGTGGGCACACGGGATGATATGATGGTCAGCCTGAAGCCCAGCTGGGATATGCTGAACAACAAATAAGGGGCTATGATCTGTTTTCTTTGTTTCTATAGGGACTGCCACCGGCGTACATCAGAGGTTGGACTTTGACCTTGCAGTTTCATTTCGTTTTGCCTTTGGGCTGTATATATGTGCTTGAATTGTAAATTGTAAATTCATTTACTCGTCAGGAGCTATTAAGATTGTACGAGTAGTATAAGAGTGTACATATTAGTCTAGACCGCACTATTGGGAGATCAGCCATCATCGATCGAGCACATTAGGGAGACGGTCCAGACACCGAAAACAAGATTAGGAGTGTCGATCGTATTTTTATTATTTTTACTATTTTGCCGAGTTTCATTCGTAGCAAATGGAGCTTATGGGGTCCGGAGTACGCACTATTTTCAACCGTTTAATGGGGACAGCATCATCGACTTTGTATAATCCATTGTTATATTATACTCTATATTCTGTATTCTTGATTCTATGCTCTATATTCTATTGGTATATTAGATCTAATAACCCTATAGGTACAGAGTATAACCGTGGAATCCATCGGGGGAACTACTCGATCTAGTTTTGCCTCCTTACTCCCACGGGTGGCCTCGCAGATTTTTGCATTACACTTTAGTATTGAGTATTTTGTAGTTATGGGTTGAAATATAGAGTAGAGTAGAATATAGTAGAGTATAGTATAGTATAGTATAGAGTATAGAGTAGAGTAGAATAGAATATAGTATAGAGTAGAGTGTAGTATAAAGTATAGAGTAGGGTAGAGTGTAGTATAGAGTAGAATATAACTAGAGTATGAGGTTACTAAGTACCATCTGTACCTTATATGTAGTACATACAGACTCGGTAATTAGAGTAAGACCAAAGGGATGAACATAATAATACAGATGTTCACTGTTAACGGACAGTGAACAGTGAATAGTAACCGTAACAGTAACAGTGCTATTAATACACTAGGAATGCGGATACGTACGAAATCTCCACTTCCCACTTCTGCCTCCTCTTCTCACACACACTTCATGGACTCTTAGATTGTGAGTGGCTTCATTCTCCCTTTCTTTTTTTCTTTCTCTAGTTAAGCCTTCTGATCTCTCTGTGTGTGGTTCTGGTGAATTCAGAGAGTGATGCTGGCTGATTCTCCCATTTTTTCCCCCTGAAGCCACTCTTTACACGCGTCCCAAAGCAGTCTCTCGTTCCCCATTCTCTTTTAACACGACCTAGGCATTTTCCGAATCCGGAAGCCTTCATTTGCTAAAAACCGGTGTCGAGGATCGCTTCGATCCCATCTCCGACATCATGTCTTCCAAGGCCGCAACTCCCGCTGCTGCCACCAGTGCAGACACTGCAGACACTGCTGCAGACAGCGCTGCTGCCACTAGCGCTGCTGCTGCCACCACCGCCGCCGCAACTTCAGCCAGTGCCAGTGAGCCTGCCAGTGAGACTTCTGCGGCTCCATCGACCTCGGAAACTTCGACAACAGCCGCGGTACCTTCAACTTCCTCGACTTCCTCGGAAGTCCCAACCACCAGCGCAGCCCCATCCACTACCAGCACTTCTTCAACAGTAGAGTCCACCACATCCGTTCCTTCAACTACAAGTGAACCCGCGACGACATCTGCGCCCTCGACTACGGCCGCGCCCAGCACCACTTCCCAGGAGACGACCATTCTCTCCTCCACCGCCAGCGACACCAATGGAGGAACCACAGTGGTGTATATCACTTCCACGGCATCGGCGAACCCCACGAATACCTCCGCGGGCGTATCTTCGACCGGCAGCTCGGCGGCAGATTCGAGTGCAACTGGTGCAGCCGCCTCTTCGTCCGGTCTTTCCACCAACGGGACTATCGCCGTCGCTGTTGTTGTCCCCGTCGTGTCCGTCGCTCTGATTATCCTGGCCGCTCTATTTTTCTGGAGGAAGCGTAAGGCGAACAAGGCCGCCGAGGAAGAACGCCGCAAGGAAGTCGAAGAATATGGCTTTAACCCGAACAATGACCCGACTCTGCCCGGCATGGGAGGAGTGGTCGCCCCTAAGGATGATACCTCCTCTGGCTATCGCGGATGGGGTACCACCTCTGCTGGCCGTAAGGCGTCCACCAACCTCTCTAGCGGCATGGGTGGCCTCCCCATGTCTCACGGAGCCACCCCCAGCGAAGGCACTGTGCAATACTCGGACGGCGCCCGCCCGGACTCCGGCGAGATGGAACCCATTGGTGTGCTGGGCGCTGCGGGTGCAGCCCCCGTAGCGGCCAACAACCGCAATGGCGACATCCACCGTGGCCCGTCCAATGCCTCCTCTGCCTACTCAGCGGCCAACCGCTCGGAGGCCTCCGAGGAAAGCCACATGTCCGCTGCACACCCCTCTGGAGGCTACTATGGAGAGAACCCCTACTATGGGGATATGAACACCCACGGTGCTTACGGGGGTGAAGACTACCAGCCTGTCATCCGGGATGTGCAAGCGCGTCGCAATACTCGCATTGAAAACCCCGGTGTCTACCCTCGCCAAGGCAATGCTGGTATTGCCCAGAACTTCTGATCTTTTGCAAATACTGTTTTTTCCTCCTTTCTTTGTTCTTTACTTGTTTCCACCGTTCCAAAAGCTCGGCCTTGCACCATACCACACATTCCTTACACCACCGCCGACTTCTCTCATTTTTTCTCTTTTTCTTCGGGTCTTTTATGCTCCAATTCCCGGCGCGATGGACATTCACTTCGTCATGTCTCTATTTTCCCCTACATTTTTTCCCTTCTTAATCGGCCGTGCTTGGCTTTGATTCTGTTTTTGATATATCCCGCGCATCTGGTCCAGCTGCATAGCTTGTTTTTGTGTTTGTGTGAGGAGCTGTACATTTCCTGCTCAGGCGTGGAGTTTCCATGTGGACATAGGTCTGTGATTGTACTAAATGAAATGACTACCAACTAGAATCATCTTGTATATATAGTATAGAGTGTAGAGTACAATAGCATAGTGTAGAGTACTAAGGCGGTGCCCCCTGGCAGAATAACCAGTGAATTAAATAAAAGTGACCAAAGGAAGAAAAGTACTAACAGAGCATGCACTTATAGCCTTATACCTGTGTCCTCTACTTAGGTATATGGCTAGTGACAAGCCATTACTCGACCATTGATCCGACAACGTGCGCCCGCTGTTTGCGGTGATTGGGGCATAGCTCCCCACTTACAATTCCCCCCGACTCTTCTACTATCGTGTCGCTCTTGAATGGAGTTAGCCTGGTACCTGAGATTGCCCCTCGGTGATTCTACTCTCTCTTCAGCTTCCCTTTTTTTCTCTCGGCAACATTGCAACGCAACGTCACACGGGTGACACCCTTTTGCCTCCCGTTTGCGACCACACTCTCGAACGGGTACACCTATCTCACACGGTACCTTCTCAAATTCACTCAGCTTCGTCTGAGTACCTGTGTGCGCCTTCGTCCCCTCGCTCCCCAGAGCTCGGGAGAGCTGAAGCTCTCTCCGAGACACCATGTAAGCCTGATCGTCGCGATCTATTCGGACCGGTACTGATGCAGGGTGCAGGAAGTTCGGCAAACAGATCCAGCGCAGGCAGCTTGATCTCCCCGAATATGCCGCCAGCTTCGTTAACTATAAAGCGCTGAAGAAGGTGAGTCCATGGCGGGGTAGCCTCGGTAGCCGTAGCTAATGCCCGCTCTCGCGCGATAGCTCATCAAGCAACTCAGTGCAACCCCCAATATCCCCGCACAGAGAACCGCCGAGGAAATCGCAAGAGATAATGCGGATCCTCAGGCGGCTTTGCGCGCCAACAAGGAGGTGTTCTTCTTCAGATTGGTAGGTGACTCCTGTCAAGGGCCATGAACGGAAACTGACCAACCCGCAGGAACGAGAGATTGAGAAAGTCAATGCATTCTATCTTCAGAAAGAACAAGAGGTATGAATCCATGAGAGGGGTGAGATGTGTGACATGTCAGCTGACCGGGCCATTTTAGTTCACTCTGCGTCTGAAGACGCTCGTCGACAAGAAGCGAGTGATCCAGTCCCGAACCAGCTCCAATTCCAAAGCCCCAGCAACTTTCGTGGCTCTTTTCGAAGGTTTCCAGCAATTTGATGGCGATTTGAACAAACTGCAACAATTCGTCGAAATCAACGAGACCGCGGTCTCGAAGATCCTCAAGAAATGGGATAAAACCTCCAAATCTCGTATGAAGGAGTTATACCTCCACCGAGCCGTGGAAGTCCAACCCTGTTTCAACAGAGAGGTTCTTCGCGACCTCGCAGATAGAGCGACCACCGCTAGGTTGGAGTTGGAAGCCTGGGCAGAGGGAGAGAACATACAATACGATGCATCTCGCCCGGCGGACCGTAACACCTTCGCCGGCAATGAGGAAGATGAATTGGACATCCAGATGCTACAGTCTGCTTCGACTGGCAATCTGCAGACACTACGAGAATGGCTGGCGAGGTTACAGGTATTACCGGATGCCCGTGAGCGCGCAACACGCACGTTCTTAACCGCCATCAACGGATTCTCGGACGACGTGCTCGCGCTTCTGTTGGAGAGTCAGTTGGTTGACATCCATGCCGAGGACGATATCAACGAGCGGAATTGTCTTCACGAAGCTGCCATCTCTGGCCGAGACTTTGTCTTCCAGGCTGGTCTCAAGGCTTCTGTGGATATCTCTCGCTCAGATGTATATGGTCGTATTCCTCTGCATTATGCTTGCAGAAACGGCCGTGCTGACATGGTGCGGGACTTGCTCAAGGCAGGCCCTGAGACCATCGACTTCCTTGACCATGACAACTTCACTCCTTTGATTCACAGCATTGTCAAGAGCCAACTGGCATGCGCTGAACATGTCCTCCGGAGCAATGCCCGGGTTGACCCCGTGTCAATGCAGGAACCGGATCATATCCCCCTCAATTTGGCTTGTCAGCATGGTTCTCTTCCCATTGTGAAGTTGCTCCTTGAGCGAAACGCCAAGCTGCTGCCTGATGCCGAAGGTCTCTACCCGCAACATATGGTTGCTCGCGCCTCACAGTCACCCGATCTGCTTTTACTGCTGAAGCACCACGGTGCTGACCTTGACCAGAAGGATAAGCTGTATCAGTGGACTCCACTCTTCCACGCTGCCAGTGAAGGTTGCGTTCCATGCCTACGCACACTTCTGGAGTGCGGCGTGGACTCACAAGTTGCAGATGAGAAGGGTCTCTCGGCGATGTACTATGCTGCCTGGGAAGGACATCTGGAATGCATGCTCCTTCTCTGGGCCCAACCGGCTCGGGGTAAACCCGCATTGGGACCACTTGACATCTTGAATGGTGTTCGGATGCAAGAACCTAGACCAATGGGTGAACCAATGTCTATGGACCCCAGTGCCTCTGAAATGGAGATGGCCGACGGTATCCCAGACCTCGAATTGCCTCCCCCCATCATTCCGCTTCGTCGCTATGGCCACAACTTCCTTGATAAGAAGGTGTTCATTCAACTTCTGTTCGATCAAGGGAACGTTGGATCTATTGCCTTTGACCAGGCCGGTCGTCATCCGGCAGCTCGTATGACGATATCCTCCAAGGTCTCCGATCTTATTCCTCGAACTATCATGCTCCCCATGCAGGACGACTCCCGGTCGATATCTTTCCACGTGGATCAGCTGGACACCTTCTCCGTTGACTTTGAGATCTTCCCTACATTTGGCTCGAAGGTGATCGCCAAGAGTGTTGCCCTTCCAGATATCTTCCGCGCTGAAACCTCCAGCACTGGTTCTGTCTGTCTTCCTCTTTTCGATCCCCGACTCCGTGGGATCGGCCAGCTGCGCTTCAACTTCCAGGTCATCAAGCCATACCACGGCGATCCCCTGGAGATCACACAATTTGCCACATATTGGAAGGCAACCAGTGCCCAAGACTCAGAACACAATGGCTTTGTCACTGGATCCAGTCTGTCGGGCGACTACATTCAGCTGTTTGTGCAGTTGACTCGTGATCGCGTTGCAGTTCTGTATCCGCAGTTCATGATCAATTACCACGGAATTGATATCCCAGTGTGCCATTTAACCTTCGCCCAATTCCAGGCCATTGGCACGGAACGCGGCGTGAACCAGCCCCAGATCCTGGAATTCTTGGCCACAGAGGCGGCTAATGATATGCCCAAGACCCATCGCCTGATCGCAGCCTCATTCCTGTCCTTGCGCGATGTTCTTCGCCAGCTACCTATTGACTTGAACGTCAACATCTCTCTTCTTTACCCATCCCCCCAGGAGGAGAAACGACTAGCTATGAATTCGTTGGCAGATGTGAATAGCTTTGCCGATGCTATTCTGACTGATGTCTTTGACCATGCTCGTGTGGCCAGGGACAACAACCCCGACTTCATGCGCTCTGTCGTATTCACTTCTTATAACCCCAATATCTGCAGTGCACTCAACTGGAAGCAACCCAACTGTGAGTTTTCCACCCAACTACCTTACACTGACCAATACTGACCCTCCCTAGATCCCGTTCTTCTCTGCAATGATCTTGGTCAAATCCGTGACCTCGCGGGCCAGATTGACTCATTGTCCCATGTCGACAGTAGTGGCCGGGCCTCAATGTCTATCAAGGAGTCTGCACGTATCGCCCAAAGTAACAACTTCATGGGATTGATCTGCAGATCTAGTCTATTGGTATGTTCCTTGCTATGTCTTGTCCCATCATTTACTAACTCTCCTCAGAACGTCGTCCCAGCCCTTGTGGAAACCATCAAAGAGCTTGGTCTCGTCCTTGTGGCAGACACATCCGATGAAACCGGCCAGTCCAGTCAGGTCGAAGAACTTCCCACCGACCCGATGGGCGTTGCAGAATGGGCGTATCGCATGCCGGACGGTGTCAACGGCGTCATGCGAGCCAACGGCATCCTTCGATTCAATGATATGATCGATATGTAAGCGGTGACATCTACTTAATTTTCCACGACGATTACGAGAGGGGGTTGCTTGTTTCTTTGGCATCTATAGGATTGTAGAGAGGAGACAGCAATATTAGAGAGCTAAATGGCTAAAATAATGTACAATGATTCCGCTATGCTTTATATTCTCATGTGGTCTTGGGCTTCCTCTTGCCAATATTCCATCCCCATCCCCGCAATGTCTTGACAACCTTGGGCAGAATTGCCGCTGTCAAGGGAACTCGAATGAAGATGAAGCTCTTGTGAATAGCGTACGCAAACACCAACTGTGTCCAAATGCCTGTAGTCTCATTAGTACGGGAGTAGCATAAGAAAAAAGCCTACACTTACTTGCTTCATCCTTGTTCCTCTCTTCAGCCTCCACCAGCTTCCCCTGTCCTTCTGTCTCGTCGGCTGTCGGCCAAACAGCCTTGAACTTGTCCTTCACAAACGAAACAACAACATGCTCATAGTGTCCGATACGCTCCACACCCAGCAGTCTCACAGCCGCAAAGCAGAACGGGAAATCCAACGCGGAAAGCGCAAGGTACACGCCTAATGCCGCCCATCCATATTCCCGTGACAGCTTCTTCAGTCGGTCTGAGAGCGAGGCCTTCTCGGTACGTCCAGTCTGTCCGGTCTGTCCATTGCTGGATGAGTTATAGCGGCGATTCAGACGTTGCTTCGGTAGCAATGGGCTGGTTGGTCTGGACCGTGTTGGTCCTGTTGTGAGGGTTCGCCGGAATGCTTGCGCTTGTGTTTGCGCCAGGAGAGATCGAGGGGCGCGAGATTGTATATTATTGAAGGCGGTTCTGTAGAGGACCTCGCTTGGCCGCGAGATCCATTTGGATAGTGCCGGTCGAAACATGTTTGTTCAGGACTTTGACGACTTTCGGGATCCTTTTTTCTTTTCTCGGCGTTTTCGGCTTCCGGTCTGATCGGAGTTACGGCTTCACGGAGAAAGGGCGTTGGATGGTCAATAGTTTGGTTGTTTCTGTTGCAACAAGAATTAAACGATATATGAAAGCTGTCCGAGTTCGAGGTTCGAAGTGTCGAAAGAAAACAAAAAAGTGAAGTCACAAAAAGTGCTATACTTCGATGCTGACTAATCGCGCTGCACCAAAAACTTCCGCGCCTCTGGACAACATCGACACTCTCCAAAGTCCACCATGTCGCCGCGTTTAGCACTCCAATCGCCCCTCTGGGGCTCATTGATCACTCCAGTCTCCGTCAGGTCATTCGGAATCAGATCACTCACCCCTCCCAAACCCAGTCGTTACAATGCCGGCCCTGGTCTGCCCGTTCTCGAATCAACCCCCGAAGCTGCTCTTCGTCGCAAAGCCAATTCTCTCCCCCTCCGTTCCGGTGCTATCACAATCAAGAAGGGCATGACTGCCATTTTCGACCAAGAGACTGGAAAGCGCATTCCTTGTACCGTTCTGCAGCTGGATCGGGTCGAAGTTCTCTCCCACAAGACCGTGTCGAAGCATGGATATTATGCTGTTCAAGTCGGTGCTGGCTGGAAGCATCCCCGTAACGTGACCAAGGCGCTCTTGGGTCATTTCTCTGCCCATGGCTCCTCGCCTAAGCGTCATATCTTCGAATTCCGCGTCAAGGACGAGGCGGGTTTGTTGCCCGTTGGAGAGAGTATCGAGGCTGGTTGGTTCCAGGAGGGACAATATGTCGATACCCGCTCCAACACCAAGGGTAAGGGTTTTGCTGGTGTGATGAAGCGTCACGGATTCGGTGGTCAGGACCGTAGTCACGGTGTCAGTTTAACACATCGTTCTATGGGTTCTTCTGGCCCTGGTCAGGGTGGTGGTTCTCGTGTGTACCCCGGCAAGAAGATGGCCGGTAACATGGGTAACGTCCAGAACACCGTGCAGAACCTGAAGATCCTCAAGGTTGACTCTGCCAATGGCATTGTGGTTGTGAGCGGTAAGTGAAATGAAGTTGGATTGGTTTCCCACAGAATGCTAATGATTGTTCTTCTGATTAGGTGCCATCAGTGGCCCCAAGGGCTGCGTTGTGAGAATTCAAGACGCCATCAAGAAGCCTTGGCCCGAGGTGCCAGCAGCTAAGGCTGAAGTCGAAGCTACAGTTTAATTCCAATTGGAGAACTCTCTCTGGACAATGTACTATTACACCATACGCGCGATATCGTTTTTATTTGAGCGGCGTTTGTATATGATACAAAAAATGATATCCTTTTCTCTACCCTTCAGGGCTTCCAAGGTGCAATGAAATTGTCCCAATAATCCAAAAACGCCCAGGCCAATGCACTCTCCTATCTGTACAGATTGCCACACTTAGTTTTGCTGGAATGGATCATTGCTCTTGTCGAGCAACTGAATCACCTCTCCATCCTCGGTCTCTAAGCTCCATTCCTCAGTGCGGAACTAGAAAAGTTAGCCCTGTATATGCCAAGTGAACTGTTCATAAGACTCACATAGCTCATACGATCCGGCCGGATGCTGTGGAATTTCATCTTGCCCTGGGCCTTGGTGCCCTTCACCCAAAACGAGATATTGATCCGTCCATGCAATTGGTTCATCTCTCCACTGATCCAGGGAATCTGCTGCGCAAAGTAGATCTCGTCACCGAGGATTTCGCGGGCCTGCGGGGAGGTGCGGAGCGCATACAGCGTGCTGCTCACAATGCTGGACGATTGCTTTTGGTAATTGAAGATACCCAGCAAGCCAGCTCCACTGGCAATGATGAAGATCGGCAGAGTGTACAGCCAGCTGCGGCCGGCATTCGGGTTGGGTAGCTCGCGGTCTGCGCGTCGTTCCAGCAGGGGACCTGTGTTCGGTCCGGGGGCTGGCATCATGGTGCGTCGTGCGGTCTTGTTAGGACGCGCTAACCGGGCGAGGCCAGCACGCCGAGTGAATACTCGTGAGAAAACCATTGCGGGTGGTGTGGAATATGGAGTGGGAGAGGATCGCAAGTTGCGGAAGAAAAGAGGGTTGCCAAACAAGACAAACACTCGCACCAGCCCAACTCTCCCTCTCGTCTCTCTCTTGTTCTCTCAACTTCAGACTTGAAAAAGAAAGAAATGGCAGTCAGACTGCGGAAAGTGTTTCAATATCCCGAGGAATCGGATGGTCGTGAAGAACTGGACGAGGAAGAGCAAGAACAGGTCATCGAGCAGTTGCAGAGCCAAAATGATACTCGCAACGCCCAGTACAGTGTACTATTTACCATTTGTTCCTAGACTGGAAGTCTCTCGCTAAGTTTCCTAGGTCCTCTTCACTGCGCTTCCATTGTTAGCAGCTTTGGCCTTTGTGCCTTCGGTACTATCAGCCTCCAGTCAATTAGAACGACTGTTCTCATTCCTCAGCCTAGTGTCGCTGGGCACAACGGCATATATCATGAGATGTTCTCCTCTGCAGGACCGCAAGGGCAAGAAACCCATGAATGCGCAAAATGAACGTATTGCCCGACTTCATGCTGCTCTAGTCCCTGGAGATGGCGCTGTATCCTTATTGCTGGCTCTGGTCTATCTTTCAACCGGGTCATCTTATAGCATTCGGTCAGTCTTATACTTGATTCCTGGAGGTATGTGCAGCCCATCTAGTATAAAGGCCACTGGGCTCTAATCCTTACACAGTCATGCTCGCCACCATCCTCCTTGCCCAGAATGTGATGCGCTCGGTTGATCTCACCTCCCTGAAGGATCTCCAATATGACTACAAAGGTGCATAGATACCCAACCTCGAAGTACTAGGAGTCTGCAACTCTACAGTCTATCGGGATTCGCAAATTTTGACATTCAAAACCATCGTGTAGAAACATACCCGAACAGGGGTGATAAATTGGGGGTTCATTGAAGTAGTATCTCCATTATCAAAGCGTAAAACAGGTCGCTGAAGAGCAGAGCTCTAGGGTTATCTCAAATACACAAACATAGCGGAAAGCAAATGCTGTCGCTCGTAGCTATCGACGATTGAAAACAAAAAGAAGAAACGCCACACCAGTGCCACTCGCAATGAGGCCAAATGCTCGTGGCCAAGAAATCAAAAATTAAAAAAAAAAATCATCCAGTCAGGAAGGATCCATCAATCAGGGAAGGGTCAAGAGGCATATCAAAGGCAGAACCGTTCTCATAGCCATTTGGGAGCTGGTTGGCTTGGTCGAACGGACTAGTCTCGAACTTGAACCCTTCAGCGGTCAATTTGGCTCGTCGGGCATGGTCAGTATCCTCAGCCTCCTGTTGACGTTTGGCGATGCGCCCATGTACATCATCGCCACCAAACTTCTTGAGCCACCAGAGATTGGATTTTCGGAAGTCGACCAAAACCTCAATACTGCGCGGATCGGCCACCGTGCTGGTGTCATGGCCCAGGACGGTGAAATTGGGTGCGTAGGGCTTGTTGTTGACATCCCGATGGCAGCCACCGCAGCTGCACACCTTGCGGCATTTGGGGCACAGCCAGTGATGTTTCTCCATCGCTTCGTGGGGGCGGATCTCGAAAGCGCGGTAAAGACTTCCATAGCAGTAGTTTTGGTCACAATTGGAGCAAGACGCTAATTTCCAATTCATTTCCAAGTGTTGACATACGTGGCACCGGTTCATCCCCTGGGGGTTTCTAGAGGATGATGGTCGGAATTTCCTCTTCTTCCGAGGCGAATCCTCATCGACATCGCTCTCGCCATCGCCGTGACCATTGGCGGTACCATTAGTGTTGCCTTTGGTGTTGCCTTTGCCTTTACCATTAGTCCTCTTGGCCAGTAGCTGGTTGCGCTGGTTCACTGGCTTAGGATTTTGGGGATCATTCCACGGACGTCGAGCCAGCTGCTCCTGACAGATCTCAGCAATCGATCTTCTGCCTGTCTGTCCTCGGGCAACCACAAATGTCGGAAACTTCTGCTTGAACTCTTTGATATCTGAGGTCTGTTTCCTGGCTTCCTCCGAGGTCACGATCAGCCGACGCCATGAATCGTATCGGTCGGTCAGCTGTTTGATGGGGAATTGCTCCATCCATTGAAGCTTGGAGACGCATTGACAGCTTCTTCCCATGGCATAACAGTCCATGCATACATCATAGGGCCCCAAATCTTCTCCCAGGTGCTGCGCATCTGCACATCCGCTGCAGGTGAGGAATCTGTTGAAAATGTTGCACCGGCAAAAAGAACACGTCACATTGCTCTGGTACTCGTGGAATTCCACGGACTTTTCCGGCTTCCTCTGAGAGAAGCTCTCGGACAGAAGAATGTCCTTGTACATATTGAAGAGTCGTTTGAAATCCTGCCACAGTTGATCAACCACCCAATGTTTCATGTTTTTGGCCCCTTGTAACAACTTAGAGTACTTTTCAAGCGTGAAATACACGATGGCCTTGTTCTTGTATTGCTCGTCCCGGCAGACCATCCGAGCGTGGGGCAAAGATTCACGCAAAGCTAGCTCCAAGGTATCGACGGTCGTCCGATTCCACGCAACTTTCATAGTGCGAGATCCACGGTTCCACACCTGGTGCGCGGCCAGAGGTGGTACCAGGATCAAATCACCGGGCTTCTGTTCAACGACCCAGGTTCGAAATGGTGCGATCTGCCAGGCATGTAAGGGGGCAAAGAAATCCTCGATGTCAATATCATGACCGAGCACAGACATCCAGTACTCCGCCACCACGTGCCGATCTTTGTTGTCGGTCATCAACCATATCGATGAGCCTGGCTGGGTCTGCTGGCCATTCTCTTGGCCTCCGCCAGAAGCATCCACCATGAGGTTGTGACCCAAGCTAGCGCACATTTCTTGATGTGCTGGGGTGTATGTCCCTTCGTGACCGATGTAGCACATCAGGTTCTCGGCCCGTTGGCTGGCGGGCAGGCTGCTCATCAGATCCCCCGCAGGGGCAATCATCTCCTGTTCTGCGGTTCGCGGAATTCCGGACAGACTCGACATCCTCGACGCCGGGCCCCGGAAGTCCTTCGGGGCATCATTGAGATAGAACAGAGATGGCGGAATAAGATTTTCGAGAAAATCGTGCCATTCTTTGGGGCAATCAATATCCTTCATGTAGAGGCGCTGGCGATCTTTGCGGGTGTAATCGTCGGGCGTCATTCGGCGTGCAAGGAGTGGTAAACTCTGAAGATAATGGCCCATGGTGTAGGAAGTGTTCACTTTCTTATTCAAGTCGCGAACCACTTCGACTAGAGGGTGCAATCAGCATCAAATTAGCAGGCAATGATCTCAGAGACGGTACTTTTGGATGAGTATGTCTCCCGAAGCCATCTCTCCGAAAAGAGGCGCTTATCCAGGTATTCCTGAAACCCTTCAATGACAAGGGGCCTCCCCGACAACACTACTTGGTATAATACCAGCTTCTCAAACTGCTCGAATGGGTGTTCGTCGACGCTTTCACAGGTGATTCGCATCGCAAAGTCGAAGTTCGGGGTGGATTCAACGACCTCATTGATATCGAGATCTGGGGGCATAGGCTCAAAGGCCATGCGACTTCGGTGCGCAGGCATGGCGTAGAAAGCTCGCGGGCTGATCACTCGGTGTTTAGAGGATGGGTTGGTTCATGGTCCCGAGCAGCGGTTGGAGACGATCATGAGTATTAAAATACGGAACACAAGAAAGATGAGAGAGTAGTCAGATTAAGAATGGAAGTCGTGGACCGACAAAGGCGAAAAGCGAAGCTATCGAGTGAGGGGAGCGCGGGTTTACTTCAACGCGCCTGGACACCTCAGGCACCAACTCCTCAGTATAGGGATTTGGTCTGATCTCAATTGCGTTTGTTTCTATATTGGCCTGTTTCTTTCCATCTCTACATTTATAGGAGTACTCACACTAAGGTAAACACCAAATTTAGAAACTATCGAGATCTCGAAACATACAAGCAGAAGTGGATAAGTAGATCTACCCAAATAGGCTTAGGCCCGTGATTTTCCTCGCAGACGGCAGTTCTTATGAGCTTAACACTCATGTGAGGGCCCTATTTATTAGTAAAGTATAGTGTTTCAAAGTCGGACGAGTGAAGAGAACCAGAAAGACCATTGGAAAGACCATTGGAAAGACCATTGGAAAGACCATTGGAAAGAGACAAAAAAGAGAGCTGATTTGTATGGAGATTTATACTTGGTATTCTAACTATACTAGTCACCTATGCTAAGGGCATAAAGAGTTCAATCTCTACTCTTTTTAAAAGATTAGATCTGATCTTAACCCAGGTCCAGTATGTAGTTTTAGTTCTCTGCAATTGCCCCTTCAAGTCATATGAAGTAGTAGAGAGTGAAATGTGTATTTTACAAGTGTATTAGAAAGGTAATCCGGATAGTCTTAGCTATGGGCACGGTTTGGTAATTTACAACAGCGGTGAAGAAAGCGGTCAATGTCCAAAGTAGCAAAATTGATAAGGTTGTACCTGCATGCCCGCAGACCTCCGCATACACTTCTCTGCACTATGAATTGCTCCTGACACTTCCCATGATGTTGTCTAGATCACTCCACGGCCGAGCAGCTCCGCACTTCAAGGCCATTGTCACCGGTCCATGCAGGCGCCTTTCCTCACTCGCTCACAATGCATCCGCGCAACGAAAGAGCTCTCCGCTCCTCTCCATACCCAGATCACACCCAATCTCGCTTCAAATCAGACACAATTCCTTACAATCGCCCGTGAAACCATTACAGGCTGAGCATGTGGAAAAGAATCCGGCCACTCACTATATCCCCCCACAGACAGGCTTGATCGCGTCCCTGCCCAAGTCATGGATTCCATACGCCGAACTGGTACGCCTGGACAAGCCCACCGGCACATACTACCTGTTCTTCCCGACTCTCTTTTCCACTCTCCTCGCCGCGCCAATGGCTGGGGCAGCCCCCCTGCAGGTCCTGGGCATATCGGCACTGTTCTTCTCCGGCGCCCTGATCATGCGAGGCGCAGGGTGCGCGATCAATGATCTCTGGGACCGTAATCTGGACCCACATGTTGAGCGCACCAAGTTCCGCCCTATTGCAAGAGGGGCGCTGTCGCCGCCCAAGGCTGTACTGTTCACCGGATCGCAATTGTTGGCAGGGCTGGCGGTACTTCTGTCCTTCCCCACTCAGTGTCTGTGGTATGGAATCCCCAGTTTGCCAATTGTGGTGGCCTATCCACTCGCAAAGCGCGTTACCAATTACCCCCAGGCGGTGCTGGGGCTTGCCTTTTCATGGGGAGCGATCATGGGATTCCCCGCCTTGGGCGTGGACCTACTGGCTAATCAGGATGCCTTGATGGCTGCTGGGGCTCTGTATTCTAGCTGTATTGCGTGGACAGTGCTGTACGATATGATCTATGCACACATGGACATCAAAGATGATGTTAAAGCCGGCATCAAGTCCATTGCTCTTCGCCATGAACACAACACGAAGGCCGTCTTGAGTGGTCTAGCAGTGACCCAGGTCTCCCTCCTCGCGGCCGCTGGTGTTGCAGTCGGTGCAGGACCAGTCTTCTTCGCTAGTAGCTGTGGCAGTGCCGCGCTTTCACTGGGTCTCATGATCTGGAAAGTCCAGCTGAAGAATGTCAAGAACTGCTGGTGGTGGTTCAAAAATGGATGTTTGCTGACTGGTGGAGGAATCTCCTTGGGCTTGCTCGCTGAATATGCGATGCAGTACCTTGGACTGTATGATACTGCGGAGTCGAGGTCGACAGAGGCCGTGGCGATGCAACAATGAATGTAATAATATCAGGGCCCACACCGGGTTGGCTAGGGCTTCTGTGCCCATGTTATATAGTCCTGGATGACCAAGACAATGTCTTTCCACTCCATCATGCCTCCACTTCCCACATCTCCACAGGCGAGATTCTTTTCAATGGGAGGCAACACGGTCACCCATCCTTGGGGGTTGGATTCACTCCATCCCCATTCATCCCGTAGAACCTTCAGCTGCTTCTCGGTTACCGGATGGATCATCATTGCCGTGTTCATACTTGGTGCCACGAAGATCCTGGGTGTCAACTTCTTGAATTCCTTGTCTACACATCCCGTCGTATCCCAGGCCCTGATGGTGGAGAGAAGCAGGTTATCAGCAATCCCATTCACCATCTTCGCCATGGTGTTGGCCGACATGGGGGCAACCAGAAGCAAATGGGCCCCTATTGTCAAGATTAGTATCTCTTTGCCCGTGATTTCCAGTTCCACCGACATTTGCGCAGCTCAATGTGGAGAACCGGTCCCCCGCGTGTCCATGGCGGAGACCATTCATCTTGGTCGCGATAGATCCCGTCTACCCCATTTATTTCCCGCAGAGAGTCCAGAATTGGCTGTTCCGAGCTCTGATTCAAAAGGAAGTTCTCCGAAGCCTCCGTGACTATTATGCGGACCGAAACCCTCTCATTCTGACAGAGTGCTGCCGTGAAATTGGGCAATTTGATCGTGGCCACAGACCCGGAGGCAGCCAGAAGGATATGGACTTTATTGTCGTCCCTATAATGTTGTGCAATGAATGGTTGAGTATCCATGTTCAGAGAGATGAAGAAGTTGAATTTGAAGTTGATGAAGGTGAACCTCAGGCCAAAGGTCCGAGCTTGTGGAGATCGACCAACCGCCAGTCGCTGATTAAAAGTTCCCTTTCCCGCGGCTATTCCGAACTGCTCTTCTTCTCAACTTCTCTCCATTCACAAAATGTTTTCCAGGGCAGTTGCATCGGTATGTGCGGATGGTTCTATTGAAGAAACTTCTTGACTGACATTCACAGGCTTTCCGCCCCGTCGCGCGGCCATCCTTTTTGCGTCCCGTCCGTTCGGCGCTTCAGTTCCCTTCGGGCCCCTCCATCCCGTCCGCTCTGCATGCCCGTCTGCTGTCCAACGAGACCCGAACCGCCATTGATAAGGCGGTTTCCTCCGCCCCCGTGGTCCTGTTCATGAAGGGTACCCCCGAGACACCACAGTGCGGTTTCTCCCGCGCCAGCATTCAGATCCTTGGTTTGCAGGGTGTTGACCCTAAGAAGTTCGTTGCGTTCAATGTCCTCGAGGACGCAGAGCTGCGCGCAGGTATGGATTATGGATCTCCCCAAGCTGAGCTGCTTCCATGGACTAACTCTGTTATAGGTGTGAAGGAGTACTCCGAGTGGCCTACCATCCCTCAGCTCTATCTCGAGAAGGAGTTCATTGGTGGATGTGACATCTTGATGTCCATGCACCAGAATGGTGAACTTGCCAAGCTTCTCGAGACCAAGGGTGTCCTCGTTGCGGCCGACGAATAAGTGGTTAATCCGCAATCTGTAAAATTATATTCCTCTGTATTCTGGTCATAATATCCCTGCTGGTCAGATAGTTGTTCTTGTTATGAATGGCAGTATTCCCACTTTTTGCGTCCACGTCTGGGTTTATTCAGCCTTGAAGAACTACATATAGACAAAAAAGAAAACATACATGGGCTTTACTTTGATTGTCAACATGACTAGGCTGGTTGCAATTCGCCTTTTAAGGCAATGAAATAGGCCCTTGGCCGAGTTGGAAAACAAATAATAACCGGCCTCAGTTGATGAGGTCTATGTGTTATGTACAGTTGATCTTATTACATTAGTATGTCCCGCCTATTGGCCTTGGGCTGCTTCCTTCGACTTCACTAGATCCTCCGCAACAGCTTTATCCAGCTTGGCGCGTTGCCTAGCTTCATAGGCTTCACGGCTCTTCAAGATTCGACCAACGATCTCGCCAGCGTTCACGTGCTGGAAGGCGTGCTGCTCAGCTTCACGGAAAATGCCCATCTTCTTAGGATCGGTGTATGGGTCGTAGGTGAGTGGGATGAAGGTGGTAGGTCCATGATAGACCGCATCGGGGGTACCCCACGGCATGGCCTTGAGGTATGCCTCGCTCGGGGTGAAGGGAGCTGAGAATGCAACGGCATGGATGTACTTTGGAAACAGGTTAGCAGCTTCAAAGGGCAAGAAGTGGTGGTACTTACGCGACATTGAAGAACACACAGACCACGCTCGAAGATGTTCATGATGGGATAGTTCAGACCCTTCCAGTGGTTGATCACATCATCGTCATGAATACCTGCGACGATGTAGGCCGGGGAATAGTCCTCCTGGAACTCCTTCAAGCGCTTGTCGGTTTGTTCTGGGTCATACCAGCCGCGTTGACGGGCTTCGGCCTCCTCGAGTTCAGTGACCTTGCGGAGGAAAGCAATATGACCAGACGAAAAGAGATCAAACCCGCCATCGACATAGACAATGCGTTGTCCAGGTCGGGGTCCCTTTCCATCCACCAATGTCTCAAACTGGCCAGCTTCCTCAAGCACATGGTCCAGCTTCGCGGTGCCAGAACCACTCCATGTCCACACCTGGGGTCCGGGCTGCAGACCGCTCTCGTCGGTAGCATAGTCTTTAATTCGACGCAGAAGATCTGTGGCAGAAGCTTGGCGCTCTTCGGGGCTTCCGATTCCTTCATGTCCCGAAAGTGTTCCCTTGACCGACTTGACAAAGTGGTTCCTGGTGCATAGCAACATGCGGCCGACCAGATCGGTTGTGGAAATTCCAGGGGTGCGCTTGACGACGCGGAAGCGACCAGCTGCTTTTACGAATCGGTAACAGTCATTTCCATCGCTGTCGGAGGTAATGTCGTCTCCGTGGACCACATATTTACATCCGTAGTGAGACACCCACGGGAGGTAAGTCACATAGGGGGCGTGAGGGACACTCTGAGTTGCCCATCGACAGGCGTCCACTGCAGCAACACTATAGATCTGATTCAGCACCAGGATTATGCCAAGATCGTACAAACCAACCGTTCTTCCAGTGACATCACCGTCGGACCCTTGTTCTCGAGGATCGCTTCATCGGAGTGTATTCCCACGTAAAGAGCTTTTCCGAGCTGTCTAGCTTGGAGCATAGCTCCTGCATGGCCTATGCGATCCCAAATCACACTCAGCGCATATTAATTGAGTCGAGGATTGAGGAGCTTACCGTGGTGACTGAAGTCGAAACATCCATCCACCCAAAGTCGATCCTCTGAGATGGGGAGATCTTCCTGGGGATCAACAGGCCATTCTCCAGGCTGAGGAACGTGTTCTTCAGGGGGTGTAGGATCCATTTTAAGTCCTCAGATATATGTTATATGTAGGAGAGTCGAGTAGAGAAGAGGAAATGTTGGAGGGGTGATCGACGTAAATTACCAGGGGTAAACGGGATACACAATTTCGCGGGGACAACTTTCTCCTGACGGCTCTCTCTCTTCTCTAACACAGGACCTGAGAGGTCATATATTTCCTGTCATATTTATTGAGGGCTGTGATTCCCTTTGAATTCTTCTGAATTTGTTTATTTCAACCTTGCTGGCGTCGTGTCGCCTCGATCTTGCCCCGAAACTACCAGATGATCCCCTCTACCTTTACCCCGAGCCTCACTCGAAGGGACACCAACAAGTCGGGCGCGGGATATGAACCTTCACATGGCCTCCCACCTCCAACAACAAGCGGAGGGGGTCTCCTCGGCCCGCAAAGTGCAGGTGCCATCTATCAGCAGATCCATGAGATGGCCGCGAAACGGATTTCAACACTCGACTACCTCAGGAAAGCGTGAGTGCACCGAGCCTAGATACAAGACATCAACTAAACCTGTGCGACAGCCATGAAGGACGTGTGTATTGGTTTAACACTGTGCACTTCTCCCGCGCAGATATCGCCCGCCTACCCTATTTCGAAGCGAAGAAGCTCTCTCGTCGGGCCATCAATTATCTACTCCTTGGACTGTCCCTGCCTACTATATTGGATGTGAACTCGACCCCCTTTGAATATCTGCGAGCCCTCAATGCTCTGCTCTTGGAGTTTGAAGCTTATCAGCAAGTACATCCCCCGGATGGGAGCTCATCGTCAAGTTTGGCCAGAGCTCGCATTCCCCAGATGTTCAAACGTGCAGCACATGCAGGCACCAAGACTCGCCGCGCCAGCTCTGCCACGGAGATTGGACTCCCAATGCAATCCAGTGACCCATCGGATTTGAAAAGCACGGCGGGGAATCTGGGTTCGGCCTCTTCTGGGGCCTCGGTCTCGTCCTTCCCTCTGACTGAATCCTCGGACCTTCTCCCCGGAGAAGATTATACTTATCTCCTGACGCCTTCGTTGCCTTTTGAGCCGGATTTCTTCGAAACTTTTGCAACGCTATGTGATGTCTTGATCGACTGTTATAGCCGGCTTACCACGCTAGTATCCTCTCCTTCGGTATGCACGGTGGCCTTGGGAGAGACATTTTCGAAGGCAGACGCCAGGTTACGGAAAATTATGGTCGCAGGTGCAGTGCGGGAGTTCGAAGATGCGAGCCGAAACAGTGCCAAGAGCGAAATTGCTGGAGTGAGTCGGGTGGTCCTCGGGGGCCTTTTGGGATAGGAGCCGAGGTTTGCGATATACTACCGTTTGGGGCGTTACTGGGAACAGGTTGGGTTTCTTTCATGATTGATGAATCAAGATGCTGTACGATAATAGGTTTGGAATGTACAAAGTGTCTGAACTGGTAATTGGGGGTGCTACTCTTGAAGAGCTTTATGGACATTGGAGATAGGAGTAATAATGTAGTATTCGTCAAGTGAGCTCGAGAGTTTCTCAACGTGATGTTCGAAGAGCCCTAGTAGTACAAAAGTGCTTCTCATGTAGTGTAGATGGTTTCAAGAAAACAATTCATCACGCTTGGTATAATTGGATGGGAACTTTTTTTCGAGCCAATCGGCATCGTGGGACAGACTGTGGTATTCATGAGCAGAGTGAAAGATTCAATAAATTGAGGGGAAAAAAAGTGACAAGAACAAAGAACTCCGAGATGCGCCACATGCTTTGAAATGCAAAAGACGCCAGAATTAATGCAATCGCTGAAGGGAGAAACAAGGTTGGTACAGACGATACAGACGAGATCAAGGGCTCATGATTGCATGCGCTGCTTCTCAATATCACGCTGTTCGCCAAAGACGCGCCGGCTCATCTCGAGGACGGTCTCGAAGCCTTCACGGCCGATTTTGGCGTTTTCACGGAATCGTTCCACGCTTGCATCTTCCACCTTGTTCTTGATCTTTTGCCACCCACCACAAAGAGCGGTGATCTTCGCTTCTTGGTGGAATTCAGTTGTGGTAGCCGGGTTCAGGGCACATTGTCGGTAGGTGACAGTTTCGCGAACGCTAAGAACATTGGACCATGTCAAGTTGGTAGAGCACATGGTGACCTTCTTGGATGCGGGGTCGACGTAGGAGATTTCGTAAACGTGGGAGGTGTTGGTCCCTCCAAGAATTGAGAGAACCCATTGCGGTACGGACTGGTTGCACGTGATCAGACGCTCGGTCCGGAGCTGCCACACCGAAGTCAGTATCGGGATATCATGGAAGAAATTGCGAATGAAATCCAACAGAGGCCCTCAAAGGTTCCGAAAGGTCCAGTGACTTACGATTCCAGTGCTCGGGTCGACGGTGCGAGAGAGTGTGTCGACGCCGACAACGTGTGTTGACTTGTCGTTCCAAGGACAGTATTTGCGCCAGTTGGCAGTAGAGACCTCATCCCATGAGTAGTTGAAGGTGCAACCAGAAGAGAAGACCTTCATGTTGGGCGAATGGACGCGCTAAACGGTGACAGTGGGCAGTAGATGGACGAAGCACGGGAGTACAATCGGGAGAGTCGGAAAAGAGGCGAGGTGAAGAGATGGAAGGAATCTAAAGCGCAGTGTCAAGCGTAGACTAAGAGGATAGACAAGTGTGGAGAGAGAGAGAAAGGTCGAGAAAGAGGGGAATGTCAAGAGGCGAATCTGAGTCAAAGATACAAATCAAATCAGCGAAGGAAAAAAAAAAATGGATCCGCAGTGGATTTTCTGCAAATCGATTTTCTCCGGGTCAGGGACGGGTTTTCCCGGCTGACTCAGCGGTTTCCAGAACATCGGTTCTTTTTATTTACTTCTTGACTTCCTAATACTTACCTTTTTGATCTTCATTTTTCTGTTCTGTTTCCGTCTGTTAAATCATGGTCGAACTCAGGAAGCGCAAGGCACCTGCCACGGCGGCCCCTCCAGTGGAGAAGAAGCCCAAGGCCGCCAAGCCTCAGGCGGAGCTGGACGAGAAGGAAGAGGTCAAAAGCTCCAAAGTGCCCGATGTGGGTGATATAATCGACATTGAAGTCTTCGGGGGGGAAGTGCAGACCAATGAGGGCGAAACCACCTCCCTGAAGAAACTCCTCGAGGAGAGCAAAACGGGCGTGGTGTTCTTTACATACCCCAAAGCATCAACACCGGGCTGTACGTACAAATCAATCAGGGAAGCGTGGGACATTGGCAGGAACTGACATCTTTCAGGCACCAAACAAGCTTGCTTGTTCCGGGATCATCATACTCACTTGACCTCTTCGGGTCTTGCTATCTACGGTCTTTCTGGGGACTCTCCCAAGGCCAACACCACTTTCAAGACCAGACAGAACCTTCCATACCCTCTTCTGTGTGATCCCCAGGCCAACCTCATTGCAGCTATTGGTCTGAAGAAATCCCCCAAGGGTACCGTCCGCGGGGTATTTGCGGTGGATAAAAAGGGTAAAGTTTTACTGCGCGAGTCCGGTGGCCCAGATGCGACTGTCGATGCTGTTCAGAAGATTGTTGCCAATGCGCCAAAGGTCGACCAAGAATGGGAAGCCGAGCCAGACACTAAGCAGGATGAAAAGCCAGATGAAAAGCAGGATGACAAGCAAGATGAAAAGCAGGATGACAAGCAAGATGACCTGCAGGCTGATGAATCCAAGTGATTTGCTGTCGAGAGCCAGTATTAGTATTGTATTGCTGCAATCACCATAAGCGACATTAAGATATCAGATATTCTCAAAACCGAATCACGAAGCACATACATGTAGTGTCGTGATTGTCTCACCTCATAGTACAGAGTACTCAAAACAGGGGAAAAGAATGCAATACCACCGCTGCGCCAATTCACCATCGCATGGAATAGCCTTAACCTCAAGCCCCCGTGAACCACACATGTCTCCAGTTTCATACAACAGCAACCTTCATGACACTCTATCCAAGGATAACAAAGTTATATCTATAACCCACTTCATCGATCATGGCCAAATAGGCCTGGACACTTACCTCTTGTCCTATGAGCAAACAGTTCCCTACCACACCGTTATAGAGACCACTTTTACTCTTCTGGATTCTGCAGTAAAGCCATTGATTGGGGTTGAAGTGTCAAATTTTGGGTTACAGCGAGGCCCAAGCTGTACAATTGGATCACTACAGTTCTCGACATTATCCATTGACCATGATTCCTCCGTTGGGGTGCAGACACTGTCCAGAGATATAGCTGCTGTCCTGACTCGCCAGGAAGACAAAGCAGGTGGCCACTTCGCTTGGCTGGCCTGGTCGACCCATCGGGGGGTTGCTGAATGACTCCATGGCTTGGCTGGACATGGTGGATGGAATAAGGGGGGTCCAAATTGGACCAGGACAGACACAATTGACCCGAATGCCCTTAAGCATCTGTTGATTTGCCAAGCCGCGCGTGAATGCCACAATTGCTCCTTTGGTCGAAGTGTAGTCCAACAGGTCACCTCGGCCAATGTAGTGATTGACGGACGCACAATTGATAATGGTGGAGCCCTTCTTCATGTGCGGCAGTGAGTACTTGGACAAATAAAAGAAGGAGTGGATGTTAGTTTCAAAGGTTCGCTCCCACTGCGATCTGAGGTATTCGGCATTAGCGAGTTTTGTTATGACTGTGGGACCAGCCAACTCACTCGTCCAGCTCACTGATATCGCTGAGCATATCCTGGAAAGCCGCGTTGTTGACGAGGATGTCGATGCCCCCCATCTTTTGCAAAGACACATCGATGGTCTTCTGGCAATTCTCCTTCTTTCGAAGGTCAATGGCGAGGGTATGGCACTGCTGACCATACTCCTCGACCCTTCTCTTGGTCTCTTGTGCATCAGACTCCTCTTCTGGTAGGTACACGATCACACTCGAGGCACCTTCCATGGCAAATAGGATTGCCACGGCTCGGCCAATTCCCGAGTCGCCACCAGTGATGATCGCTTTCTTTCCTTCAAGCTTTCCTGCCGCCTTATAGATCTGGTAGCCGCCATCCTCGGTGGGAATGTGAGTAGACACGGGCTTAGGGTTTTCCAGATCAGACTGTAGACCCGGTTTGGTTAGGTGTTGGATAGGAATCTTATGGCCTGTATCATCCGATGAGCTCCAAGCCGTAGGGCTTGAGATATGCATACTCACCAATCTCGAATTGGGATTTGGATCCACTGGCCGGTCTCTCTACATACTGGGAAACGGGCATCTTGGTTGGAAATATGAAAAGACAAGTGATGGATGATAGAAGTCGTGATATTAACAGTTGCTCTCAGGAATATTGGAATGAGGATGGGAAGCGATGCTTAAGTAGAACAACTCTAGGTGTTCTATGTCCTAACATGGCCTGGGGCAATGCTGGCGCTGTCACCATGACGACCTGCTGTTCGCAAACGCCTGAATGGAGGCAATCTGTGGACCTATAGGATTGCCCAACCACGCAAGATTCTGTTCTAGACCTTGATTGCGGCGGAGGTTTTTGGTCGTAGCCACGCATGACTGTTGGTCTGATAGAGGGGATCAGTGTCTAGATGATCCTCCTGCACGATTGGATTCAGTGACACAGGGCCATGATGGAAAGCCGGCCTCATTTTCCGGTGGCGTTGGGTTAAGACGGCACTGATCCATGCTTCTTCTTGTTTTTAAAAAAGACATTGTACACTGTATATCAAGTCCGATGGCAATAAATTTGAAATTTGGAGACGATAGTATGGCCAAATGGCAGGGCAGTACTCCGTATATGATGCGAATGCTAGATGAAAGATTGGTGTGTTGACTGTCAGATCTCGGGTTAGCATAATTACCTAGGTACCAAGGCAATCGGTGCAACAAAAGAGTCAAATGGAAGTAACGAATGTCGAGTGTCCAAAATGAAGTGAAGTGTGAAGTGTGAAGAGAAAGTGCCCAGGTGCAGTTGAAGGTGAAGTCTTATCTTATCGCCCACCATCCTGATTGGTCCACTCCGGCCGATAATTTTTTTTCTTCTCTCACGTACTCAGCGGCAGCACATATATCACCATGGCAAGACAACAGTCGAAGCCCGCGCCTGAAATGGCTCTATCCTCTGCCCTGTCCGCACCATGGGGCTTTCTCCGACCCACCGACGACCTACACACCACCGTCGTGGACTCCGCAAAGCACATCCTAGACTCCCTCGCTGGTTCCGTCGTGGATGCTCAAACCACCCGTCGCCAAATCAACAAGAAGCGCAAGAGATCCGACCTGGAATCAGACCAAATTACCCAGCTGCAACTGAAGAATCTGTATGTGGAAGGCTTCACCTCCAACCAAATATGGGAACAGGCAATCCGGATTCTCGAGTCCACAGGCGAAGAGGTTGAGCGGGATATTACTTTGATCGCTCAGCACAGTGGCTATATGGACCAGGAGGGCTCTGAACTCGAGGATGCGTCAGACCCCGAGCTTGCACAGTCCGATAGCGACAGCCAGGAGGGTATGGAGGATCTCTCCGAGGGTCCGGGCCTGGAAGATGACGCCGAAGAAGAATCTGACGCCGAGTCTGATCTGGAGGGCGAGCCTCTCGAGGGAGAGGACATCGAAGACGAAGACATGGAGGATTGGGACGAGGAGAATTCTATGGCCGAGGAGGAAGAAGCGCCTGAGACTTTCGTTGAGGATAAATTTGGACTCAACGACGGGTTCTTCTCCATCGATGATTTCAACAAGCAGTCCGAAGCGCTCGAAAGACAAGATGTCAAGGGCGGACCCGAGGAAGGGGAAGACAGTGATGAAGAGGAATTGGACTGGCACACAAACCCATTGGTGGCTGGAAATGCCGCCCCCGTCAACGACCAAAAAGCATCAAAGAATCGCGCAACGGAGGAAGACGACGAGATGGATGATAGCGAGGAGGAAGGACCTACCTTCGGTAATGTCGACCTCAACGCCGACTCCGACTCCGACAACGAAGACGCCGATGATCTTGCCGAGGAGGCTGCTGGCTGGGTCAACACGAGTGATATCAAATACGCCGACTTCTTCGCCCCTCCACCTCGCAAGCCCTCAAACAAGAAGGCGCGTGCCCTCCCGAAAACCCAGCCTGATGCGGCACCGGTTGACGATGCCGATGTCAACCGTGCCATGGATGACGTTCGACGAGACTTGTTCGATGACGAAGATAACTCAGCCGAAGAAGACGGTGACGATATGGACGAATCAACCGATGCTGGTCCCAAGTCTTCGCATGAGAAGCAGAGGGCCCGTATTGCCGATGAAATCCGTCGACTGGAGGCAGCGAACGTCGCGAAAAAGGAATGGATGGTTGCTGGTGAAGCCAGAGCCGTCCAGAGACCTGTGAACTCTCTCATCGAAGAAGACCTTGACTTTGAGCGGATTGGAAAGCCAGTTCCCGTTGTCACCAATGAGACCAGTGAGGACATCGAGGAATTGGTCAAGCGCCGCATCCTTGCCATGGAGTTTGACGAGGTCATCCGCCGTCGACCAGGTTCTGAGACCCAGCAAGCCGGAAGAAAGCCCCGATTTGAACTGGATGATACAAAGGCCCAGCAAGGTCTAGCCGAGATGTACGAAACAGAACATCTCAAGGCTAACGATCCCAACTTCGTCGATACCAAGGACCGCAAATTGATGCGGGAGCACGCCGAGATCACCAGTCTATGGAACGACGTCAGCGCTCAATTGGATACGCTATGTAACTGGCACTACAAGCCTAAGATTGCCCAGGCCAGCATCAACGTTGTCACCGATGCGCCAACCATCATGATGGAAGAGGCACGCCCCACCGCTGGCGGTGCTGCTGGTGGGCCTGTGGGACTGGCTCCTCAGGAGATCTATGCCCCCGGTGATGATGGCAAGGTTGGAGGAGAGGTGGTCCTCAAGAACGGTGCATCCATCTCCAAGGAGGAGATGTCCCGTGAAGAAAAGGCCAAGAACCGCCGCCAGAGCAAGAAGACTCAAAAGAAGGCCAACGCCGATCCATCCAAACAAAAGTCCGGCAAGGCGGCCGAGAAACAAGAGATGATGTCGGATCTGAAGAAGGGAGGAGTCAAGGTCATTGACAAGGAGGGCCGTGTCACCGATATCAACGGTGATGCCGTCAAAGCGGGTAGTCAAAACAGAGGCGACAATCTGAAGCTGTGAAGGACTTGTATTATTCCAGAGTCATATTCCTTTCTACATAAAATCTATTTCTAGCATTGCACATATCATTTTTCACTCTTCACATGGCGCTTTTGGTCCGTTTTGCACGTATCGTGTACATGAAGATGTTGTCTCTGTTGTACGTCGAGGCACCGGCATCATCGCAGATTTCCTCCATTTCGAAAGCCTTCTTCGCCATCTTCATGAAGCGTTGGTCCGCTCGTCTGCGCCGTTTGTAACAGAAGTAGCACACCGAATTGGGTCCCAGCAGTTCCTGGAGTGTGGTGATGAGAAGAGGGAAGGCCGGTTCGAAATAGACGCAGTCGGCGGCGATGATAACATCCGGTTTCGATGGGATCTGGTTTGGGATCGGTTCTCCCCAGTTTAGTATCGCAGCAGTCGCATTTGGGTCAAGATTGTTTAGTCGGATGTTGTCCTTCATTAGAGAAAACATGGGTTCCTGGTCTGTGATATAGATGGGATGCTCGAGTTGACACCCGCGGGCAATTGCCAGTCCCACGAGCCCTCCTCCAGCCCCAAGTTCAACGCTAGTGGTCCATTAGAGCGCATCCACAAAAGGTCAAGGCCTGTGAGGCACGCACATTGATTTATCAGTCAGATCGGTAGCATGGCGGGACAGGAGGTATTTGGCCAAGGCCATCCCGGCCGGCCATAGTTGACCACCGCATCCATCTTTGATATCTTCTTTCAATTTCAATGGTTCCTTCAGGAGTCCATCAAACGAAACTGCTGTGGTCACTGCGGCGCTGTTTTCCCGTCGTGGGGCCAAGGATTCACTGATATTAAAGCCATCTGGACTTGAAGGCGGAGTCAATTCAAGATCTTCTGGTGTCGCAAAGGGGATTTCGATCATTGTGGGCGGTTTGGTGAAAGGGAAGTTTTGAGTGGGGGGATGTTTATCGCTAAGCTAAATCAACACGCATCACATGATATGTGGCGGATAGGTATTTTTCCACTGTACGTGAGTAGTCCGTTTTGACATTTACTTAGGTATGTTCATTGTAGAGGAATGCTATTGAAAGTTCTGTCACTTCTATGCTCTTGAGTAAATTCCGTGGAGTACATCTATATCTGCAGATGCCACACAAGCTTTGGCCCGTGCGAGAGTGATCGGCAAGAACTACTTAGTACTTACTATGTATTGCCTGGATTGCATACCAATTGATACATATTGGCTATCTAGTTGCAGTCTATATAGATTCTAGGCACAATTATGTTTATAGAATGGTACCTGAAGAACTTGAAGAGCCTGGTACCCACAATGCCAGTCTAAATTAAGGGATCTAAGTCGATCCATGTGGGTAATATGTGGGTATCGTATAGGAAAGATTATATCAATTCAATTATCAGGTAGTTTCATCTTCAGAGACTCCGTACATGTACAGCCGTTTAACTCTCAAATCCAAGCACAAATCGCAACTGGATGTTAATGTGACAGTTCAATGCCCACTTTAGTCAAAGGGGTGAGTGCGTGTTCCCCACCAGGTGAGGAACAAACTCAGTCCCACAGTCTCGAAGACGCGCGAGACAGCACCAACGGCAATGGTGTCCAGGGGCCGCTTCTCAGAGAAGACTTGGGCCACAACCTAGGATATCAAGTCAGTGTTGGACTTGGGACATTCAACGGGGGAAACATACACCTGGAGCGGAAGTAGCAAAGAAGACGAGTGTCCCGAGGTATGCAGCACCCTTGTAGCTCAAGGTACCGGTGGCATTAATCAAGGCTGCAACACCGTAGGTCTGGATGGCGCTACCAGCGAGAGAGCTTCCCCAAGCTGCGGCAGCACCTGCGGCCTCCTTGGACTTGAGGAATTCTTCCTTGGAGTTGGCAGCCTGGGCGCGGTGGTATGTATCACCAAAGACTGGGGCCAAAATTCCCAGGGAGGCAGTGTGGGTAAAGATGGTGCCCAGGGCGATAGCGGAGGGCTTGACAGGGGGGAGATCTAGGACCGGGTTAGTGGGGAAATACAGGTTACAGGTCAGATTGCAACTAACAGTGAAGGGTAGTCATGATGAAGATGGGTGTTGTATGAAGAAGAATGAGGAGGTGGGCGTTCTTTAAGAAGGGAAGCAATCAAGGTGACGTCGTCATGAATCAGACGAGGCCGAAAGTATGCGGAGGGCCATGACGTCAACACGCATCTATATCCAAGGTTTTTGTTACAACGCAATGGACGGTTTTGGCGAAACCTGGTTTAATACTAGATTAACTAGCTTAGCTAGGTTAGCAGAAGTAAACAGGTCCGGGGTGATCAGCGTGGGGTTCGATACTCCTGAAGTCTATGTGGGAACTACTGGATATACTCCGCATACGCGCCCCCAATGCTAAATACTTCACAGTTTATGATCAATTGGGTAAATCAGAAGAGTAAGGAGAAGAAGAAGAAGCAGCAAAAATATAAGCACGAGAGAAAGAAAGAATTAGATGGAACAGACCGGACTCCCGGTGAATGATTTAAATGAGTGATCTATTCCACATCGTCTGGCCCGAAGTCAGGAAAGTTAGGAAAGTCAGGAAAGCCAGAAAAGCGGAGAAAAATGAAATGGGATATGTATTTTCCTTGCTACATGTATCGGTCTAATCAAACAAAGGTGCGGCAGGTGTACCTGTGGGCTGTTAGTCCGAAACAACCGATCAATCAAAAGGTGTACATACTTCTCGGGGTACCCGTTCTCTGTTCCAAGAACGTACTTGGACTGTGAAGCCTGGGAGACAGGGTTGATGTTGGCAGGGCTAGGGGGGAGGCCATTGGCACCCAGCACGCCCTGGACGCTCTTCTTATCTTGCTCGAAGAGAGCGGCGAGACCACGCTCCTCGCCCTGTTCCTTGACAGCGACCAATTGTTGCTCGCCAGCCTCGCCAAGCTTGAGGACCTCGTCCTTGGGAGCAGCCTGGCTACCAACGGTGAGAAGTCCCACGGCATCGGCTTGGCGCACGGTGCTCAGTTGAGGGTAGCTTCGGCGGACATCGCGCTTCCAGTAGGGATTATCGGCGATATCACCCGCGGGCACGGTCACGGGGTCATCGTAGGACAGAGGAGGCAGAGAGCCGGGGGTGGGGAGGCGGTATTGAGAGTTCAAGGGGATACCGGTCGAGCGGTTGGGGTCGACAGCGAAAAGGCGACGAATGCGCTCCCAGACACCGACGGACTGGACAGAGTATTTCTACATGCACAATTAGATCCGTTCAGAAGAGTCACTCGCAGATTTTTGGCGTACCTGGTTAATGGAGACGACATTGGATGCCGACTTGGCCGCGTTCAAGATAGCGCGGGCCATGGTGAAAAGACTCTGACCTCCAATCTCAAGGTTAGCTGGGCGCTGGTGAGCCGGGCAGATTGCGTGCCAAATGAGCTAATCAGGGAATTTGACTTACTGCTTCGAATTCTTGAAAGCCGTCAAGCGTCGGCAGCCTGAGGTTGGCGGAAGTGCGATCACGGATTATCCTTCTACCGAGCCACCATTAGTAATTCGGCATCGCCATTGGTCTTTGGCTAACATACAGAGTATGGAGAATAGAGTATCAAGCGTGAAGTACGCTGTACAGTGTGAGGAGTTTCTGAAGCCAAAGTGAAAAATTGGATGTTTGGGGGGAAAGGTGGAAGGTGGCAGGAAGATGGGGAGTTGGGGATGTGAAGGCAATACTCCGTACTTCAGGAATAGATACTGCCAATAGCCCAATGATTACAATGACAGTATACAAGCTTATTTTGACCAGTAAAGAATGCGCATTTGAATTCTGTTGGATATTCTGACACGGCTCAAAAAAAAAAAAAAAAAGAGGAAGAGGAAGCGCAAAGACATAGAAAAGAATATCAGAGAAGACCCGATATTGATATACAAAGTAGGTAGACACAAGTACTCCACTCCACGGTGACAAGAAGTTTTATGATTCACCCTGTAGCATGATAAGAAAGAAAAGACAGCCCCGTTTATCATCTCTCAATTAACGGCGGTACCACATGCGTGTGATTCGAGTGTGGCGCATCTTCTTCTGCAGCTGGAAGATGCCGTACATCAGTGCCTCAGAAGTGGGAGGACCTAGAGACGAATGGTTAGTAATTGTATTGCAAGTGAGGAAGAGAATGGACATACATCCAGGCACGTAGACATCAACCGGAACAACCCGGTCACATCCTCGGACAACCGAGTAACTGTAGTGATAGTAGCCACCACCATTGGCACAACTTCCCATACTGATAACCCAGCGAGGGTCAGGCATCTGATCATAGACCTGGCGCAGAGCGGGGGCCATCTTGTTGGTCAGGGTACCAGCGACAATCATAACATCGGACTGACGCGGGGAAGCACGGAAAATGATTCCAAGACGATCCTGATCGTAACGGGGGGTGGAGAGGTGCATCATCTCGACGGCGCAGCATGCAAGACCGAAAGTCATGGGCCACAGAGAGCTCTGACGAGCCCAGTTGGTAACTTGATCGAGAGTAGTACTGAAGAGCGTTAGCAGAGGGTTAAAGCAGCAGATGAAGCTGAGATGACGAACAGGACATATTGCATAGCACCCTCATTTTTCTCCTGGCTGGCCAGAGGAACCTCGGTCCGGACCTTGCCAGACGCGGTCAATTGGCCACTTGATGTTGGGCGCTCAAGCGCAGTCGCTGATTTGATCGATGAAGTCGAGAGGGCAGCCAAGGGCTGAGCACGGGGAAGGGCAAGCGCAAAGCGAGGGCGCGCGGCTACTATTCATCAGCAAATTGATCTTCTGAGAGGGGTTTTTCTCCAGATGTTCCCTACCACACAGGGCGCCAGAGATGGCAGGCCTCGCCATGGGAAGCATCTTGCAAATTCTCTGAAGAAGGAATTGAGGAAGAAGGGTGAGTCGAGAGCCCTAAGATTGAATACCGGAATGGAATCAAAGCCTGGACCTGGACTCGGTGGAGTAATATAGAATCGAGAGAGAGAGGTGGCGGGCTTCGGGTGCACGACAAGGAGAGAGACCCCAAAAAGGACCGAAGTGGAAGAGACCTCCAGCATGGTATAGCCACGGTTTGAGCGGGATGATGTAAGCCATTACCTTCGTTCTGATTGGCTGAAATGCAGTAATTTTCAATCTGCGCAACCAGGTATGGTAAAGGCGGTGAGATGCTCGTAAATGGAATTTGGCTGTGCGGTCATTGGTTGCGGATTGCTGCCTTGGTGCCTTATGTGGAACCTCCTCTGCCGGTCTACGGAGTACGGAAGACGGAGTGGCTCTCTCTGATAGCTTTGTTTCCCCAAATTGTTGCTGGTCCAACTGAAAAGAAAAAAAATACAGATTACCCAAAGGCCGAATACTAGTGGGAAGCTTGATATGGAGAGATAGACTTCAAGGTCCAGACCTCTCGCGGCATCTCACAGGAAACCCCTCTAGAGACCACTTCAGACCACAAACACCCACCTCAGGACACTTTGCCCACTCCAAGTGAACATCTTCAGCAATGGCAGGCCCAAGTATTGCTTGCATTGGGGTCTTTGGGAAGGCAGTGTGTATTTCCATCAATCTAGCCCTTGTGGCATGACGACCCGTTATACTGACTCGATGCGCTATAGGATAACCCTCTTCACATCTCTTTGTTTCCCCCATACTCAGACTCCACCATTGACTTCTCCTTCTTGTTGAATTCTTGTCTTGACATCTTTGATATTCGCGGCAAACAAACCTCGATCGATCAAGATCTGGGCCTGTTACATGCAATCGACGAACGGCTGGCAGCCTATGGTTGGCTGACGACGACCGGGGTTAAACTCTTGATAATTGTGGACATGTTTGGCCAAGAAGAATCCACAGGCCCTGGGAAACCAGCATCCGCTGCCATCAATGGATTGAGAGACTCAGATATGAAGCCGGTGTGTCTTGCGGCAATATCGAATGACAAGCCGTCCATCACAAGAATTGATCTTCTAATGGCATATGACAGGCATTCCGAGCACTACAGAGTGCTTATATTCAGCTTCTGCAGAATCCGTTCTATTCCCCTGATGACCACGTACCGGTCCCCGGAAACTCAGCGGCTTCTCTCTCCGCTTGCCAGCCCATTTCTAATAAAAGGTTTATTGCGGATGTCAAACGTATTGGCGACTCATGGGTACCTGGTGCAGCTTTGTAGAGGAACCAAATACAATGAAAAACATATGGGGCACAACAGCCCCTCACACATGAAGCAAAGTTTTTTCTCTATTCTCTCGAGGCTCCCTGGGTCTGTTTCACGTGCATCTGGGACAGTAGACAAGCCAATGCGTAGGTAAGTCGTACAAGCAGAACGAGTCGCCTGGGCTTTGTTGATATTTATTCAAGGCAGGTTTGGAGCCATGTGTGTTTGAATATCAAGGGCAAACTTATTGTTTAGTCATTATATTTGTGGGTTTTGGCGCTCAGATTCAGTCTCTTCCAGAGCAGCCATGATATCTGACATCTCACGAGGGTCACAAACAGCCCAAACGCCTCCTCCTTTGGTGTCAACCCGGCCAACCTCTTTGCCAACCAAGTTGCGCCCGACCTTCCCTGGGCCAATCCCGATCCATCGTCGGACCCCTCTTTCCTGATGGAGATATCGAATACTGTCCCACCATCTTACTGTATCAACACACTGCCTGGAAAGTAGATCCTTGAGATCCTCTTCAGACTGAAAGGGTAGGGCGGAAACATTCGACACGCATGGTATTGATGCTGGAAATGTGAGATTGATCTGTTCGAGTGCCTGTCTCATGTAATCGGTCGCTCGCGCCATGGCCGGACTGTGGAACGGGCTGTCACTTTTCAGTTTGACGGCCCTCGGGTCATGTCCACCGAATTGACGCAGCTGGACCAAAAGGGTCTTGATTCGTTCAAGGCTACCACTCAGCACAATTTGATTCCTGGAGTTGATATTTGCAACCACCACTTGCTGAATTGATGGGACTGGGTGCTGTGCATCACCTTCGATGCCGGGTAGGTCGAGGCCGAGGAATTCCTGGACTGTCCGAAGTAAACTCTCCAAATGTTCGGGCTCACATAGCAGCGCAACCATGCCATATGTTTCGCCGGATTGTGCAATCAGGGTGCGCGTGCACTGGGCCATGATTTCAGCTCGGCGTCGCACCAATTGAAGGGCGTCCCCAAATTCCAGGTAGCCACCGGCGACTAGCGCAGAGAATTCACCCAAGCTATGTCCCAGGGTAACATCAATCCGAGACTTGACGTCGAATCCGAATTCTTTTTCGAGGATGCGAAGTATTAGGACCGAGGTGGCCATGACGGCAGGCTGCGAGTTTTCGGTTTGGTTGAGCTTGGAGTTAGGTCCCTCGGCGATGATTCTCGATAGCTTGAATCCGAGAGTGTTATCCATCTCGTCCAGTATGTGACTCGCGGTATGGGGGAAACTTTCTACCCAGGCATCGGCCATCCCCACGCGTTGGACGCCATGTCCTAGAGCGCATGTCTCAGTGGCAGTTCAAGGGCTCCAGATCCAGTTGAAGAGATTACAAACCTGGAAAGAAGAGAGCCGTGTGCAAGTCTCTTCTGAAAGCGCAGCCCGTCAACCATGTCGAGATCGGGGATTGGGGTCCCATGGACCTCAGCCGGGTACTCGACAGGCGTGAGAGCATTTTCTATTGCAACCCTAATCAGCCCTTGGGGATCCTGAAGTCCAAGCAGATGGGCATGACTGCAGATGTGCAGATCTTTACGCTGTGGGAGGTATAGAGTTAGCTCGAGGGCGTGTGGGGGGTAAGATGCGGGATTCACGTGAGCACGGGGTAATCTCCACCATTTCTGTCTCCTCAAGTACATACTAGTACTATGTACAGGTCTACCGGTGTATACGAGTATTGATTACAGTAACTATGTTATTAGAATGAGTATGAGAAAAAGTATCAAAAAGAGGACTAGAACATAGTACGAGTAAATTGAGAGACTTCCTTTGCTAGGCATAGCTCTATTCTAGATTATTGCATATAGTAAATCCGACCATTGCTGTACTTAAGTAAATATAGATGTGCTCAAATACGTAGACAGTATAAGCCAAATAAGATGTACTAAATAGAACTTGAGAAATATATACCTACGTACTGAAGTAAGTACATAGGTACTAAGCACTCCGTAAGGAGCTAAAGTGGCTCTGCAGTCGCGATTTCAAAAGTTCCTTCACCGCCTTCGGACCTCTCTCTATTGTTATTCAACGCTTGTTGATCTTCATACATTCTTTTGAGCCACTCACTCCGATCTTCTTCTTTCCCTCCAGCGAACCAACTTACAGATCCACAGCTTGAGGGAAAGCGCGTCGTTGCGACACGACACCAAATAATGTTCGTTCCCAAGGCCGGTGGCCGCAGCACTCGTCGGCGCCCACGCACAAGCTCAGATGATTCTGTCAAACCCCCAAAGGCAAAGAGACAACGATCGGTGCTGCGGCGCCCAGATGAGTCGCCCTCCGATACCAGCCTGGGACGTGAGGTTGCAAGGCTGTCGACACCCACCCTACCAAACGGCGACACCACTACGGACCCGGCCAGCGATTCTCATCTGGTTTCCCGGATCACGAAGCAAGGTGAGGTCTCTGGAAGCAATGAAGGAGCAGTGGTTTTGGTAAGTTGCGATATTATCTCTCAGACCCCCCGCGCGGACTCTCAAGCTCGAGATACTAATGCGCGGGAACTGATAGTCAAGCACCGATTTCTACACCGTCGACCAATTGCCAGCATTGCCAGATCAAATTCGCGGGTCACAAACAGGTATCGCCCAGTCGCATAGCTCATCTTCTCACTGGCTCCTGCAAAGCTAACGTTTGGGCACATACAGAACCTCTCAAATGCTTTTTCGGACCTGGACATGACCATGCCTTAGCGTTAACCCGTTCACATGCTATTGTGTGGCCTTATTCAGCGTCCACCTCATCTCCTTCTCCATCGGAAACCTTCACAGTCTCAATTCCCGAGTCATGCAGAGATCCCAAGGGTGCGGTTCCACTCGGAGTTTTATTATCCACCGCGACAGGAGAATACCCCGGGCTCTTGGTGGTTATCCCATCCACGGGTAAAATGATCTACTGGGAGACAGTCTCCAGTGCCGCCTCACTTGGCTTGTCCCGACAAAAGCAGAATGGCATCCAGGGATCTACTCCAGGCATGCTTTCCGGTGAATATGCCACGGAAATCATCAACGGGGAGCCTTCGGGGGTCATTGCCACATTTTCCTCCGGGCGCGTGGCACACGTTACACTCAGAGACTCTCAAGGAAAGCCAACGGTGCTTGTCAATTTCCTCCGGAGCAATGCAGGAAACGGCGGTGGTTTATTCGGAGGCCTCAAAAACGTTTTGGGGGGCGGCTACTGGAGAAAAGAGGTCACTGCTGTCCGGGCCGGCGGCTCTTGTCAGCGCGGTCAACGTGACGTGGTTGTCGCAACCTCGACGGGGCTCATCGAAATATGGGACACGCACTGGAATCACGGCAACACCCTGAAGAAACGATTTGATGCGAAGGATGACATTCTGGCGGCTCTGCCTCGGGTCCATACGAAACCACCTAATTCCATTGAGGATCTCCAGGTTCTAGACTTTGCTTTCTCTGCAATGCGTTCTTCGGAGGATCTCACACAAGCTTCTGAGGGGTCCTGGCGCCTTTTCTTGGTGGTCAGGTCACCTCAGTGGCCAGAGACCAAGGCTTTGTTTGTTGTTCAAGTTGACTTGACAAGCTCGTCTGGTTGTCGTGTTGTGTCCACCCATGCGGTGGATGTGCATCATATTCCTGCGCAGATACTCGATGAGTCAAAGCCCAAGATCTTTGTGCCAAAGCCAGAAGAAACAGCATTCATTCTCATTGGCCAATCTCTCGTCATTCTGTCCTTGGCCTCGACATTAGACGATACCCCATCTTCCCAATTGCTCCACGATAACAATAGGATACCCCTTCCTTTCCAAGACACTATCCACCTGAGATCCGGCAAAGACCACGAAATCCTAGGATCCACATCAGAGGATCAATCTCACGATTCACCATACCCGGCATGTGTGCTCATGCTTCGAAATTGTGGTGTGATACGTGTGACAGTGCTGCCTCGCCGCGAAAACACCAGCGATGATGTTGAAGAAACTCAGATTACGGCGAAGCACAAGCTTGAGCAGGCTGTCTTCTTCGGTACTATGGCGAAGAACCCTTTGAATCTTTCTGGCGCCAGTGATTTGAACTTTCCTCCATCGGAAATGGAGCAAGCCTCTTTGGAAATTTGCAGCGAATTACTCCGATCCTCATCTCGCTTCATTCCCACCACAACCATTTCTTTGGAGCAGAATCTTCGACTGAGAGCAAAGGCATTAGATGATCTCGCGTCTTTACTTTTACAGAATGGCAACCCTCTGAGCCGACCAGCAAGGTGGGAGCTTCTTTGGGCTGCCGAGAAAATTGCCGCCCAGAGAGCTATGTGGAAGGCCCAGGAGTCATTCAAGGCCAAATCCGAAGATGAAGAGCATCTCCTTAGCCTCGTGATCCGGGCCATGAACGATAAGTTCAAATCTCCGCTCAGCCCACTGAATGGGGAATCTGATCCCGTACGTCAATGGTTCTTACGTGATTCATACCGCATGGAGCATATTATTCCATGGATAAAGAATGCGATCAAGCGTCGTCGGGGCAATGTTTCTATCAACGCGCGAACCTTGGCAGATCAGATACTGGAGGCCAGCGAGCTGTTCCTTGCCGTCACTGAAACCGCTTTCCGATACCGTGATGAGCATGTTATGCAGTTTGGCCTGAGTGAGGACTTTTTGGAGGATGGAGTTCTGTCCGATGGATACGAAGTCCTTCCCGAGTTTTGGACCTCCCGCGGCGTTGGCTACTCTGAGGCAGGGCACCTACTTGATCTGGAACTTGACAGCTGCCGCTCATGGCAGGCTCCAACGGCCACTGCCGATGCACCTGACGCGCAGGTGCTTGAACGAGTCGCACAAAACAGCTATCGACATCTCCGCGTGATCGGTCAGATGCATCTTGAGCGCACTCGCTGGCTTTCGGCACAGGGAGACCCCAAGATGTTGGACGAGAGTGTCTCGCTTGAACAGGCTCACGTTGTAGACCGCAAGTGGAAGATTTTCAAGTTGGCTGGTATCGGCCATCTTCACGACGCCATCACTCTGGCCGAAGGTTTCCGAGATATGGGCGCATTGGTCGAATTGCTCGTTGAGCTCCAGGATCAAGAAGCAAGTTCGACATCCGACATTCCTGCCGGTCAAGCGGAGATCGAGGCCGAGCAGCTAGTGGCCAAATATTTCGACAAGTTTGGTGACACATGGGCGGATGCATACTTCTCCCAGCAGATAGCCATGGGTTTCCCTGGTTCCCTGTTTACTCGGAAGTATCAATCCGCTGTCACTCAATTTCTTCGAAGGAACCCCGCATATGCCCGTCTCAGCTGGATCAATGATGTGACCGGGGAAAACGATTACGATTCGGCCGCCAATTCCTTGGAGAACCTAGCGATTAACAGTGAGAAAGATCTTTGGAGCCACCGCGTGGAAATGTCCCTCGCAAAGCTAGGGAAATTAGCGACGCAGGAGCAAAACCAATCATCTCCACAGATCTCCACTCTGCAGGTCGATGTGAAACGTCTTGAAGATTACCATGAGGTTGACGGGGTCCAAGAAATTCTCTACGGGCACATCCAACCCATCTGGCAGGGTGCGATCGACAGAAACGCCGAGGCTGAACTAGCTCTTGAGTTTTATGGGGGACACTTGTTTGAGGATCGACCGTCGCTTCATGAACTTTTGAGTGAAGCCCTTTTTACTTTAGTCAACAGACAAGTGGTTGGTGTGGACGGTCTTGTCGACCTCCTCACCTTGATGGGCCCTAGCCAGCCCGCTGATGATGGGTATGAGCTTGTCAGGAGCGAGTCTCATCTTGCGTTACAGGTTCTTGATTACGGTCGCTATGGCCAACGGGATCCTGCATATCTTACGGCTCTCCAACGATTGATTTGGCGGCGATGTCTGATCAAAGACGATTGGGTGGCTCGAGGCAAGGCCGCGGAGAAACCCAATGGCAATTCGGACAGCTACATTGGCGATACTGCCTTGTACCGGACACTGATTGCATGCTTGGAAGGTGAGTGCGCTTGGAATGACCTATCGATCGTTTGGCCAGGAGAAACTAATGGAATATGTACAGAACCAAGAGCCCGGGACGGTTCTATCTACGTGCCACTGTCCCCTGCCGAGGCGCTGATGGCGGACTCGGATTCAGACATTCTCTTGTCACGCTTCCGCCCCGAACAGAAATCTCGCGTGGCCCTTGATCTTCAGGTGGAGAATGACCTCCTGCGTCGGTACATGGAGGTTGGAAAGGTGGACTTCTGGTTCCAAAACCTGCGTGAGACGGCAGAGGCTCAATCCTTGGCCCCCGTGGAAGCCTCTGGGGGCGACGGGGTCACGGCAAACGCCTGATGCTTTCAATTGATCGGGCGTTGTGTTTTGCTTATCCCAGTGTCATAATATGTAACTATGAAGATCTAAATATCTGCTACAATGAGAAATGTACTCCTTGACATTGCTGAACCATGAGAATGTCAATATGAATTTGGGGTTCGATTTGGAATAATCTCGTTCGAAGAGTCTGCAATCTGGTCACCCCTTGTCCGTTCCTACGTCAAATGCTGGTCCATAGCTTTGGTTCTGCCTCATCGGCGGTGGCTCAGTGGTCTTGGCCTAGTACTTCGCTCCCTCCTGGTCGGCCTCACTGTCGTTTCCACTGGAGCTCTCTACCTTGGTCATTTCGCTGGTCAGATCCGCGAAGTGCTGAGCTTCTTCAAACACGGGCTCCGGGTCCTCGGCTTCAAATTTGGTTCTGAAATCAGCCAGGCCTTGAGTGCTACTGTTCGATCGGCGGCGAGCATTGGTGAAGGAATATTCGTAGTCTTGAATCTCCTCTCCTGATCGACCCCTGAATGATCCAGTCAGTGGGCAGTCCGACCCAGGACATGAGATCCGCACCAATTGCCTTTGCCGCCTCCATCCTTCTTTGTCTTGCGAGGGTCGGCGTCGGTTGGGCCAGACTTTGCGAAATATCGAGGTACTTGATCACGGGTGTCCATGATGGATAGTGAGGTGAAATTCTTTTCAATGTCAGGAACAGTAAAGGAATGAGGAACTGTTGGGAACTGTTAGGAAGTAGGAAATGAGAAAGAGAGGGTCTCGTGACTGATGACTTCACAAAATGCGGGGGTGGGCCCATCTCCACTTGAATCTTTTCTATACTTCACCATCTACATAGTACATACTTGAATGATACTTCACTACTCAAGTCTTTTATCATAATCATATGGAGGAAAAAACAAAGCAGCGGAAAGGTAATGTTATTGCTATGTAGCTACTGGTCTGTGACATCACCTGCCAGACCGTCCATCCGAACAGATGCCTCTATCGAGTGTGAGGCCCTGCTTACTAGGGTACTCAATTTAAGACGGATGCAGGTAGTGAACAATAGCAGTGTCAATGTGTCAGATTTGGTGTTGAATCAATCGCTGGTTTCTCTTGAACTCAGCTTTTCATCGATATATAAATAAAGATCGTGAATCTTATGCCCAGGGTGCGAAAATGATAACTATCTTCCCCCTCAGGGTGTATGTACAGATAATATTGTCTTTCTAACTGATTGTTTTATTGCAATGTACTATTATATATGTTTTTACCTTTCCAATTTTTTTTTCTCAATCAAAACCTTTAGTATTTACTGTACTACATTAGTATTATTTACAAAAATATATAGAACTAGACCTCGACAAAACCCGCATACACATAAACTGACATAAATCTCCTAAAAAGAAAGGTCTTGGCATGCATAACTAGATGACTACTTGCAATTAATTACCATTAGTTATCCATACGGTCTTTACATATATTTAACTATGTTTACTCTCAGGAAGTAGGATAGTCAAATATATGACCAAAATTATATTTGTAACGAATATATAGATTCAAACGTACGACCTGTTGACCCAGTAGAAGATCTAGAAGTAGAACCCTATAGATCTGTAGATGATTTAAATAGTATTTAGTAGTAAATAGAAGTTAATAATTAAATATTTAAATATATAAAATCAAAGAATATACTTATTATATTTAATAGATTAATTTTTAATATTAATTATACAATTAATAATTATATAGTTACCCTTTATAAAAAAGAATATCACCTCATTCATATTATTAACTAAACAGAAGAATTTTATAATAAAGAATATATATATACTTTTATTAGCTATAAATATTACTATCAGCTATAATAGAAAGCCAAAGAGCCTTCTCTATATAGTTTTATTAAAAGGCTGGTGGCTAGAAGCTACAAAGGTAATATAGAGATCATTCTAGAATAGATAGTAAAAATAAATAATATTAATAGTAAACAAACTTTATTAAATCTTTTAAAAATCTAATAAAAATAAAAAACAAAAATAAAATATTTATTTTTTATTTATTAAATAGAAGTTAAATTCTTTTAATTTTAGTTTTAAATAATTTAATATATTTTAATCCTTTAATTTAAGGTTTTTTTTTATCTTCAACAATTATTTAAAAATTTATTTTCATTAATAATACTTCTTTGTATTATATAGTATATAAATAAAGTTATCAATAGTTATTCTATAGTATTATTAATATTTCAAAATCTTTTCAAAATAATTACTTCTACTCCTCATATAGTCTCTATAACTTTAACTCACTATTAGTATATATTTTATTTTTAATGTTTGATCTAAATATCTCTTACTGCTATAATACTATTTGCTATTAATTATTAATTAACTATATAAGATTCTATTCTATATAGTTATTACTATATTTCCAAAAGTTTATATATAGAACTAAAGATTACAATAATAAAAAATATCTAAAATCTAAATTCCTTTATTTAATAGATATTAATATTTTAGATTCTTTAATTAAATTAAATTATAGATTAATCCTATTCTATATAGAATACTATATACTATATAGTTTTTAATATAATATTATAATAATTAACTATAGTATTTAATAATATATATATAAAATATATAGTTATATTTAAAATGAAGAATATTAGAAATAAATATATAAATACTATTTTTTAATTTAATAGTATTTCTTATACTAATCTTAAATAATTTAATAACTTAATAAACCCAAATATTAAAATTTTGTCTATATATACTATTAGTTAATAATTAATCCTATACTCTAATTTTATAATAATATTTTAATAGTTAACTAGAATAAATATAATAATAAGAATGCACTATAATTATATCTTAAGAATCTTAGATTTATTTATTAAACTTAAATAAAATATAATCTTTATATAACAGTAATAGTTATAACTAATATTTATTATAAATATATATTTGATATCGTTAATATTATTAAAAATATCTTTATATCTATAACAACTAAAGATATTATTAATTATTATTAAACTTTAATAAATAAGTTTAATATAGATTTCTTTATAAGTAAATTAGATTTATAATTCAAAAGTAATTTATAAATATTTTTATTATTATTTATATATTTTTTATAAATAAAGATTTAAAAGTACTACTAATTATTATAAAACTTTAATAAACAAACTTAATATAGATTTTCCTATAAATAAACTAGATTTATAATTCAAAAGTGATTTATAGATATTTCTGTTATTGTTTGTATATTTTTTATAAATAAGGATTTAAAAAGATAGAAGATGTAAGCAAATTTTAGAATCAAAATGATTTTAAAGTAAAAATTTATATAGTAATAAACTTTAACAAATATAACTTTACTTTTTTACTTTCTAACTTCTTTACTTCCATCTTTTCTTCCAACTCTTTCTCTCTTTTATTTCTTTTGTAAAGCTTTCTTTTATATAATACAAATTATCTATTAAAAGACTTCATTTTATTATATATCTATTCTGTTAATATATATTAAAATTACTTAAAATACTTTATTATTTTATAAATATTTAATAAACTTAAAATTCTTCTTAAATTTTACTATATATAAGCTTAAAATACTATTATAAGTTGTTAAGATTGTATAGAAGTAAATTATACTTATAAAAAGATATATTTTATTTTATTTTAAAGTTTTTTATAATTAATTTTTTAATTCCTTAGTTTGTTTATAGACTATTATATATTAATTAATAAAATTCTAATAACTATTCAACAATATTTTATTTAATAATCGATCTTAGGAAATACTTACAAAGAACTTTTAGTATCTATTTAATAGTCTAGATTAATTTATTATAACTTATTTAACTTACTATTATTTAAATATAATATAGATTATAAATAATTCATTTTTATATCTTTGTAAATCAATTAACTTCTTATAATATAATAAGTATACTAAATACTAATAACTTATTAATTCTTATTAATAAATACTCTTAATATATTTCTTCTATAATCTTTAGATATAAATAACATATATTACAAATATATAATCTAATCTTCTAGATATAGAAGAAGACATTTAGTTTTGATATAAAATTATTAGTAATTTTTAAAATACAATTTTATAATAAATAAAAAAAGTATTAAATATATTAATACGAATAATATAAAGATATAGTTTAAAGAATATTTAATAAGATTTCTTTCTATTATTTATAGAAGTATAGTAAACTAATTAAAAAAAAGAAGCTGTTTTGTAAATTAAATATTTTTAACGTTTTTATAACTTAACAAATTAAAATCTTATTTTTATTTTATATAATTTTTTATAGTTTCGTTCTATAGTTTACAATTAATAAGATTTCTTATTTTAAAATTAATCTTCTTATAGTATTAATTATAGTACTTAGCTTAAAAGTTAATTATAATTTTTTATTTTTCTATTATTAATTCCTATAGGATTTATAACTTTTTATAATATTTAAAGTAATTTACTAATTAAAGAAATCTTTTATTTGAATTTAAAAATTAAGATTATATATAAAATATATTTAAAATAAAGTTTTTTATATAATATTATTTTAATATATTATAAAAATATAGTAGCAACACAAATTTGTAAATATATAGAATAAGTAATCAGCTATAGCAGAATCTTTTAGATCCAAAAATAAATTTTTATATATTTAGTAAAAATATATATCTATATATTATAGTCTTTCTTTATATTCTATAGAATATAACTCTTTTTAAATTTTTAATTTAATTCTTTAAATTTAAATTATTTTATAATCTTAATAATATAATTAATATTTAGATTTTTTAAATATTATTATAAATATTTAGAATTCTATAATCTTTATTTTTAAATTAATATTCAAAAACTCTAATTAAAAGATTTAGAAAAATTAAAATCTAAAAATAGCTATATAGATTTTACTATATTATCTATTTAACAAATTAATTATAATAGTTCTAACTATTTAATATAAATCTAAGAATAATAAATCATTTTAATAGAAGCTA